ACGATAACCTTGTCTATGTCCCCACCAATGAGCTCCAAGCTGAAGTCTGCCACAACATGCACGATACACCCCTAGCCGGCCACTTTGGGATGTCCAAGACGCTCGAACTCGCCTCCCGCAACTACTGGTGGCCCAGCCAGTGGCGCTTCGTCAAGGCCTATGTCAAGTCCTGGGATATCTGTAGCCAAGCGAAATCCAGTCAACACAAACCGTACGGCCTACTCCAGCCCAACAGTATTCCTACCCGCCCTTGGGGATCTTGGTCCCTGGACTTTATCACCGGTCTGCCTCCCATTGATGGGTACGACTCCATCCTGAACGTCAACTGTCGCCTCACCAAGATGGCCCACTTCATCGCCTGCAGCGAGTCAGAATCCGCTGAATCCACCGCCGACCTGGTCTTCCACAATACAGGGTACCAGGGCCTATGCGAGCTGTTATGGACGATGCGCCCATACCATAAGCTTACCTACTGACAGCCGCCAATGTCAACCACCAATGTCAAATGCCAATGTCAATGTCAATGTCAGTGTCAATGTCAGTGTCAATGTCAATGTCAATGCCACTCCCCCTCTCTCCTCTCATTTCGCCAATCCTCCCGCAATATCGCCGCTCCTCCTCTCTCCTCTCATTTTGCCAATCCCCCCTCGGCTTCTCCACATCCCCCACTACATCTCCATAGCCAGCAGCTGTAGCAATGCTCTCTACGCTCGCCGCGCCCGCTCTAGGAGCATAGCTGGCGCCCCCCTCAGTCCCCTCTTGTTGTTGGTGTTCTTTGATCTGCTGGGTTGTCTATCTACAAATAGCCGGCCTCTCTTTGTCCATTCCCTTCCTCCCCAGCAGATCAACACCAGGTCTTCTCATCTACTGATCTAGTCCTTGTTTCTTGTTTCGCCAATACAATCTCTTGTCGCCTATCGCTCTCGCTCTGTCTTCTCTACTTCGCTTCCGCCTCAGTCGTCGAGATCATAACACGAGCGGGCAAGCAAGGTGTCAGGGCTCATGCGGACGGGTATGCCATACCAAGGCCTAGGATGCGGGCGGGTACAGGGTACCAGGGCCTATGCGAGCGGGCAAGCGAGGTGTCAGGGCTCATGCGGGCGGGTATGCAATCCCAAGGCCTCGGATGCGAGCGGGTGCGAGGCACCAGGGCTCAGGACGATCGGTGAAGTACCAAAGGGAAACGCTCCCAAGAGATCAAATTCAACGAAATATATACAAGAAAGAAGAACGACGACGCCAGGCTAAATACCAGCCTGTTTGGCGAAAGACCATTGGCAACGTGTGCCGTGGCAGGCAGTCCCCATGCCACAACGCAGCGGGATGAACTGCTGGACGTTCATCTGGCTAGACGGAGCGCATCACGTCAGTGGCGGGACCTGTCGAAAATTCACGACTGTTGTACTTACGCACGGACATGCCCCATACACTGGATGTGGTCGCAGGGGAAGACCTGCACGTCCTGGGCCAGACAATCGCAGTCGGGCCACACACAGGTGCAGGGTAGCGCCTGGCAGAAGAGCGGCGCTTCACACTCCTCCCCGAAACCGTCAACGTAGCCGCACGTGAACTCCCCGACAGGCGTGTTGGGAAGAGACGTGAGCTGTCAGTCACCTCACGGGAACCACCCATGACATGCGGTTCCTTACGGTGTCATCACAGAGCGGGAGGATGCAAGGCCGGTATATAACATGCTGGCACGCCGAGGGGAACATCTTGCGGGCGCGGTAAGTGTTGCAGTTCCAACACGTAGGTCGGGCCGGTGGAGCCGGGGGCTCCGGGGTACTGTCCGCGTGCACCTTGGGGGTGTCCTGAGATAGAATTGGTCAAACCACGTAAGTTCGGTCAATTGGGCAACCTCCGTGGACTCACCACTCACTGTCGCTTGAGAGCCTTCTTTAGGCTGTCGCCTTTGGTGGGGCCCTCCCCTACTTTCTTCTTCCCCGATGACGGGCCGGCAGCAGTGGGCTTGGCAGGAGGAGCTACGCTGGCCATAGTGAAGAGGGGAACGGCGACGGTGAGAGGTTACGAGATTGGGGGTAAGAAATGTAAGTCCGGAGACTGGCGGGAAGGTGCCGAGGGGACTACTGCCTTCCTTTTATATGCCGCAGCAACAAGGACCATAGCGCCCCATGACCAGCTGCGGCCGAATCATCTCTACCTCATATCGGCGTGGACTTGATTGCCATCGTGGTGACCACCGGTGCCCCCAGCCGCTCCAATAGAGCCATGCGCACTCCTCATGGCCGACACCTGTGTCAGCTGCACATCGAGGAACAGCGGGGAGCGACTGACAGGTGCGGTCGGTGTCGGAGTGACACTTGGCTCTAAGGGGGGTGTAATGAGGTGCTGCAGGTGTCACCTTAGTGTGGGGAAGCGCGTAGGGCATGAGATCACGTGTAGCATAGATTATATTGGAGTTCTACGCTCTGGGGTGACTCCCGAAGGGAAGAAAAGCCTTCGGGCGGCGCCCCGAGAGGTAGAAACTCTAGAATTCTTTCAATACATCGAAGCGGAGGCAGAGCTTGCCTCTGACAACAGACCTAGCATTATTACAATATGCCAGCTATCGTTCCCGTTGAACGACCAGCTCCCCTACCTATGAGTACAAAACGGCATACCGACGGAAAATCAAAGGCGCCCCAGAAGCGTGCACGTATGATGAAGGCTACGACGCCAAAAGAGGCTACAACGCCAAGAGCTGCAATGCCACAAGTGGCTACACCCGCAAACAACGATGGGGACGCCCATGCAGTTGAAAGCGATGGGGACACCCATGCAGGCCTAAATACGGCAAATTTTGTCAGTTTGGATGAAACGGAGGCTAGAAAAACGCCAATCACAGAGGTTCCTTGCCATCACATCGCATCCGCGTGTCTGCTAGCCACAGCGCTGGATGACCCAGATCCCAGGAGCGTCGCAGAAGCAATGAAACGCCCGGACTGGCGGAGATGGAAACAAGCAATTGACAAAGAGCTGAATTCTTTGCGAAAAAGAGAGGTATTTGACAAAGTTGAAGAATGTCCTTCTGACATTGTTCCCGTTGGCCACAGATTTGTTCCAGTGCGAAAAAGAAACGCAGATGGATCAGTCTCCCGCTATAAAGCCCATCTTGTTGCCCAAGGGTTCACGCAGACGTATGGTATCAATTATGAGCATACATACTCACCGGTGATGGACGCAATCATGTTTCGATTCCTCATCAGCTACGCTACTCAACACCTCTTGAAGATGCATCAACTCGATGTCATTACCGCGTATCTTTACGGCGACCTCGATAAAGTCATCTACATGAAATCCCCACTGCCGACGAAAGGACTGCGTTTAGCGTGCGTAAAATTGAAGAAATCGTTCTACGGATTAAAGCAATCAGGACGCATATGGTACCAACAACTCTGAGGTATTCAGCATACCTCATATCCCTCCGTTTCGTCAACGAGGACATCACTCCCTGTCTATTCATCAAAAGCAACCCCAAGACGGGAGAATTCGTCATCATTGCAGTTTATGTCAACGATCTCAATATGGTTGGCATTGACGCAGCTATCCAGAGCGATATTTCCCACCTCAAGACCGAATACGAGATGAAGGATCTCGGGCGGACATCATACTGCCTCAGATTAGAGCTCCTTCACACCCAAAACGGTATTCTTCTACATCAAACGGGATATACGAACAATATCATTAAACGATTCGGCATGGAAAACGCTCATCCGCGCAAAACGCGCTTACCTCAACGAAGTACAACATGCGAGAAGGATATATATCGACCAAAAGATGACGATGAGGCTGTCCTAGATGCCGATACACCGTATGCCGCCGCCATAGGAGCGTTGATGTACCTTGCCAACTGCACGCGTCCAGATATATCCTTCGCCGTCCACTGTCTTGCCCGCTCGACGAAAGAACCGACACAACGACACTGGATGGGTGTGAAAAACATTCTGCGGTATCTAAAAGGAACCAGCGACCTCGGTCTATTCTACGAGAAAAAGGAGAACAAGGCTTTGGTTGGCTACTCCGACGCCGGATACCTCTCAGATCCACATACCGCAAAATTGCAAACTGGATACGTTTTTCTTCACGGCGGAACCGCAATATGTCACCGATCCACGAAACAACCCGTCGTCGCAACATCCTCAAACCACGCTGAACCATCGCCCTACATGAAGCAACCCGGGAAGCCATTTGGTTGCGGATGATGATCAACCATGTGGAATCTACGACGAGAAGAGGCGACACCTGCCATGAACGAACAATGATATTCGAAGATAACTCCCCATGCATCATCCAAATCGCCAACGGCTTCATTAAAGGCAACAGAACCAAGCACATCGAGCCCAAAGTTTATGCCTATATCCGTCAAGAGAATGCGAAAACAATGAACGTCACTCAGATCAATACGCACGACAACGTTGCGGATATATTTACCAAGTCACTCGATGAAAACAAACACTGGAAGTTTGTTCACGCTCTAGGATTGCGCCGAAAAGCCGATGTTGCCTGATACGACGATGCGCTCTTTTCCTACTCCCAGGATCCATTTTTTTTTCCTCACGGAGGTTTTTACACCTGGGAGAGGTTTTTACCGAGGCATCCACGACTACGATGGCGAAGCGATGACGGAAGTCGAGAGAGCGTACCGCGAGTGCCCAAATCCAGGCTGCACCTCAAGCGATTGGGAAGTCGAGAGAGCGTACCGCGAGTGCCCAAATCCAGGCTGCACCTCAAGCGATTGGGAAGTCGAGAAGAGCGAATCGCGAGGCTGCCCCTATTCCGGGCTGTCTCCATCGATCGCGGAAGTTGAGAGCGGAACGTTCCATGGGATCAGAATGCAGAGCGACTGCGACGATGACTGCGACTGCGACAGTGACTGCGACTGAATTCGATCTGCAGTCTGAGAGGGAGTGTTGTAAACAACCAGTTTCAGCCACAGCTTCCTTTTTATAGTTACCGTACCCCTTTTCTTCTCTGCAGATAGAGAGCTGGTTGTGTGTGTGTGCAGACCGTCCGATCGAATGTCTATAAAACGAGTGGTGTGTGTGAAGGGGAATAAAGTAACGAGTTCCACAACACAAGACGGGATGTGTACCCATACGGCCGCAATGCTACAACTGGATCCAGGAAGCCTTCCACAGGACCGCAAAACGATCATGACCTGCCTCGCCATGGCAAAGCTGGTATTGGTGGAATCTAGGCGAGTTGCATCGTTAGATGTCGATGTTGGTACAAGGTCTCAAGGTGAGCACTGTTCAAGGACCAGGAGGGCTTTTCTATAGGCGGACGCTTCATTTATGCGATCCCATCAAACACAGGCAGCTCCCACCACCGGCCAAAACCATACGACCGCCCTGCACCCCCCAACCCATCACCACACCCACGACCAGAGGAAACCATTACCACAACGGAAGTCCTCAAGACTATCGCAGGCACCACGGTCCATGTGAAGAAGGAGAAAATCGAGGGGTGGGACGAAATGGTGCGCCGGATTGTGGAATGGGAACGGAATACCCCTGTGCACTGGCAATGCAGCGACGAGCTGGCCACATTCAAAATCACGGGGTGCAGGCATATCTGGAAAGTAACCATGCGGCGTCAATGCCAAACCAAGGCTTGTCCCTGCGAGTAACATCCGCAATGCAAACATGGCTCTTCGGACTATCGGTGGCCGAATTGAGCGCAACGTCGGCCGTTTTGCCTGACTTGTACCATTATTCCGAAGACGAGGAGGTTGCGGAAAAGCGCGCAGTGATGGCAACGACCTTCCTTCACAACAACAATCCCTCCCCAACCGGATACGGGCACTTCTTTCGTATGCAACTTCAAGTGGAGATGGCTTGGGCCTCGGAGCTCAAGACTATTGAGAACGTTGCAGTCCTCTGGGTGACAACGGAAGGTCAAGCGGCTGCCGGACAAACTCGATTGCATGAGACCTTCGGGCCGCGGGGCTTTGTTGATTACGACAATGACCCTCGAGGTCGGTCTCCGAATGACCGGCGACGACAGCGGGTAACCTGGATGAGGGCGCTGAATGGCCGCCGTGTTCGAAACATCGTCGCCACGTGGGGGCTCAAGGAAAAGCTCGCGGCCGAGCGCGCTGAAGACACGGGGAAGGGCAAGCAGTCGGCGCAGGACGACAACGCCGAAGATCTACCCCCAGCCCCACAGACGATCGAAGAACTCGAGTTGTTTAGCGCCAGTCTTCAAACGAGGTTGAAAGACAGAGAGGAGGAGCTGGAGGGGTTATTTGAGTACACGGCGATCAAGCCAACACAGCGATCGGAAGCCTTCACGGACGATCTGACCGCAATACTGGACGCCCTTTTCCTGTACGGAAAGGCGTCGGAGATTCGCAGGCTGAGCCTCTTCAGCTTTTGGGTGTATTGGAAGGGGCTCAGGAAGTCGCTGGAAGACGAATGGCGCTTGGAACACACGCGGATCTGCCAGGCAATCGGGCCGCAAGAACACTGTATCATTATTTGTACCGCATATCAGCGGATGCTCTTCACCACGGTCCTCATCAATCCAGGCCTCCTCGGCTCAGCGACCATCGAGTATTTCTCTGCTCCATGATTACGCACCGTGGCGTACGGAGGCACACACATGAATGGACGTCTTATTGGAGAGGGGCGAAGGGGAGGTGAAGCTGGCATCAAGCGGACTGACTGCTGGTTGCGTTCGGGCTGCGTAGCCGCAGTGGAAAGCGCCCCGCGTCCCCCCCCCCCCCCCCCCCCCGGTCTCCCGTCCCACCTCCCCACCTCAACGTCGTCGCACCCAAGGCTCGCAACAACGACAGCAACGATGATGACAGTGATGAAGCTGAGGATGTGGAGGTGATGAGGGCATCCACATTGGACGAGGATGACGATGAGAGCGACTTAGGGCGGGCAGTTCTCTACTCAGAAACCGAGCGCTTCAGCTGCTATGGTCCTCTGTAAATGTCCGTGTCTGCAAGAGGATCAAAGGTCTGACACAATGTTGACTTGCTCCAGTCTCTATACGGGCAAAGGAGCCAGCATCCCTTGAAGTCTCAGCACTCATGGTCAAGGAGCTGCAGAGAAGCACAATTGCCATGACTCTTGAAAACGACAGAGTGCTCAACAAGTGGCGTAGACTGGGAGCTGCGTGGCGTACGGGCATTGTCAACAACATCAAGACAGCCCGGGCTGCCTGCAATAAGTGTGGGCGCGCCCAGGCGTATCTTGATGCCATCGCTGCCCTCCCGGGCAAACCCGTCGTCCCCTCAACCACCTCCCCGCACCCGCCCAAGCCACCACGCGCCTCACCCTTCACCTCCCGCCCCGCCCTCCCACCATCCCAACCCCCGTCTCCACCGCCCAGCCCCCGTCTCTGCCGCCGCTCCCCCTGTCGCCGCCCCCCAGCCCCCCGTCTCCGCCCCCCAGCCCCCAGTCTCCACCCCCCACCCTCCCGTCGCCGCTGCCGCTCCCACCGCCCCTATCCCCAACCCCCTCGCGATCACCAGCCTCCTTAACCCCGCCCCAATCCCCAACCCCATCCCAATCTCCGCCCTCCTCAACCCTGCCCCCATGCCCACCCGCCCCACCCGCGGCCCACCCGCCCCACCCGCGCCGCCGCCATCGCAGGGGTAGCAGCCGCAGCAGCAGCAGCAGCAGCGCCCACCCCCACGACCGGCGACAAGGACGAGGAGGGGTATGACGCAGCCGAAATGGCGCAAGAGGAGCTGGCCACACTTGAGGAGGAGGAGGGACACTGGCGGGCGTTGGGAAAGCTGGTGAAGGAGACGTGCGGTTCAACCACACGCCAGGCGATGATGGCGCACACTACGCCCCTCTTCGACGCCCACCGAGCGCGCCTGGCAGCTGCGAAGCAGAAGGCAGAGACGGGGCAGGCTTTTACACCCGCCTCCGACGACGCCGATGATGATGACGAGGAGTATATGTCGATGGAGAGCCTCCCACACTCGGAGTCCGTGTTGTCATACGGATCTACATCTGGTGGCGACGAGACAGCGGGCTCCGAGTTGTGGGAGGAGGAGGAATACGCATTTGCGTGAGGGTGAGTTCATCATTGTCTCCGAGACAAACTGTCTCCGCCATCTCCACTGCTCCTGACACACGCTCTCTCGTACCGATTCGTCGTTGACAGTGACCGAGCAAGTCGATGATTTATCACGATTGGAAGATAATAGTGGGGATGATGAAGGGATCAAACCAACGCCCGAAGAGCAACGGTTGTTTTAACAAAGAAGTCCACTTTATTTTTATGCGTGCCCGAGCTACGTCGGAGAGTTCCTTGCATTACAGACAGAGTACAATCGGATGCGATCGGAGATGATCGAGACGCAAGCTGCGGTAGACGCTGCACGACCCACAAGTCCTGCCAAATGTGCATTACAAGAATCCCTGCGACATCAAACTTGGAATGCACAAGCGCCGCTTCCATGTGGAGATCACGTCGAGCTCGCGAAGGTTAAAGATACACTGGAAAAGCAACTTCTGGCAAAAGCGGAACACTCCAAGCTCCGAGTGTCCGAAGCGCTCGGCGTGTACCGGCGAGAAAGAGAGGAGAAGGAGAAACTGGAGGCAACCGTTAATGAACTCAATGCGCATCTCGTGGAGGATTCACAAGAGAAGGACACCGACATAGCGAAATTGGCGGCGCACGTTGCAACTCTCGAGGCCCAAATCGCTGCCATGCGCTCCGACCAGAAGATCAGTGACTTGCTGAAGCGAGCCTTTCGGAGGGCAGAGTTGACCCATTGATCATCCTCGCTTGCTTCCCGTTTTGGTCAATTTGAACGACAAAAGGGGCTTACTTTCAACACCCTGACGGGGGAGGCTATCTTCCAATGGCGAACTTGATCAAAACCATTCAAGACCAAGCGACATTGATCGTCTTATTCCAGTTCGCCGCCTGCACAGCATTGGGAAATACCCCCTCCTCCGACACGTTGAGGATTTATTGGATATCTATGTGCGGAAGTTCACATATGTCCGACCCATCACGTTATCGTCCCAGAGTGTGATGTGTCGGACATGTGTGAACACCGAAGAGGGCATGTCTATCCCAGCTCGGGGTGGAATCAGAGAAAGAAGATGGCGATATGGGGCGTCGGGAGAGGAAGACCGATGTTACGATCTCGCTGGGCCCCTCATCAACCGCGCGGCCGTCCTCAATAGTCTGGATCTGCGTTTCAGCCGCTTCCGTCAGAGGTGTCAAGGGTGGATTACATTCCCCAATATGAGACATTGCCTCCTCGCGAGCTTGCGCATCATACCGGGCATTGGCGAAGTCTCCCACAACACCATCTGCCACAGGGGGTATCAATCCCGTCACGCCCTCCATCTCCTCGGATGATGAAGTGAAAATCGATCAGGCCACACGCGATATCATCAAGGCTCTTTGAGACTATGCGGCGGAAGGGCAGTTACTATGCCTTTTTGATGGTGTCCTTGGCCGGGGTTATCGTCGCACCTGCGAACGTCTACCGGCAGACCGCACAACTCGAAATCTTGTAAGTCCGGTGGTCTACGGGGTTTGGAGTCGCTGTTGTGTGCTTACGAGTAACATCTTTTGCGCTCCCAGATACCTGCACCTTCGCGATCGTTACCCTGATATCCCGAAGCCGGAGAGCAATGAGCCATCGGAAGATCAGGTGGTCCGAGCATCTACACTCGGCGAAGATGAGGACGACGTTGACCTTGGCGAAGAAAATGCAGGAGTCCCCAGAGGTGGCCCATTGGTTGGTAAGTGCGAGATCTATCTCTTGTCAACCTCAACCAAACTGTAGCTTCTGATATACCATCTGCTTTAGATGCTGTGCGTTCAACGGAAAAGAGCAGTATCGAAGTATCCAAAGTATTGGAACATGAACTGCGAGCTGCCCACGCGGCAGCCATCCTAGAAAACGACAGGATCGTCAATCACGCAAACCAGGAGATGTTGCCGGTGAGTGTAGAGTGCCCTCTCACATAAGATATCTTGCAAACTCGCAAGGGTGGTGGGTGGTGACAATTGCACATCTGTAATGCGTTCTCTCTTTTGCCAACCCAGGAACAAGAACAGTCGCTGCGGAAGTATGCTCAAGTATTGGACAACGCAATGGAATCGATCCGTCAGCTCGAGCGAAACGCTGCAGCAGTTGGGAATCCCATTCCGATGACCGCAGAATCCGGTCGGCTAAAAGGAAGGCGGGAACAAATCGAGCAACGGCTTGCCAAATTGCTCAAGTGGGCGGGGACCCCGAGTGAGCGCAAGCTTGAGTGGAACAAGGGTTCCATTACTCAGATTCCTGCCTACAAGAGGATGCTGGAGGACTCAGATATGGAAGGGTTGACAGTTGTCTCTGCTCCACGGTTCGATCTTTACTATAAAAAGGGGCGCCCACACACATGATACACAACTGTTTGCGATACCTGTGACAGAGCTCTATCTTGGCAATGGACACATGACACAGGGTATGGGCACTTCCATTGGAAGGTGATCAGGGCGGGTGACGATGAGCAGGACGACGCATACATTTTGGTAGTCCCATGAGGAAGAGCGGGCTTTCATCGATGAAGAGGTCAAAAAAGCCGAGGACGCTCTCGATAAGGAGAAGAGGGCAATCGCAGAAGCGCTGCAAGCCGGGCGTGGGCAAACGAAAGAGATACTCACAAGCCCCCGCCCACCTGTCGTTTAGGCGTATGTACTTGTATTCTTCTTCTTTGGTAGCGAATGCACATTGATCTTCCTGGCATTACCTTGCATCAGCGACCCATCCTGTCTGTACAAGAAGTAACAAGAAATAGCGATTCATCCCCGCCATACGCAGGAGCACGACTTGCATCCATGCTTTCCGTAAAGAAATCGCATTTAGTCAAGGCTATATGCCCACCCACAATAACAAACCACAGACTCTCAGAAAACTCTACATTAAAACCCAGCTCTTCCCAAGCGCCCACCCTCCGTTTTGCATTGTTGACGCTATATGGAACTCCGCGCAGACAAACGCCCGCTCCGTCGTTCCGGTTGCTGCAATTCCCCGTCGGAAATCTCTCTTGATATTCTTCGACGCCTGCATTCCGTAGCAAAGCCACGTTCGCGGAGACTGCCACATTTCTGCGGTTTGACGCGCAATCCCAAGTAGGCACGGCACAAAAGGGAGAAAAATGAATGCGTTTTTTCTCCTTTCCCCCAGGTTTCGTTTTCGCTTTTGCGACTCGCATTGCGCTGTGTGAGCCGCACAAACGCTTCGTTTCGGGATTGCGTTCATGAATTCAGACCGGAACGACGACCACGGCTGCCGTGGGGGTCTTGCCGGTCTTTCCTTTCAGTCCATCTCTGGGTGGGTTGGTTCACACCTTTGAGTTTGGCACCGGCACCACGTCGCATGCCGACAAATCTCCCTCCGCACCTATAATCGCATGCACAGTGATCCTCACGTCCACGGCCATATTGACGCCGGCAATCCCTTCCTCACCCACCGACCCCTAATTCACCCCCTACTCTTCTTAACAGCATACACAAACCGCTCATCAGCCGTAACAACAAGCTCCTGCCCTCCCAAGCCCACTACCCAAAAAAAAGGAATGAGTCACCCACACCCCATACACCACAAGATAACACCCACAATCTATCTCACCAGTAACGCGCACAAATTCCGACCCTCCGTCCTCGTCGTTCTCCGCAGCGGTTTGCGCGCCCGTTTTGCTCAAGGCGATAGCGTCCCGGACGATCGTGAAGATGTCTTTGGCGGTGGGTGGGTCGTCGGCTAGGTCGCCGGATGCCTGGAGAAACACAAACTTCATCAGTATAACCGTAGCGCAGACCCGGTGGAGGCCCTTTGTATGACTGAAAGCCTTACAGCGAGAGTATTCCCATTCTGCAAGTCAAGCACCAACAGCCCCGTCTGGTCCGCGACTGATTGGGCTAGGGAGGCGAGAGCGGACAGGGCGGATGAGTCTTGGGTGGGGGATGTTGTGGGGTCTTGGGACTGTGCGATGCAAGGAGAGGGTTAACATCTAGGGGCCCAGTTATGCTGGATGTCAGTGTACCTCAGCGGTTGTCATTTTGTGGAGGAGTGATAGTGATGGGAGTCGGGAGTGTCTGCGCAATGGAGAGGTCTTTTCCGGAATCCCACGAGGGCGAGTGCGGGCTGAGTAGCTGGGGAGGAGATGTGACCGAGGTTCGCTCAGGCAGCCTGTGCGACGGATGACCTTTCTTTTCAGCAAGAAGTTGGTTTGGAGTGTGAAAAAAGAAGGGCGGCGACGAGGGCAGGGCGACTGACGGCATCGGTGACTCACACTCTCTTATGTCAGCAGCTCCCGTCTTCCCGTCTCCGAAGGCGCTGTCAATTGGCGGCAACAGGGAGCTTTAACTACATGCAATGATTTGAGCGACGCCCGCAGTCCTATTAATGCAATGCGCTTGGAGATGGGTATCAGGATTGATGTCATAGGTTATGAGTAGGTTAGGCAGAACAGAGAGAAACTACGCAAGAATGTCTCTTCCAACGCCCCACTTTGAGAAACGGCATCTGGGAAAGGGGGTCACGGCTCGTCCATTTGGAGCGTAGCCTCAGTGCCAAACCTCTCTTGACTGTTGGATGGACTCCGTCTGCATTTCATGCAGATATCATGTAACGGATCACCACGTGGGGTTTCTCGAATCTGCCAAAGTTCTCTTTCTCTGTAAAAGTTCGTCCCAGACACACCGCCGTCGCGTTCAAAATAACCTTAAGCGGCGTCTGCGCAGAGTGTGGGAGACTCTTTTTCGGACAGATACCCCTCATCGCAGCGTGAATACTTAACCGACGTCGATCCATATCCTCTGGCTAGCACATCTTGCGGACATGGCATTTGCAGGCTCGCCTTTTGAGGCTGAAGTCGTCAATGAAAGGTAAAGATGGACGCCTGGGTTTCTGCATGCCTTATCCCACCGGCTTTGAATACTCACATGCTGTTTTGCCGCTTTAGGATAGAAGGACGGGGGAAGTACACGTTTCCGGATGGGAATGTTTACATTGGGGAGTTCAAAGACGGCCAGTAGGTACAACCAAGCCGGAAAGTTGGGGCTTGTGGATGCGGGTTGCAGTACTTTCAAGATGTGGGAGTGTCTGACGGCTATTGGATATATCTCCCTGTCGCCTCGTGATGCAGGTTTCACGGAACAGGCACCATCCATTTCACGCACGGCGGCAAATACGACGCATCCTGGGACAACGGGCGCGCGGTCGAGGTACATCCGTGCCCCTGGATCCCGTTAATCCATCCACCACTCTCACAACGTACATCCCCTCTCCCACTAGGGCACCTACACATTCCACGACGGCCTAACCTACACCCCCACCACCTGGGACTACTGCACGCCCCCCGACCGCCGTTTCTACTCCGAGCGCGTGAACGGGTTCCTCCCCGGCGAGCCGCAGCTGAGCAACGACGTGAATGGGCCGCGGGAGATTCCTGCTGATACGTTTGATGTGGGCGATGGGTATTACGATCCGAAGGATGAGGTGATTAGGGGTTATGGGGGGGAGGTGATGAGGGTGCCGGAGGAGGAGGAGAGGGAGTGGGTTGTTGGGTGAGTACTGGGGTGATGTTGTTTATGTGGGAGAGATGGATGTTAACGTTAATGTTTTCTTTGTAGACACTGTCGCGTTGGGGGACGGCCGAAAGCGACTGTGAAGGGGGGTTGGATGCCTCTGAGTGAACTTGTCGCATGATATCACTTGAATGAATAAAAGCTACTTTGAGTCGACCACATCGACATCCGCGTAGGGGCCCGATGTTTGTTGTGGGGAGAGTTGCTGTCTTCCAACAGAAGGTCAGCCATAGATAGATTGGGTTCTGACACACCGCCGAGATCATGGAGACCGTCTGCAGGTGGGTTGACTTGCCAGCCTGAGTGAGGTTGAGAGACGCTGGTGCTGCGTCCCCCTCTTGAGGATTCGGGCATCTCGAAGGCGAAGCAACAGGTGAGATTTTCCGGGACACAACTAATCTCATATTCCTTACGTGGCGGACCCCTACTACCAGACAACTTCCCTCTTGAATTACCTACAGTAAGTGCCGCAAGTCCACCCCACGCTCCTTGCACTACGGTCGACAAGTCGCAAGTCACCCATCTCGGCGTATCTCCGCCCAAAAATGCAACACACATCCAAAAATCTACATATCTTTCAAAGAACTCTACTCTACACCCATTGGCCTACTCCCCGACCTCCACCACATCCCCCACCCGTAGAAACCCACCCGCTCTAACCCCACCCAACACCCCAAAACAGACCCCAAAACCCTCTATCCTCCTCACCCTCCCCAATGTGCTATACGGCTCCCTCCCCACGGCGCCCTCATTATCCACATTCACAATCGCGCAGCGCGTGCAGTGGGCCGTAACCCCAATTTCCACCTTGTGCTGATTCGGATTCGTGATGTGTAATGTTTTGTTGAGGAAGGCGTCTTCGCCCCATGCCGCGACGCCGCTGAGGATGATATTCGCCCGCATCGCCGCGGGTGTCACCGACCCCTTTGCCCGTACGGCAGCGGGGAGTTGGGCGTGTAGGGTGTCGAAGGAGGCGCGGGTGGTAATGAGCAAGGGCGAGGTGTTTGCGAACGATTTTTGGTGTTGTGTCGTCGCCGACTCGGATCGTTGTGGCGGTGATATACTGGAAGACCTCATAAGCCGACACTCCACCCCCAAAAACGTTGAGAAATACCCATCCACATCCCCCTTGCCTTGCATGATCCCCCCAACCCGCCGCGTACAAACCCCCACCTCTCCCGTCCTCTCTCCACTCTCGCACAACGCAATCTCCACCCCCCGCTCCTCGCCGGCGTTGACAGTCATAACACCCTTCACTAGGTCGATATCCAAGATGCGGATATTCGCCATCGCGGGGAATCGTTTGAGTGTCAAGGGGGTGTTGTGTGCGTCGACGAGGGCGAAGGCGCGGTCGAGGTGGAGACCTGTTGGGGTTAAGGGCCAGGAGGGCGGGGAGAAGGGGGCGCAGGATTTGATGGGGTAGAGGTGGAGGGAGGTTATTGTTATTTTCAACGACGGCGGCGTGGTGGGTGAGGGTGTCGGCGGTGTGGAGAGGTAGTAGGTGGTGAGGAACTGTATCCAATTCTCAACATCCCCAAAACTCGAACAAGCACCGAACGAAATCCGCAAACACCCAGTGAATGTTCCATCAACGATATCGTACTCGCCTCCACACACGACCCCATGCAGCTCATGATTCCTCCGTACATCCGCGGGAGTCAGGCAAAGATGCTGCTGACACGCTCCCGGGTTACAAAAACACCCGGCGCGTAAATGTATCCCTTGCACGGCCGCGAGTCGTAGCACGGAGGTCGGGCTGATGGGTGCGCCGGTGGGTGTGAGGAGGTTGAAGCAGAGGATGGGGCCCTGGGACCTGCCCAGGGTAGGTGGGGACTCGTAGATGACGCACAAGGGTGTGGTGGTATGTGGGTGTGTGAGTTGGGACATGTGGGTGCGTGTGAAGTCGCGGAGGCAGAGGGCGTGTGTGCCGATGCGGGTAATCCCGCCGAGTGTGGATTCGATGAAAGTGAAACCGTGAGCGAGGGCGAGGATTTGGAGGAAAGGGAGGGTGCCGTCTTCGAAACGGGCTGCCACATCCTGTTTCGGTTCGTGCCAGGAAGCGGAATGTGGATCGTCCGATACGCTGATGGCGCTTACCGTCCCGCCGCCGAAATAAGATTTGTTTAGCAGGTGAGCGACGGATCGCCGGATGATGAGCGCGCCGAGACCGGTTGGGAAGCCAAAGATTTTGTAGAAGGAGAGGATGGTGAAGTCGGCTGGGTGCGCTGTGAGGTCAAGGGAGGAGGTGGAGAGGTAGGAGGCCGCGTCGAGGAGGGTTAGGAAGGGGAGGGTGTTGGTGTTGTGGCGACGGCGGCGGAACTTGGTGACCCAGTTGAGGGGGTACCGGGTGCCTGTGGCGTTGCATTGGGCGGGGAAGGCGAGGAGGTTGTATTGAGTGGTATCCAAGCGGCGGTGCTCGTCCCCCTCACTCAGTCCATTGGGGGCGTTTAAGAACGCATCGATACTCTCTGCAGTGATAACCCTCGCCCTCCCTTGCCCACCCCTATCCTCCACCACGCTCCGAATCCCCACCACACTCGTATGACTCTCCCTCAAATACCAAAACTCCCCTCCCGCACCTCCCCAATCCACCCCCTCCCCAACAATCCTCGCGGCGTCCGTCGCGCCCTTCGTAAACACCACCGCATACTCCTCCGGATCCGCGTTCAAATACCGCAACACCTGCCCACGGACGGCAGTGATGCGTTCTTGTGTCGCGGACGCTGAGGGGCTGCCGGCGGAGTGCGGGTTGCTGAAGGGGAAGGAGAGGAGGTCGCGGGTGTGCTGGGTGAGGATGGAGGAGGGGTAGGGGGTGGCGCCGGCGTGGTCGAGATAGGTGTGAGAGTGGAGATGGGGGTATTCCGTGGGGAGGAGGTGTTCGATGGTGGAGTTGTAGGAGGCGCTGTGGGTGGCGAGGAAGGAGGTTCGGAGGAGGGATTGGGCGGGTGGTTGTGGGGTGGGAGGAGTGGGTTCTGGTGCTTCTGATTGTTCGGAGGAGGTAAACGAGGAGAAGAGCCACTCGAAAGGGTACATTTGGTCGACGGCCGTTTGCACACTCCCCAAGGTGAGTGATCCTTGGCGGGCAACACAAAACTGTCTGTATTCGGGGAACGACCAGCGCCAACCTTCAGAAGAGACCACTTGCCCTGCTGCTGCCTGAGCGAGTCGAAAAACGCAGGAAACTCCGACGGGCGGATGAGAGCTGAAGGAAAAACGGAACACCTCCCGCCTTGTGTCCGATTGCAATGGAGCGCGTGTGACTTGCCGAGTGTGACATCCACCAGACAGACCCCCCCTTCAACCCCCCCTTTCCTCCCTTGCCGCCCCCTTCAAAACCCCTGTCCACAAAAAGGAGGTACATACATAGCTCCCTGCTCGAGGCTTGCGCCTTGCTCTCCTCTCTCTCCCAAAGTCACCCGCCGCAATGTCCGCCCACGGTCCAGCATCCTTCCGTGCCCTCCTGCCCACCTTCCAGATCTACTCGGCAAACACTGGCGTAGGGAAGACCCTCCTCTCTGCTGCAATATGTCGTGCTGCTGTGAAGGCTCCTAGAGCGGACTTTGAGGTGTGTGGACTGTCCTTTAAGAGTGTTGGATTTCTCTAACAGAGTCTAATAATTGGTTTTCGTTTCTTTGGAAGGCAACGTTGTGTGGAAACCGCAAACGCGAGGTGTTCTATATCAAACCCGTGCAGACGGGATACCCGGAGGATTCGGATGCCAGGTGAGGGATGGGTATTGCAGGAGTTGTTAATGAACTCCGTTTCATGCCGGATTGCTTGGCAGCGAAAGATGTGCGGTTACCAATGTCGTTCTTCTGGTTTCGACAGACATGTAAAGCAGTTCTGCCCTGATGTGCATGCGACCACTCTGTTCACGTACAGGGAGCCGGCGGGGCCGCATCTCTGCGCCGAACGTGTATGCACATGCAGTCGCCATCCGCCCTTCCGTCAGGAACCAAAAAAAATAACAAAAATCTCGAATATCCCCGTAGGAAAACCGCCCAATTTCAGACCTGCAACTCCTGGACGCGACAACCGCCGCCCTCAACACCGCCTACACCCACGCACACACCCTCCGCTCCCCCTCCCTCGCCCTCCTCGAAACCGCCGGCGGCGTTACATCCCCCGTCATGTCCGGCACCCCCCAAGCCAGCGCCTTCCGCCCCCTCCGCCTCCCCTCCCTCCTCATCGGCGACGCCCAGCTCGGCGGCATCTCAACCACCCTCTCCTCCTACGAGTCCCTCCTCCTCCGCGGTTACGACATCGCCGCCGTGCTCCTCTTCGATAACCCCAGATATAACAACCACCTCGCCATCCAACGCCAGATCGATGCCGGCGTTCCCTTGCATGTCTTCCCGCCCCCGCCGCCGATGCCCGTGCCGAAGGACGGCAAGGCGCTCTCGAACGAGGAACGGTTGCGGGACTTTACGGATCTGATGGTGTGGTATGAAGGACTTGGCGTGGCGGATGAGGTTGTCCGTGGGTTACTGGCGCACCATTCGCAGAGGTTGGACCGGTTGGAGCATTTGGCGAAACGAGGGGAGGAAAAGGTGTGGTGGCCGTTTACGCAGCATAGGATGGTTAAGGAGACGACGGTGATCGATTCGGCGTATGGGGATAGTTTTGCGTTGTACAACCCGTTGAAGACGCTTTCCGACAACGATGGGGTTGCTACACCCTCACCCGACGCCCCACCTCCCAACACTCCTCAAAGCGGCGCGCTCGAAACACCCTCCCAAGCCCCCACCGCCGGCTCAATCACACCCGCCTACGACGCCTGCGCCTCTTGGTGGACCCAATCCCTCGGCCACGCCCCGCACAGCCTAACCCTCACCGCGGCACACACATCCGCCCGCTACGGCCACGTCATCTTCCCCGAATGCATCCACGAGCCCGCCTACGCCCTCGCGTCCACCCTCCTCCGCACGGTCGGGAAGGGGTGGGGCGAGAGGGTGTTCTATACGGATAATGGGTCCACGGGCGTGGAGGTGGCATTGAAGGCCGCGCAGAAGGTTGTTGAGAAGCGGTTAGAGAAGGTCGGGAAGGGAGACGTGGGTAGGGAGGCAGGACGGAGGAGGGAGATGAAGGTGGTGGGTATGGAGGGCGGGTATCACGGCGACACGATTGGGGCTATGGATGCGGCGAATCCGAATACATATAATGAGGAGATCAACTGGTAATATGCCCTCGCGTCCTCGCTCACCGTACTGACAACATACTCATACCCCCGTTCATTGTTTTTTTCAGGTACAAACCCCGCGGCCTCTGGTTCACCCCCCCAACCATCACCCTCAAAAACGGGCGCTACACCATCCGTCTCCCGCCCTCCCTCTCGGGCACCTCCAACACCTCCGAAACCTTCCCAACCCTCACCTCCCTCTTCGCCCCCACCCGCTCCCCCGCCCTCGCCACCCTCTACGAACACCACATAACCGCCGCTCTCACCCCCTATCTCTCAGCCGGTAACATCATCGGCTCCGTCCTCCTCGAGCCCCTCCTCCTTGGCGCGGGGGGCATGCAGTTCATCGACCCCCTCTTCCAACGCACCCTGCTCTCTACGGTCTCAGCCCTCACGCTCAAACACTACGGCATCCCCACCCCAACCATCTTTGACGAGGTCTTTGTCGGGTTCCACCGGCTCGGTCTCGGCATCGCGTCCCCCGGGGCCCAACTCCTCGGCCAGGTGCCCGATATCGCGGTGTACGCCAAGAATATGAGTGGGGGGATCGTCCCTGTTTCCGCGACGGTTGTGACGGGGGAGGTTTATGAGAGTTTTTTGGGGGAGAGTAAGAAGGAGGCGATGTTGCATGGGCATAGTTATACGGCGGCGGCGGTGGGGTGCGCGGTTGCGGAGAAGGCTTTGGGGGAGTATGAGGGGTTCATAGAAGGGGTGGTGAAGGGCGACGGTGGGGAGTATGGACAGGGCGAGGAGGGGAGACATGTGTTGCCCGAGACGGTGGGGGGTGGTGTGTGGGATGAGGAGGTGAGTTTTTTTGCGACATGGGTGTCTTCATTGACCACCCCGTGGACTTTATTTGTTTATGGGTGCATGAATTCTAACAAACGCTAACCCCTCCTCCCCTCTCCCCTTCCCACACAGTTCATAACAACCCTCTCCCACCATCCGCGCCTCGACGGCGTCCTCTCCCTCGGCTCCGTCCTCATCCTCGAGCTCTCGACCGCCCAAAAAGGTTACAATTCCACCACCTCGTCCACCTTCATCTCCGCATTGCGGTCCAAGGGCGTGTTTGCGCGGCCGTTGGGGAATGTGGTGTATATCATGGCGCCGCATGTTGCTGTTGTTGATGCGAGTGTGAGGAGGGGGGTTAGGAGGGTTGAGGCGGTTTTGAGGGAGGTGTTGGGGGTGTAGAGGTGGATGAAGATCGTGATTGGTTGATGATTCTTGTCTCTATATGGACGCACAGGAAGCACAGGAAGCACAGGAGGCAGGTGTTTGTTTCGCGGCGTAATGCAAGTTCGTTTCAGAAGTGCGATTCGCGTTGGCTTGTTCCCACCGCATGGAGAGATTGTGTGCGATGATGCGAGTTCGAAGACGGGATTCCAAAAAAGAAAAAGCGAGATGCCAAAACACATTGCCGAACGATGAGTTCCCCAAAAGGTGAACATTGTGTGAAATGGTGTGCCAAAAAAACGTGCATCGGGTCGAGACCGCCATGGAACCGCATCCAGGGGGTTCTTGGCATCTGACTTCCAAAGAAGGGGCCCCAACGCATCTGCAAACTGAGGGGCTTCGTTCCCGTTTCATTCTGGCGTCGCCCATGCGATCGAACGCGATTCGAGTGCATCCAGCTGGAGGGATGAACGCCGGAGAACCAAGAGAACCGAACCCAAAGAGAAACAGATGTCCACAAGCTATCGCATTTTAGGCCTTCCGCCCAGCTTTCTTATGCTCCCCAGGGCTGACCAACGGCTTCTCGGAGGCCCACATGCCGCGCCGTGTCGCCCTACAAATGATTCAACCTTTCCATTCAGCACCACCGCCAAGCAAAGCGACCAAACGCAAGGACAACCATCTCAATCATCCCACCCGTCACCCACCTAGCATGCAACTCCGCCTGCTTAAGCTCCTCGTACATTCCATCGTACTCTGCGCCCGTAGCCGTGTAAAGGACCGCCCATCCTGCTCGCAGCATGTCGACGTTCACGTTGCGTCGGAAGGGAGGAAAGAGGGAGCGTGTCCAGACCATTGAGACCTGGTAAATGGGATGTGTGAGCGATGGAATGCGAACGATTATGAATACGGCTATCGCCTGACGCGACCCGCTTGGGCTCGCCATCGCTCGGGCTCAATCCTACATACCAATCGCCCATACTGATCCCTCCTCAACGGCCTAACAAACACCGTCTTCTCCATGACCCTTTGCTCCAGCCACTGTTTAGCTTCCGCAGAGTACGGCTGAGCCTGCTGCCCGAAATGCGCGGCCTCCGGCGCGTCAACCCCCGCCAATCGCACATGAATCGTCTCGTCCTTCAACTCCTTCTGTGTCGCGGGCACACGAAACCTCAGCACGCGATGCCAGAACGGTCGATGGTACAGCCGGAAGTTATCGTTGTCCCGGACGGAGGTGCACTTTCCGGCGAGGGTGCCTTGGCCCGGTGGGAGCGTAGATGATGATGATGGGGAGGGTTTGGGACCGTTGGGCTTGAACCGGTGCAGTACGTCTGGGGTAACGTATTCGGCGGTTTTGTATCGTTTCCAGGTCCGGGGGTGAAGGGCAAAGTAGAGGAGGGGGGTTGTGAGGAGGGCCGTGATGAGGCCCTGGGGCGTTGCGAAGAATGACGGTGATGGCTCCCTTTTCTTGAAGACGGAGGGGACGAGGGAGTCCTTCATGGCCGCCGTTGCAGTCCCTGATGGCTGGAAGTGTGAGCGGTCGTCGTTGGCAGAGTATATCCGAGTGAAGATGTTGGGTCGTCGTGGGAATCGAGCGACGGCAAGAGCGTCCTCGTAGTTGTCGCTCAAGGCTCAATTGTCAAGGGGGCTGCTTTAACAAGACTTCTCGTAGGAACATCGAGCGCCCACAGCCGTTCCTAGAACCTCCTCGACGACAAGCCTACGCCCACCCAAGCCGCTCTGCCTCGCTCTTCCGCAGGTCCTCCTCAGGGTCCTCCTACGCCTTTCCCCCCCTGTGTCGCCGGTCCAACCAGTCCCACGTCGCCGACTTTCACCGCTTGTCCGAAGATTACCACGCGTTTGCTGGAAAACGTCCTGGACATTGAGCAAATGACTCTCCAAAAACTCTCAAACCAACGACAGCGACCGGCACAGGCAATGGAACCAGCTCTAAGCCCACATTCATCCAAAGGAATCCACTCCGTCACCGAAGCAGCAGACCTCTCCCGGCTATGGGTAACCATCACCTCAAACTACCCCGCCATCTTCCCCGCGGAAGACGCAACAGACACCGTCCACGAACAACTTTTGGGCTCCATTAGCAGCGCAAATGTTCTGAAAGGCGTTGCAGAACGAGACGATGCGCGGAGGGTGGTAGCGAGGGTCGTTCAGGAAGCTCAGGGGGATGTTGGGGGGTTTTATGCGCACGAAGGTATGTGGAACAGCACTTCTCCAGCAGGGGTTTTTATCTGATGGTTTTGGTTTTCGATGTGATCAGCGGCACGGCTATCCGATATTCTCCAAACAATGGGTCTCTCGAACGACAGGATATCGAAGACAGGGGAGGCGGATTTAGGTTCCCTGACGTCGCTGGCGATAGCTCTTGGGTTGGGAGACGACGTTGATGTGGCGAGGTACGAACCGAGCTTGTCTTGTAGGGATTTCGAAATCGTCATCTAAGCTCGCAAATCGGACCTCAGCTATCAAACTGGGCTCACATCGCTAGTCCTCGAGGAATTGGCGCTCGACCACGATTTGCAACAGCGGCGCACCACCTTGGAACAACTGGAGAAGCTGAACCGGAGAACTGAGGCAGCCTACTCGGAAGCCCACACGTATGTGCAACGCAGAACGCCTTGATCTTGGTGTCGCCCATCACTAACATCGGCGACATACCAGAACTGTCGCAAACATAGAAACCAACGAAGAACTCGACCGCCAACGAATCCGCGAACAGAAACGCAACGCGCACATGCTTCGCCAAAAGGGAGACGAATACCTCGATCGTCTCCAATCCTACGAGGTAAACCCCCACCCACTTGCCTTGACCCCCAATCTCCCCTAACCTTAAATCTCACCAGCACCGCATTCCCGCAAACGTCGACTCCTACTCCTACGGCGCCCTTGTAGACCTGAAACAAGAAATCGCAGACCTAGCCGCGGAAACAGAGAAGAAAGAAACGGCACTGGACGCGTTGAAGGATTTGCCGCCGGATATTACGTTGGCGAGGTTGAAGCTGGGGGAGCGCAAACGGGATTTGGTGGGTTGCTTCGCTTTCTAGGTGGCATTGTGACATTTGGGTTCTAAGGATACTGACTGATTGGTTCTTTCTCTTGGGGGTGCAGCGGGAATTGATTGATCGGAAACAGGCGATCTTACAGGGGATTGCGGGGTCGCTTGCGTGAGGAGTGGCATGGGTTGAGGTTCGATGACGGCGTACCCCCGATTGAACAACGGCCTGTCAGGTTATCCTCCTCTTCGTCGACTTTGTGCCCGTCGAATTCGTCGAGGATTCGGCGTAGATGAGGACATTTTTGGAAGGCCGTTTGGCTTCCCGAGAGTCTAGATATGGATTTTCAGACGTCGAAATAGAACGCTTCTCTAGGCGTATTCCAAAGACATTGTAAAATTTCAGCTTTGTAACCATTTTGTAATCATTCATTAACGTATCATTATCTCTCTTCAACACTCGCCGCTCCCAAGCTTACTATCTCACCCCACCCCCCTTCCTACTCTCACATCCCGTTCACCTTACCCATCCGACCCATCCAACCCAAGTAAGAAATCAACCCAAAAAGAGTGTCTAATAAAGCGCAAGAAAACAAGCAAACGAACAACATAACATAACAGAGGGCGCGCAAGCCCAGAAACACCATTTCTCTCACACATTCTCACTCTCTTCTATCCCAAAACTGTCTTTGCTTCACTCCCTTTTCGGCTTCACTTTTTTTCTTTTCCTTCTTTACGCGGCGCACCGCATCCAGGTCGTGGGGTGGTGCCTTACCTTGGGCATCTTCGATATTACATGTCGGTTGGTTATACATCGGTTGGCGGGGCTATGTAGTCGGTATGCGGTCGATATGTAACGCGGAGAGGGTATCATGACAGGTGGGGTGGTGCATGTGGTCGAAGGGGTAGGTATCCTGGGGTATCACCCCGTCGTAGCCGAAATTCCGACGCGGAGTATGTACGTGTCCGTCCACAATCGAAACAGCCGCCCAAAAAGCTATGCATCTCTGCGGGAGTGGAGGGTCTCATCAAAACATAGTCTGTTCAACAGACTGCTCTATCCCAATGAGCGCGCCGCCATGCATTTCACCCGGTGTTCCTCCTGTTTTTGTTTTGTGATGATCCATCGAGGTCGTGGAGGTCACAGAGGTCGGAAGCCACAAAGCGCGGGTTGGAAAGTTGAGGTTCGGGTGTGGTGTGCGAGTGAAGGTTCGGCGTTCGGAAAGCAAGAATTGTGCCACATGCAATGAAAAAGGGAAGGAAAGGAAACAAAAGAGAAGGGAGAGGGGGAGGGGAACCGGAATTAGTAGCGCGAGAATCATTTCGCGAGGTGGAACAGGAAAAACGCAAAAGCTCGCGACACCCCTCCAACCATATGGCCATTTCTTTCTTTTCAATAGACTGCGCAGTCCGCCTAGCTTGCTGCAAAGTAATAGGTTACGAGACACTCTCGGCACCCCAACCCTTTTTTCCCGTATTGCTCTCCATCCTCTTCCAGATGCTCTCCCGTACGCTCTCCACACCCATCACACGACCACCCCATACCAACCCATACGACCCATATACGCACCGGTGACATCCACGCATCCTCATAAATCACCCTCCTCCTCTTCCCCGTATCCCCATTCACCGTCTTTCCACCACCCTCCTCCGTGCTTATCGTGGTCGTGGGCGTCGACGGTTTAGGCGCAACCTTGGCAACAATCTTCTTCGCGCTCGTGATTTTCCATGGGTGCGTGTCGAGTGAGAAGCCTGTTGTGGGTGTGCTGGCGGATAGTGGGCGTTTTGTTGTTGTTGTTGTTGTTGTGGTGGTGGTTGGGATGGTTGGGATGGTTGCGTTGGCGGGTTTACCTGGAATTGGGGAAGAGACATGGTTTGCATGTGGTGTCAGAAGATCGATATGTTGGAGGTTGCGATTCCCAAGGTTGGCTCCTGAGCGTATACCGTTAGTTATTCCATTCTGGATTGAAGAAGGTACGTGGCCGTTCCGTTGTTGTTGTGCAGTTATCGTCGCCGCATTGACTCCATCCGCGCTGTCTACAGGCGTAACTCTCTTCACCGTTCCCACAGCATTGCTAACCCCATTCGTCGACAAAGGCGGCGGAGGAGGTGCAGCCCCATTCTTTCCAGCATATCTTGCCAGGAACCTCGGGTTGATGGCTATACGCGGCGCAAGGGGCACGCCCAACTCTTCCGCCGGGCCAGGCCGTGGTCGTTTGCCGCCGCCGAGCGGGTGGTGCGGGACGAGTGCTGATAAGGGCTCTTTGCGTTTGCGGGAGGCGGGGTAGGGAATGTTTTCGGGTAAGAGGGAGGAGAGTTGGGATGGTTGAGGATGGCCGTTGGGAAATGGTACCTGGCCATCCGACCATTCTTGTGGATACGGGTGAGGAGGGTTGGGGGGTCCTTGAACGGTGCCATTTGATACGGGGGATATAACCTAAAATCGCAATTTCAATCAGCTCTGCTGTCCAAATGATCCCTTCAGTGCACACCGAACGTTGAACGTACCATGTCACCCGCCTCATCCTCATCTTCCGTCAAATCAATGACAGACGGCCCATTGGAACCTAAATCTTCTGAATTTGATTGTTTTCCCAGAATCTGTCCTCCCAGTCCTTCTTTCGACCCTCGTCGGACAGCTTCCGATACGCGATGGTACAGAGCCGGATCAACAGCTGCTACGGCGTGCATTCGCGGGTGCACCCGGGATTCCATGGCGGGATACGCACCGCCGGGGAAGTGACCATGGGCGTCTCTTGATTCCGGGTCATATCTAAATGAAAAAGGGAATTGTCAGTTCCACAAGCACGATTTACGTTCCAGATGATCCCCGAATCTTGATCACTCACAATGCGTCGGGTATGGAACTCCTGCGTCCATTCAGTAAATGTCCCGCATCTCTCTCATGTCCAGGATGTCCAGGATGCCACATCGGCGGTCCATAAGGGCGACGACCACCAAGGACGTCACCCGGCCTTCCTCCAATAGACTCAGGCGGCGAAAGTCGACCGTGGGGCGCGAAATGCATATGCGCCGCTTGCAAGTGCTGCTGGCCCGGATGATGGGAATGTGGCCGTAAATGCGCTTCATATGGTGTCATATACGGGTGTCGTTGCGGGGTAAACGCCCTGTGAGGATGGAACGCCGCAGGTGGCGCGGCGCCTGCACCATATGCGCCGGCGGCGCCTGCTGGAGCGGGAAACCTGTAACCGGGCGCTATTCTCGCTGCTTCTACGTAGTTCGGGTAGGCGTGCGTAGGCCCGCCCGCTCGGTAGGCCATGATGGTGGAGAGTTTGCAGGTTCAGATGAGAGGTGTTCAGCGCTGGGATAAAGACAATACGCGGTGGTTGAAATTGGGCGTCACACTCAGGAACTGCTAAAGGCGTACAATATGCTACTCTTCGAATGCGCTGCGAATTGCCTCCGTTATCGCTACTGGTAGTCTGAGAGGCCTGCAGCGAGTAGAAAACAGACACCTGGGGTGAGCGTAGTAAGTGGGGATGCGATGCAGGTTCCTGGGATGGTGTTCATTGGCGCCTCCGCAATCCGCAATAAACAAGCGAAGTGTGACGCCTGTTTAATGGAGGGCACGGGATTGCCGAAATAAACCTTGTGTGGCGCACGGGAGGCTTGGGTGCTTACGTGAGCCGTCGACGGGAAGGTCCTACTGTCTGGAAGTGTGGAAGTGTGAATTATTTAGTACGTACTGTACTTTGCAGTCTTATTATCCGCCAAGCTTGCTTGGCAAAGGCCGTGTGCCGGAGGACCAGTAGATAGAGTTAGAGAGCATAGCCAGAAAGTGTATATTTACTCTTACTTTTGTAGTTGTATAGCCCTCCCTGCGAATTCCCATGTCAACGATAAGGTCAAAGACGCACGACGTCTCCGGCAGGAACCTCGAGGCCTGGAGAGGAATAGTAGATGCTTTCAAACGTCGGAGAAATTCAGCCTCTACAACGAACAAGCACCTAGATACTTTGGTGGCTTTGCTCGACTCGGCGCTGAAGCCGTCCCAGAATGCCGTTGCGCAACTGAGTGCGTTCAGACGAGTAGGAACTTCAATAGGAAAAGCCGCGCAGGATAAGGAAATAACGCAAACCGACCGTCTCGAAGTGTATCGCTTTCTAGACGAATGCGTACTACCAGGGGCTTTGGACCGCCACTTCACGCCGTCCGCCACTACCGAGGCTTCTTTCAGAGGTGCTATCTTTGCCCTCTTCGTCAGGTCGAATGAATATGTGGATCAAACACCCCCCGAGAATCTTGCATCTCGGTGGGATCGCATGTTGGCTCGCTCACGGTTGCAGAATCGATACGGGGAATTCCTTAAGGAGTTCGGTTCGTGCTCAGTGGCGTCCGGGCAAGATCCAACCATCTTGACGGGTTACTGTGCCGTCGTTCTCGCGACACATGAGCGGAATGTCGCCGGAAAAGCGATTTCGCTAGAGACCTACGAGGAAACGCTGGTCGTCCTTGTTACACATCTGAATGAGCTCATTAGGCTCATCAACACAGCGAGCTCGACGTCAGACCAATCCTTCGATGCATCTAATGACCTTCATCTCAATGGCACCCAATCTACCTGTGCGGATCTGTTGAAGACGATTACTGCCCTTCTGTCTCGCTTTTCGGAAGCGGTGCACACGACTATGCAGGGCGGAGCAGGGACGCGAGATGGAAACGAGACGATCCGAAAACTCCTGGATGCTGCTGTAACCATTTGCTTCACGCCAAACTTTTCAAGAGACGCACAGTTCATGGCCGGCTTCCTGATTGCCAGTCTGCTCTACAACACGAGTCCGGTAGGAGCAGTACAAACTCTTTTTGGAACCGGCCTATCTCTTGCGATCCCAGCCCACGCTGCCAACAAGCCGGTTTGGTACGAGGACGAGCGGTGGGACTACTCCACATTATGCATTTTTCGCGGACTCTTGACGACGTTCAATGAGCGCGATATGTTCCTCACCGTACCGAACAGTCAGCAGAACGCGTTGACGTTGATCCTGGAGAAGACCCTACGAGTTTGCGATTCCTCATCTGACGCCGCGACCCGTATCCTGGCCTTCCAGACCCTAGCGGCATGGCTCACCGCCGCTCGCAGCATCCTCGCCGGCAAAACTGCCGACGCAACACAAGATGAATTGACTCAGGTCATCCAACTGATCCATGCGTCCACGTCCGACAAGATCTTCGCCTATGTCTTCAACGGCTGGGAGGACCAATGCGACGCGCTGCAGCATAAACTGAAAGACGTCCTCGACGCCCTGCTTGATTTGCTGCATGTCGGCAGCCTTTCTGAAACAGCAAAACCGCACATCGAACACATGCTGCACGCCCTCCTCAACGCAGACTGGCACCGCAAAGTCAAGTACGATCTCCTCTCCTTGATGCTATCAAAGGTTCGCCCGCACACCATCATCCAACTACGATCCAAATTCTTGGACAACTGCTTCGAAGTCATGACCAACCCCATGCTAGCGAGCCGCGTCACGGCGTTCATCAACAGGTTCCTGAAAGATGCGTTTGCGGATATACCCAAAGACCAGCGGAGGAATCGCCAGGCCAACGAGTTCTGGGTAGCACCCGTCTGTCGCGCGTTGACCAACCAGAACCAGGTCGTCCGCAAATTTTGCAGCGAGAATATGACAACGCTGGTTATGAAGGAAAACCCGGCCTCGTTTCCATTGATCCTCGACACGTTGGAATCCTACCGGCTATCAGATACCTCGACAACGAAAACGTCGTTCAGTTTACACGCAACCATCGCAGTTTCCAAAGCCGCGCGATCCCTCGACCTCATCAAAATCGACGCCTTCCTCGCGGAGAAGGGCGATATGGTCGACCAAGCCATCAGCCACCCGGACCCCAACCTCCGCATCGACGTCCTCGCCCTGCTGTGCGAAGCCCGCCAGCAGACCGCGGATTTCAGCTCAGAGGAATTACGAACACTCCAGCAGTTTCTGCTCATCAGCCTTGACTCGCAGTCACCGGAATTCAGACAACGTGTGCAGACCCATCTTGTTAAATTGTTGCGACGGCTACGACGCGCCATGTATGCGAATTGGAGGGACTACCTCTCCCGGAAAGCCTTCATTGATCACTCTGAGGAAGTCGGTGACTGTCCACCGAACTTATCCGAGATGCGAACAGCGGCAACCGAGCTACTAGCAAAACTAGACATGAAACGAGACTTTGTAAGATGGCTAATCGATACAACCGTCGCCTCCCTCTTCCCCGGCTGCTCCTTCCAGCGCACATCCAGCAACCTCGCCCTCATGTCCACCATCTTCGACTCCGAAGACACCGCCATCGACGTCACCGCGAAAGTCACCCTCGCTGATATGCCGGATTACCCCGTCCTAGGCACCCCCCGCACGGTCCGGGCGCTGATTGGGATCATTTGCAATGACACGTTCACGCCGAATAGGGAGCGTGCGTATGCGCTTTTGGTGAGGTTGCCAAGTCCGCTGCCGGGGTATGAGGATGCTGAGGCGGCGGGGGAGTTGGTGAGGACGGGGGTGGAGTGGGTGGCAAGTGTGAAGTCGCATCAGAGTGATACGGGGGCGATGGTTGTGAAGCTGGTGTTTGAGAAATATGTTAAAGCGCTTGGGTGGAGATTGTCCCTAACACGGGTTGGCGAAATGACGGACACGGGGAGCCACGACCCCACGATTTTCTTCGTCCGGCAGCTCGTGGGATTACTTACGCACAACATCGCTATCGCCAAACGCAACCTGTACCAAAGCGCAACAGCCTACCCAATGCACGGCCTCTTCCGCGCCCTCCACAACATCCTATCCGAGATCCCCTGGGCCTCTCCCACCGTCCATTCCCACACCATCGAGTGGAAATCCCTCGTCGCCGAGATCTGGGAGTTAGTCAGCACCGCATGTGAGGCCGTGCTGGCCATCTGCGCCGACGAGTCACCCGAGGGCAACCTCCCGGCGTCATTTGCGGATATGCAGAAAAATATGGAGGATGTGATTGCGGAGGCCGAAGCGGATGATGAGGAAGAGGAGGAGGGGGACACGAAGAAATCGGATGCGCAGTTGATGCTGTATGCGTGTTTCCATACGATTAAGGAAACGTCGGCGGTTACGCAGGCTGTTGTGTGTCGGGCACCGTTGCCAAAGTCGATGGGTGAGGAGGATAACGCTACGGCGGTGCTTACCTACGATCAGATCGAGTCCGCGGGGAATCTGCTCCGGACATTGTTGGGCTCGATTCGACACAGGGGTGCATTTTCGGCAGTGCACACCTCCTTCGCAAGTCTCTGCGCCACCCTCCTATCCTCCAACCAATCCCAATTGATACACCTACCAGAGGCATGGCTCAAGCATTTCCTCGCGCAGGTCGTCTCAGTCGACACCTCCATAACCCGCCGTTCCGCCGGCCTTCCTCTCGGCGTCCTAGCTGTCATCACCGGCGCCCCACCCACCTCCCGCTCCTCCCTTCTCAAACTCACCTTTGCGCGTCTCTTCGCCATCGCAGCCCAACCAGTCCCCGCCGACGCCAATGAGCGGTTGGATTTACCCCAAGTGCATGCCTTCAACGTGGTCCGCGCCGTGTTGCAGGACGCGACATTAGCACCGGATTCACGACCGTTTCTGGGACAAGCCTTCGAGCTGTGCGTGAACGGGTTCTCGTCCCCGTGTTTCCCCGTCCGCAACTGCGCCGCGATGCTGTTCAGCACCCTCGTCAACAAGATCTTCGGGACCAAAAAAACAAAAGACGAGCAGCATGCCGTGAACGCCCTGACTGCGCGGGAATTCTTCGCGCGGTACCCCGCGTTGCACCCGTTGCTGTTGAGGGAGTTGTCGGCCGCGGCGGAGTTGTTGGAGACGAGGGTTGCGGTGCTGCATCCGGCGTTATACCCGATCCTCATGATCCTCGCGCGGCTGAAACCGTCAGCAGTGGACGACCCGGATGTGCCCACCACGACATCTCTGACGCCGTTCAGACCCGTCGTGGCGCGCTGTGCTGCCGCGACGATCTATAAGGCGCGGGTGATGGCCGCACATGCGTTTGCGCCGCTTGTGCAGTCGGAGACGGTCGTTGGGGTTGTTGAGGGGCTGCTTGCCCCGTTGTCGTCCCCGGCGGGAAGGATTGGACCGGGGCAGCAGAACGCGGTGCATGGCGCGTTGTTGCAGGTACAGGCGGTGATGAGGTTGCATCTTGCGCAGCGGGTTGCGAGGGCTGGGGTGAGGAGGGAGGCGATTGAACGGTTGCCTGTGGTGTTTGGACGGATGAGGGGCGTGGAAACGGGGATGTTCCCGTTGACGAGGGAGTTGTTTACGGGGCTTTTGACGGAGTTTTTCGTGGAGGCTGTGTGGGTTCGTGGTGGTGCCGGTGGGGAGGAGGAGGAGGATTTGTCGAGGATCGCGGATGAGGCTTTTGCTCCCCTACGGCAAGCGTTGCTGGAGTCGGGCCTGCCTACACCTGCGCATGAACTCAGTCATGTACTGTCACCGTTGGACTACGCTATTCGCCGCGCGCAAGCCACCCAGCTGCTCAAACTCCTCACCACCTCACCACGCACCGCATCAAGCACGGCCACGACGACCGCGACTATCATCCGGCTCGTGACTGACGCTGATTATGATGTGCAGCTTGACGCGTTGGGCTTCGTGGCAGAAATCGTAGCGACCAACAATCAGGATATAGGGATAGAAGTTGACCCGCTGGTGATGGCTCTGAAAGGACTGGTATTAAGCAAAGCCCCAGGCCTATACTACCGAGTCCGAACGGAATCCGCCAGCCTCCTCGTACGCTTATTCTCGCGCTACCACGCTGCAACAGCCGACACAGAGTCCTTCGCAACGGCCGTCACGACCGCCCTCTTGCTCCCCTCCTCCTCCACCGCCCCCGCCTCAAACATCACCTCCGCCGAAGCCTACCTCCCCCTCCTCGGCGCCCTGTATGCCCACCTCCCCACACCCACCCCAACCCTAATCCGTATTCTCTCCCACTGGACGCGAGACGACCAGCCCCTTAGCGTGCGGTTGGCTGCGGCCGAGTGTCTAAGACTTATGCGGTTAGCTCATATTGTTGAGGGGGGGAAGGAGGAAAGGGAGGAAAGGCTTGTGGTGGATCTGTTGTTTTTGCTGGAGCGGTTGTTGGAGGATGATGACCCGGATGTGAGGGAGGTGGCCGCGGAGGTTGTCAGTGGGGAGGTTTTGGGGGTGAAGGTATGTTTTGTTGTGATTTGAGTGTATTTGGCGTATTGAGATGTAGGGGCGGTGATTGACTTCAGAATTTTGCAGCAAACGGTGACGGCGGCACGGTGTCGATTGCTGTTGGGACGGTACCTCGCGACCCGCAGCTGGACGCATGCGTCTACGTCCAGTTATGTGGTGGAATGTTTCGCCGGGTTATTGCTAGGGCCTAGTGCGAGTGCGGAGGGGCTGGCTGCGTTTGGTATGTCTGGTCAATGCTTTTCCTGTTTCTCCGGTTTGTTTTCCCCCCGCTTACACCCCTCTTTTAGAATCTGCGATCATTCCACCCGCACAAAACAAGCCTACTAAAGACTCGACCGGTACACCCTCCCCCATCCTCTTCGCGAAAGAAGCCGCCAACCCTCGCCGCGAACCCTTCGTCGACGCCTATATCGCCTTTGGAAGTCTCACCGCCTTCCTGGCGCGCACATCATCGCCACCATTATCGCACCCACCACCCGCGTCCCTCCCATCCTACATCTCCTCCCTCCAATCCATCTTCCACCGCTTCCGCCAACACAATCGGAAAGCAGACCCCCGATTGACATTCGACCATGACGTGTTTGCCGCGTTGGCGCGGTATGTGCTCGCTGTGCGGGTGGTTGCGGCGTGGCGAGGGGAGGAAGCGGATACTCGGGAGGTGGTGGAGATGTTTGAGGGAGGGGAGGTGCATCCGAGTTTGGTGGCTGTAGTGGGGGATTGTAGGGTTACGAGGGAGGTTTGTACGGGGAGTTTGTGAGGTTTGGGAGTCCTTAGGTGAAGCCCAGGATTTAGAGGTTGACTAGTACTCTGGCGTATTTGAGTGTGGTTTTGTTTTGTGATCAAATGCACTAATTCGAATTTGGGACAAAGGGGATTTCTACATCACATATACCGATCAATGAAAGAAACTATACGAGTTTCACGCCGTTCGATCAGGACATCGCCAAGATGGATGCCCACTCTTCGTGCTTCCTTGCAGAGTCCTGCAACTCCTTGCCGCTGTCCGCATCCGCGATGTGTCTTTCTCCAGGTTGCAGTGTTGAAGTCCTAGTCTACGTGCTACATACGTGCTATGGCAAAAAGAGTTTCGGCTAAACGGTGATCGAATTTTGGGTCCGCTGAGCAGGGCCATGAGAATGCCAAGCGGTTCCTTTTGTTTTCGTTTACCGATGGTTTTTATAAGTTACTTTGTCGTCCAAAAAAGGGGAGCCGCCGGTGATTTGCTTCCACCCGCTCACTCATCGGTTCTTCAGCTATTATCGAGAAACAAAAAAAGCTGTAAGGACAAATCCGCCCCATCCACAGCCTTGATTCTCTCAACCCGCAACAAAAGAAAAACGACCGCAGAAAAACACATGATGCAACGCACCTTCTCCAGCACCTCCCTCTGGCCCGCACCCACCCTCCTCCCAAACCACTTCATATTCCTCTCCCGTCTCTCCTCCGTCCCAATCCCACCCTCAGCAGCCTCCATCTTCCGCAACGTATTCTTGACACCGGCGACACGCATCCGCTCAACTAACGCGGCGTTGGCTTTGAGCGCAGCGCGGGCGGATTTGGCTTGCCGTTCGGATTTGCGGAAGTTCAGGGCGTGGGCTGTTGTTGAGGTTTTTTTTGGAGGGGCGGGCTTTTTTTTGGTTATTTTTGAAGAGGTCGGGTTGAGGGAGGGGTCTGGTGGTGGGGCTGGGGCGGAGGCTTTCTTCAGGGAGCGTTTTGTTGAGGTTTCCTTTAAGAGGGTGTCCTGTTGGTGGGTTGGGAATTAGAAATGGAGTTTTAACATGGAGGTGACACTCAACGATATGGGTGGGAGGTGGCCCGGGGATAGCCTGCATCCGGAAACATGGAGGGAGGACTTACCACCGCTTTGCGTAGTTTCTGCGACATGTTGAGTGTTTGCTTGTGTTTGGGGGCGGTAGCGAGAAGGGGAGGGCTTTCCGGAAGGGGCGACGGGAGAAAAGGGAGCGCGGCCTCTCGTAAGCAGCATTCGCATCACACTCCGACCCCCCTCGTTGTCCTGCTGTACTTGCAAGCCCAACCGGGACAGTCGGGCTCCCCAACCTACAACGGGCGATTGGGGGAACTACGGGGCGATTCCGATGGGGAGAGCAGTTATGATCTTCCGGCTCGACGAGCGGCATCCCCAGCGCGACAAGCGGCACCGGTAACCCAACCTACTCCACAAACTAAAGATGTGAACAGAAAACCGCGCCTAGGAGCCAGATTCCTACCATACGACGAAATTATAGAGAAGCCCACAGCCACCATCCGTGGCTTGCCATCAGCCTCAAAGAAGATATCGAACGGTTCCTCTTGTTTGAGGCCTTCATGAAGGAGTCGAAGAGGCAACAGCATCGGCGCCACCCGTATCACCATCATCCACAGCAACTCCCCTGCTCTGTCTTCCGACTCTTATTACATAGCGACAGACGCTATATGCGTTGATATGGACATTTTGATCGGATGGGAGCACTGGGGGAGGGGGACGATGCGGGGACCGTGGGGAGGAGCTTCTATGACCCTTGATAAACATTTTGTATTATACATGTCCTTTTGAATATATTATCATTTTTCCAACCTCTACACCAAGAGTCTGAGTGAATGAAGAGACATAGGCCTACTGAACAAATCGATTCATGGAGTTTTTCCCGCGACATTGATGAGGGTAACTTCAACGCCGTGCATTAGGGTACGTACTCAGTGTATGCAAGGCGGCGGGGAGTGGTATGGGGTTCGTCGTCCCGCAAATCGGCGCGGAGTGCTCAGGATACCGCCGTGAGTCTGCTGGCCAGGACGCATCAGCGCCTTGAGGTTCAGTGGATCCTTTCCCTCAAAGAAAAGGCTTTGGTCTTTCTCGTGACGCCGATGTCGCTTCCTTTTTTCAACACAGCCGCGGGAGATGCTCAATGCCACTGCCCAAGCGTCCAAACAGCATCGGACCGCTGCACCCTGCGGCCTCGACAGCGTCTAGGCATTTGGCTCAGCCTCGCTTCGCTCGGCCTCGCCAAACTTCCGCTCTCGGTCGTTTGACCGTGCTGCAGTCGCCCCTCAGAACACTGCCACTTCTTCACAGCACGTACTCGACGAAGTTGGCCCAGCCTCCAGGAAAGGAAGTTTCAGACTCCTGAGGAGCAGGGATGACCTTAGGGTAAGGTCACCGGGGCTTTCGGACATGACCGCCAAAAACAGCCATCCAAAGTCCTCGGAGCCACGCCAGTGCGAACTGCGACAAATGTAAGCTAATGAAGTCTGGTGTCTCTAGCTAGCCTGGCCCGGCAGGTCTCACGATCAATAACGATTCCCCGCACTCAACCCTGTTCTTGGGGACATGCACATAGTTGATAGGTACTGAAAGCTCGAAGCCGCGCAAACCACATCAGACCCACACATGATGGCAGGGGTTGGGTATCAAGCTTTGATTTTCTCAGGTCCATGTACAGACACTGCTCTGGATAGGGACCTATGCGCTGTCCGGGGAAGCAGACATAGAGATCCAAGTCGCAGTTGAGGATAATCTAGGAAATGCACTGCCATACTACACGTACATACATTTAAAGGTAGGTCTTCCAAGCTGGACGATGGTAGGCGCGTCCGAAATGTCCGAATAGGCCCTCTCCGCTCCTCAGTCCTCGCACCCCAGTCGCACCCTTCAATCTGGACTGAGGCGTTGACCCCGTTGACCCTGGTGCAATCCCTAGCATCGTCGGGCCAGCTCCAGCACGCACGTACATACATATAGACACCCATAGGTGCCCTCTGCTCCTTGGTATAGCGCCATGACGGACCAGGACATAGTGAACACGTTCTTACGATCGGTCAACAATGGCTCCTTCACCACGTCCTCTTTCTTTCAGCATTTACAGGATTCTATTCCCCTTTCTGATCTATACGAGAAGTCCTTCAACCACTGGATAAGCGTGCTCGACAGATGGATCAAAACTATGGCACCGACCACAACGCGCATTAAGGTACGTCCACTCTTCTGGTCTGAGGATTCGACTGTTCCGTTGGGCAATGGGTGAGGAGCAGCCTTCGAGAGCTTCGTCCTGCTCGAAGGTGATGAGCTTCGTCCTGCGCTCCTCACTCAATGCCGGAACAGGCAGAGTAGGCTGAAAAGAGAGTGCAGCCTTCGAGAGCTTCGTCCTGCTCGAAGGTGATGAGCTTCGTCCTGCGCGCTCTCTTCGAAGCCATTTCTGCGGAATCCTAAATCAGATCGAATCGGTGAAAGTGAAACCCTCCTTCGTCTCTTTTTTGTTCCTTCCCGCCTCTTATACAGGATGGCGATGCGGCGCAATTCGCCAAGGACAGGAAGGCGTTCGAAGTTTCCGTAAAGATCGCACAGATGCCGGAAGTGCTAGACCAATATGAAGAAATCACACCAGCAGCACGGACTGTACATGCCAATGATCTGAAGCGGCGGATCGAAAGATTGGGGGCACAACATGGGAGAGAAAACCAGAAAAGGCCGCGAGGAGAATCTACCCATGAAACACCAAATGCTGCACCACTTCCGCCGTACGTAGAGCAGGAAGAAAGCAATGACGCAGATATACCTGGCTTACGAGAGATGTTGAATGGGGGAGACGTGGAATGCGCCGACGACGTAAGTTAACGAGGAGAACATGACCGTGGTCGAGGACCGGATATTTCGAATTCCGGCAATGATTGACCTTTGGCACCTACGCAGCTGAGGATTGGAGAACGTAGTTTGAACGTATCACATATCATCAGGAGTGTTGTCCGCGATATACTTCTTGATGAACAAGTTCCCCTTGAGGCACAGGTGTTCTCACAGTACAAAGTACTAAGAGCCATGTAAGATCTAACAAATTCGCAACAGCACTAATGGGACAGTATCCGATCCAGGTAAGATTGCTGACATGTCTCTTAGCTCTCTCCGCAAAGGACTCGTATTGCAGAAGGTTCGCCCTGGGCCGTACAGTCGTTATATCACCCACAACGACTGGGCGCATCTTTACGAAGCTGTAACCCAAGGGGACACTCTTTGGGCGGCGACTGCTCGTCCCGCATCCTCAGCTCTGGCGTCGGCGAGCAGCCTGCTAGAGACCTCCATTCTCGCCGGCGATGAGGACGAAAGCCCCGAATTTCGGGATATCGCACGGGACTATCGACAGTGTTTGGAGACGTTGTGAGTGCCGGCTTTGCTTGAATCTCCGTCCCTCAGGTCGTATTCTCAGATGGTCGAGGCAGATACCCCCATCTATCGGTAGATGCGCCTGGTCCAGAAAGCGAGGCAAGCTTTACTGCCAAATTCTGCAGCCCGCACTTCAATCGCCTCGCAAAAAAAATTTGGCGGATCCAATAGTAGGGCTTGCATCATTTTCTGTTACGGTGAAGTATGGTTTGAAACCGACTAGAAGATGTGGTTCTGCCGCCCCTTGCAGTGACAGCACGATGAACGGGCGAGCTCGACCAGATATCACTCTGTCTGCGCAAGGTCGACCTCTCTGGCTTGGCGAGCTGAAATCACCTTATGCCTCGAATCACCTCCGCCGCCTCGAACTCGCCGACGGCCTACTCCGTGCTTTGGAACATCTGAAAAAAGATGTAGCAAAGTACGATTGGGGCGATGACATTCCTAGTCTGATGACTTGCATAGCACCGGGTGCGTTCCCCCGGACTCAATGTTCTGATGACCCTTAGTTCCGCCTCGTCTCACCTTCAGCTGCCCGCCATTTTTCGGTCCTGACGTGTTTTGCAGACGGCTTGACGTTCTATCTCTACCGGATCGAGATTCGCTATCCTGTCTACCTGTTCGTCCAAATCGGCATGATTCCCATTGCAAATTCTCTCGAGAACATCGCGAATCTTCCACGGTGCCTCATGGCGGTTGACGAGTTGAAGGTATGAAGGAAACATTCTCATCGGCGTCGCCATACCGGCATATATGCTGATGAAACCATCACCGATACCAAAACCAAATAGAAAATGCTGGAAACCCACTGGACCAAGATTGAAAAGCATCGACACCGCCACGCATTCGAAACCCGCGCTGCGGTACCGCTCACCCCTAACAATGTGAAGCTGCTCGCGGCGCTGCGGACGGTATATCCCGAAGCGGTCTCTCCAATGAAGTTGGTACGAAAACCATCGAAAAAGAAGCTGAAAGACGGAAAGGACAGTGAGGAGCAGGAGGAGGAGTAAACCAGGTTTGGAAGGGGCGTACATTTTGGATGCGAGGACATAAGTGAGGACACGGAATGATCAGGCGTAGAAGGAAACAAACGGCGTGAAAATATGGATGTATATGAGCCAAGCCCGAGGGACGAAGCAGGGTATGATTGACCTTTGGATAGCGCTATATAATACACCTATACACCTATACACAGGTGTGCAAGGTTTACGAAGCAGCTGTACACGCAATCTTCTTGTTGAACATAACGGGGACCTTCCTTTGGGAGGGAGGATGCAACGGGCGAAGGCAGGACGGAAACGGAGGAAAGCGACAGCGCGTTTCCGACATGTCGAAATCCCGTGGGGTGGATTCGAGAGCCGGATGGTCTCGCAGTTCTCTTTCGGCGCGTCCTATCTAATAATCGAATATTCCTCGCCGGATTGATAGAGCATTCTTAGGCGACCTCCATCTACATCCGCCTCCTAAAAATGTGGCTGAAGCGCAGACTGAGAGTTATTGAACTTCGAGACTATGGACCGTTTAGCGCTGGCTCAGGCGCGCCGATGCTTTGGCTTCGGCAGCAGCGGATCTCGTTCCTCCCAAGTGACGAACGCTTAAGTTCCTTCCGCGCGAAATAACTTACAGTTAGGGTTACATGCACGAGTTAGGGTTGCTGCACACACAGCTCAAAAGCCAACAAGCGTTCGTTGGTTTGGAATACGGTATATTTGTTCCAAGCCCATAAAATGTACGAGAATCCATATCCGCACGCTCGAACCCTACTCAGCGCCAGGTGCTAAAAACCACCTAACCATATGTAAAACACATGAAGCCCTCGGCTCCTGAATTGTCGTCCATTTCGATGCCCATAATGGCTCGGAACCAATTGAAGGCAGGGCGGCTCAAAGGGGACATGGCTATAGAAAGCATCGACGGAACACCACAGAGGCATCACAAAGTTAATCATACATTCTTTTTCTCTAGACCTTTTGTTTCTTGGGTTCACCGGTAGGCTGACGTGAAAGATGTCGAGTAAGTCCTCCCATACATGCTCGGTATCGTTTGCCGGGAGTCCATACCTCAGGAACAGGATTTCCAAATCGTTCCGCGCGTTTCCTCTTCTTCTCTTCCTCTTCTGCTTTGGCAATGAGTTTAGGGAGATCTTCATTCACGATTCCGAATTTCTCTTGACGCTTTTTGAGCACTGCCGGGTCGAGCTGGGAAACGGACGCGCAATGGCTATTTGATGAGTGCTCCAACAATGGCCTCAAGATACGCGTTTGCTACAGATGTGCATACCTTAACCGGTGGTAGTGCCGCAGCTGGAGCCTGAGCCTTGGAGCCTGATGCTGGCCTAGCGGGTTTCGCAACCTCTTTGGCAGGTTTCGCAGCGGCAGCTTGCTTTGGTCCTGCCGTCGTTGTCGTCTTTGCGTCTGCAGGGGCAGCCGGTTCGACAGGTATTCCAAATCGCTTTGCCCTAGCTATTCGCCGCTCTTCTTCCGTCATTGCAGCCTGCCAAAGATAGGAGGATGTTGAGCGCGATGAATACTTTCATGATTACGCCTCGGGGCACTCTTCCACGGACTTACCTTATCACCAGCTGGTGGCGCGTGTTGCCCGTCCGGACCCGTGATAGTTGGCGCGCCCGTGGGGGATTTGGCCGAAAGAGGCGTGGCAGTAGTCATCGTTGGCATCCGGATAGAGTCACTCTTGACGGGAGTGTTACTGATCTTGGAAGATGCGGTGGTTGTGGTGGTAGTAGTCCCAGATGGTGCTGTGGAACCCCCACTCGATTTCGCGAGGTGCTCCAAAAGTCGGGCGAGGAGATCTTCCTTCCTTCCAGTTGTGGGGAGGTTGAACTTTGCCAGCTCTGAGTGAGGAGTTGATTGTGGATAAGGACGTCCGAACGGAGGAAAAGAACGCGGAGCCTGAGAGTGAATCGTGAGGACTCTGCATACCTGTCTTTAGTTCGGGCACCCGCAGTTTCTTTGCGGCAGCTTCTGTGATATCTGTCATAGTCTATATATATACACGATAATGGGACGGGGGGGAAGTATCTGTGAGGGTGCTTGTCCCTAGAGACTTATGTATGGGTGAGACCGATAGGGGGTGGTGGGGGGGGTCGGTTTCCTGAGGGAGCGATCTTGGACAGGGGTCTTCTGGTCTTTGTGCGAACAGACGGTCTCGAATCCCACTGGACCCTGCGAGTCAGCAAGTGTTGTGGAACTCGTTACTTTAATTCTCCTTCACATACACCACTCGTTTTATAGACATTCGAACGGACGGTCTGCACACACCAGCTTTCTATCTGCGGGAGCTGTGCTGAATATAACACTCCCTCTCAGACTGCAGATCGAATTCAGTCGCAGTGGCAGTCGCGGTCGCATTGCATTCTGATCGTTTCGCTCTCAACTTCGCGATCGCTAGAGACAGCCCGGAATAGGGGCAGCCTCGCGGTTGGCTACGCTATCAACTTCCGCTATCGCTCGAGACAGCCCGGAATAGGTGCAGCCTCGCGATTCGCTCTTCACGTCACGATCGCTTGAGACAGCCCGGAATAGGGGCAGCCTCGCGATACGCTATCAACTTCCGCGACCGCTTCGCCGTCGTAGTCGTGGATGCCTCGGTAAAAAACCTCTCCCAGTCATAAAAACCTCCGTGAGGAAAAAATAGATCCTGGGAGTAGGAAAAGATGCGCATCGTCGTATCAGGCAACATCGGCTGTTCGGCGCAATCCTAGAGCGTGAACAAACTTCCAGTGTTTGTTTTCATCTAGGGATTTGGTAAATATATCCGCAACGTTGTCGTGCGTATTGATCTGAGTGACATTAATCGTTTTCGCATTCTCTTGACGGATGTAGGCATAAACCTTGGGCTCGATGTGCTTGGTTCTATCGCCTTTAATGAAGCCGTGGGCGATTTGGATGATGCATGTGGAGTTATCCTCGAATATCGTTGTTACGTTCATGGCAGGTGTTGCCTCTTCTCGTCGTAGATTCCACATGGTTGATCATCATCCGTAACCAAATGGCTTCCCGGGTTGCTTCATGTAGGGCGATGGTTCAGCGTGGTCTGAGGATGTTGCGACGACGGGTTGTTTCGTGGATCGGTGACATATTGCGGTTCCGCCGTGAAGAAAAACGTATCCAGTTTGCAATTTTGCGGTATGTGGATCTGAGAGGTATCCGGCGTCGGAGTAGCCAACCAAAGCCTTGTTCTCCTTTTTCTCGTAGAATAGACCGAGGTCGCTGGTTCCTTTTAGATACCGCAGAATGTTTTCACACCCATCCAGTGTCGTTGTGTCGGTTCTTTCGTCGAGCGGGCAAGACAGTGGACGGCGAAGGATATATCTGGACGCGTGCAGTTGGCAAGGTACATCAACGCTCCTATGGCGGCGGCATACGGTGTATCGGCATCTAGGACAGCCTCATCGTCATCTTTTGGTCGATATATATCCTTCTCGCATGTTGTACTTCGTTGAGGTAAGCGCGTTTTGCGCGGATGAGCGTTTTCCATGCCGAATCGTTTAATGATATTGTTCGTATATCCCGTTTGATGTAGAAGAATACCGTGTTGGGTGTGAAGGAGCTCTAACCCGAGGCAGTATGCAAGAACGATTACTAGCACCTAGCATCAACAGTCAACGAGCTTGGTCAACCAGCTTGTACAGCAGACTCCATGCGGCATTTTGGGGGTGGCATTCTGACGCCGCACCGGACATCCCCACTGTCGTGCGTCGCCTTCAGAGTCGATTTGATCGCATCGCGTCGGGCCGCTAACTGATTAAGAGGGAGGTTGATGACGCTGGCGCTTCAAACGCCAACGGCATTATAGAAAAAGGAAGTATGCACAGTACGTAGTACTATCCAGCATGCCATGACGCGCATGCCGCTTGTTCCCAGAGGAGTGGAGCGATCTTCTGCGTAGGGGTATGATTTCCACATGCAAGGGGGTCACAGGCCCGAACCCGTATAATCCCATTGCTCATGGTGTCGGTAGTAGACGCGTGGTGTCAAGGCGTCTGCTTTTTCCTTCTCCTTTGCTAAGGAGGAAGCGGATGAACAAGATGATTAGCCCGTGAGCCCTTGGACGAGGAACAGGCATCGGATGTGGGTCTTGATTTGGGAGACGAGGTGGATGGGGCGGGAGGAGAGGCAGGTTCCAGTGCAAGTGGAAGACGAGGAGGAGGAAGACGATATGTTTGCGTAGATTTGTGTGTGTTATATGCGGGCTTTCTTTGCGCGCTTTTGGAGTTTTGGATTTCGCGGGAGGGGATTGTGTATGGTACAGTTGAGTGGGTTCGAAGGCGTTGGAGCACCGCCACCCGGTAGAGATCTTCGAAAAGGTCTACTGACCGTGCGCTCGGCACCCGCTGTACTGCATCACGCATTCACCAAAAATTTAGACCATATCACGCACATCGTGTTTGAGCGTCGTAGAGGGGCAAACAGGCCTCCTCGATAGCGTCGCTGGGTCCTTCGATGCATTCATCTTGCGTGCGATAAAATATTGGGGGGCGGGAGGGAGGCGGGAGAACGTGTGCAAACTCCGGTCCAGCGCGGAAGAGAGCGTAGATGTAAATGCTGGGATGGGGAGGGACATCAAAAGCGGAAATGCCTAATTGGGTTATAATAATGAACAAGGGGAAAAAAGAAAATGTACTGTAAATAATGTGGGGGAATGGCAGGTTCAAACGTAAGTGTGGGGAACACCGCCTGGTGTCCAATTGGGGCGGACGGCCCAGGCGTGTTACTTGATGTGTCCTCTCGCATTGGGGGGGGGGGGGGGGATAGGGGGATAGGGGGAGGCGAGATTTGCGTGCGTGCCATGGATGGTTCGTGTTGCGTTTCCGGAGCTCGCTTTGCTCAGTGGGAACGAGAATGTCCAGGTGGGAGTGGGGATCCCCCGCACGCAGTGCCCATGCCCAACCCAGATCGCGCGTCGGCAGCCACGCTCAACGTGGCCTAATATATCCTTCCCATCTTTGCCTTCATTCCTCCCCATCACTCTCCCCACCCGCACTGCCCCCACTCTCACTCCCACTAGTCTCATCAAAAACGCCCATCTGCTCCAACTGCGAGTGGATCTCCTCATTATCTAAAACAAAGAAAACATGCCCATCCCATCAGTTAGTTGAATGAAGGGGGGCAAAAGACGAGGGGATTGTTCTTGAAAACGTACCAGGATCCAACTCAAAAGCTCTCCGAAGACAAACCACCGCCTCGTGGAACAGCTCCATCGTCTTTGATTCGTCGGATTCGAGGTTGGTGCGGAGGAGGAGGGTTTGGGCCAACTAAACCAAAAAAAAATAAAGTCAACAACCCACGGAAAAAAAACACACCTCGGTGATGATTCATTGTTTTTTTTTGAGAACTTACGAGATGCAGTTCAGGCACGACGTGTTTCCCGGCCTCCAGTTTGGCGTTCTCGCAGATTTTGATGGCGACGCGGAGGGCTGTTTCGGCTTCGTGCACCATCTCCAATGTCTCTCTTCTCTGCTCCTTCTTCCCATCCTTCTCCCCTTTCTTCCCGTCCTTCTTGTCACCCTCCGTTTCGGACTCGGGTTCCTCGTCCTCATCCTCGTCCTCGTCGAGTTGCGCAGCCTGCTCGGCCGCAAGGTAATACAAACAAGCGCCGCGTGCCTCGAGGGCCTCAATGTGGAAGGACGTTGCTTGCGGGTGGGCGGATTGGGCTTCGTTGAGGTAGTGCAGGGCTGTTGTGAAGGTTTTTGTGAAGCGGGTTGAGTCTGGAAAAACCAAAGAACGAAATGAGGTTTGAGATTTGCGTTGCAATGGGCAGGAATTGGGACATGGAGAACTAACGGCGATCTAGACCGGCGACGTAGCGTTCGCGTTGCAGTTGAGCGTGGCCACGGAAGAGGAGGGCGGCGGAGACGCATTGCACTACGAAGGCGTCCTTGTCGCGGGATACCAGTGCCAGGCCCTATACTCGAAGTCGTGAGTGGGGAATTGGGGTTGCCTTTTTGCGATATCAAGCCATACCTTGTCGACAGCAGTCTTGGCTTCTGCAATCAGCGTGTCCTCCGTTTCAAAGGACAACAGTTTCCGGCCTGCACTCGGCTTCCCCGCCGCATTACCACCGCCCCTCTTGTCCTCCTCATCGCTATCATCGCTATCATCGCTCTCAGCCTCCTCATCTGCATCGGCCATTGTCTCATACCGATTCCTCAACAGCTCCATCTTTGCCCTCGCCAGGCCAAACAACGCGGCGCCAGCGCCCCACGAGCCCCTCGCCGCCGTGCCCTGATCCGTCTCCAGAAACGCCACACACTCGGAAAACAGATCCACGCTGCGTTCAATGTACTCTGGTAACGGGAAAAACGATCCGAAATCAAGGAGACAGGACCCGAACATGAGCTTCCCGCCAAGCTCACGGGTATCGGTTGGGCTCCCCGTGGAGAAATCGAATGCGGGTTTTTCGGTACGGGGTGTGGTGGCGGGGACGCGGGTCTCGGCTTCGAATTTGTCGATGGCTAGTTCGAAGAGCTTGATGACGACTTTGCGGCGGCCTTGGAGGTCGTCTTCATCATCATTCAATTGTTCGTCCTTTCCGCCGCCGTCTTCTGTTGTTGTTGGAAATGTTGCAGATGTTCCATTCGCGGCGGTGGCGCCAGCGCCAGCACTTTCGTTCCCGGCGGAATTGGTCGCCGCTTTTTTCTTCCGCTCCCTCTCTTTGATATCCGCCCTCCGGTTCTCTAGGTCCTCCCGTTCCTGCAGGGCCATGCGATACAGCTGAGCAGCGGACGGATCGCTTTGTGAAGCTGTGGCCGTTGAGGCGTCGTCACCACCTTCGTTACCGTCAGCGTTGTCCGGGGTGGCGGTGAAAGTGATGACCACCTCGCCGGCGGAACATCCGCGGCAGTTGGGATCGTCTGTGCATGTGACGTGGTGTTCGATATGACGATGTTTGGCTTTTTTGGAAGGCGTGGAGGTGGAGGTGGCAGCTGTGGAGGTGGTGGATGGAGAGGCGGAACGTTCGGTCTCCTGGGGCCGTTTCTTTGAGGTTGACGTTGCAGTGGAGTCCATTTTCGACAAAATTCTCGGGAGTGTGGGAGTGTAACAAACGGGGTGGCTGGGTTGAGTATAGTTCCAAGACGGGGGCCAGAGACAGGAGGATCTATGTACTGTATCTATGGTGTGCGTCCGAGTGGGGATCTAGGAGAGTGCGTCTCCGACGACGCTCAGTGTTCGTCGTCAGTGGGGCAGTGGGAGTTGGGGAGGGCAGCGTGGATTGCAAACACGGGTAGCGTCGTTAGCAATTCCCTATTAGAACTCGCACAATTCCATCCCCCTTCTCCCCTCTCCCCACCACTCCCTACATGCCCACCATCCGCCCAACCTACACTCTCCTCGCTCTGCTCGCCTGCACAGTCTTCCTCCTCACCCTCGCAGCATTCTCCCAAAACTCCTCCGCCCTCTCTGCCCGCTCCTCGTCCTTCGCTCTCACCAACAACATCCCAAATGTTCCAAATGCCGCTAAAAAGCAGGGCACGGTGTCGTCGGGGAGGATAGGGGCAGGACAGTTGCAGGCAGTGAGAAAGCCGGGGGCGGTTATTATGAGCATGATGGGGAATGAGACATTGAAGTGAGTATCTCACGTCCATATGCGTTTCGGTTGTTGGAACACCTTTTTTTCCCACGGCGGGTGGAATTGTCAACCTGGCACGATCATATATAGGGTGAATAGACAACTGATGCAGCTTCATCGCAATAGGGCCGAACTAGGCCGAGCAGCATGGCGCGTGCTACACACCATGGCCGGCAAGTTTCCCGAAGAGCCCACCGAGGACGAGCAGACCGCCATGCGCGATTATATATATCTGTTTGCGAGGTTATACCCCTGTGGCGACTGGTGCGTTCCCACCTCCCATCCCATAATTCTTATCCCTGTCTTCGTTCATCATCTCACGAAATCTGATAAACTGATTCATTCCAGCGCCCGCCACTTTGCCCAAATCCTCACCGCCCTCCCGCCCGACGTCACCTCGCGCGCGACCATATCGCAATGGGCATGTGAGGCGCATAATAAGGTTAATGAGCGGTTGAGAAAGGCGGTGTTTGATTGTACGAGGGTGAATGAGGAGTGGAAGTGTGGGTGTGCGGAGGAGTTGGGTGGTGCTGGGGATGGGAAGACGACGACGGTGGTGCAGAGTGGTGGGAAGGAGAAGGATGCGGTAAAGCCCCCCGGTTGACGATTGAGACACTTTTTATCTTTGAAAGGACCCTTTATAGATAGAATCACAGACACTTTTTCTTTTTTTTGGAATAGAGGCAGGATTAGACTCGTCCGTTCTTCGGACCGCTATACTATAGAGGGCATTTGGCGAGCTGATGCATTGCATATGAAAAACGTTGCCATAATTATAAAAATGTACAAAACCCAGCAATGGGAAAGAAACTGTGGAGTAGGCCAAAGCCGTCTCCAGTTTCGAATTACAGTGACTCGTATCACATATCAGGTGCTTCCAACGCACAACCACCCATCTCGGAACCTACAACGCAGTTCCCCTCTCGAAATTCGCCTTAATCTCCGCCGTATACTTATCATAAGCGCGCGAGATCTTCTTGTTGAAATGCATATTCCGCTCGTTGATGTACGTAACGTCGTCGTCCTCGTTGAATTCGCGGCGGCGGGAGAAGGTTGCTCTTTTCTCGTTCCTAAAAAGGATTGTAAAAAAGAAGGGTCAGTCCCACTCAAAGATTTCCAACACCCAAAGAATACGTATGAAAACCCCAAAACGTAACTGCTTCTTCAAATCCGCCACAACCCTCTGCACCCCCTGAGAACTGGTCTTGACCTCCGGGTTGGCGTACGCGAGGGAGTTGGCGTCCGGGAAGAAGGCGTTGTCGCCGGCTGCGTCGATGTGGGCGTGGGCTTTTTGGTCGGTGTAGGTGTCGAGATTGGGTTTGAGGGAGCGGATAAGGTTGTTGTATTTGCGGGCTTGGACTTGGGCGTGGTCTTTTGATTTATGAGAGAGAGAGGTGAGTTACAAGTATGGACGGTGAAGAAGGGGACGGAGCGTTATTTAAGAATGTACCTGTGAACCCTTTATCGGCATTCTCCTCCTTCTCCCTCTCTTTCTCCTCCCACCGCTCGACATCCTCTATCGAGTAGTTCATCGACCGTAGGCGCTCGTAATCTTGCCCGCCCAAATCTGCCGTCTATCGTCAAGAAGGGGTTAGAATCAGGTTCCCTTGCCAATCTGCCATTTGATTCTGGACGAACCTCCTTGGCAAGTAACGTCGCCGCTTTATCCCGCTTGCGTTCCTGCCGTATCGCTTCCTTGGGGTTCTCCTGCTTCTTTCGGAACTCGGCTTTCACGTCTTCCCTATTCGCCTTCTGGGACTCGCTCTACAAAACCCACCAGTCGTATCAGAACCCATTCGCGAAAAACCGTTGATGCAACTAATGATGAAGGGGCTACACACCCTTAATTTCTTAAGATCCTGCAACTTCTTCATCCGTTCCGCCAACTTCTCCTTCGCCGACTGCTCGCCCTTCTCCGTTACCACTTCCCCAACAGGAACCTTCTCCACCGTCACCGTCTCGACCGTAACCGCTACAGTCTTCCCCTCCGGCAACGCACCCTCCTCCCTGCGCACCTTCTTCGTCACTTTCCGCCCACCGCGTTCCTCGACGCTTTCTTCGGTGACTGCTAGTGTTGTCGATTCGTCGGCGGCAGGGCGGCCGCGCTTGCCTCTCGCTGGTGCTTTTGCAGTGGATGCAACCTCTATAGGCTGTGAGGCAACGACATCCTGGCTAGCCGAACCTTTTCGCCGCTTTGACGCTCTTGTTGATGATGCCCGTTCTTCTTCTACTTCCTCCGACTGTGAGCGATCACCAGTCTCCTCCGGTGGTGGTATTGGTACTGGCGTTTCTATTTCTTCTTCTTGTTTTGCGGGTGCGGCCGCTTTTTTGCGGGATTTAGCGGGGGCTGCTCCTGCCTTACGTTTCTTAGGTGGCATTCTTGCGTTATTTGGTGAGGTAGGGATGGGATGTGGGTTTGTGGTGGAATGCAAATGCAGAATGTCACCAGAATGCGATTCTGTCTGTGCAGGAACTCTGGCAGGGCTTCCGCGCGAGAGGACGTGCGAAATACTGTAACTTACAGTTAGGGTTACATGCGAAAAGATTCAGAAAGTCCACGCCAGTCTTCCCTGGAGGCGGCAACGACATTGCAGCCGGGACACTCGCAGAGAGCAGGAGACAAGGGAAACCATGGAGGACCTCTTGGCGAGACACCGGAAGGACTCAAGGACTTGAATGGGAAGATTACTACCTTAAAGAAGTCAGTTGGAGGCAACAAGCAGAAGGTACTACTCCCGTCCATTGTTTTGCGGGGATAGCACACCTTGCATCAGTTTAAGGGCATCTCTAAAGAATTGGTGTCAATCGGTCATTCCAACAGAAAAAGGAAGTTCAGGTGCAGGTGGCACTACTGGAAAAGGAGTTGGACGATAGACATACAAACGAGAAAAAGGATCTCGAACAGAAGGCGGCACAGGCCACCGTCACGGCCGCTGGAGCTGACACTGCGGAAGAGGTACAGCGTTCCTGTGTTGCAGAACGCTTGTGGGAGAGGGGCTGCTGACCAGTTCCCGGCAAAAGGTTGACAGGCCTGGAGAAGACGCAGCAGAAGACTTGAGAGGGAGAGGACAGCTCAACCCCTGGTACACCACAAGAGCGGAAGCGCAAGCCGAACAAAGCGCAATTACGAAAGGTACAACATTGGCATTTTCAGTTGCGTTTTCATTTGAGAAAGACATCTCACCCTCAATCCTGTAGCAACGGAAAGCAGCAGAGTTCGACGCGATTCGGCGGCAGGCGGCACAAGAGGCGAAGAATTCCGTGAATCATAAGGAGATTGAAGAAAATGCTATTGCAAACATGTTGGGACCTATGAATTTGAGAATAAAGCAGATTCCGCCTGATGGACATTGGTACGGATCTGTGAAGGTTCACATGGGGTCTAGAGGGAAACAGGCCGCGATACTTATACCGCTTTTTTTAGCATGTACAATGCGATCGTGGATCAGCTGGCGGCAAAAGGTGCGGCGGACGGAAAGGTGCGTTTCTGCTCGCGTTTCCGGGTGATGCGGTGATCGAACTTCTCACACGCTATTGAATCACAGACATATAAGGACCTGAGAAGGATAGCAGCGGACTTCCTACGAGGTCATCCAGATGACTTCCTCCCCTTCTTGTGACCAACGCTGGCGATATGTTCACACTGGAGGATTACACAGCTTACTGTGATGAGGTGGAGAACACGGCAGCGTGGGGTGGGCAGACTGAGGTACTGGCACTGAGGGATGGGTGATGAGCGATGGTTAATGGTTGAAGGCGCTGCTCACCCTTCCAATGTTTGCAGCTGCAAGCAATCTCATGCGCGTTGGAAATGCCGATACATGTGGTCCAAATGGGAACGCCCGTGTTGAAGATTGGAGAGGACTTGGATGCTGAGCCATTATTTGTTTCGTGAGTGCTTGGAGGAGGGATTGCAACGTGTGACCCCTTGATGGAATGCTGACGCAACCACCATCCCGTGTTCACAGATATCATCGACATGCATACGGCCTGGGAGAGCATTACAATTCCCTTTTGCCGACAGACACTCGAGGATGACCACGCTTTGTGAACATGGCTAAGGATGACTACGTTTCGACTAGATTCCAGGCGTCAGTGTTCCGTGCTGGTAACTTATATTCGATAGAGATAGAGAGATTCGATAACCGCCCTGACTGTACTGCACACAAGGCACACACTTCAATGACTTGTTCGTAGTGAGCCGAGGGTGGGGCGTTACTTGAGGGAAGGGGATGATGATGGCGCGCGCTGGAAGTCCCTACCCGTGCCAAAGGTCTCGTATCATTCTCGACCCGGTACTTCCCGCGCTGCGTGGTGCCCACTGCCGGACAGTCCAACGCACACGACACTCCAACGCACTTTTCATTGTGGATTTCTTAAACGACACCTTGCCATCACTCGCTTGAGGCTGACTGCATTGGGGCGGCCTCGCAGTGGTTTGACTGCATTGAAAGGAGGACCTTATGTAATAGGGTTACGGTTAGGGTTAGGGTTAGGATTTTGTTGTTCTTAGAAAAGTGCGTTGGAGTGTCGTGTACGTTGGACTGTCCGGCACTCTCTGGAAGAGAGTGCCGCCGGAGCGCCGTCGGCGCGACTGCGGGCGAGTATGATACGAGACCTTGGCACGAGTAGTCAGTGAACGACAGCGACTGGTATCAAACATTCAAAGGGCGGAGACACCAGAATGCCCTTGCGAGCATTGTACGGAATGGAGGCTCGCGCGCATTGTACGCAATGGAAGTGAGACATGGGGAACTCGGACCGTCAAGAAGGCGGCAACTGGCCTCAAGAGGATCGGCTGGATCTCCGCAGACTTCCGCAGGTCCAAACTATACAACTGCGGTGCGGCGGAGACTGGAACCAAGCATTCGCCATTCCCAGAAGCGAATTTCTCCCGTCCGAGCATTCGCCATTCCGAGGAGCGCCGCCATTCCCAGGAGTGAATCCTCTCGTCCGAGCATTTGCAAGCTCCTCGTCCGAGAATTCGCAAGCTCCTCGTCCGAGCATCCGCCATTCCGAGGAGCGCCGCCTTCCGAGGAGCATTCGCCATTCCGAGGAGCGTCGGCAGAAAGCTCAAATCCTCCGTCCATACCCCCGTTTGTAACACTCGATGAGGATGGCAGCTTGCAGTGCATGCAGGACATCCCATCTGCTACCGATCTAGCAACGGCCGATGCGCCTCTACGCACAAGTCGAAGCACTTGCAGCTCAAAACCAGTGCCACTGTAATAGGTCGCATAACGGCTCCCCTCGTGCGGCCTAACACAACCACATGCAAAATCCGCCCCGACCATCCTGAAAATCGACGGTGAGCGGATGTCAAAGGAGGACTATCTAAACAAATTTCTCTTTTTTTCAAGCGAGTCGTTTTTCCTTCCCTGTATCGGCCGCTCCCCAAGTCTACTTTTGGGTGATAATGGTGCTAGAGAGGCAAGTGAATGAGGATTCAAGCCCCCCAGCGTCCCCGCAAGTTCGTGATTGCAGCACTCCGCCTAGCGGCCTGGGTCGGAGGAAGGATGGATGGGCCTGTGCCTCTGATGAGACCCTCCCTTTGCCATATTCGTTGGCACCACAAAAAGATGCTACTATTCAGGCATACCTACGGTACACGTATATTTATATATGTAGCTATTCCTTTACATTTTTGAACCGCTGGGGAGGACACCTGTAAGTTGCAAGGAGTCTGGACTCCGGAATGCTCGCACGGCAACGTTCTCCAACGCGTATTCCCGACGCGTTTTGCACTGGACGCATGCTTAGTCATGCGCTTACGAGACGCGCTGACGAAATCGAACCCGCACAATCTCGGCACAACCCTCGCTTCGGACGGCTGCGCTGAAGGCTGTAAGTTCGCGCTGAAGGCCGTAAACTCGTACGGGTAAGGCGCGGGAGACCGAGACAGAACGGCGAAAACGCACGGAACATCACCACACTCCATTCACCAGAAGTCGGGTCATAACTCTCCTCCCGTGTAGGAAACCACCCTGCCGAGAGCCCCCACTGAAATGTCCACCCGAACTTGCCTGAAGATGCTGCCAGGTTGGACGAAAAGTTGGGCGGTAAGTGGGGAAAATCGGACAAGTCGCGTAATCAACTCCGATTGACTCCGATTTATTGGCAGTGGCTGCTGAGCGCTGGACCTCGTTGAAGACCCTGAGGCAACCTTCACCGACGCTCGACAAATCACCAACCACCAACGACTAAGCTATTTTTAGGAATGGCTTCGCAAAGCAACCCTGCTCCTCGCCGCAAACAGGTCCCCTTGCACCCTGCCGCCAACACTACGGAAACACTACCGAAAAAAGGGCCCAAAGCTGAGCTCATCCACCGTGCTAGAGAGCTTGCCGAGGGAACTGAAGAGAATAGTGATCTGACACAGGAGGGCAATACTCATGGGCCCCTACCACCTACTCCAAACGGCCTCGACATGGACAATCAATTCGGTTTAGATGACCATTTAAAATACGACGACTTTTTTGAAGCACAGTCACAACTTGCCCGACACCGCGAGCTATCCGAATCGGCGAATCCCAACCCCCCGGCGAATCCCAACCCCAACCATCCTGCGAATCTCAGCCAACTCACCACCCCGCAGGTTAAATCAGCCGGCGGCCGACCCTCCCAAGCTCAGCCGAAGAACACCCAAGTACGGCGCCTTTTTGAAGCCCCGGCCTCTACTCAGCAAACTCCGATTTCTACACCAAGTAAAGCTAATCACGGTCGAGCTGAAAGCGCAGTGGATCGAGCTCGCCGAGCAGCGTCACCTCAGCGAAGAGGTGCTCCAAGTTGCTGACATGGAGAAGCCACCTCATCCCGCCCATCCGCAGATTGACCCCACTCTGCAAAGGTGCAGTTCACTTTGGTGTCACTATGTTTCGCTGGGCCCGTTGTCTGGCCGAGGTGATTTCCCTGGAGCGATTTGAGAACTCATCGAAAATCGCTGCGAGCTAAGGCTTTCCATTCCCCTCCAAATGATCGACCACCTATCCTCACCTCTCCAGCACCATTGTCCTGTCACCTGCCGCCCAGACACCCCCTTCTGAGTTCCAACCCTCCTGTCGCATCTCCAATCTGACCCACGCTTTCCGCATATCTTCCACATATCCGAAGCGAAAGTTTGCACATATAGCCCAGCACCGCCAAAGCGTAGAACTTGGAAATTTGCTTCATCCACCGCTAACGGGCGGTATAACAGCAATCTCATCTCCCGCCTTGACAGCCACGATGTCGCCCGAATCTACGCTCCGCCCGTCTCTGTCCACATATGCGTTATTGACCGCCACTATCGCGGTCGTAAAGATGAGTTGGAGAGCCGGATGGCGCGCTTTGAGCGCGGTGATGAGGTCTGGTATCGAGACTTGAGCGCCGCCTGCTGTTCGAAGGGAGTCGATAGAGAGCGTTTCTTGGGAGGTCTTTGTTGCGTCCCTTGCTGAGGCGAAGTACAGGATGGTGACCTACGGTTGACATGGGTTCTTCATGCGTATCATATCGAAAGCAGGACAAGGAGGGAACCAAGCCCAGCAATGCACCCTCACCTGTCCGTTGCTCATCTCGGTTGCGTCGGCTACTGTAACTCAGGGTATAATGTGTACCGTGTGGAACTTCCTTTCCGTAGGAAACTACTTGTGAATTCGCGGCCAAAGAACGATAAGAGGGACAAGGAGCGCAGCCCAGGGAATGAGTCGGCGGCGCTGGTTTTCTGAAACTGGGGTGATCGTGATTGGTCCACCTTTTCTAGGCTGTATTTCCTTGCTGCTGGATTTTTCCGAAGGGCAACGTACGGGATGCGTTTACGGCCAGACTTTCATTTCAATGGAAGCGGGAGCGGAAGTCGTTGCTCGGGGTATCAAAGGCAATCGGTGATCATAGGTTTCAAAGTCCACGCAGGAGGCAGAAAAATTGTGAACATGGGCCATGAAACTCGAAGCCCTCTCGACTCTCTCAGTCCATGAAACGCTTACGACTACGAGCTGCCGCTCTGCCGTGGACACATCTCGACCAGCCATCGACCATGATCCGATAGTATCCTCCCTCCAAGTGGTTTACGCGTACACATTTCCCCACGACCCGCCCCGTAAGTCTCTAACATGAACGAAATAGCCAAAGCCTCGAAGCGAAAGAACGAAAAGGGGCCGTTTATTTCTGGTAAGCAAGTGAGACTGATAACTCAATCACTTTTATATAGTTAGGATGCTGCGATAAGCGATTTCCCATAAGCGATTTCGTTGACCTTTTCAACTGAGGGCCTGCACGAATCGACGACACGCACGAGGACTGGAACCAGGTTGGAACTACCAGCGAGCCGCCAGGGGCCGCCTTGTCGCGGAGTGTATCACGACATTGTCAATGCCACAGTGACGAAATATCGACCCCCGGGACAGCTCGGTGAAAATCGGCGTTATGAGAAGCGAAGAGAAGCGACGACCAACTCGAACTCTTTTCGAGGGTCTCAACAGCATCCCGAAGCGATGAACGGCTTTCAGCATGCAGTGTGACACCGGATAGCGTGTGGACCGAGTGCACGATGGTGCCGTCATCCAGAATCCTGCCGACCCATACGGCGGAGTTGGAATCACCGTCTGCCAGGGCGCAAAAATCACCGTCTGCCATGGCGAAAAAATCACCGTCTGCCATGGCGCAAAAAGGGGTGCTCTTTGCGGGCGGGAGCTCCTTTTGCGCCATGGCAGGCGATGGTTTTCTGCGCCCTGGCAGGCGGTGATTCCTGCCTAACACTTGGTCTGAGATTCCGGTCAATGAACGCCACGCTTGGGTCGGCTAGGGCCCGATGTGCTCTGGAAAGCGTCGAAGCGAATCAACCATAATCATCAACATCGAAGGCACCAACATCCAGATCGGCGGAACGGGCAACACCATCGAAACCAAGAAAGAAGAAGAGCCAAGCCCGCCAAGCAGTGGCGACGCAACGCCACCGATACTCCTCAACCGTACCTCGACGATGCCGCTGGCGGTCGTCGTCGAGAGCATCCGAAGAAGCGTATGGCACAGGTTTAGAGATTTGTTCGAGGAAAACGATCACTTCACTCCAAGGAAAATTCTCGATGACTTGCTACCGACCGGAAAACGCGAATGCCCACATCCGCGATCCTTCGGACCCGCATCCGCACCTTCTTTGTTCGTATGTCCAAAAAGAAATTTTACTGATTGTTCCTTCTGCGTTTACAGGAAGACTCTCGACCAGGTGAAAGCGGACCGATACATAGGCGCCCATGACCATCACGCCGGCGTGGGAATCAATGAGGGCCGATGCGCATCCTACCCAAACTACCTTCTATGAAGCCCAAGAACCCTGAAAGCTTCTCATTTCGTGTTTGTTATATGCATTTGTACAAAAACATCCGGTAGGTCATCGGTGGCGGTAGCTATTGGTCGGAGGGCCAATCAAAACGACATGGGCGGGTGGGTGCATTTTACCACTGTGTAAGGTTCAATGCGAGTGTCGGCATGGCAGGTTTAAGGGTGTAGGAGGTAATGTGATGTGTTGAAATCTAATCCTCATGGTCGACATTCCCATCTCCGTCCCCGTCGCTGCTGCCGACCGCCTCCTTGACGGCTTTTGAGCGCTTCTTTTTCGGTTTGACGTCTTCCCAGCTGACAAAGTGGAGGAGGGATATAATGTCAATGTCACTGTACGGAATGAAGAGGCGCCAGACCCCCCAAATCGCTCAACTCACCCCCAAACCGGCGTAAAGCTCTCCACAACGCCCACATCCGCAAACAAATTGGGATACAACCACCCATCCCTCCCCGTCCCCGCCTTCAACACCAACCAAAGCACCATCCTAAACAGCACCAACACCATAAACAGCCCCATCAGCCCCAACAGCCCCAACGACAGGTAATACACCCCCTGACGCAACGACGCCGGCCATAACGGGAACATCACCCCCGCAAACGTCACCGCCAACACGCCCGTTCCAATCAATATGCCCTTGAGCTGCGACCCCTCGTAGACCCAAGCGTAGTAATGATCCGGCGAGAAGGGTGCTTGCGGCTGGGAGAGTTGGAGTGGGATGGGGGGCGGCCCGCCGCCGGGGGTGGTGGGCTTTGTGGGTTTGGAGGAGCGGTCCACTTGGATAAAGAGGCCGTTGCGGTGGAGTTCGGAGAGGTGGGATTCGGCGGTCGGGCGGGAGGTGACGGTTGGGCGTTTGGGGGAGGGTTTGCGGAGAAGGGCGTTTACGGCGTGTTTGCCTGGATTTGATAGACGTTCTATTAGCAGAATGGTTCCACGTATCCACCAAGCCGTTGATGACCCCCCTCTTCACTACCCCTTCCTCCTATTTCACCCCCGCCCCTCCTCACACAACCGCCCAATATCCATCCCCCCATACCTTTGAAGAAATCTACCCGCCTCCCATCAAGCGTGCCCTGTTTCAACGTCAGCTTCGCATCCCCGCTCCGCAGAAAGTCGGCGGTCGCGACAAACTCCTTTGGTATGCTTTTCAGATCCTACACATATGGGAAGTGTCTTCACGTTAAGCTTGGTGTCTCAGACAGAGGATGAGGATGACAAGCGAAGCGGGTAAGGTTACCTACCAGTGCCATGACTGCAGTGCTTTAAAGAAGTATGCGGCGGGCGTGCTCTTCAAGAAGGGTCCCTGGCTTTTTCCGGCGGTCGGTCCTTTCAAAAGCGTCGTTCGATAGCTGTACCGTATGTATGCGCGCTGCTGTGGCGGGATCGCGAGTCAGCGGGCGAGATGCTGCGATGTTCGACGGCTTTCCTTTCGAATTGCAACTTCAATGTGACGGGCCACTCCGCATGGCGGCGCACCTTGATTGGCGAACAACGTGCACGCGCACTTTGACGCATGTGTCACAGAGGGGGCGCGCTCTGAACGTACTGCAGGATTCAGACCAGGTTTGGATTCCCAAAAACTGGTGTACTGTACTGTACGTACTGTATGAGCTGGATGAGGGACTGTATAATGTACAGTACGTAGGAGTCATTCAGGGCCATTACTTGGAGCATGCTCTCGGCTTGTATCATATAATACATCCAACGCTCCCAATTCCCTTTCGCGCGCATCGCCCCATCCCACATCCATATACGTCCATATCTTCACACCCAAAAGTTTATAAACATGCATACGCCCTGCGTGCATCTACCCCCTAGTCCGACTAGGCACCCACCTCCGCATGGCCACATCCCACACGCTCAACCGGCGCACGACACTCGGATCCCCCAGGTCCTCCGCGCGCATATCCGCAGGCACGCCTACATAACACAGCAGCACGCTCTTGTTCACCTGCGCGAGCACGCGGGAGAGCGTTAGCGTCTGCCGCCACGTCGTTTGTGGTACCACCGGTTGGGGAACGCATGATGTATCCGGGGGTGTGGTGTGATCATGTGTGAGGAGGGTGGGAACGACGACAACCGCATACTCGGCGTGTCGGAAGATAGGGCCGCGGCGGTAGAGGACGAAATGGGTGCCGAATTTGATGCCGGATTTGACGACCCAGCCGCGGGATTTGTAGTGGTGGTAGGCTGTGTAGGTTAAGGCAAAGTCGGAGGGTGACAGGGTCGGGGGCGAGGGGGGTGAGGGGATGGTCAGGGTGGGGGCGCGGAGGGCGGTCCAGAGGGCCTGGGGAGTGAGGTGGGGGGAGAGGGAGGGTGATGAGAGTGATGAGATGATCCCGAGGATCCCGAGGCCGTGAGCGAGGAAGAAGGCTTCTTCGGGCATGAGTTGGTGGTTTTCCGGGTCGGAGCCGAGTGTGATGTCCCAGGGGTCTACCTCCGCATCACCACCGCCGTCGTCGTCATCAACCTCATCAGCATCATCCGTTTTCGATCCCGCTTGTGGACCCACCGCCCGTCTTGCCGCCGCTAACCGCTTCGTTGCCAGACTCTCCCCAGCAATCGCGCGTGGAACATGGCCTAATCGTAACTGCCGTGGCCCCTCCCCTCCGCCTCCATCATCATTCGCAGCATCCCCGACAGCCTCCCACGCCCTCTCCCACCACGTCATCTCCCCCCTCGACAACGTCGCCTTCCCAAAGAACCCGCCATACCACAGCCCCAGCGCAGGTATCCTCCTCCCGCCTCCCACGTCCCCATCTCCCTTAACCAACCGCATAGTCGTCCTCACCCCCACGCGTTGTTCCCATCTCCGCGCCCGGTCCGTGTCGTGGGGGGATACGTGGATGCAGCCGGTGGAGTCGAGGGTTGCTTTGTATGGTGGGGCGGGCGGTAAGGTGGCGAAGAGGGTGGTGAGGAAAGTGAATGGTGAGACGTGGGGGGAGGACGAGGGGGCGTGGGGGAGGATGAGGGGGAGGGAGTTGGTGTAAAGCCGGCGGTCGGTGCGTTTTGTGAGGCGTTTTGACTGCGGTGGGGTTGCCGGGATGGTTGGGGGGGGTGCGGGGGGAGGGGGTGATGGGTTGTTCGTGGACATTGTGTTCTGTTTTTCTGGAGAATGGAGAGAACGCGAACGCCCCGGGATCACTGTGGGCTATGGGGTTCTGAGCTGCTGATGTAGGATCTCCCGCGATGCTTGGAGTGCAGTATGAGTGTAGTGTCAGTGAGGGGAGCAAGAGAGGCCGCCTGCAGGAATATGCTTCCCTGCTTGCAATAGGGAGGGGAAGACTTTGCAAGATGGGCAGCGCACACTTCCGGCCAGCTTCCGGCCCTTCCGGCGCTGAATACTGAACGCCAATAGTTCAGGTGCACGGGAGCGTCGGGAGGTACTGTATGTACTGTACTGCAGCCTACTGCAGACTTGAAGTCGGGACAAGACAGTTTCCCAAGTAATCAGCCTTAGAAGTGTTTGCATAGTTTCCCCTTCACTGTGCGAAGCATCTCCCTCGATGTCCGTAATGGCAGGACCAATTCCACCAAAGGTCTTTCTCGCTCCCGACCCCCCTCCTCCTCCAGAGACGCCATCCTACGAATACGAAGAATTCCGGAACACAGACGTTCCCATCGTGATAGACAATGGGTCCAGCCATTTAAGAGCTGGTTGGGCGTCGGATACGGAGCCGCGATGTGAGTAGATCACGCCATGTTCGCGGTCGACATTCGCGGCTGACATTGGCTCCCATGTCAGTGCAGTTCGAGAATATAATAGCGAAGTACAGAGGGAGCAAGTCGGCGAAGGCGGACTCCGGTATCCTAGTAGGAAACGATGTCGTCATAGCGGCTCAGCGTGCGAGTAGCAAAACGGCCTTCGAGAACGGTGTTGTAGCCAATCCAAACACTTTGGTGAGCAACGGGCGGCCCTGCTCCGTATACGGCGGAATATCTTGGAGGATAGCCATTGATTTGACCTAAAGGAACAAACCCTAGATTACGTGTTTATGAAACTGGGAATCGATACGGACTCGGTACGCCATCCGGTGTTGATGACGGAAACGCTGTGCAACCCGGTTCATAGTCGGCGATGTGAGTGGGTTAAGAGGGCCATGTTTCGGAAGACGGACCGACAAGTGCGCTGACCGAGCAATAGGCGTTTCAGAACTTCTATTCGAATGCTACAATGTCCCAGCGGTGTCCTACGGCATCGACTCGCTTTTCAGCTACTACGCGAACACGGGATCGATGGACGCGGGTATGGTGGTCTCATCGAGCCACCACGGAACGAGTGTGATACCGATTCTTGAAGGGAAGGGGGTTGTGGAGCACTGCAAACGGTATGCGAAACGTTATGGTGCGTTGGCCTGAATAGTGGATGTGGAAAGGCTCACTAGCTCAACAATCCCAGATTGTCCTACGGAGGACAGGACTTCCCCGGGTACATGCTGCAGCTACTGCAGTATAAGTACTCAGCGTTTCCGCATCGTGTATCGCCTGAGCAATGCCAGGTACGAATCCTGAAGTTCGAACCCAGCACACCAGATCTTTGTGTGCTAATGACCTCCCCACGCAGGACCTCGTGCACGAACATGCCTACGTATCACTCGATTATGCTTCGGACCTGAAAGCCTTGAGTTATCCTGAAACCCTCAATGCGCAAACCCGCATCGTGCAGTTTCCGTTTCAAGCAAAGGTTTGGCTGATTTGACGTCGTGCGTACGTCTGTTGATGTGGCGTGCGAGCTTAATGGAATGGCACCCTCAATACAGAGACCAGAGCTTGGCGCGGAAGAAGCCGAGCTGTTGACGCAGAAACGAAGGGAGCAGGGCCATAGACTGCAGGAGCAGGCTGCGAGGATGCGCGAGGAGAAGGTGGGTGTTGCGTGAGCACCTACAGTAAGGGTTCCCGGATGCAGCCCAAACTGACACGATGAAAACATCCCCAGCTGAAGGAGAAAGAGGAGTATCTTGGCGACTTGAAACAATTGATGGAATCGAAGTTGACCGAGACCGGTTCAGAGTTCAGGGTACGTCCAGATCTTGTGTTTTTGGGCGAAGCCGACCCGCTAACGTTCCTCACTTCTCATAGAGACGCATGCACGATGCCGGCTTCCATTCGGAGGCAGAACTACAATCCGAGACGAAAAAGATCGAGACCGCAATCAGAAAGTCGCGAAACCGCATGCTGGGGATCGAAGAGCCAGAAGAGAAGGTTGTCCCAACCTTTCCACTCCTCGGCGTACCAGACGACGATTTGACCCCCGATCAGAAAAGGGAAAAGAAGAAACAGCGTCTCCTCAAAGCCGGATGGGACGCACGTGAACGTGTGCGGATAGCGAAGGAAGAAGAAATAGCGAAAGAAGCCGAAGACCTGCGATTGGATGAAGAACGACGGGTGCAAAATCCCCAAGGGTGGCTTGAGGACCGTCGAAACGCGAGACAGGCGTTACTGGCACGGATGCGAGAGCGGCGACGACGGAAAGCGAAACTGAACGACCGACGTAGCCGGGAGTCGAAACTGCGAATGCGCACGCTAGCGTCCTTGGCGGCGGAAGATACGCCGAGTAAGAGTCGACGCGCGGGGAACAGCGAGGACACCTTCGGCGCCGATGACGATGATTGGGGCGTGTACCGCTCGATTAGCAAGGAAGATGACTCGGATGAAGACGGTGACGTCGCGCAATTGACTAAACTTGACGAGCTACTACTCCAACATGACCCGGATTTCGTGGAAGAGGATCCGTTCGAGGACGGTAGACCGTTCAGCGAGTCGATTATGTACCGGTTAACTCACGGCACGCATCCGGTCGATCTTACTGAACCGGCGATCCAGAACCAGATTCACCTCAATGTGGAGCGGATAAGGGTGCCGGAGGTATTGTTTCAGCCGTCGATTGTGGGGCTTGATCAAGCGGGGATTGTTGAGATTTGTGATGAGGTGCTGAAAAGGTTTACGGCTGCACAGCGACAGAGCATGATGCAGGTGAGTTTGCCATAGATTTCTTCCTCCCGTCGGATCCACTCACTCACTTCATACCATCACACAATAATACCGTCCACACAGAACGTAATAGTAACCGGCGGGAACGCCCTCCTCCCCAACCTTACGGAACGCATCGAAGCCGAGCTCCGCGCCCTACAACCCTTCGGATCCACCATCAACGTCCGTCGCGCAGCCAATCCGTTGCTCGATGCCTGGAAGGGCGCCGCGCAGTGGGCCCGTGCCGACACCTTCCGGGCGAGTGCGGTGGCGCGGGCGGTGTATGATGAGATGGGGCATGATTACATTGTTGAGCATGCATTTAGTAATAGGTTTTGGCAGAGTGGGGTTTGACTTCAGTTCAGGGCGTAGATGAAGCCTGAAGCTCCTTTTCTCACCATCGCAAGGAGGTGTGAAATTTTGTACAAGGCATAAGGTCCCAAGAAAGCCGTTGTCGTGAGCGTCGTTGGAAGAAGGGCGGCCCTTTCGAAAAAGTTTCGACAAAGCTCTGCATTCAGACGATCGGAGAACAAAAGGAACTGGGGACGGATTGACGAATGGGTGGTTGCGCGAGTGTATTCATACAGGATTTGCAAAGTAGCGAGAGATCTGTTGAGGAAGCATCGACAGAACGTAGTAGATGGTTTTGCTGGTGGACATTTGCTGATCTCGCCAGTACGCAATGTCTGGCGGCCATCTCGTGGATGACACCAGCAGACGCTGCAACAACGTCGCCTGCAGTACCGCCGCTATCTTGGAGAGGAACGCCAACTCTGCGAGCGGATAATGTCCCTGGGGAAGGACAGCAGACTCACCCGTCAGTCCTGACTTTCCTCCTGAATGTCTCTGTAACTCCATAGACACCCTTGTGCACTTGAAAGACAAGTTCGATTTGCTGTAACGTTGGCAGACCGTCTTCCCCTGGTCGCCAGCGTCTGCGTGTCGTCCAACTGTGGGAATCGGCGGTGGCGAAAGCAACGCATGCCAGCAGTCGGATGGGTTCAGGCCATGCCTCCTGTGTCTCCTCCACTCCTCTGGTGGTGTCCACTGCATACTCGACGCTCGCCGCCACTTCCGCGCCGGCTGACCCGAACAAAGTGCGGAATGCGTCGCTTAGATCATCGTGGTCGGCGGCCAAGTGGAAGAGTCCGTCGAGTGCGTGAAGCTGAGCCTCCAGTCGCTCTGATATGAACGCCATCTTCAATCATCGTCCTCCCTGCTATTCGTCAAAGAATTGGGGGGACTGTATCGAAGCTGGTTCCCACGGTCTTCCCCTTCGATTCGTGTCTGTCCTCAGTCGTACTGTGGAATACTCCAGTTCCACTCCGTTGAGGCGTTTCCATCAGCGTTTCCATGCTCAAACGCGCTGAAGACACGGGAGGGGGGCCGGTAAACCATTACGCAGAAGTGGTAAGTGACTGCCCCCTTCTCCGAGACTTCCGTGGCGCAATGAAGCAAAAGAAGGCCAACTCGCGAAAAAGCCCACATTGCTTGCCGCCATCGTCAATCCTCGTCCTCATCGTCGCAAATACCCCCCGGTCGTCGAAACTGTCGTCGTCGTTGTTGCCCAAACTGTCTCCTTCAGCTCACGCTCCTATCAGCGCAGCAGTTCGTAGGACTCTCCTCGTCCGCAACCAACTTCTGCAGCCTTCTCTTGCCGCCCCCCAGCGTCGCACATTCTCAGCAAAAGCAAACAGCAACATGACTGGATACAAGCCCAGAGTTATCGGTGCCCCTAACACCCGGGAGCACAGGGTCTTCATTGGTGAGTTTTTGGGCGGTAGCTTCCCGGGCTTGTACCGCTTGTTTTAATTGAAACGGTTTGTCTGTTCGTCTGTTCGTCTATGCCCATCTGATCTTGTGTGCATTTTCAGAGGACGCCGCTGGAAAGGTTGTCTCTCCTTTCCACGACATTCCTCTTTTCGCGAATGAGGAAAAGACCATCTTGAACATGGTTGTTGAAATCCCCCGCTGGACCAACGCTAAGCTCGAGATCTCGAAGGACGAGCCTTTCAACCCCATTAAGCAGGATATCAAGAAGGGCAAGCTCCGTTACGTCCGCAACTGCTTCCCCCACCACGGTTACATCTGGAACTACGGTGCTTTCCCACAAACATGGGAAGACCCCAACGCCGTCCACCCCGACACCAAGGCTAAGGGAGACAACGACCCGCTCGACGTTTGCGAGATCGGTGAGACTGTCGGCTACACCGGACAGATCAAGCAGGTCAAGATCCTCGGAACCATGGCCCTGATTGACGAAGGCGAAACCGACTGGAAGATCATCGCCATCGACATCAACGACCCCTTGGCTCACAAGCTCAACGACATGGAGGACGTTGAGACCCACCTCCCTGGTCTGATGCGTGCGACAAACGAGTGGTTCAGGATCTACAAGATCCCCGACGACAAGCCCGAGAACAACTTTGCGTTCTCTGGTGAGGCCAAGAACAAGAAGTACGCCACGGAGGTCGTGCACGAGTGCTACGAGGCGTGGCACCGTTTGATCAAGAAGGAGATCCCCAACAAGGGAGAGGGTTACGATATCACAACGTACGAGCGTTTCGATTGATTCGTGAGGATACGACGAGCAGATGTTAACTCTTCTCTTCATACTTTACAGCGTGAACACCAACGTCGCGGAGAGCCCCTACAAGGTCGGAACAGATTCCGCCGAGCTCAAGGCCATCCCCGCTGCTGCCCCGCAACCCCCTGCGCCTATCGACGCCTCCAGTAAGTCCTGTTCACTATTCTCATCTTGTTTGTTGAGGCTTCAACTTACCGTCCCTCTCACCTCCAACGTAGTCGACAAATGGTTCTACCTCTCCACCTACCAGCCCAAGGCGTAAGGTTCAGAACCTTCCTGTGGGCTGCAGTATAGCAGGGCTCCTGTAGGATTAGCTCCCGTAGCGGCTCGCTTTACTCTATCTTGTATATGGTAATAGATCAAGTGACAATAAGTACCAGTTCTGGATTGGACATTGCGGAGGATGCATTGGAAGGTCATGGACAGTCGTCTTCATTCATAGATTGGGTCATGTGACATCAGAGACTCTCGGAATATAAAAGGAACTCTGCTGGAATAAAGGAAGGCTTGTTTTGCCATGTGTGAGGCGCAATGGGCGGGCGCTTGACTGCGCAACGAGGGCTTGAAGGTTGCAAGCCGAAACCGGCGAAACGCGCCGATTGCCACGTGTGCGACTCTGTGGCCACCGCGCGTCATCGTCATTGTTTTCTTCCGGAGGAGGCCATCGAGAAGGGACTCAAGGGAGGGAGGGCGCAACAAGGTTTTTGGCCCAACCTTGCTTTGGAATCCCTCCAGATTCCTCCTCACAGATGGGCAGATATGATATGGCCCGGCAACGTTACCCAAGGTTAAGGTAAAGCGCAACAGCCCCAAACCAAAGCAAGCATGCATGCGGGTGGGCGGGCAGAAGCGTTTCCAGCCCCAACGCAGATCTGATGATATCCGCAAGCAAGCACATGCCAAATGGAGAGTCCAATGTCCATGTCCGGAAGTTCTGAATCCAGCTGGGCCGGCAATGGGAAAAGACACGCAACACGGTAGCAACCACCCACCCACATATGAACATTCTTTTTCTTGACTTCATCCCCCCCCCCCTCTACACAAAAGCCCACACCAGCAAGCACCGCCCGTCGCCCAACTCACAGCAACCGACCTCCATCGGCAGCCTTTCTCACTCTCGCTCGCCCACGGCATTCCGCTTGGACGCTGCTGAACTCGAGAATCCCACGGAACAGAAAAAGGCTGCTCTCGGCTTGGGAAATTCCTCGCTCTGCCAAATTTCCTCGACAGTTTCCCACGGCCGGCAAGCACAACTTCGAGATATATACGCTTGCACTCACAACTGCAACAGCATAGCACGGAACAGTCTGGTCTCGTTTGAGCGTTGCAAGCTGTGGCAATCCTATTTTCCCAGCAGGTGCCTGAAGTTCCCCACGAAAAGTCAATATTTTTCGATTTGTGTGATTCGGAGTAGGACAGCAAAATATATACGAGAATTATCACCCCTCTGAGACATCCCAACCATACGTTCGACGACGAAATTGTGGGAAGGCGGCAGCATTCTGTTGCAGCGGCCTTTTATGGACCTGTCGCACGTTTCGCCACAAACTCCTTCGTCCGCCCCGTCCGCGCCCGTCCTCTCGCCACTCTCCGTCCATTCGCCGCCGCCGCCACCAACCGATGATAACGGCGTTCTCTCATTCACTGCAGGATCTTCGCGTCTCGCGAGCAAGAAGGAAGCTCAAATGTGGGAAATAAATGGGAACGCGGACGCTGGTTCACTGGGAATGGGTGGGAGAATAGAGGAGGCTGCCGAGCGGAAGGACACAACTCCGCTGGATACCCAAAAGGAGCAGCCATTACCGTCAACATCGCATTCACAACAATCACAACCACCGCAAGTTGTGAATCCACTCACGACATCAGCATCGCAAGCCGGTCTACCCACCCGGAAACTCTCCCGTTTCTCGGTCGTCACCCGCGATTCGAGTCATATCCAGAAAGCTCGGTCCACACCTGCCCTCAACGCTTCGTTTCCACTGTCGTTGAGCCACGACAACGCAGAATACACCCCAAAAACAATGGATTCCGTGTCCTCATCGTCCTGGTCCTCGACGGGATCCCTCACATCCCCAGTCTCCATAGGTGCACCCCGATCCCCAGCCTACGAGTCAGCAGACCTGTCTCAGTCATCCCGCTCCTCCTCCACGACGTCGCTGACGAGCAGCGGGTTCTCGCCGTCTACCCCGATAGCATCAGGGCCGGCATCTGTGGGTGCGCTGTGGAGACGACCCTCAGCCAAATCCCGCTTTGAAGTGTCTGTCGAGACTTCGGGAAGGTCGCGCTCCATTTCTCCGACGCTGTCCCACTCCGCGAGCGCCCGTGAGCTCCCCGTCGCCGCCGCGAAACATTCAACATCACCTGCGTTGATTCGCATGGATCCCGCGCGCGAGTCTCGCGTAGTTGGCACAGCAGCACCCGCGTTTGGAATCTCACCGCCTGCACGCATCCCTCACCTACACGAGGTGATGCCACCACCCTCAGCGTTCGGCCCGCAGGAACCTGCCAGCACGCATTTTCCCGTCAAGGACCGCTCGGATTTGACATCCTCCGTGTCGGCATTCAAGAACGTGCATGTACATTTCACGCCGGCTACACCACCACCGGATTCAGAGGGGAAAGTCCCTGTGGACCAGCAGCACCACCATTGGGATTCGTCTTACGTATCTGGAATACAAGCGCCAAAACCCGCCATAGACACATCCTCCCTCTGCATACCCGTCCACGCCTCCCACCAATCTCAAAGCATGCTCCCCATCACAGCAACCGCCGCAGAATCCCTCCACTCACCCTCCTCCCGCAAACCGTCCATCCCCGCCGTCCTCCTAACCCACGACTCCTTCCCCCGCCGCACAACAATAGCCTGCACCCGCCCGCACATTCTCGCCGACATCCTCGCCTGCCAATTCCCCTCGGACCTGCCGAACGAGAAACCGAGACCGCATACGATCGCGAAACCGAAACCGTTGCTTTGTCCGCAGCAGCAGGAGAAGATGCGGGTGTGGACGACGGGGAAACCTGGGACTGTAGATATCGAGCATACCCCCACCGCACCTGCGACGGTCTCCCCTCCGGCTACCGAAACGACCCAAAAACAACAACAACAACAACCCCTCATCGCCCCACGCCCACCCACCCGCCGCCCGACAATCGAACAAGCCGTCAACGTCTCAGTGAAAGGCAGATTCACGGTGACGCGCGAGCATTCGACGTATTGGCGGCCAAGGCAGACATTGAGTAGAGGGAGTAGGTTCGTTGTTGTTGAGGATTCGAAGAAAGCGCCCGTGGCGAAGGCGGGGGTTTAGAATCATTCGGTTGAGAAAGAGTGGGGTGGATATGGTAATGGAGGGGCGGATACCACTTTTTGCATATATACCCCCACTATGGGCGAAACCCCGCCCCGCACAACAATATGAGCTGAGAAAATGCCCTAGATTTCCTGTACGCGCTGCCTACGGTTGGTTTCATTTTTGCCATAGTTCTTATTCTTATTTTGCATTCATTCATCAACGAACGAAGAAGAGCGGGGTGGGCAAGGAGGGCGGGGAAAGAGTATCCTAGTTCCTTGTTCTCTTTTAAAATGAAGTCTGTGTCGTTTGTGTCGTATGGTCGGGAAGTGAAGAAGATCCGCTTTGCTTGTCGTGGGTTTCGACTGTGATTCAAGTACAGTACTGCCGGATATGGCGATCGCCGATGTAAATTGAACTGCGCACATCGCGCGAACAATCGCCGATGCCTCCGAGTGAGAATCCCCTCCGTCACGCACCGAATGGCCATCATCCCTCATCCGACGCTCGACCCAACGCCCCCTCCTCTCCTCTGCCAGCCCGCATCTTTCCAAAGTCAGGAGTCAGGATGGAGGACACATCGTGGATTTGATGGGTGAATCATCATATGGTGGGGAGGGGATCGCAGCGAAACTTGGCTTTTCGATACCCGCGCGCGATTTGGCAGTTCCCGATTTGGGCTCTCCCGACCCCCGCGCGCGCGCCCGTGACGGAGACTCGGAAGTTGTGACGGTTCTCGGGATCGCGATCGCATTTCGCCTCCCCCTGCCCCCCCCCCCCTTTCCCGTTTCCCGTTCGGTGCTTTTTTGGAAGGGCTGCCGGGTGGTTGTGGAATGTGCAACACACAGAAGCGACAGGCCGGATATAAAAGCACCACGGAGTATCTTCACTCTCCTGCGAGCAAAACGAACCGCACTCCCCCCATCACCAGTTCGCCACCCCCTTTCTAAAATGACACCAGTTGGCAACTCCCTCCTGACGTCCCTCTACCTCACCTTCGCCCTCCAGTTCCTCTCCTACCTCATCTCCGCACCCCTCCGCACCGAGAAATTCTACGACGCGAGCGGCGCCATCACCTTCGTCACATGCACCCTTGTCGCACTCCTCTGGCGACGGGAGGCCGGGGACTCCATCGGGGCTCTGAGCGCGCGGCAGATTGTCGCCGCGACGTGTGTGTGTGTGTGGACCGTCCGGTTGGGCGGGTTCTTGGCGTGGCGCGCCAGTCGGATGGAGGATAAGGTGCGTTGGCATTCACCGGGAGGTGTGTGATCGTCGAGGGGGGGTCTGACCACGCTATTTTGTCCAGCGCTTCGACGCATACAAACACCACCCTGGGAAATTCATCATCGTCTGGGCCATGCAGGCCGTGTGGGTCTACCTCACCGCCCTCCCCGTCTTCATCGTCCTCGGCACGCCGGCCGCGGACCAGCCGGCTTTCGCGGCACTCGACGGCGTCGGTACGGTCGTCTATGCGTACGGGCTGGGGGTGGAGATCACCGCGGACGTCCAGAAACAGCTGTTTAAGTTGCGCCACCCGAAGGAGTTCGTGAGGGTGGGGATCTGGAGGTGGTCGAGATATGCGAACTACTATGGGGAGTGTGTGCTCTGGGCCGGGGTTTTTTTGTTGTGTGTTAGGGGGTTCGTGGAGCAGTGGATGTGGGTGGGGGTTATCGGGCCCGTGTTTGTTGTAGCGCTTGTGGTGGGGGTCAGTGGGGTGCGGCTGAGTGAGAAGGGGGCGGAGGAGAGGTATGGGGGTAGGGCAGGTAAGGGCGTTTCATTTGACGTCGATGTTCCGCTATGCTTTTGGGGGGATGTGCATTGACCGAGCCCTTCTTCTTGCCCCCGATTGCTCGCAGACTATCAGGAGTATAAGGCGACGACGAGCACGTTCTTTTTGTGGCCGCCGAGGAGGGTGGAGAAGGCAGGGGAGGTTCAGCCGGAGCCTGTGTGAACACTTATCGAGATCGCGCCGAGGGGCACGAAACCCCAAAGTCAAAAGGGGCTCGAAAACGGACGAAGAGCCGGAGGGGTCCATTGTGGGAGCGATGCCCGATCTTCCCACGCGGATCAAACGCAGATGCACACCGGATGCCCGCGCCAAGTCACCATCACGGTAAACCACGACGGTCTATGTACATTTCGGACCGCCCGCGCGCCACCCCCAGACCGCTCCCATATCGAGAAACAACGGCGTATCACCGTATCGGCCGCTCCGCCACATCGTCCGACAGCGGGCCTTTGCAGGAGTTGGGTTGAACGGAGCACGTGGTGGAAGAGCAGCCATGGTTCTTTTTCCTGCGCGCGCGCGGGGTGAAAGGCCAGAACGAATAGGAGTATTGTATGTGAAGGGAGATGGGGATGGGTTTGCAAGAGAGACGGTGAAGGGGCGCTGTGGGAGTAGCATTGTAATCATAGTAGTAATAAGGCGAGACATGAGCATGCTGTGGGTTGAGAATCGAAGGGTGTGCCCGTCTGACACGTGTGCGGTTGGCCCTCCTTGTCGGTCAACGTCTCAACAAGAGCGAGAGAGTGATGACATCCTGCACTGACTTCTCTGACTGACTGACTGCGGGACTGCGGGATGGCCCTCTGTTCTTCCCACCAGCCAAGTTGCGTCCAGTATTTACCCAACGTCGCTCGCCATACCCGCTGGCTTCGGCTCCATAGTACATACGCTGTGTGCCGCCTGTGCTCTCTCTCGCCCTATCCCTGGCACCCCCCCCCCCCCCCCCCCCCCGCCGCCTCCCTAACCTCGCTTTCCCACCCCCCCAACGTCGGAGTGCGAGACCTACTTAGGACATTGTGTTCTGACAGCCTGCCATCTCACTATTCGAAAAGCATCACACATACTCAATACGAGCTGGAAACCGCCAACTTCACAGTCATCGAACGCTGTATCGCTCGTCGGCAGTCACTCACCCGATAGAGGCCTCTTACGAATTCCTAGACATTCTGCGCAATTCGGTGTCGTTTCCCACGCTCGGACACACAAGGAAAAGTAGCTCGCTGGAAGGGGCGAATAGGTTTAGTCACTCTTGAACTACCTTTGAAGGACGATGATGTGGACAAGGTTGCAGATTGTGTTTGGCGGGTATACCGTTGCGCAGGTATGTCCTATTCATGCGTTCATCAATCTCCTCAAAAAACATGCTCATCGACCTATCATCCCAACACGCAGCTCACCTGCATCTACTACACCCTCCTCACCCTCCGCCACTCCCCCGCCACCACTACCAAACCCCCAACCCTCCTCCTCCTCCCCCTCCTCTTCTCCCTCCTCCTCCGCGACCTCACCACCACCCTCAGCCCCCATCTTCCCCTGCATCTTCTCCACACCCTCTCCCTCACCAACACCCTCCTCGCCGCCCTCCTCACACCAACCGTGATCCTCATCGCCTATGAACTCTGCCACACTCTTCACGGGGGCCCGCGTCGCCGGTTGTTGTATCACGACCAGTTTGGACGCATCGCTGCTGTTCTTGCTGCCTCCGCGCTGTTCGTTTACGACATGTCCGAATTCGTTGCGGAGAAGGACTCCTTGGTGTTGAAGGAACGGCTGGGATTACCAGGGTATGAAGTCGAAGATGGGGCACGGGCGGTGAAGGTCGCGGAGTATGCTGGCACTGTGATGCTAGTGTTGGCAGGGGGCTGTTTGTGGGCGAGGACGGGGTATCCGTGGTTGAGTTTGTTGCAGGGGGCTATCTTACTCGGTCGAGGTATGCTATAACCCCCTTTTCTGTTTCAACCATTCGAACATGTCGACTAAACTCCGTATTATACAGTCTCAACAGCAACATCAGCAGGACCCTACACACCCCTCCTAACATCCTCCTGGTCCCTCATCCTCTCCATCTCGCTCACCACCGCCCTCTCCCACACCATCCAACACGCCAAGGATCCCGCCGATTCACCTCACTCTCAGCATCTACTCACCGACGATGACCTACGGTGGTATGGAACGCTTGGAGGTGATGAGGCGGGCAGTGGGCCGGGCTCGCCTGCGGGGAAGAAGAGTGGGACGAGTACACCTGGGGAGCTCGCGGGTGGGGCTGGGCAGGGGGTGGAACGGGTGGGGAGTGATTGGACGGTGGTCGAAGTCGAAGAAGGGAAATGAATTGTGTTGCATTCAACTGGACTAGGACTTTGTGTGACTGTACTGTATATAATTAGCTGGGGGGAAGGATACCCTTAGGAAAAAAGGTTGGAAGGTAATGGCTCTTGGCCTCGATTGCTCTTCTATGACTGTTGTGCGGTTTCTGGATTCGATATGCTTGTACATACATATATTGGGCCCGTTGGGTGCCCTTGCCCTAGTTTCGTCTGGTGTGGTCTGCTGCACTTCTGCGATGCGTTCCGAAGGAGTGTTCGTCCGGAAACGCGTGACGTGAGCAAGTCGGGCTTTTGCCATGGCCGTGTTCTCCTGTCCGGTAGTCGTGGCGTCGCGTCCCCCCCCCCCCCCCCCACCCCCGCCATAAACCCTTCCCAGGCTCTTTCATTCGGACGGCTTAATCCGGCTTACACCGTCCAAAGCCTCAGTTCTTTCACAGGCTCCATCTCTCTCATATCCCTCTCCCACAGCAAAAAAAACCCCTCAAGCACACCCCGCCGGCCTCTCCATCTCGCCTGTCAAATCCACCCTCCACCCCAAGTGTGCTTGCGCCAGTTCAGAACCAACAAACCCCACACCTCAGCACCGCCTCGTTCAAACCTCCAACACAAAAATGGCATCAGAACCACATCCTCCCTTCCGCCCAGCCCTCCCCAATGCCACCGATGTTCTTTCATCCCCAGCAACCACAGCGGAAATGATGGCAACAGCGGACCGCGTGAATCTCTCCGACATGGATAGCGGGAAATACGCCGTGTTTGGGTCGTTGTTCATCCTCGGGCTCGATTCGTGCTTGTTTCCGCTGGATACTGTCAAGACGGTGATAATGAGCCAGAGGGTGAGTGTGGGGGGTCGGGGAGGGAGGCGGAGGCCGAGAACGGGGGGGGATGAGACACTCGCACAATGGGCTAACGGGCGAAAGTGGTGGTAGGGGACATCGTTCGGGAACACGGGGATTCTCCATACGGTGTACCGGATAGCGCGAACCGAAGGCAAGTCCCCGCGGCTCCGGCCCATCCCCGCATATTCACTTTCCACACTCCCGCCAATCACCACTGATATTCTGAATGACCATCCCCTAGGCATCCCCCGCTTCTGGCGCGGCCTCCTCCCCGCGGTCATCGGCTCGTTCCCCGGCCAGGCGATGTACTACCTCGCGTACGAGACGGCGCAGGACGCGTGCGCGCAGAGCATGCCGCGCGACCTGCTCGAGCGGTCGGCGTTCGTGCGCGGGTTTGCCGCCGGAGCGTGTGCGGAGATCGCCGCCGGCCTGTTCTATGTCCCCGCCGACGTGGTGGCGCAGCGCTTGCAGGTGCAGAATGTGACGGGGTTCCAGCATAATTCGAGGCTTTATGCCGGGCCGATTGGTAATGCGTGTTTGGGGGGGGGGGGGGGGGGGTGACGGGGATGGGGGCGAAAACGGGGGCGTGTGGAGCCGACTAATGCAGGTTTGGTTTTTTTTTTTGGCATTGCGATAGATCTGATCAAGAAGGTGTTTCGCACCGAAGGGCCCCGCGGGTTCTACCGCGGCTACCTCGCCTGTGAGCGTTCTGTGTCTGCACGTTGAGAAACGCCCCCCGGGCCAGTTTTCTGAACCCCATCTCCCCTTTCACGCACGGCAGATATAGGAGCCTACGCGCCCGCATCCGCCGTCCAATGGGGCACCTACGAACGCGGCAAACCGCTCGTCCACCGCTTCCTCCTCTTCCTCGAAACCCACCTCCTCTCCAAACTCCCCTCCCTAGCACCCTCCCGACCCCCACCCCCACTCGTATCCCCGCAGACCCACGACCACCTCACCAACGCGCTCTCGGGCGGCCTCGCCGGCCTGTCTGCAGTCACGGCCAACAACCCCCTGGAGATCCTGCGCATTCGCCACCAGCTCCTCGACAGGACCGCCCCCGCCGACGCAGAGTGCATGCGCAGGGGATACTGGTTCCTCGCGAAGAGTATCTGGACCCAGGAGGGCTGGGGGGGGTTCTATAAAGGGTTGAGGTTGAGGGTGCTGGTGACCGTGCCCGGGGCGATGATTGCCATGAGTGGGTATGAGACTATCAAGGGGTGGAGTGCGGAGTGAGGGCGGGGGTTGCGATGTGCGAGGAGGATGTGCGGGGTTGGTTAGAGACCTTTTTGGACTTGGGTAGACTTTATAGAGATTAGGGCGGGGGAATACGAACTCTGTTTTCGTTTTTCTGGGAAGGTTTCTGCGTTAAGGGGGTTTTTTGTTTTTCGGTGCAGACTGTTGGAAGTTGGGGCTTTCTTTGGAGGAGGGCGCGGAGAGACTGGGTATGAGGCGCCACTATGTATTCGTTGTAGTGTTTGTTCACGACGATGGTTAGTAGGAGATGGCGTGCATACGAGGGCTGTTCGTGGGAGGGAGTGGGAGGGCGCTGGAAACCCCGACGCGCTCACCTCACGCGTTTCTCGACGGGCAGACGGAGAACATCACTTACTGTACAGTCACCTCGCAAAACTCTGTACCCCCCCTCTAATTGAAATCAATATTGGTCACTCACGTGAATTTGGCGTCGCGGCAGTCGCTGATTTATTTCAGGGGGGGGGTACAGAGTTTTGCGAGGTGACTGTACATATATAGCTCGCAGCTGTTCCTTGCCGGAAACCCATCACCAACCCATCACCTCCCTCCCGACAAGCGGGCCCTCACATTCGCGACGGAAACCGAATCCGCAAGACGCTGATACAGAGCTCTACTAGCATCTCGTGCTCGATGTGTCGAGCGCACATAACATAGGCTGTGGCACCCTCGAAAATTCCGGGCACGGAGGAGTACTTGGGCCGCAATTTCGAGGGTTGCGCATTCTGCCTGGACTGGACGGAGCAAGTTTTGAGCGGCCTCGTAAGTTCAATGAGGTCTGCTGTCGATGGAAGGCTCGTCAGCAGGTTCCTGGCCCGTTAACGTGTTCAATAGGAACATGGGATATTTCAACAACAGGTTCAGAAGCCTTACTAGATTTGGCGCTGTGGCCATACCTGGCAGTACTGGTTCCATCTTGGGTTCCCACCTACGGATGCGCCAGGATTTTGTTCCGGTAACTGGTGTTGCCTCGAATGCTGGGTTAGTTGGGGCGAATGTGGAAGGAGTACGCAAAGGAGCATTCTTGTAGATGCACATCATGAGAAATGAGCCGCATATAGGTCAGTGTATACATACACATGAGAAATAGTACATACACTCATGAGAAGTGGTATGTGCAACTGCCAGCATCGTTCGAATCCTCCTGCGAAGCGCGCATCTGGCACGAGTCGTGCAATGTCACCGCCCGCAAAAACTTTCGATATAGGAGGTTTCGCAACTCACTCCTCACCCCCCTCTTCCCTCCCCAAGACGCCCTCACTCTCCTCCCTCAGCAACGCCAACCCCAACGCCTCCCTCACCGTCTCTGACAAACTCGCCCCACTCGCCTTCCGACTCCGACTCCGCTGCCGACTCGACCCACCGCTCGACCTCCGTCGCGAACTGCGTCGTGGCGGCGGCGCCGTCTTTCCACCACTATTCCCACCCGCACCACCTCCACCACTCCCCGTCCCGCGCTTCAGCGACTCCAACAAATCATCCATTCCAAGCCCAAACCCACCGCCAGCCTCCCCATCATCCCCCTCATCCCCCGCCCCAAGCGTCGGCAAGCTCGGCAACGCAAACATCTCCGTAGTCGCCGCTTTACTCTTCCGCCGTTTGGACAAACGCTCCTCTTCTGCCTTCCGCCGCTTCTCATCCCGCTCTTTGCGGTCCCGGACCACTTTGTTCTCGGCCGACGCGACCGTGTAGCTGTCCATGAACGTCGTGAACACGGGGAGAAAGTCCTCCGGTTTCGTGAGTGCCGGGTCCTCGCCGTAGAACACCACGGCGTCTTCGAACGATTTCAGCATCTTGGTGTGCGCTTCGGAGAGCGCGTCGTATCTCTGCGTGGAGTCTTTCATGAAGGCGGCCATTTCAGCGCTGAAGCGGTCGGGCATCTCTACGCCGTTTTCGGTAACGGTGGGCGACGGTTTGATGGAATTCACAATCTCCCGCGTTTCCTCCATCTCCACTCGGAGATCTCGGATACCCTGCCTCAGAGCATCCAAGTCGACTGTGTGGGTGAAGGCTATGGTTAGTCCTCCATGTCGTTTAAGCATCCCACGCCGCCGTGTGAAAAGGAAGACATACTCCTCTGAGCCCTATAAACGATTTTCAAATCGTCCAGGAAATCACGCATGTGCGGAAACTTGGTCTCGACCGTGTCCGCGATGAAATGGAGGAGCGAGGATTTCGTTACGCCTTTTGTGCCTTCCAACTATACATCACATCATACAACATCACAGTTAGAGATGTGGATGGTGGGGAGGTGGGCAGGTGAGACGTTCGGGGACCTACCCTGTTGATGTTCTTGATCCGGAACCCGTGCGCGCCGCCGGAGAGTGAGCCCGAATTGAGGTAGTTTCCGATGAGGAGGATCAACTATTTGAGAATAGTGGGTTGGTGAGAACCGGCACAGGCCAAACAGGCCTCCCATTTTCAGACTGGCTACCTCCAACAAATCAGCAAAAGCGTCCGAAGTCTGCAACGCATCAAACCCCTCATACGCAGTCATCACATCCTAAAAAAGACAACAACGAAACGGATGTTAGCGTGTGAGACCAAGCCGGCTAATGGTTCCTGGGTTGGTTTAGTTGTACCTGGTACAATTTATCACACCGCTCCCCGAACTGCGCGCGGCATTTCATCGCTTTGAGGCGATCGGCACAGCGGTCGATTTTCATCATCTACAAAGGATGGCGGGGCAATGGAGGTGAAAGATACCGTGATACCGTTAGGGATAGGTCCATGAACAGGGGCCCAAGGGCGGGAGAGGGAATGCGTACCTCGAGCAAGAACAAATCCATTTTAGCGAGTTTTGGCCCGGTGCTCATATCAACAGCCTTCAGCGCCGCGATCTGCATTATAAGTCAGTAAATCTGAGAAGTGTATCAGAATGCCATGACAAGCAAACACATACATCGTCCTTCGTCAGGGCATTCTCCAGCAACGAGGTGGTAACCCGCTCCGTCATGATCACCGGATCGGCCGCCAGAACGGCTTTGCGCCAGTCGAGCGGGGTGAAGTTTTTCGTATCGCCGGCGGACAGGAAGATGCCTAGCATGCGATCGAAAAACTAAGAACACGCCGACGTATGAACCGCAACCATACGGGGGGGGGGGGGGGGGGGGGGGCGATGTAACAAACATACCCAAACTCTGCGCCTTCTTCGGATCAATCACCGACATCTCCTTCACAACCACCGCCTTCACCGCTTCATCCTCTTTCACTTTCCGGACCGCAAACAGCGACTCGACCTCCTCGAACACGCCCAGTTGCTCCGCCTGGTCTTCCATGTCCTTCGTGCCCGGTGATGCATCACCATCGTCGGGGTTCTCATCCGGGGAAGTGTGAGACTCAGCTTCCTTCTTGAGCTGCGCTTTCCGCCCCCAGATGCACTCTTTGGCGTCGGATTCGGAGACTTTTTCCCACGCGAATCTGCGGACGGGGGTTTTGGGGCGATACTTTTGGGGGCGGGTGTTTTTGGGGGCTGCGTTTGTGTGTTAAGCGAAGGAAAGACGTGTTAAGCGAAGGAAAGATGTGAAACTGGGAAGGCGGCTCAGAGGCTTACGTGGGAGCAACCCAAACCCGCCCGGTGGAGGCGGCCCCGGCGGCGGTGGCGGTCCGGGCCCAGGGGGCGGCGGTGGACCGGGCGGGGGCGGACCGCCCAAAACGGGAGGCGGCGGGGGCGGCCCGACCGTCCCTGGTGGCGGTGGTGGTTGCGCGGGATCAGTCAACAAGCTCGCAGTGCTGGTTTGGGCAGACAGGGGTCCGATATTTAATGACGCTGCGCTGGTCTGTGCGGAGAGGGGCGGAGTGAAGATGACCGGTTCGCTTAACATGGGGGCTAGCGGGTGGGGTGGGGGTGGCATTTGCGTTCCGGGCAGGGCGGCTGCTGTTGTTGTGGTAGTGGTGGAATCTGATGACCCGGGCTGGCCACTTGACACATCGTTATGCGACCCATAAGCCGAGTCCACACGGCCTTCTATGCCGTTCTCTTGGATCACTTTGAGGATGTCTTCTAGGTCCTGTGGTGAATGATATGGTCAGCGTGGTGCTTGCTCAACCGTGCGACTGAGGGTCCTGTACCTTCAGATGGTCTTCGAGACTCTTCTTATGTGCCGCTGAGTCGCCGTCGAGCTGCCGTTTTAGATCTAGGAGGTTGTTATCCCCGAAGCGCGGAGGTCCGCCGTCCCAGGCGGAGGAGACTTTTCGTGATCCCGATGGTCCTGAGAGAAACAATCACAGCACATCAACAACCTACATTCCGCATGTCACCACCCCAAGACGAGAGTATGAAGTGGATGGTTAAACCCAGCCGTCGCGCAACTCACCAAACTTATCCCTACTCTCAGACCTCGTCATCTTCGACTGCACCAGCTTCGCCTTCAGCAACTCATTCTCGGAGCTGATCTCCTCCGAGATCCCTTCCATCACTTCCTCGATCGACACCCGGTACATGTCCGTAAAGCTGGGGTCCATCCCGTTGCGATCCAGCACGACTTGCGAAATCATGAGGTCGAGGAGGCGGAATACTTTCGCTCTACAAACAAACCGCCCATCATTAGCCCGCACGCCTGCCTTTCCCCATATCCTCGTTCAACAACAACAACATACCTCGACGGCGCATCAATCAACCTCGCCGGAATCAGCAAATGCTGCAAAATGCTCAACACATAATCCCTGCCACCATCCTGCTCCGTCGTACACACAGAGCCCATCAGCGCGTCCAGGATACCGTACGGGTCCTGCAAGTCGAGGCTAGTGACGTTTTCGAGATCGTCGGCGAAGTCTTGGTGGTCGCGCGCGGCTTGCTCTTCGAATTGGTCGACATGCGTGAGGATTTCGGAGAATTCGGAGGCGGCCCAGGTTCGGAGGCGCTGAGGGGGTGGGTGTGGGTTAGTTAAACGTTGAGGCTTGATGCACGGGAGCGAATGGGGTTGCTTGCCTTCAGGACACGCCCAAACCCCGACGCCATCAACTCGTTGCGGAGATGAATCCTGTATTCCAGCTCGTCGGGGACTTGAACAACCAGTTTGAGCAGCGTTATCGCCGAAACCTACAGAAAGAGGATCCACCATCAGAAATTCCATCACCATCCGCTTAACCCTTCCTTTCCCACGTCCGTAAAACCGCAGGACATACCAAAAACCCTTTAATCTCTCTCTGCATATCCCCCTTCCCCCTCCCGCCCCAACTCAACCCCGGATCCCTCGCGCCCTCCACTCTGGCCCCAACAGCCGTCCCAAAAACGCCCCGAGTCGAAACCAAATACTCCAAACTCTCCACCAGCCTTGCGAACGTATACAAATCATCATGGCTCGCGCGAAAGTGGTTGAAGGCGTCCATAACCAGCTTGTGCCCGCGCGGGTACTCGATGGTGACGAGGCAGAGCAGGAAGTCGATTGCGGTGGTGCGGATGGCAAGCTGGGGGGAGTCGAGAGAGAGGACGATCGTGCGCAGGTAGGAGGGGGAGGAGAGGAGGACCAGGATGCCTTTCTGGTGGGACATGCGGTGTCAGTGATGTGGGATTCGAGAGAACAGAGGATTCACCCATCACTTACTCGCTGGTTCGTCAGGATCTTCAATACTTGCAATACATTGCGTTCGACTTCGAAATGCCGTCCTTTGCTAATGGCAGTGGAAAAGCGTCAGCCATTTTCTAGCCGCACGTGCATCCCACTCCATGAGCGCACCCCAAAAGTACCTATCATTCTTCCGATGAGCCCCCCTCAACACCCCAATTAACGCCTCCCACCCGCCCAAAGCCGCAAAATCATTCATCCAACTCGTCGGTTGGCTTCTACACTGCCTGTATAGCTCCTCCAACACCCCGACCAGAACCCCCTGTCTACTTTGGCCCCCGGTAACACTCCTCGAGATCGCATTCAAGAACTTCTCCCCGCGTTTCTTGTGCTGTGAATGTTGGGTGGTGGAGAGGAGGTACTGGACGTAGTAGGAGGGTCGTTTTTCAGAGTCGCCTTGTGGGGAGCGCTGGTCTTCGGCGTTGATAATCTGGATGAGCTTGAGTTTGGCTGCTTTGGAGGTGGCGTTGAGGGAGGTGCGCTGGTGGGCTGCCTGTGACCCGTAGCCTGCCGCGAGTGCCAGATCAAACAACTCATCCACCGCCTCAGCACTCAAATCATTGAAGTTGGTTTGAGTCTGGTAGTACACCCGCATGCGGTCCTGAAGTTTAGAGCGTGCGATACGGGCGTCGTCTTCCGTGAGGGATTCTTCGGAGGGGAAAGACGCGGACTCGGTGGAGGCGAAGGACTTGATGGTGGCGAGGGAGGCGCGGTGGGTGCGGCGAGTGCGGTAGCTGCGGATGGAGGAGACGGAAGACACGGAGGGGGAGCGCGGGATGGTGGGGGCGTCGGCGGTGAGGTAGTCGCGCGTGGGGGTGCTGGGCTCGGAGGAGTCGCCGGCGTTGCGGTAGTAGTAGGACATCGTGGGTTGTGTTGGAGGAGGTCGGGGGAGTGAGCGTTTGGGGGTACTTGACAGTAGGGCGTCAGCGATCCTGCCCACCGCCACTTCTCAATCAGTGTAACTTTCAAAGCGATGTCGACAATCAAGCGACGGTATTCAATCCGACGCTCGCCGGCGAGTTGCTTCGCCACGGGCCAACTCAAACCGCAGAAACACACGGTACTGCGATCCGCCCTGTAGATTCAGAGTACCTTGCGAACCTGCAGCAGTTCTCATATACAGGACTTCTTCGTTATGTTGCAAGGAAAACCGCAAACCAACGTCTTGCCCAAATTGTGTTGACTGTCCGATTCTGTCGTTCTCTGTTCACGGCGAAGGGCTGAACGCGTCAAGAATGACGGAAACGCGTGACACCACCCAAAAAGCTAATCCCGCTTTTGACACTATGGAGACCACAGATATCGTTTTCGACCCCAATACCTTCCGCTGTTTCAGAGCCACATAACAACCCATCATCCGAACCAGCCTCAGCAATGGCATCCCTCTACACCCACCAACACCCACCCGCCTACCCCACACCTTTCAGCCTACCCAACCACAACCCCATGCAGAACCCCAACACCTTCCCATCCGCCTTGCCATTGAATCCAACAACACAGCCATCCGTCCTTCCCCTACCAGTAAATTCTTCAACGACAACGGAAGAAGAAGACCCTAACGACGCAATATACACCTGGGTCGACAGCATCCCCCTCTCGCGCCCGAAACGAAATATACAACGGGATTTCAGTGATGGCGGTGCGTTTTCCATTTTCAGTCTCTGATATTTGCTTTCAAGGATCGCACGATTGACTATCATATGATGCCTTTTTGCTACATACAGTGGCAACAGCGGAGGTGATACACCACTACATCCCGAAACTGGTGGATTTGCACAACTACCCCCCGGCAAACGGAGTCAAGCAAAAGTTGTACAATTGGGCTACATTAGATCGTAAGCCCCATTTTGCGTCTTTGCACCCGACACATGGACAATAGCTGAGCGGGCATTTTTATTTCCAGAAAAAGTTTTTCGCCGCCTCGGACTGAGGGTAGACACCTCAACAGCCGAAGCGATCGTAAAATGCACGCCGGGGGTGGTCGAGGGCGTGTTGCGGGGGTTGAAGGACAAGGTATGTGCGTATACAAGTATGCGTGAGCTTTTCCGTGTGGGTTCACTGACAGATATCGTGGGCTTAGATTGAGGCGTACCTCGCCCGGCACCATCGGTCGCATTCCTCGCTCAATTCCTACTCCCATCTCAACTCCTCAAATGGGTCAATGGCGTCCTTGGATGCTGCACACTCACAGGCGAATCTGGGTGTAGGTGCAGGGGGCATGATCGCGCCCGCGCACGGGGATAGCGGATATGCATACACCACACAGCAGATGGGTGGTCCAATAGATGTGGGGTATGCCGTTTCACCACAACACCACCACCAACAACAACAGATCCAGCAATTAACCGAGACGGTGGGGATGCTGCAGCACAAGGTGGAGAGGTTGGAGGAGTTGGTTAGCTTGAAGGAGAGGCAGGTTGAGGGTCTGGGGTTGCGGTTGAGGGCTCATGGGTTGGAGTAGACTGGTTGGATGGGGCCGGGGATGTTAGGGAGCGATGGCTCGACGAATAAGCTGCTCTGATGTGAGCCCCGTGGTATGATGTGCGAGCGGAAGCGAAACGGTGCGGTCGTGTGCTGCGGATCCCCTTATGCACTGGCATCCAACAAAGTTTGGCCCGAATGAGAAAACACTGGCCAGTCAAGATAAGCCTCGATGTATGTAGCCCTTGGGACCACCTTGTTTTACAACATGTAGAGCTTAGGGACTTTCGAAAACTCAAACTCTAAGACGCATCGGATGTTATTCAAATCCGATCGCACTATACTCTCGCCCAAAAGCCAGCTTTCATCCCTTTCGTGTCTCAAAGCTCAAGCTCAGACCATATTCGAACCCTTCGACTTCAGCCCCACTCCATCAATCCTGCTCGACCCCACGACGCCCGGCTGCACGACCAACTTCCGATCACTCGCGGCGTTCTTTGATTTGTCCGACGCGGAATTCTGGCTCTTCACCCTCGAATTCACCGTGGTCTTAATAATCGCCTGCGTCGTCAAAATATCAAACAGCAGAATTATCGGATACGTGCCCTTGATCATCCACAAAAACTGGTTGAACCCCGCCAACGTCGGCGTCGGGTTCTTGATCTGCCCGACAACCACAATCGCAAGCGTATTCGCGCAGATAATAATCAACCGCAACAACGACGATTTCATCAGCGTCATGATCAGATCGCCCGCGCCACGGATATTCTGCTGCTGCTTCGCGTCGTGGATATCCATGTAGGTTTTGCCGACCAGCATGAAGAAAATGAGCAGGTCCGCGATGCCCCAGATGATAAACGCCCAGCTGTGCGCTTCGGAGATGGCGGGGTTGCCCGTGACGTTGTCGCGCACGCGCAGGATGCCGATGTTCATGCGGAACCCGGTGAAGATGAGCGCGAGGACGCCCATGAAGTAGCGCAGGTAGCGGCGGTACGTGTCTTGGGTTATGATGACTTCGATCTTGCAGAGGGAGTAGTAGACGGTGGCGATTTCGTTCGTGATCCAGTTCAGCTCGTTGAACCCTGTTGCGAGTGCAATGCGTCAATAATGCGGCACTGTTCAATCCAAACGCAAACATCACAACCTACCCAAAATCAACCCAACCCTCGTCGCCCCCTCACATTTGTCATTCGCAATAAACGCACTCTCCATGATGGTCCCCAAAAACCCCGCCGCGCCATGCGCGAGCACGATCGTCCATAGTCCTTAGCCAGATCATTTTAGAGATAAGTCGTTAACTCAATTGCTATCAATATTGAGATCAACAGTTTGCTTCCCTACCTCGCCGGTTCGAGATGAGGTACCCATACATGACCATCGTGCATCCGACGAGCTGCACCCAGTTCATGCCCGTGTCGATGCTGTCGAGCCAGCAGCTGCTGAAGGGTTTGATCATTTTTGCGCAGAGCCCGAGGTTGGATGTTATGGGCGTCGGTGGGGCTAACTGACAGCACCCGGCCGGTTTTTTTTCTCACATATGCGAGGCGCTGGAGCGGGGTGGGTGGTTTGCTAAGTCTCATATATATGATCGTTGTTCACATTTCAGATTCTTCGAGAGCTCTTTGGCTCACCAAAGCTGCCCCTTTGGTCCCTTTGGATTGCCTAGCACTGGCACTTGTGGGAAATCGTATGATCGTATACGCCATAGTTGGCGCCACGTTCCGGAATGACGGAGCCTGGAACGGAGGGACCGTGGATCGGTATCTATTCAGGTTACTGATTGCTTATTGTACATGTCAGGTACGTTGGAAGCCGATTAGCAAGTTAAAATCCAATAAAGTTACACTGCAGGTTTATTCGTCATTAGCGAGGAGCATCCGTCCACATTCGACACTCATTGTAAGTATTCTGAAGAGATGACTCCTGCCGAGCTTCTTATTGTTGTGCGTCGCCAATATCCGTTTGCGGTGTTTTGAAAGCGAGTGTACATCACCCGCGCCGTTCAGTGTCAACGGAGGAGCTCTTTGAAATCTGTGAGTGTCTCGTAGACCGTGCCGAGACGCAGACTGCGCGCGAATATATCGGCAACGTTCCTTGGTGTTGAACGCTTTCTCTTTCATAAGATCAATGTACTTTCTTCCTTTGCGCATTGGTCACCCGGCTTCGTGTCCTGTTTCAAAAAAGAAGCTTCGCTTTGATGCCCGTCTTTCATTTTCGTGGCCCTGATGGTATAGATTTCGCCACGCATTTACGTTTGGCCCAACATTTCGTTTGTCTGGCTGCCGGAACAAAAAAAAACAATCCAATCGCCCAGGAATGTTTTTCAAGGTTTGACGGAGCGGAGTTGGCGCTGATGGGCATTGGATGAGCTTTCATGTTTCACCAATGAGCGTGCAGAGAAAGGGGGGGTCGGTAAACAGATAGTTTTTGGTATCATCTGACAGGCCCCCTACGCGCGTGTTGCACTCAAATTGACGGCATCTAAGAGATCCCGACCAGACAAATTTGAGGTGGGCGTTTGGACGAACCTGTCAGCGAGCGTTCTCTGCTTGCATCCCCAACGCACGAGATCGGACATGAACGTGATAAAGTTCGCATCCTGGCCAAAATCATTACCAGGCGAGAAAATGATATAAGAGAGTACCCGAGAAGCATGCCCCTCCCAACCTCCAACACATTCTGTTCCCAACATACCCCCCTCACTTCGCAACCATGGTCTCAATAACCCAAACCACCCTCCTCGCCCTGCTCTGTACCTCCGTCGGCGTCTCCGCCGTCACCAACCCACCGCCGGGCGCCTTCATCGTCTCCAAAACCCCAAAAGGCACCACGAAAACCTTCCCCACAGTCTCTTCAGCCATCCAAGCCCTTCCCGCCGATAAACCCGCCACCCTCTTCATCTACCCCGGCGTCTACCGCGAGCAGGTCGTGATCAATCGCAAGGCACCCTTAACCATCATCGGATACTCCCGCCACGACGCAGACTACAAATCCAACCAGGTGTTGATCACCTACAAGCAGCCCGCGTCGACGGTGGGAAGCAACGACAAAAGCGGAACCCTGCAGGCGCATCTGAAGGATTTCGCAGTGTACAACGTCAACATCCGCAACGAGTGGGTTGGATCACAGGCTATCGCAGTGTCTGCGCAGGACGATCGGCAGGCGTATTATGGGTGTCAGTTGCTGGGATACCAGGACACGCTCCTCACCAACGCAGGCCACCATTTCTTCGGAAAGACGTACATCGAGGGCCGGACGGATTATATCTTCGGACAACGCTCCCGCGCGTACTTTCAGAAATGCGATATGCGGTCGTTGGATAAGGGCTGGGTGACGGCGTCCGGGGTGGACTCGGCGCAGAATCGGGGCGTGTATGTGTTCAATCAGTGTACGGTTGCCGCGGCGAAGAAGGCGGTGCCGACGGTTAAGGGCGGTGTCTTCCTTGGCCGGCCGTGGCGGACGTTCGCACACGTCCTGTTTATGAACTCGAACCTGTCTGATGTGGTCAACCCGGAGGGATGGGCGCGGTGGAGACCGACCGATCCGGTGGAGAACTTGCAGTTCTATGAGTATAACAACAAGGGCGTTGGCGCGCGAAAGCAGAAGCGGGCTGGGTTCTCGAGACGGCTGGCGACGAAGGAATTGTCGCAGTATACGATTACCAAGGTGTTGAACGGCACGGCATGGGTTGATAAACGGTATATGTAGCTCTCGGCCACGGTATATGTAGATTTTAGAACGTAGATGGCCATAGAAATGTCAAGTAGAAATGCAGTAATACATACAGTACATAGATCTAATGATGAATTCGACTCATAGACCAGCGAATAGCTCTTTTGGCCACCTGTACCGTATATGCCTACACTGTATATATATGCCTACACTGTCCAAATACTGTCAAACCTACCTACTTTTGCGGTCCCTGTCTCTGAGACCTCCTCCTCGCGCTCTCTTCTTCCAACCCCAGCACACGCCGAGTTCCACACCCCGACACAGCAACAACAACAACGACAACACAACAACAACGACAACAACGACAACAACCATGCCCAAAGCGCCCCCACGCCGAACTCAATCTGGTGCTGGAGCAGGGAGGGGTAGGGACGACCGAAACTACTCCTGCCTTGCTCCTGGAGGAGTATGCGTTGTTTGCGGGGCTCGGACGTCCGCCGCGTGGCGAACGGGCATTGTGAACAACGTCAAGACAGCCAGGGCGGCCTGCAATAAGTGTGGGCGCGCGCAGGCATATCTGGACGCCATCGCTGCCCTCCCGGGCAAACCCGTCGTCCCCTCAACCACCCTCCCCGCACCCGCCCCAGCCACCACGCACCTCACCCGCCAGCCCCCCGTCTCCGCCCACCATCCCCCCGTCTCCACCATCCCAACCCCCGTCTCCACCGCCCAGCCCCCCGTCTCTGCCGCCGCTCCCCGTCTCCGCCCCCCAGCCCCCCGTCTCCGCCCGCCAGCCCCCCGTCTCCGCCCCCCAGCCCCCCGTCTCCGCCCGCCAGCCCCCCGTCTCCACCGCCCAGCCCCCCGTCTCCGCCCGCCAGCCCCCTGTCTCCGCCCGCCAGCCCCCCGTCTCCGCCCGCGAGCCCCCCGTCTCCGCCCGCCAGCCCCCAGTCTCCGCCCGCCAGCCCCCCGTCTCCGCCCACCATCCCCATTGCGGCAACATTCCGTTGCAGCGTCCTCACAATGCACCACCCCATACCAGATACACATCCAATCAACGGGCGGTCGAGACAAAGTCTCGGTACTTTCAAAGAGACATGAGAGAGCGAAAGATCAATGCCGGCATTGCTGAGATGGAATCACATATTCCATCGCACAAGAGCATGAACATCGAGGCGTTCTCAGCGTTCATTGTGGATCACTTACATGCAGGTATGATGTATTATGCATTGTCTTCAAATTCCATAATACATGGGCTGACATCCATATCCCAGATCCCGCCATGGACGAGTTTTACCAGGATGAGATTCACGTAGCTCGCAGATTCAAGGCGTTCTCACTGCGGCAAAAGTCTGAGAGCAAGCTCATCAAGAACATGCGACGCCGGTATGGAAAGCATTTTTCGGTCATCTTGGGTGATTGGAGCGATGCTGGGAAAACGATGCGCTTTCAGGAGTCATCGAAGACCAAGGGGTGAGTGACCATCATTGTTTTTTATGTACTATAATATGCTAACTCATCATGGAACAGATTCCGCACGCTCTTTGCGAGAAACGGCATTCCATGCTACTTGCTGGATGAGTATCGAACGTCGTCCGTGTGCCCACACTGCCACGGGCGTGTGAAGAAAAACATCCGACGCCAGCTGTCACCTCGGCCGTGGCAAGCTAGAAAGGGAAGAATGGAATTCGTCCACGGATTGGTGGGTTGCTCCAACCCCGAATGTATCAACCAAGACTGGACGCCATTTGAGATTCCTGGGAGACAACCACTACGGATGAAAGTGCACAATCGGGACGTCCTAAGCACCAAGAATTTCCTCTTGATTGTGCGTTCGGTGGTGTTTGGCATTGATGGCCGCAGACCCGACGCATTCTCCCGTAACCGGTAGTCTAGATTTCACCCCATCCCATTTTCCGTGGTGGTTATCTGCCATCCACATCATTGTACCTCTGCCTGAGGCGTCGCCGATGATGGCAACTTGTACCTCTCCGCATTCCATTTCCATAAGCACCTTCATACCCATGCGCTTCCCTAAAGGTTTCGTCACGTGCGAAGTGCTATCTTGATACATTGAAATGAAAAAGAAGCATGCCTCCCAAACATCCACCTGCGGGCCGCACAGCATGTCACAAACAGTGTGGACCGGCACAGAGGAAAGGTATATTTGTCATGACGCAGAGGTAAGTAAATCATATACACTCATGATCAAAAGGTAAAGGAGGGGTGTAGGTATCTGCGAGCGAGCGAAAGTGCTCGCCAGAACGAGCCCGGGAAAAACTAAACGACAAATCTTCGGAAGAGCAACCATCTTATATACAACACCTCCTTAGCGACCGTACTGGGGTGATGGGAAATGTCAGTTTTGGGTGTTGATATCATGGTGGTAGCAAAGCGAGGCCAGATGCATACCTTTTGGAACTCCCACTCTCGGTTATCCAATGGACACACTTGGCGGGTCTTCAACCACCTGGATATGCAGTGGAAATGGAACGCGTGCTATGGAGGGAGAGAGAGGAATAAGCGATGGTGCGAATGTTTCTTGTTGCTGAGCGCCAGAGGAGCAGTGCGTCGTTTCCCAACCCTCTCCCATAGCTACTCCAATTTGGATGGAGTAGTGCCTCCAACGAATCCGCATGCCGGATACTCACATTACAGATTCCCCAGGCCACAGTACACTCCTCGCTCGTCGCTGATGCTTGGTTCGCTTGGCATTCTATGCACAGGTCCATGATGTGATTTCGGCAAATGGCACAGTTGTCGACCACAATATCTGAAACCATCCAAAGGACATCAAACTACTGCTCCCGTCCAGTATTGGAACCGCTTACACCCCAGCTCTCATCTCCAAAATCCCCAGCACATATGAAACCCCCGTCGTCCTGACCCCAATCCCATCCCCACCCCTAAATTATCCCTTCCCCAAACCTACCCCAAGCCCACAACGCTACAGCATTCCACTTCTTGACCTCGAATCGTTTCTTTCCCGCGGCGGCTTCCTTGCCCTTTGCGCTCTTTGGTTTGGCCGTGCTGCTGCCGGGCTCGGCTGTGTCGACGACGTCTGTGGGCGGGTTGTCGATGTCCATTGGTGTTGACATTTTTGCGATAGGGAAGGGAGGGAGAGTGGGAGGAGTGGATGGAGTGATCTGCGTGTGGGAAGGCGGGTGTGGTGGGTCAACTGTTTGAGCACGATTGCGAGGATCCAGGTTTCAGTTATGGCGAATAAGTGGAAGTTGAGTGGAAGTCGGTTCTCACTTGGTTCTCACTGTCATCCGCGTCAACTTTGGAGTTTCCAGCGCTTGCAATCCTTTGCTTTCCCGTTCGGATTCAGGTCACAGCAGTCACCCCCTTTGGACGCTTCTCAGATATCATCGAGGTAAGTTTTACGCACGCACAGAGCTGGGTTGCCGACCACGATCTCCTGATCTCTGAACCGTCTTTCGCAAAGCAATTCTAACTACAGCTTACTCCTCCCAGCCTCACCCACTTTCAACATCAACAACACCTCTTCGACGCCATGGGAAAGAGAAAGTCGGCAAGGAAGCCTATGAAGAGGACGAAGCAAACGCTGGACCAGAAGTTTGCGTGCTTATATTGCAGTCATGAGGATACCGTTACCGTTAAACTGTAGGTTTCATACCCTGTGCGCACGTCATCCGATGGAAGGTTCTTCCTCACGCAAAACCATCCCTACCATAATGAATGATCATATACAGAGACCAAGCCAACAAAATCGGCAATCTCGCCTGCCGGGCCTGCGGCGTCTCCTACCAATCCAAAATCCACGCTCTAGCCGAGCCCGTCGACGTCTACTCCCAATGGATCGATTCCGCCGAAGATGCGCAGAAAGTCGAAGACGAGCGCCGTGCTTCAACAGCAAGTGCGAGACGGAATGATTCACCTGGCGCGGGCGGTGATGAGGATGGAGTTGGGGAGGATGATGTGGATGAGTTTGGGAGGGAGGATGATGATGAGGAGGAACGGGCTCCGCCTAGGGCAAATCGGGATGATTTTGTAGTTGATGATGAGGATGATGATGAAGACGATGCGCCGAGACAGACGAAGAAGTCGTCACGTAGTCGGTATGACGATGAGGATGAAGACGAGGAGGACGAGGATCTGGATGTGCCTCCTGCTAGATCGATACACCCTCAGGCATCGCGAAAGCCCGCTGACGATCTTTTTGGAGACGAGTCGGAGAATGATGAGGAGGATGAGGATATATGATCTGGTTTCGGTTGAAGAACAAGGGAGAAGAGACGGGCCTGTGGATAGCATCCGACAGTCGTCTACATCACACACCCACTCCGACGTAGAAGCAATGTAACTTTATGCCACATTTGCTTAGGCTAATTCGAACGATGGTGGAGCTCAGAATACAGAAACTTGATACATCATGTATACGGTGTTGGATCTCGGCTTGGAGGATTCCGTCTGCTAGTTCCGTGCCTGAAAAGAACTCACACATAATAAAATCACGTGACCGTTCGCATCCGGACCCTTCCAACCAGCGCAACTTTCCAAGTCCGAGCTGCTGCAATACCCATTGCTCCTACCCGACCACGAAACATCTATTATATTCCCAACGTCCATTTGACTGCAAAGTAGAGCGTATACCAGCGTCTATATCTGCCGTCAACTCTCTCCTCAAAGCACGGCATTACACCCGTCGATCAGGAAAAACCAACCGCTGGGAAATATCAACTCGCGACGATCTCAACCCACACATACCCTTAGATCACAATGGCGTCCAGACAGGGAAACCCGCTGCCTATCGGAGGTATGCATACCTCCCCTTATTGCTCGGTTGGGGAACGAGGAGGCATACGCGCTGGAGTCCGGGTTTTATGTCTTATGGACTGCGTCTTATGGACTGCGAATTGGATCACTAACGTTGCCTTTCACTGCCCCGTTTGTGATCTGCGCAGGTACAAGAACCTCGGGTGCTGAAGTCAGGGCACAAAATGGTAAGACTCTTTGTCTTCAGGACGGGTTGTCTAGGAAAAGACGTTTGACTATCAGTTTTCTTCCCAAACTCGTATTAGTCTTGGCTGCGCTTACTGTCGCCAACGTGGTGAAAAGTTCATTAGGTCCCGTCGGCTTGGACAAGATGCTCGTGGATGACATCGGAGTGAGTCTCTTCCACGATCTATGCACTGCCTGCCGGTGTACAGCGAGCTCACTGTTCCATCACAGGACGTGACGATCTCCAACGACGGAGCGACCATCCTGAAGCTCCTGGAAGTCGAGCACCCCGCCGCTCGCGTCCTGGTAGAGCTGGCTCAACAACAGGACAAAGAGGTCGGAGACGGCACAACGTCTGTCGTCATCATTGCCTCGGAGCTCTTGAAACGCGCAAACGACCTGGTAAAGAACAAGATCCACCCCACGACCATCATCTCTGGATACAGGCTCGCGAGCAAGGAGGCTGTCAAGTTCATTGTGGATCAGATGACGGTGAAGGTGGATGCTTTGGGCCGTGAATGTCTGATAAATGTCGCGAAGACTACCATGTCCTCGAAGATCATCGGATCGTGAGTTCAGAGGGTGCAGTGTTTCAAAGTCTCCCATGTGGGTGATGTGCTGACCGTCGCTTTGATTTCCCAGTGAGGACGAGTTTTTCGCGGATCTTGTTGTGGATGCTATCACGGCCGTCAAGACTGTGAACTACAAGGGAGAAGCCAAGTATCCCGTCAAGGCTGTGAACATCTTGAAGGCGCACGGAAAGTCTGGCAAGGAGTCGCTGCTGATTAAGGGTTACGCGCTCAACTGCACTGTTGCGTCGCAAGGTACCTGTGCCATGTTCTTCTGTCTAAGATGTTGCTCGTATCTAAGCCCTTGTCAACAGCTATCAAGACAAAGGTCGTCGGAGCAAAGATCGCATGTCTCGACATGAACCTGCAAAAGGCGCGTATGCACCTTGGTGTCAATATCGTTATCGACGACCCCGACAAGCTTGAGGCTATCCGAAGGAGGGAGATTGAGATCACAACGGAGCGTATCCAGAAGATTCTGGCGACGGGAGCCAACGTTATTCTTACCACCAAGGGTATCGATGACTTGTGCCTGAAGCTTTTCGTGGAGGCTGGCGCTATGGCTGTGCGTCGTGTCAAGAAGGAGGACTTGAAGCGGATCGCCAAGGCTACGGGAGGTACGTCTCATAATCTTTTCTTGGATGAATATAGACAGATGCGTCGCGATGGGCTGATCTGTTTGGCACTTTATAGCTACCTTGGTCGCAACACTGGCAAATTTGGAGGGAGAAGAGACGTTTGACGCGGCATACCTTGGAAACGCCGAAGAAGTCGTCCAAGAGCGCATCTCTGACGACGAGTGCATTTTGGTCAAGGGCACCAAGGTCCACTCCTCTGCCTCCATCATCCTGCGTGGAGCCAACGACTACATGCTGGACGAGATGGAGCGATCTGTCCACGATTGCCTGTGTGCCGTCAAGCGTACGCTGGAGAGCAACGCCGTCGTTCCTGGTGGCGGTGCTGTCGAGAGTGCCCTCTCTATCTACTTGGAGAACTTTGCCACTACCCTGGTGAGTATCGTGTGGATGGCTACATTTCTAGTTTCGTGTGTGTCCAGTGGAACCATTGTGTTGATCTTGCAACCTTTCACATTGTAGGGATCTCGTGAGCAACTCGCCATTGCGGAATACGCCAACGCCTTGCTGATCATCCCCAAGACATTGGCCGTCAATGCCGCGAAGGATGCCACTGACTTGGTCGCCAAGCTCCGCGCGTACCACAACGCCGCGCAGAATGCCGGCGGGGACAAGTCGAAGCAGGCTCTGAAGTGGTATGTGCATCATTCCGTGTACAAAGACGCGAATGCGCATCTCAGCTAACACTCTCCTGTCTGTTTATAGGTACGGCCTCGACTTGATCAAGGGTGTTCCGAGGGATAACCTCAAGGCAGGAGTCCTCGAGCCCGCCATGTCCAAACTCAAGTCGCTCAAGGCCGCCACGGAGGCTGCTATCGCGTTGTTGAGGATAGAGTAAGCTTCCCAGTCTTTCACTGTCGGCAGGTTGATAAAAAGGACCGTATGCTCACCCTCCACCTTTCCACAGCGATATGATCAAGATAGAACCCGAGCAGCAGGAGCAGGACCCACACGGTCACTAAGCCCAAGCTCTTTCTACAAAACTGGACTGACACGCTGTCTTCCCCGGTGTCTGTCGCCGTATAAACTATTTGTAAAGAAAAACGGTAGTGGGGGTTGGTTACATGGATTGGCGGGCCGTGGGAGATTATGATTATGTACAGTTGACAGTTTTCGAGAGAAAAACTGCGTAAATGACGACTTGGGGATATGTATGTAATTTGAGGGGATGTTTGTTATGAAACTTGTGTCGTGTGGGATTGAGGTGGGGCTTTTAGTGCACGATGATTTTGCCGAAAGGGAACGCCCCGACGAATCCGAGCTTCCAGTGCTCGTAGGCGAATGGGAGGCCTGTTGGGTTGCGCATCAGACGGGAGTTGGATGAGGAGAGTTCGCAGATACAAACGGTTGATGTGGTGGAGAACGTACCAATAATAGTCACCGCGAAAATCAACGACAGCAGAAAATGAAACAGTGCAATAATCCATCCTGCAAACCATCCATCAATCCAATCCCATCCATCAACACCCTCCCCCTCCTCCCCCCGCCCCAATCATCCCGATCAAACTCACCAATAACCAAAAACCACACCACATTGAACACGAACCGCAGGCCGTGGATGCCGGGGAGGTTGCCGACGGCGGCGCCAAAGGGGAGGAGGGAGAGCGAGCCGAGTTTGATGGCTTCGATGCCGAAGGGGATGCCGACGACTTCAAAAAGGCAAGAAACAAAAAAACGGGGAGTGAGTGGGTGGGTGGGACGGGAGGCGGGCAAGGGGGTGGGGAGGGGGGGCCCCGTACTTGTGATCATCATCAACAGCCCGCCGATACAGTCTACACAGAACCAAAATGGACAGAGTGGGAGCGTCAGTCTCCGCGATGCATATCCCAAAATCACATTTGACTCCAACGGTTCTTCGGATGGGGAACGAAACAGGTTGGAGATGAAGGTTGCGGGTGGCGGTTTACGTACAGAGCAGGAAGAGCACTTCGCCGCCGAGGAGGAACCATAGGATGTTGAGGAGGACGTCGCGGGCGCGCATTGGGTTTGATGAGCCCTAGCGGAGGTTCTTATCGCTTTTTGGTTCGAGAGGCGTGAGAGCGACGGGAGGGTATGTTTATGTATGTAGATTCGGGACAATCACCTGGATTGGGAGTAGGAACATGTAGGTGCTTCTTGGCAAGCTGTGGAGAGGCTGTTTTGTTGGATGCGAGGGAAAGTGACAGTACTGTTGAAAGCCGGCTTCGAAGGAGCAGAACGGAGCGCTTCTTCTCAACAGTCCAAACTCCCGCAGCTTCCGCAACTCCCAGCCCACAATGACTGCAACAACGGTAATAAGAGTTGGCAAGCAACACATAGCCATGGGCAGGCTGGCATTCGCCCCGCAGCGCTCTCTCTTGGGACTCGGCGCCTCTCGACCTTTCACCGGATTACCAACCTCGTATGCGTTAGCTCGGTATGTTTGTGCCCATTCCAGCCGACGGGCGGAGGATCGAATATGACCCTGACAACTGCAACTGCAACTCAACTCCCGTCCTTCTTCCAGACCATACCGCTCCATAACCTCAACCCCCAACTCCGCCACCCAACGCCCCTCCACCACCGTCAAGCGGACGCAAGTCGTCCAAAAGCCCAGCTCCGACTCTGCAGTGGCAACACCGGGCCTGGGCGAGAAAGCAAAAGAGTTCTTTGAAAAGTCCAAAGCGATGATGAAGCAGATCATCGCGGGCGGGAAGATCTTCATGGCGGAGACGAAGGAGTGCAAGGAGTTGAAGAGGAGGAATACGGTGGAGGGGTATGAGTGGACTAGGAAGGAGTATTTCTTGGTGCGTCTATCTACATGTTACCCCACGGTTGGTGGAATGAAGTGTCTCATAGTGGAGTATCTGACCGTTTTACAGATTAAGAAGAACGAGCGTGATTTCTGGAAAGCGATTCCTTTTGTGTTCTGCTGCGTGTTTCTCGGAGAAGCCATTCCGTTTTTGCTGCTTCGTGGGATCGTTCCTAGCCCGTGCCTTACTCCTGAGCAAGTGGTAAGAGAATGGAGGAAAAATGTGAGATGGTTGTGTGGATTACTTCTTGACTGACAAGATTTTGGAATTTTTGTAGGAAGCAAAGACGAAACGGTTGCAGTCCATTCGGCAGGAGCTGGGGTTTACTGTGGTTGAGAAGATCAACGATGGTGAATCCGTCGGTGGACAGAACGTATGTTTCGTACTCGAGAGCCCCTTGCATGAGACATCTTGACAAACCCACATGCCCCCCGTCCTCTCCCCACAGGTCTCCCCTTCATCCCTGACAACCGACGCCTTCCTCCTCCAACTCGCCAACACGCAACCGCAATACTTCCACATCACCCACCTAAAAGGCTCCCAACTGCGCGACTTTAACAAATACCTCGGCATCTGGCGCTTCGGCCCGGCTCCGTATTTGAGACGCGTCCTCCGCCAACATGAGGAGTATATCCGCAGGGACGATCAGTTGTTGCTGCAGGAAGGGTTTGAGGATCTAAGTGTGGAGGAGGTGAAGGCGGCTGTTGATGCGCGGGGGTTGTAAGTTTATCACCTGGGTGCTACGTCTTACGTTTCGGGAACAACAACAGTTAACGTACTCTCGCCCCCCCATTCATCATAGACCATCGGTAGGAATCTCCGAATCCCAAATGCGCGCAGACCTCAAGAAATGGATCGAGTTGAGCACGAGCGGGAACCCGGATGTGCCCTTCTCGCTCATCCTTCTTGCTGGAGTGGTTAGGACGCATTTGCAAGGGTCTTTCACTGTGCAGAATAGGATAGAGAGTAGGGAGGAGGAGAAGACGGTGGCGGTTGCTAGTGGGTAGAAGATGTGTGGGGGGGGGGGACTAGGTAGTTGGAGTATCTATTGCGTTTTAGACAGCGGGGTGGCGGGATATCATAGAGATGGGGTTGGATAACTCATAAAAAAAAGACATTGCTTGCATGGACACAGCTCTCCGTCAGGAAGCGAGAAGGGGGGAAGCGAGAGAGAAAGGGGGCATCTGACGCGTCGTGGAGGGCGTTGAGGGTGACGTTGGCGTGTCGGGCGGGACTCGGAAGGCGCTTCTCCACGGGGGCTCTCGCTCGCTCGCAAAACACACCCAACTATTACTGTATACCTGGACAGCAGCACCAACGCAACCCACAGACTCCCTCCAACCACCGTCCCTCATAACAACCAACAGCACCCACCCTCCCTCGCTTCAGCTGCAGCGCCCGTTCTCAGAGATACGGCCAAGAATGCCCCTCCCCTACGACATCCTCTCCGGGCACCCGCTCCCCACCTGCCCGTACCCCTCCTCCTCCCTCCCGCCCCCCTCCTCCCCCGGCCCCAAACTGCACAATCCGAACGTCTCGCTCACGTTTCTGATCATCGGACTAACGAGCGTGGTGTTTGCGGGGGTCGTGAAGGGGAGGTATGATGGCGCCAGGGTGTTCAATCGGCGGATTGGGGACGCTAGTGTTAGGAATGGATGGTGGAGTGCGTGGTTTGCGGTTTTGGGGGTGAGGTGAGTGGCGAGAGGGGGATGGGAGGGAGTGTAGGCGGAGGCTGATGGATTTGCGTCGAGCGGGGGGCGACAGCGAAGCGCGAGCGGAGCGAGCAACATTGCTCTAAAGGCGCAATGCCCCCCTCACCGCATCTCTTAGTGAGCCTTACCGAACGTCAGATCTTTTGCGAGCGAAGCGGGCTCCGCCGTCGCAGCCCAAACTCCTTGCCGCGAGCAGAGCGACCAACCATCTAACTCTCATCATTTTTTTTCTCCTCCCTCTCAATTCGTTCCAGCTTCTTGATAGATTTTGTACGATACACACTGGATCTGCCACATCAGAGATCAACGACGCCCATCATTGTGGAACCGATAGCGGGCTCAAAGAAGGAGGCGACTGTTGAACCGCAGATCATGGATGCATGGCTGTTGCTCAGTTCGGCAGTGCTGAGGAGTTTCGCGACGCTTTTGCTCACTCTGGCACTGAACTATCAGTTGCAGCATCGTTCTTCATGTAAGTAGCCTTTTGTCTCGCACCCAGATGAAACTCGGTGATGCTCACGTCTATCTCCCCACAGTCGTGATGAGAGGACCCGTAAACAACAATACAGCCACCGACAACCCACCACCCGACCCCCGATCCTCCTCCTCCTCAATCCCTCCCCGCCGCCCAGTCTCCTACCCCGCCTACGGCTCATCCACCACTCCATCCTCCCGCGCACCCTCCGTCTCCCTTCTCATCCCCGACCCGTCCACCGACGACGAGCACACCCCCTCACCCGCCACCCTCCGCGCGACCAACATCGCTTCCGCCGCCGCCGCTAGCCGCCGCACGAGCGCCCAAACCTCCCCACACCGATCCCGCGCCCACCGGTCCATCGACGCGAGCGAGGAGCAAGCACTTCTGGAAGGGATCCCCCGTGACGATGATAGTGTTTTCGGAGACGATGAGGATACGCGGCGTGGTGGGTCGAGGTGTTGCACATGCTCGTGGTGGAGATGTATGTGGGACGGGTTCTGGGGCCGGGTGTTTGCGAGCTGGCCGTTTGCGGGGTGTGTGTTGTGGGGATTGAATCTGTTTGGAATCTGGTTGGCTACGTATGTAATCCACTCCCTTTTCTCCAATTTCCTTCCTTCATAAAAGTAACCCGCCCCATGACTCTCCCCAACCCCAGCAACCCACCCACAACAACCCCCTTCGACTCGGCCACCCTCCCACCCCCCCTCTACCTCCCCAACCCAACCCCCGCACCCCCCCTCCTCTTCTACCTCTCAACAACCCTCTCCCTCCTCCAACACCTCCCCATCCCCCTCCTGATCCTCCTCATCCTGTCCGGCACCGCACCCTCCCCCTCCCCGCCACCCTCCCGCCGCACCTCCTCCTCAACCCCCACCGGCCGTCGCCGCAGGCACCACCCGACCTGGACCACCAAACTGCTCCTGCTCACCGCGGGCGCGTGCTACGTCCCCTGGATGGTCGAGCCGGGGGTGCTCACCCGCGCGATCGACGCGGTCGTGATGCACGGCCCAGCAGGAGCGAACTACGAGAGCAGGGTGTGTGCGGTCCCGCCGTGGTGGTGGTTGGAGGCGGATGACAGTGCGGCGAAATGGAAGCGGGTGGCCGATGCGGAGGGGAGGTATGACGGCGCGAGGACGGAGAGACCCGACCTGCATGGGTGGGCGTCGTGGGTGGATGTGGGGATGTGGGTGGGGTTTGTGGGGGAGTGTTTGTTTTTTGCGGTTGTGAGGAGGGAGTGGAGGCGGAATAAGGAGGTGAGTTTCTTTGTGCGAGCGTGTTTGTGGTTTTCGAGGGGGGGGGGGGGGGCGGGGTGGCGATGGTGTGCTGATGCTGACCGAGGCCCCCCCCCCCTTTCTTTTGTGTCTGTGATAGGAATGGGTGTGGCTCACTGTCAGCGAGCTGCAGAGCATCTTTGATTTCCGCCGGTATTGAGATCGGAAGCGGTCCCGAAAGCAAAAAGGAAACGGAAAGTAAACGACAGCCCCCCCGCCCGAGATTCCCCCGAGATTCCAAAAGGCCGGGTACTAGTGTCAGCATCCCCCGCCCCAACTCCCTCATAGTTACAGTTATACGCGGTCGATGTTGAGGGAGCGGTTTTTTCATTGTATTCTATTCGTGTTCATTTTGGCGAAAAAGAAATATAGTATACCCCTGTGTGATGTGTTCTTTTCCCTTCCGATTGATTCGTTTTCGGGTGGGGGTGAATGTGAAAAAAATGCAGACACTGTCAAATCAGCGTGAACGCGCTGTCGGAATTCGCCCTTCGTGTTTCCCTCTGCGCCGAAATTGACGTCACGACGGCACTTTCCGCCTACCTTTCGCAAATCGGGCGGCATTTTCCGCTCCCTCCCCCCCCCTTGTCTGTCTTTCCCATTCCATTGCGTGCTCTTCCAGTGCCCCGGGGCTGCGTCTGCGTATACGCGGCGAGGGGCGGTCATAATTACGCAAAACCAGCGCTGTATGAGCGGATTCCCCGCGAATATGGAATATGGGGGCCCCGCCACACCTCCGTCCCATATCCTTGCGTTCATGCGTATATAAACGCCCCCAGCAGGGATTTCACGCTCCCGTCGTATAATCCCGGCATATCCGTTACATTTGCGACAAACGACACGCGAACGCATTCATATACGAAGGAACACCAGCACCCAAACGAAGAACATATACCAGGATGTCGGCAGAGCAGTACAAAGCGGGCTCGCAGCCCCCCGTGCAGGTAAACCCAAAAAAAGAACCCATCATGATTTGCAATCACAACTCAAGTTCATCCCCCCCTCCTAACCCGTCTATATCGTCACGACACGCCTAGACCCAGCCCTCCCCCGGCCTGCAATCCCACCTGCACCCGCAGCCGCACACGTCCACCCTCCCGGTCGGCACGGGCGCCGCGGTGCCGCAGCTCGCGGAGTATCGCGGCGCGGAGAAGCTGCGCGGGAAGGTGGCTGTCATCACCGGGGGTGATTCCGGGATCGGTGCGTTTTGCTCATCACACCGTTGTTCGTTGTGTTTTCCCCCGCGGGGGATGTTGAAACCTTTTTGATGGGTTTAGGAAGGGCGGTTGCGGTCCTCTTTGCCAAGGAGGGCGCGGACTCGACGATCGTGTACCTCCCCGAGGAGGAGTCCGACGCGCAGGAGACGAGGAAGCTGGTGGAGGCGGAGGGGAGGCGGTGTTTGTTGATTCAGAAGGATGTTGCGGATGAGGGGGTGCGTTAACCAATCAATCACATCAACGGGCACTGTGATTTGGGAGGGGGATGCTAATGGGGGTTGTTTTTTTTTTGGTTGTAGAACTGTAAAGAGATTATCGACCGGACGATCAAGGAATACGGACACCTCGAGATCCTCGTCAACAACGCCGCGACGCAGAAGGAGGTGCCGAGTTTGGCGGATATCTCTGCGTATGTCACCCCCCCCCCCCCCCTCCTTCACATGAGATGAACATGTGTTGCTGATACTACGGGTGATGTGACAGTGAGCAGCTCGACCGAACCTTCAAAGTCAACATCTACTCCCAGTTCTTCCTGTGCAAGCACGCGCTGCCGCACCTGAAGCCTGGGTCGGCGATCATCAACACGACGAGTGTGAATCACTACAAGGGGCATCCTACGCTTCTCGAGTGAGTTGGTTGACACCCGCGTTGAGTTTGAGAGGGTTGTTTATTGACATGTGTTGATTTTCGCTTGTAGCTATACGTCGACCAAGGGAGCCATTGTGGCCTTCACACGCTCGCTGGCGTTGCAGCTGGCCGAGAAGGGGATCCGTGTGAATGCTGTGGCGCCCGGTCCGATTTGGACGCCCTTGATGTGAGTGTTTGCTGGTTGGAATCAGTCGGGGATGATTTCAGCGGGGGGCGGCTAACTCCACTCCCCTCTTTTCAATTCAGCGCGGCAACGATGACGGAGGACAGCATCAAGTCGTTCGGGACGACGGTCCCGTTGAAGCGCCCTGGGCAGCCGGCGGAGGTTGCGACGTCGTATGTGTTCCTTGCGGGCCCGGATTCGACGTATATCAGTGGGCAGACTTTGCATCCCAATGGTGGGGCTGTTGTTAACGGATGAGGTGGGGAGAAGATGGGGGAGATGGACTGGGTAGCTGGATGGGTGTTTTTGCGTAAGGCATGTACATGTTGAAGGGGGGTCTTTTTTGCAAACATTGTATATGTTTTTGTCACATTCCTTTCTGGTTCTACGTTGAAGGATGTGACGGATGTGTGTGTGTTCGACGTCGTCATATTGGACGGGAGAGGTCTTACCCGTAGCTCCGGATTGATTTGGCATGTTCTGCCGCCGCCGCGATGCAATCGGCGCTACTCCGAACGAGACGGTGAATGTTCTATGAGTTCCGTTGCATGCAACAAGCCCTCAAGATCAAGCTGAGTCCCAAAAGGAGTTGGAGAATGCAGCTGGTCGCTGAACATGAACGGTGACAAACCGCGCCAGACGGTCGTGGCTTGCTTCCCACTACCCAACCCCAACGGCCTCCCTTGCCATCTCCGTGCAGGCACACACAAACACCGAGAAAATCGATGTGCAGTCAAGGAGCAGCTTCCTCGTACGTGGAATCTCAATCATCGCCTCTTCTCCATGCTGCTTGCCCCTCTATCTATGTACACTTGGGTGAATCCACACCCCTTCCTTCTTGCAGCCGGCCTTCCCTCCCAAAACATCAATTAAACCATACCCCTACGTAGCTAAGCATAACACTCCTCCTTTGCCCCACTTCTCGCTTTCTCCCTAATGTATGTCAACAACAGCATCACTCCTCAGCACCTCCAACTGCCTCCTCCCGCGTCGTAGCAGGTACTCGATGGTGGTGATATCCTTCACGGTCACGGACGCGGCGTCCTGTCTGAATTTCGTCTGCACATGGTGGTAGAAGTGGGAGCGGGCGCTTTCGGGTTTCTGGCGGATGGCGCGGTGGAGGGCTCGGTAGAGATCTTATGAAGAGGGGGTTGTTCAGTCACGACGAGAGTCTGCAAGAACGCGGGTGGGCGGAGAATGGTGTGCTTTCTTTTGCTACGGAGAGTAGGACTTACCGAGGACGTCACGCTGCAGGCCTGTCCGTCTGATAGCGGCGTGGGGAGCGGTGGCCGCCGGCGACATGAAGCGACGAGGAAGGAGCTGGTCCGGCTGCGGGTGGTTGCTGCATGCAGAGGCGGAACCGTGCGGAGAAACAGGGCAACGGAAGTCTCTGAGAAAGTGGACGCCCTTGACGCGTTCTCGGCGAACACCTGGGAACACGTCGCTTCATCGCCCTGAGATGGGGAAGGGCTACCCGCAGTGGTATGTATCTATCGGCACGGTTTGGCGCATGGCTTGCTCTTTGGGGCCGTTTCTGGTTTCCGCTGTTCTCTCCCTCTTCTTGTACCTTTGAGCGTGGACGCTTCACCCTGCTGGGGCTTATTAAGGTCTGTGAGAGGACCTATGTACATTCTCTATCTTCGGGGACCCTTTGCCTTACCACTCTTTTTTCTGAGCTCTCGGGGTTCCATCGCTGCCCTCTTCAATTTGCGCGCGCATTACTTCCGCATAAGCTCGGAAGAAACCTCCAAGCAAGGCGTTGATGTTTGTAATCGCTTTGGGGAGGGGGTTCCGACCTCTGCGTTGGAAGTTACAGAGTTCTTTTTTGAGAAGGATTGTGGAGACTATCGGAGGTCAGGTCTGTGCTGTCACATTGGCTACTCCGGGCTTTGAAAGAGCTGATGAAAGCTTTCTCTTCTCAACTAGCACCCACGAGTGGATGGATCTGAACCTACGCCACTTGTCACGTCAATGGATCTGTTTCATCTTATGCATTCACAACATGCCTGCCGACAAACCGGCATTCAAGACTTCAGAGTGTAAGTCAAGCTTCGCAAACAGTCAGCAGCAAGTATAGAGCGCGAATCTTGTCGTCTGCCTGCTATCCAGGATGGCAGGCTGACGGGCGTAAGTGGGCAACCTATCGGTCTGATAGGTGGCAGGCTGAATCGGGCGTGTAGTGGTAATGACTCTATTATATTCTGGGGTGTTGTGGGGGTTGTTGAATGGGGTGGGTGGGAATGGGACGAGGTGTGCGGAGACGACTCATGTTCCGCCTTTTGGTGGGGGGAGTAGTGGGGCAAGCAGTACGGCGGCGACGAGGAAGGCCGCGGCGACGTCGACGCTAAAGGTAGAGCCGATCACGAGTGGTGGCGGGGAGGCATTGGGGCAGATGTGGCAGGTGGTTTTGCCAATTTTGGTAGTGCCGATGTTGGGTCGTTACTGTAGGGGTCGGATGGATCTTTCCGACGGGACGGACAGTTCGACGCTATGATACTGGCAAACATTGCGATGTTTGTGTTTTACATATATATACATTTTTGGAATCATACGGCCGCACTGAGTGAATCTAGACCTACGCCCGGGACCCCTATACTCATACACCTATATATCTAACACCTGTCGCCGGCTCGCGCTACAATACCTGCCAACCATCCGAACACACGACAACCAGCGCCTCAGTGGATCACCCGCAAACCCCTACTCCGCCGCTGCACCCTCCAAATCCTTAACCGCCTGGTCAATCTCGCCGATCTTCGACTTGATGATCTCCCACGACTCGATCGGGATTGCTATGCCTTCGGCGGAAAGAACGTTAGCACGTCACATCCGGCGATCAACCGAACTTTTAGCAACTCGAGTCAAATAAAACAGGTTGGGGAATACTTACCTTTCTTCCCGGGCTTCTCCGACCCGCTCGATTTATCCAGATAATCTGATCTCGAGCGTTTATCAGTCATGATCGTCTACCCCACGATGGCGAGCCCAAGATGACAACCGGAGTACTCACATTCGCGGATATCAATCAGCGTCTTGCCCTTGAACTATATAACACAAAGTCATTCCCACCCTGCACATTCCCAACTCTCCCACCTCCCCATCACATATGTACCTGAGAAATACTCAACTTCTTCCTCCCTTCCAGCTGCAAGCTGAACGCCTGCGGGGTGGTATGTTGCGCGTCGGCGTTGGCATGTACTGTGGCGGCGGGGGTTGTTTTGACGGTCTTGGCGGCGGGCGGGACTGTGTCGCCGTCGGCTTCGTTGTCGGAGGCGGGTTCGGAGTGGGGCTCCTTTGCGGTGCCCCTGCGGGCTCGTTTTGGAGGCATCTTTCGTGTTCGGGGTGGGTGTATTTGATGCGAGAAACGAAATCCCACCAGAACTCGAGCGATACAGTATAAATACATCCCCATCCGGGATTGGCGCCATTGACGGGAAAGTTCATTTACGAATGGCATGCACAGCCACCGGAACGAATCAGGGGCGTTTGGGTTCGGACGGATTGGCTGTTCGGACTGACAAATGGTGAAGCGTTCCGTCTCTCCTGCCTTCCCTTCCAGCGCACTCAAACCCCCTCCTTCTTCCTCGCCATCTGTTTTCACAATCAGAACTCAAGCACACAGTCCGCGCTCAACTCCTGTGAACTCTCTGCAAAAGCACGGCGGTATCGCCATATCCCACAGTCTCTTTGAAAGCCAACGCACGTTCCGCATACTCCGCAATCGCTTTATCCGCACAGCAGTCAGTCGGACTTCCAATTCCTTTTGAACGCTTTCGGTTTACATCAACGGAAGCAGGCGTCTCTCCCCGTAACGCAAGTCAAGCTTCGGTGTTCTCTCACAAAGTCCTCGCACCCCTCACAATGGTCGACGTACACACAAGAAACGGCTCGTCGCCGGTTGCTTCCCCAACTGGGTCGCCGACCGCGGAACAAAGCACAGTCGCAAATGTTGCGCGCGTTCCATCCAAAGGCGAGCTTGCGGCACCGTCTGGAGTCATCTCAGCGCCGAATCTGGATAATGAGCCTCTGTTGACCCCTAACGCGCGCCGATTTGTGTTGTTCCCAATTCAATACCATGAGGTACGTTTTCGTTTTGCTGTGCCTCAAGCGATGGAGCATTCGCTTATTGGTCAACATTTGTTCTATTTCAGGTGTGGCAAATGTACAAGAAGGCCGAAGCTTCCTTCTGGACCGCCGAAGAAGTCGATCTATCCAAGGATATGCGCGACTGGGACCACAAATTGACCGACAACGAGCGCTTTTTCATCTCTCGAGTTCTGGCATTCTTCGCCGCGTCCGACGGCATCGTCAACGAGAACTTGGTCGAACGGTTCTCGAATGATGTGCAGATTGCAGAGGCTCGATGCTTCTATGGGTTCCAAATCATGATCGAGAACATCCATTCTGAGATGTACTCCCTGTTAATTGACACCTACATCAGAGATCCCAAGGAGAAGGAGTTCCTTTTTGACGCTCTGGAGACCGGTAAGCGCGTGGCTTCATTCCTCTTTGAGACCATCTGCTCTTACTCACGCGGGTTTTCATTCGTTAGTTCCGTGCATTCGCAAAAAAGCTGACTGGGCTCTTCGCTGGATTTCCGACCCGTCTTCCTCCTTTGCCATTCGCCTCGTTGCCTTTGCCGCCGTAGAAGGAATCTTCTTCTCTGGTTCCTTCGCTGCTATTTTCTGGTTGAAGAAGCGCGGTCTCATGCCCGGCCTCACCTTTTCCAACGAGCTCATCTCGCGCGATGAGGGCCTCCACACGGATTTTGCCTGTCTCCTATACTCCCTCATCCGCAACAAGCCGGAGCGCGAAACAGTGCGCGCACTTCTCCGTGAGGCCGTTTCGATCGAACAAGAGTTCTTGTCAGACTCCCTACCCGTTGCTCTGATCGGCATGAACGCTACGCTGATGATGCGCTACATCGAGTTTGTCGCGGACAGGCTCTTCGTGGCTTTGGGCTACGACAAGGAATACGGTGTTGACAACCCCTTTGACTTTATGGAGTTGATCTCCTTGCAGGGCAAGACGAATTTCTTTGAGAAGAAGGTTGGCGAGTACCAGATGGCGGGAGTTATGCAGAAGAACGAGGAGTCACGGGAATTTACCCTCGACGCGGATTTTTAGACTGTCTCTCCTTTACCCCTCGTAGATGTGCTTGCTTTCGGGTCACCACTGCCTCTTGGCGATAGAAATGTTTTCTTGGATATACATCTCCCTTCTGGTCTTGTAACTTCTTGTATGAATCGCGTACCTGTGCCGAAATTTTAATTATTGCGTTGTACTGTACAGTCGTTTGTCGTCGACAAATTCTTCGCTCATCCATTAGTGAAACAAAGCACCCGGAAGCTACTCTGATGCAGACTCTGATGCCATTGAGCCTCAAAGAACGCTGCGAATCACCATGATGATAAGAGCCTTATGCGAGCTTTGACCAAATCATTCCATCAAGCAATCGCACACTGTGCGTCGAGAGAAACGACTGACGTCAGCCAAGACGGATACCCCTGCCAGGAGATGATGTTGCCAAATCAAGTCAGTAACATGATTCTAGAATTATTTCAATGGACTACAATTATTTCAATGGACTACATCATAAACGCATATACGTCCGGAGAATTCGTATACGACTACGAGTTCTCCCAGTTCAAAGCGCGCATGAAATCCTGCTCGGCAATATCTAGCAGCTTCGCGGCTTCAATGTGGATCTATAGTCAACCAGCAGAGGAAGGGGTAAATAAATCACTGTTTCACCGTTACTCTCCTCACCCATGCCGCATTATTGCTATGGACATCCCGTCAGAACGATATGTGTTCCGTGCTTACCTTTTGCCGTTTCAATACGTCACAAAGAACAGCCTGTTTCTTGAACGCCATTAGCAGATCGTTCTTTTGCTTGGTGGCCCGGCGCAGGTCGTGCAGGAGTTTCTCATTGGTACGCTGGCTTTCTTCGAGTTTCTCCTTTGAAAGGAATGGCAATGACAGGTAAGAAATCCGCGATGCTCTTTGGGGAGAGAGGTAGCGATGCGACGAGTGGGTAAGATGCATAGTTTTCTCTCACCTTTGCTTCCTGCTGCGCTTTCGCGGCCATCTGCTTGCGTCGCTCAATCTCGTCTAATGCTCGGTTCAGTCTTAAGAAGTCGGGGAAGCTTTTAGGATCGTTGTTTTGACAACCATCACCTACGGAACCCATCAGTGACGCACCGCACATCCTTAGCATTGCCCTCCGTTTCCTTTTGTCTTTGGGTCCTTGTTTGTGCATCCAAAGACTACATTGGTAGGGGAGTCGGTCAACCGAGTTCCGCACCGCCACGCTCATCAACAGCAAGTCCGCACTATGTACCTTTTTCAGACTCGCTATGGCGCTTTCGGAATTCTCAGCCCGCTTTTTAAACTCCTCCATCTTTGCTTGCACACGGCTATGTTGCGCATCAGTCGTCCACAGTGAACGACTCAAATTGCCATTCTCGGATTCAAGGGTTTTGATCCGTTGTTGGAGCGCTGCTATTGTATCGTTCTAAAAGATCCAAAACTGATTTAGCGAATGCCCAATACAAGGAGAATCTCGGAATTACGAGGTCAGCTTCGGTACCTTCGATGTGTTTTGTATAACGAGCCGGTCCATGTCCTGCTGCATAACAGCCATGCGAGCCTTCAAAAGGCGCACCGATGCCTCCCCTCCAACCTCATCGTCATGATCAGGGACGAGTGACGGATTCGGTGTGCCAGCGGGATTATGAGTCGCGGGTGTATATGTTTCTGCAGATGATGGTGTTGAATTGCCGTCCAAACTGCATCAGGCGATGAGGAAAAAAATTAGAGCTAATGATCGTACGGGTGGCATGCGGGATAATACTTACGTGGCCGAAGTGGCGGCAGATGATCTTTGAAAGGCTGACCGAGAGGGAATGGCTGTCTGAGGGCGGGATGGAATCTGATGTTCCAAGATGAGAATCGGCAAACACACCACTGAACCCAAAGCCTCCGGTTTGTTACCTGTCGCGGCTTGCCATGCACTTTGGACACCGTCCGGGGCTTGGCATGCGGGCTTTGATCAACATGCATCAGAACTTCAGGCCTTTCACAACACACTTTGCGGCATGCATGTAGCTCCAGCACATCCGGACTTACCCTTCACTATCCTCCGCCGCCTCGCTAATCCTCGCATCTTTTCCGCCAGCAGGGGCGGTCATCGGCCTCGTGAGGGTCTCTTTGCCTTCTTTCTGCGCGAAGGAACCCAGCAAGGTGTTAAGTATTTGTTCTCCAGGACTTGGAACGACAGCCGAAGGTTGCTGAGCAACGTACCATAACCTGCTCAGCCATCTTGATGACAGCTGCACTACGGGCTTCCATTGCTTTGTTCATGCGCCTGGAATTACTCCAATAATCAGGGCCGCGTCGACAGCGACACCGTCATAGATGGCCCACTTACATGAACTCCAACTCCTTCTTCCGGAACCGTTTCGACACGCCAGCATTCCCGTCTTCATCGTCCTCCTCATCTGCATCATCAGCTTCGTCCGGAGAGCCATCATCGTCCTCATCGTCGTCGAGATCTGATGCGACGGATGTATGTGAATTTGTGTCGCTGTCGTGAAACGACAGACTTGATTTGACGAGCCGTGCCGTCGTGCTTCCTACGTCTTTTGAAGCGAAAGTCAGCGATTAGCCGGGTGATAACGAGAACGTCAGGTTACATAAAATCGTGTCCAACCTATGTCCATAGTACGGTCGTCGGTGTCTGACAAGACACGCAATGAGCGGTGTGACAGCAATTCCCTTCACGGAAGGAGGTGCACTGACGAATCAAGTTAGGGCAGAGGATCCGCAAAGCTTTCGGTGCTCGAGTTGATCTTGGTTGCCGCCCCTAAGCGATCTGGGAAAGCTTTCGTAACGCACACACGGCTTTCATAAACATATTCTATGGGTATTGCCTTTGAGCTGGGCTCTCTAATACAGCTCAAACTGTTTATTCCCACGTTTCCATAAGTCACTTGTCAATTCAAATGACTTCTGGTCATCGGGTGCTCTCACAAGTGATGGCACTCACCACTCTTTTCCGAACTAGGAGAGCGCCCCGTTGGAGGAAGGACAAGAGAGAACAGCAGCACGAGAGAACGTTCCATCACCTGAGCGTCGTGGTGGAAGATGATGGCGTGGGAACCAAAGGCCTTTCTAAAGGTAGTAGCGGAGTTTGGGCAAGGGGGACGAGGCCCAAACGCGTAGATTTTATTGGGAATTGCTAACGACGCTAACCCTAACCATAACCCTACCGTCCACTTAACACCATAATAAGCAACATAAACTTGGTGAGTTTTTGGGGTAACTAACCTACGTACCATAACAACTAATGTACAGTACGGATATGGTCGCTCTCCCTTTCTTCGTTCTTTCGCGGAGGCTGGCAATGGGTATGAAAGATATAAGAGAACATCAAGGAGGCATGCCCCCCGGATACGTAGCCGGCGCTTCCCACTCCTTCATCCCATTGTACTCAACCAAGCGGGTGTTACCAACCCTAACCCTAAACCCTAAAGAGTTTGGGAAAGGGGGTGATGCTCAGGTTTGGCTCACGTGATCTGGAGGAGGAATTTATTGAGGCCGTTCTTTGAAGTGAGTCACTGAGACGCGCAAGTGGTCGTTGGTCCTCCTCTCGGCCCTCTCGTCGGTCCTGCGGCGACGGGCCGCAAAGTTTTCACTCACGGCATTAGCGCAATTCCGTCGCCGGGAGATCCACACTCACAAACGCACTCTCACAACAACACCACCACCACCACCACCCACCGAACACAGACACCAGCGCAACAATGGCTCCCGTCGCCGCCCCCCTCATCGGTGTGGCAAACCTGCCCAACCAGCGCCATAAAATCGTCTCGCGAAAGGGCGCAAACTTCACCGTCATGGTCCTCGGTATGCATATTCAGGGCGGAAGAGGCTTGCTATAAGTCTTTGTTGTGCGACAGCGCAGAATTCTGGGAGTATGTTAGAACTCACCCGCTCTACTTCACAGGCGAGAGTGGACTGGGAAAGACCACCTTTGTCAACACGTTGTTCACAACCCTCCTCCGCGAGTACAAACGACCGGAACACCGTTTCCAAAAGCAGCTCGAACGTACCGTCCAGATCGATGTTGTCCGCGCAGGTTGGTATAGCGTGGCGGAAAGGGCCGTTTGGGAATGCTTGGAGGGAACAGGAACGCGACGGCTGATACACCGAATGTTCCCACTCCCCATTCAGAGATCGAGGAGAAAGGTTTCAACGTGCGCTTGACCGTCATCGACACCCCCGGCTTTGGAGACTACGTGAACAACCAGGACTGCTGGGTTCCTGTCGTGGAGTTCCTTGACGAGCAGCACCTCAACTACATGCACCATGAGCGTCGGGCTGAACGACGGGAGAAGGATGACTTGCGTGTGCACGTTTGCCTGTACTTTATTCAGCCTACTGGACACACGTACGTTCTTGGATTGTGGGCTTATTGGGTGGTGGTTTTATTGGCTGGATGTGATGGACTGACAAACGTTGTGCAGACTCAAGCCCCTTGATATCGAAGTCATGAAGCAGCTCGGAAGCAGAGTCAATCTGATCCCCATTATTGCAAAGGCCGACACTATTACTCCTGGAGAGCTGGCCGTTTTCAAGGACAGGGTAGGTTTTCAACTCCATTTGAAAGATAAATTCAGATGTAGGGAATCTTGCACTAATCTAGGCTTTTTGTCGCTTAGATCCGAGATTGCTTAGCTGCGCATAACATTGCAGTGTACAGCCCACCTGTGCAGAGTGACGACGAGGACAGCACAAGGCGGAACCAGAGCATTCTCGTAAGTTGGCGTGCAGTTTCAGTTGGAGGGAGCATAGGCCCACTTCAATTGACACCACACTTATCTTCCACAGTCCGCGATGCCTTTCTCCGTAATCGCCAGCGAATCCGACGTTGTCGTCAACGGCGAAAAAGTCCGGGGTCGCCAATATCTCTGGGGCGTCGCCGAAGTCGAGAACGAAGCCCACTGCGACTTCAAGAAGCTGCGCAACCTGCTCATCCGCACGCACATGCACGACCTCATCGCGAGCACCGAGGAGGCCCACTACGAGAACTTCCGCGCCGAGAAGCTGGCTTCAGAGGGACGGACCGACGATGACCCAGCCTCCCGCGCGCGTAAGCAGCTGGAGGGGAATATGAAGGAGGAGGAGGAGGCGTTGAGGAAACGATTCACGGAGCAGGTTAGGCTGGAGGAGAATAGGTTCAGGCAATGGGAGCAGAGGGTAAGTTTTTGTCAACTTCAAATCGCCTGGCAAATGGACTAGTCTCGCATATGGCCTTGCTCATCCTACCTCTTCCATCTAACACAAACAGTTGATCGCCGAACGCGACCGCCTCAACCGCGACCTCGAAACCCAACACAAGCAAGTCAAGGCCCTGGAAGAGGAAATCGACGAGCTCAACGCCCAGCGACGAAAGTAGATGCGACGGCTGACTATTGACGATTAGCCCTGAACACCCTTATGCGCGCCTCAACACCCCGAACGCCTGTCACGATGCCTTGTCGTGCTACCCGCACCCAACATGCGTCAACATAGATCCATCGACCTACCCATCCCTCCTATATGACCCTCTACGTTCCTTTTTCCCTTTTTTCCCCCTTTTTTTGCGGAATGAACTCTTATAGAATTTGATATATACATTTGGAAGAGAAATACGACTATTTTTTGATTGAAATTAAAATCGATGATGGAGCGCAAATCACGCCGGAGGGTGGGGTATAGAGACTCCATTTTCCTTCTCATATTCAGTGGAAAAACTTCAGGAACAACAAACAAGAACTTAAATTAACCGGAAAGTGATACCGGGGGAGGTAAAGGAAGACTATATACAGTGAAAGCTTGTGGCGCCCTTTAAGTGATGCGGAGGCGACCAGACTGTCGCCGGTAGAGGACGGAACCGTATTTGAGGTTTGGATGGCGGTATGAGGTAATGGGGGAACTGGATTCCCCGGTGTGTGTGTGTGTGTGTGTGTGGGTGTGTGAATGTGGAGATATCTCAGTTCTTCCGCCCAAAACTCCTATCGATGCCTTCCCCAATTTCCTATACCACAAAAAAAAACAGTCAGTGGAAGTCACGCCAATCATCCTCCTTCATTCTTCCCACTCTCAAATTTCGAATCCATACCTTTCGGAACTCTTCCATGAACTAGATCCACAGAGAAAGAGAGAAGAGAGTTGAGTAGGAACGAATGGTTGATGAGATTGGTTGAGGGAGACTTACAATGATCATTTTCTCCTTGGCCTGTTCCAGCTGTTCCGGGTTGGCGACCTCTTGTTGGATTTGGGTTGCTTTTTGGGCGCCTGGTTGTGTGAAGGAGGGAGTATGTAAGTAAGGGGGTGGCCGAAAATGGAAGGTGTAGTGTTTGAAAACATCCTGGGCCAAGTCCAAGGGTTGCTCAGACAATTCGGCCGAGTCCGTGCGTGGAGACTCCAAGCATAAGTTTCCCACCTCATTCCTGGCTGCCGCCCTTCCGTCTCACCCCCGTAGAACGTGCTCAGCCAACCTGTCCCATTCCAACCCTCGGTCAAACCTCGCCGCGATCCCTACCCATTCCCCAGCATCCAATATCCCCTCCTCCTCCAGTACCCCTTCCCTCACACCGTTCCTTCCTTCCCCGCACCCCCTCCCCACCCCCTCCCCACCTCCGTCTCCACGTTCCGCATCATTCATACCAACCTTTCCCGCTAAGCTCATTAAACCTATGCGTAGTAGTCACCGCTATTTTCTGAAACGCCTTGTTGTTTGCGAGTGCGTCGACGAGTTGATTGTGGACTAGTTGGCGCCAGGACATTGTGTTGTGGGTTGGTGAGGTGGTAGGAGAAGAGGGTTGGTTGTCTGTGTAGGAAGGGTCGGAATGTCAAGGTTTTGGGGAAAAGTTGGGAGTCGGAACTTCCCTGGGAGGACGGCGCATTTGTCACTTGCCCGCGCGTGAACCACGCAAGACGCACAAGTAACGGGTTAGAATCCTCGCGAGGTAACCCACCTTCCTCGCGAAGTAACTACTATGTATGTACGCACATTGACGGCACCCGGTCGTTGGCTTTTGCGTTCACTGGTCCCGATACGTTTCTACCCAAAACGTTGGTGCAGCCACACCCTGTTCCCACCCCTTCGTGTGCAGCAGGGTCGATGACCGGCCCCTGCCCGCCATACACAACATCCGTTCCAGAGTGCACACTCGCCGCTGATACCAAACGAGAATGACACCGCCTGCATGACCAGGACCCGAAAGGATCCGGGGTGCGGCCGACCACCGCGCTGAACCGATTCGCCTCGCCACCTGTCCGAAGCGGCGAGGGCGTCCCACTGCATCCCACATCATTAGCCGGTCCGGCGCGAGGACACCGGAGTAGCGATGCACTAAGACGGCGATGAAGGCTGTTATCCCGCTGATGTGCTGCGAGACAGCGCAGGTGCGGAGGACGGTGGGCCAGTACTTGTGGGCGCGCACGTTCACTGGATGGGGAATGAAGGACGTGAGTCGGGTGAGCGATGCATAGGCGCGGAAGGGTGATTGATGAGATGGTTGGGAGGGATGAACATCATAGAAACAACATCGCCACCTCCCCCATATTCGTCCAATAAACCGCCACTTTCTCGCTATCCACAAACTCCGGCCTCGACTTGGGCGGCGAGATATTACACAACGGCTGCGGCTTGCTTCGCTCGCACCAAACCACGAGTGCTCGCTGTTGTTGACTTTTGCGATAGGTGCCTCTACCGCAAACGGACTCGATTAACTCGCCGCTCCTACTCGCCCTTGCTACCGTTCAGGCATTTCTTCCATGCAATACGCTGCGCAAGCCGAGTCCAGCATTCACTCCTCGTAATGCTGCATGCGCGTGGGCGAACGGAATTTTTCGAGTCCAAGTAATCCGCCGCGCCTACCATTCTTCTGCAGAGCATCCAAGAACGTCTTGTCGACATAGTTATCAGGAAACCCCTGCTTGACGTACAAGAGCTTGCGCCATGGTTGCCCCAGTTCAAAGGGCGACATCTGCGTAGAACACTGCCGCTTGTGTTTTCGCGGAACGCGGCTCTGCCGCAACACAATGGGCTCGACCGAGTCGCCCCGCCGCCTCACCGTGATAGTGAGGGGTACTTCTGCGCTTGTCAGAGCGGAATGCGGACGGCCAAGAAGTCTGTCAGGTCCTGAGCAGCTATCGCGTGGGAAGGAGTTCTAATTCACCGCAGAAGGCCTTGCTCTGTTTACTAGGGGGGGACGCGGAAGCGAACTTAAGCTGTGAGGATTGACATCCCACGCGAGTTTCCTAGTCCCTCGGTGGTACCCCGGACTTTTGGTGTGGGACTCCCCCCAGCGCAGTTGGCAAACCCCTCGGTTCAAACCAGTGCAACAAGCATCCCCTCAAAGTGCAGCGAGCCGGACAGTTACGCATATTGCCCATGTTTTGTTGTCTAATAATGTTGAAATACGCATATGGTGAGACGGTCGTTTTGGGCTGAATACATGCGGGGCGCGGGGAATAGTCTGGAGTATGTGGGGGGGTATCTTGCGTGCCGCATTTGATTCTCCGCGGTGTTATTGGGCAGCCGGTGTGGTGGCGCTGTTGCTGCGTACGACGAGGAAATTGCCTGCAATCTAATGAAGAAACGGAAGGTCACTTATCTGATGCCCCAAGACAAAAAGCACGACGAACAGAGAGAACATAAACTCCCGACGTACCAGCAACGGGATATTATACTTATCCCTCCGAATCGTAAAACTAAAACAGCAATGCTCGCCTCTCGTCTCCTGCGGCTCCCCCGTCGTCGTCGTCGGCGTCCCACCCACCGTAATACTCTTACTCCCCTTCCTCGGCAACAACACACAACTAGTAAGCACGGCCTTCTGCCCCGCATCAAACGCAATATTCCCATACTTCTCCCAATAATTCACCGCCGAATCCTCATCCATCAACTCATACAGCTTCACCTTCCCGTCCCTCAGTTCCCCGCCTTCGAGTCCGACAAGGTTCGCGAATTCCTTGTTGGCTTTGTAGATCTCGCCCGTGCGCCGCCAGAGACAGGCGGGGATGCCCATGGCTGAGAACACGCGGTCGTATTCTAGTAACAGCCGCTCGAAGGCTTCTTCGACCATCACGAGGTCGTAGTCGGTGAGACTCTGCGCGACTTGGCGGAAGCGGGGACGGAACATGCCGAGTACGTGGAGGATACGTTGGCGGGATGGGGCGGACATGTGCGTGTCCATCCATTTCTGCAAGCGGGTGTAGCCGTTGATGTAGTTGTAGGGTTTGAGAAGCCCTGCGTCGATTTTGGCAAGGATGATGGAGTGGAGACGGTCTTCGTTGGGGCCGTCGTTGGGGTCGGCCGCGGTGAGGATGAAACGCTCGGCGGAGGAGAGTTTGGTGCCGTTGAGGGAGGTGTCAGAGTATTTTCGGCCGGTGGTGGTTGTTGTTGTTGGTGGGGGTTGCGGGAGGGCGGGGTCGGTGGTGAGAGCGCCGTCCTGGGGTTCTTGTACCAACCCCTCGAGGGCCTCGTATCCGACGCCCAGGGTCTGCTGCTGGTTGATGCCGTCCAGCGTGCCGTCCCAACTCGATAAGAAATCAGACAAGACTGCAAACTCGTTGCCCATACTCGCTGACGCAAACACGTGCGGGAACCCAGACATGCCTGCATGCGCGAACCCGTTATCGTACGCAGCATAGCTCGGCAGGTGTGTCGGTGCCGTATGCTGATGCGGGAGATGTTGTTGTTGCTGGTGATGTGAAATAGCGTCGATGTTAACCAACGCGCTGGCCATGTTGGCGTTCAACACCTGCGTTGAAGGTAGGTTGACTATATCGTTTGCCGCGCTGCTGTTGCTGCTGTTGGCGTGGGCAGGGTTCAGAATGGAGCTCATCGGCACCACCCCAGCTGCCGCGCCTAGGTCCGCCATGTCCAGATACGTGCGTGGTGACGGCCCGACATCCACCACCTCGCCCGTATACCCGGTGCCGACATCCAACGACTGGGTATGCTCGTCCTCTGACCCTATCCCACGATGCGCATCCACCGCTCCGCTATTAGCACCACCAGCACCACCCCCACCACCACCACCACTCTTCTCGTCATTCCGACACAAATGCCCTATCTTCCTCTTGATACACCGTTTACAAGGCCGGTGGTCGTCGCATGTCATATGGCTCCGTCGACAGAAAATGCATGCGTGGGTTACTTTGCGTTTCGCTGGAGGTGGTTTCTTCTTCCTTCCACCGGTAGTGGTTCCATTCCCATTCCCATTGCCGTTACTACTACTATTCTCACCGTCTCCCGCGCCATCATTCCGATCGGGACTACTCGACCGCGACGCCCTTCGTGACCCCGCTGCGGACACACTGCCCGAGCCCGCGACCGCCCGTCGCTTCCCTGCCGTCGTGGTGGTGGAGTCGTCGGTGGGGCTACCGGTTTTGGAGTCGTGGTGGTCCCAGCGCTCGAGATGTTCTGCGGCTGCGACGAGGTGGGCTATGGAGGTGCGGGGGGAGGTTGGGGTGTGGGTGCCACCGGACATTTGAGGGGGTCCGTCGAGTGGACTTTGAATTGGGGTGTTATCAGGACCGTAAGCGTAAGTAGAGCCAATGAGATGCACTTCCGCTTGCTGTGAGCGGATAAGCTGGCGGTATGCAGGGTCGCTGTGGGTAGCTTCTGTGGAGTGTATGTATACGGTCGGAAGGCTAAGGTACGGCGTAGGAGAGCGACGGAGTGTCATGAAGCAGGAAACTTGCGCCCGCCCGCCTCATCCCCTTCCCATCACAAACACCCCTCGCACCTTCCCACACAACAATCCCAGCAACCACGCCACAACCACTCCACCAATGGTAAGTCCCGTCTCCACAGCAGACAGGGCCCAGTCTACTTCCATCGCATCCCGTCCGAATCGCGCCAACAACAACAACAACGTGATCACCGTCCGTCCTTCGCCGACAGCGGGACAATCCGGGGACGACTGGGGGAGAGAACCCGATCGATATCGCATACCCGCTATGGAGCTGCTTAGTGGGATCAGGGAGCGGGAGGAAATGCACAGCCGGGGATGGGTGTGCCAGGGAAGGATGAGGAGCGGGAGGATGGGACCCATGGGCATCTGGGTCTTGGCGTGACGTTTCCTGGAGTAGATGGCGGTAGGCTGGGATGACCCGGGCCTCGGCAGGGTCGGGCTACTATTTGCCCTGGGTGTGGTATCGGCGTGCTGCCTGTCAGAACTGACAAAAACTCCCGTCGCCACCCACCCACAATCTAACCCATCCCTTCCCTCACCCCCCTCAGTCAAACACACTACGCCCCTACCTCGCTGCCGTGCGCGCCACGCTAACCGCCGCCCTCTGTCTCGAAAACTTTGCCTCACAAGTCGTCGAGCGGCACAACAAACCCGAAGTCGAAGCCCGGTTCGTAAACAAAATCCCACTCAGTGGCAACCCTTCCCCTCCGGCACCATGTGGCTCGCTTTGCTCGCGACACTAACCCACCCTCCCTCTCTGATCTCACCAGAGTAACCCCAGAAGTCCTCCTAACCCCCGTCCAAATCTCCCGCAATGAGAACGAAAAAACCCTCATCGAAGGCTCCATCAACTCCCTCCGCATCTCCATAAAAGTCAAACAGGCCGACGAGATCGAACGTATCCTCTGCCATAAATTCACGAGGTTCTTGATGATGCGCGCTGAGGGGTTCTATATCTTGAGACGAAAGCCGGTGCCTGTAAGTGTGTGCTCAGATCCCCGTTCTGGTGGGTGTGACACAGTGGGGACTGATGGGATTTTTTTGTCAAGGGATATGATATCTCCTTTTTGATAACAAACACGCACACGGAGACGATGTATAAGCACAAACTGGTGGATTTCATCGTGCAGTTTATGGAGGAGGTTGATAAGGAGATTAGTGAGATGAAGTTGTCGTTGAATGCGCGCGCGCGGATTGTGGCCGAGTCGGTATGTAGTTGCAAGGTGCATGCGCCCGGATGTCGCTTGATAGCTTTTACTGACGCCACACAACTGCTCTCCCGCTGCCCCCTTATGATCATTATCCAGTTCCTGCAACAGGTATGATCCATCCCCTTAACCTCGCGTATCAGCGTGAGAAAGGCTAACGGCGTCGATTTTCGTTCTTTCTGTTTAGTTTTCGTGAGTTGATTTTGGACTGGTGGTCTCATGGACGATGGCTGGGCTCGGTTTGCTGCGGGAGGGTGGAGGGTGGAGGGTGGGCCGTCGGTGGGGTATGTGGTGGTAGCTATCCCCAGCGCACTGGAGAGGGCTGTCTCCACACGTCGCCACAATTCCTCGCGTATGAACTCAATACCCCTCATACCAAATAACAACGAGCCCGTCCCGTACACCGCAAATGCACCTGCAGACTTCATTTGGGTTTATTTCGCCGCCTTCCCGTGATACAACCATAGATGTGCAAACAGACTCGCGTTGCCGGATGCGGACGGTGCGCAATAGGAAAGGAACGTCTAGCGGTGGCGAGTTTGCTCGTACGGCTGTTTGCTCGTACTGTACGGGAGGCTGTTTCTCTCGCCGAGCTCGCGGAAGGTCTGAGTTTACCCTCTGCGCGGAAAGACCGTTACCTCGCGAGGAACACAACCCTAACGCTGTTGCTGTGTGTACTGTATGTACTTGTTCAGATGGGCAGGCAGGCCGGCGACTTCTGCTGGTGGCTATGCTGGGGATGATGTGTCCTTGTCGCGTCGAGTCAGCGTCCGTATGGATGTCTGCGTCCTTTCTTCCTGGTCTCATCGCGGGCGATCCCAAGGCTGCATCACATAACCTCCAACTCAGGACGTACAGTATCTGTCTTCCTCTCTCTCCTCTTCATCTAGAGAGCTTTTCTTGCATACATATATACCCAGGTGAGGACACGCCCCCTCCGAAATGGGCTCACTTGACGACTCTCTTGAGATGACCAGAATTACCCATCTTGCCCATAGGACACTACTCTTGCCACCATGGCTACACCAACAACGCCCGCCCCTCATCTGACCCCTGAAATCATGATGCAGAACAACAGGGAATGTGAGTATGCGGGAACCATCTTCCACCGCCGTTAGTCTTTCGTAAACGCCGAGGGAGCGCCTCCAGCTGACAAAAATGGAATACCTCGCAGGGGCTGCAGAGATCAGCGCCGCCAAACCCGGTTTCTTCGAGAAGCTCGCTCAGAGGCAGGTTCCCGAGGTCCTTTGGATCGGATGCGCCGACTCACGTGTTCCCGCTAACGAGGTGAGACAAGTGCATACCTGCGTCTTCGAACCGCTTGATCACGTACTAACTAAATGTCGCAGCTCCTGAAATTGGGCCCAGGAGAGGTGTTCGTGCACCGCAACATCGCCAACATCGTCCAGCACGCCGATCTGAACTGCCTCAGTGTCCTCCAATACGCCGTCGACGTCCTCAAGGTCAGGCACATCATTGTCTGTGGCCATTACGGATGCGGAGGTGTCGCGGCTGCGCTGCAGAACCAGCAGTTTGGGATCGTTGATAACTGGATTCGTACCGTGAAAGGTATGTGGTCCAAATGGCAAGGTGATACACATCAAAAGTCTCGCAAAGCGCCTGACAATCCTCCATCGACCTTCCGCAACACAGAACTCTACAGCTTCCATGCTCCCACCCTCAAACACCTCACCGAATCCGAGAAATGCGACCGCATGGTCGAAATCAACTGCTCGCGCTCCGCGCACGCCATCGCCTACACCTCCATCGTCCAGAACGCCTGGAAGCGCGGGCAGAAGCTTACCATTTACGGGTGGTGCTACCGTCTCAACGACGGGATCTTGCAGGATATTGGGGTTAGGATTGAGGGCATTGATGAGGTTGATGGTGTTCATCGGGTTGTGTAAGGGGTGGGTTGTGATTCCCTGCGTTCTTGCTGCCTCCCTCTCTCCCTCTCTCCCCCTCTCTCTGTCTCGTTGTATACCACTCCTTTGTCAAGCACATATTCCTTTCATTGTGTTCCGTTCTCCGCGTAACCGGGTTTCTTCCGTCGGGTTGGCGCCTATGGTGTTCCACATCGTGGTACATCTACGATGCTACCTGCGTCTTTTTCGTCCTGGCTTTCCCTTTACCTTCGGTTGCGAGTTGCGAGTAAGCACAACACGTTTTCGCGTTCACCCGCTGCCAACAAAAAGTCCGAAACCCAACAAGTGTGTCGGACCTTCATCAACCACACAAAAACACATCCCCCAAGTCCCAGAACAACATCTTGGAAGAAGTGCCAGCCCCATCAAAAACTTCCATCCCATTGATGATCGCAACGATTCTCCTCAGTCATTTCCGTACGTCGCTGCGCGTGAGGGCAGGTGTCACGGTGCAGGAATTGGGGTCACTGCGGATTGGCAGAAACCGAAGGCGGGGTGGGTTTCGATCCACAGAAAGTAGTATATCTGTGCATGAGGAAACCTCGCTAGAGCATGAAAAACGTTCTGTTACGATATGACCAATATGAAATATAGGTCAGGGGCGCTCAACGCCGACCGCAGGAGAGACCGTATGTACAAAAATTGGGAAAAATGTCAAAAAGATAAACGGGTATGAAGATAAACCCACCCAAAAGATAAGTGGGGTATGAGATGATCCCCGGCTCCACGCCCGCCCAAACACGCTCAACAAGCAACCCCCTCCCTCTTCCCCCCCGACCTGGGCCTTTTCCTCCTCTCAGGCACCGCCGGCGCCGCGACCCTCTCTGACCCCTTCTCGCCTGCTGGTTTGTACAGCCGTTTTCGGATGTGCGCCGGGCGCGCGGGGATGGGTGGCGGGGCGGGTTTTCGGATCTGCGAGGAGGGCTGTGGTAGCGGTTCCAATGTTGTTGTAGTCGGGATGCGCGATGGTTCCCGCAGCGTGGGATCGTACCCCGGCGCGAACGGCGGCGGGGGCGGCGCATTGACTTTCTTGCTCGTTTTCGTTTTGGGTGGTGTGGTTGTTGTTGTGGCGAGCGTGTTTGTTGATGAATGGGATGAGGACGGGAGGAGGGTGGTTGGGAATGCGGTGTTGTCGGGGTCCTGTGAATTGGACGAAATGGATGAATGCGAGCGGGGGAAGTGGTGGAGGGGTGGGGCTGTTGGGGGGTGTGGGTGGAGATGGAGGTCGGGGTGTGCTTGGTCTGTGAGGGAGGGGGCATCGAGGGAGGGGTAGAGGGATTTGATGACTGGGTAGGATGCGCGCGCGGAGTGGGGGCGGGATGTGAGGGTGTTGGGGGATGATTTTGGTTTCTTGGGTGGGATAGCTGGCGGGTTGGGGTTGGGGTCGGGGAGGGCGGGGAGGGGAATAGGATACGTGGCGGAGGATGGGCGTTTCTGGTCGCGTTTGGGGGGTACGACGGGTGGGAAGGCGGGGATAGATGTTGGCGAGTGGTCCAAAGTGTACTCGTATAGTGGGATCTTGACTCGACTGGCTCGTCGCGGCCGGGCTATTGCCTGCGAGTGGGCCAGCTCCGAAGGTGGCGGATGTGCCACTGCGGGATTCAGCACCTCTTCCCGTGATGGCCGCTGCACAGGTGCAGAGTCGGCACTCGACACTTGCATCAACTTGTCCCCGTCCAAAAAAGCTGCACTCTCCCGCTCCCTCAGCACCCCCACATACAACCCCTCTAAAACCACCCCATACCTCCCCAAACTCCCCCACAGCCCACCCACGGCCCTGCAGACAACCCCTTCCGCTAACTCCTTGTTCCTCCTCACACCTTCCTCCAACCGCTCCTTCGCCACATCCAACGCATGCAGATCCTGTGACAACTTCCTCCGTTCCTTCACTCCCTTCACACTATACTCCACCGCAGCGTCGGCAGGCGCGACACGGCCCCTGGAAAGCTTCTTCGACGCGGCGGTCGCATTCCGACTGAGTTTGCGCACGAGCGCGATGTTTTGGGAGGTAGCGCGCTCGCTGTCGTGTTGCTGGGTGAGCGCGCTGGAAAGGATGGCGGTGGCGCGGGTGACGCCTGTTCTGGAAGGAAGTGCGGCTGGGGAGGTGAGCAGCGTGTGCCAGGTGTCGAGGAGGGTGAGGTAAGTCGGGGTGGTGTCCGTCGTGGAGTTCTTCATTCGTGCCTATGTCCGAGATGAATAATTGAGAAAACCGATTCGCGAAGGCATGTTTTCACATGCGGAGTAAACGCTAGGGCGGAAAGATGAGGGTGGGATAAGAAAACTCACCATCCAATCCTTCCTCCACCACTCCCTCAAACTCCCCACTGCTTTAACCTCCTCCACACACACGCACTCCCACCGCCTCGCCGCTTTCCCAAACACCCTCCCCACCCGCTTCAGAATCTTCATCTTCGCCTCCACACACCCGTCCCTTCCCCAATCGTCCTCCCTTCCCCCGTCCTTGCCCCCCTCCTTATCACTGCCACCAAACGCCCCCTCCATCTCCCCACAAATCTTCCCAACCGCGCCCCACATCTCCCCAAGCGTCGCCATCATGTTCCGCAACATCATAACCCCCTCCTCCCGCTTGATAGCCTCGCGCGCGTGCGTCGGCTGGTGCGACATGAGCGCAAGCAGTGTAATGTGCGCGTCAAGCTGCGTCAGAAAGGTGTGCGACAAAGCAGGGAGTTGAGCGATGAGGTGGGAGGTATGCGTGAAGGGGCCGCTGAAGCCGATGGGTCGGTTGAGTGTTTCGTACTGTGGGGGGGGGGGGGGGGGTGGGGGAACGGAAAATGTGAGTAAGGCGGATTCTGGTTTTTTGCAGGGTTTATGTGATTTTTGTATGAGACGTACTGTACCTCGCTCCAAGCCGCACACCCCCTCGCTCCCGCCTCCAGCAATGTCACAAACTCCACCCACGCCGCCCTCCACTTCTTTGCGCTTTTGAACGCCCGTCGCGCATCTTTTCCGCCGGGGTCGAACCGTACGGCTAGACGCATGTAGCGGCCGCGGCGGGATGTGTTTTGGTGTATGCGGGGGAAGGAGACTTGTCGTGGTCGGGGGTGCTTGGCTTTCTTGAATGGAAGTGACGGGGGATTGGGAGACGTAACTTGGTTGCTGGTTGCTGGATGGACGGCGACGACTGGAGGGCGACGACTGGAGGAGACACCGGCTCCCATGGTGGCGTGCCTTGTGGAGTGGATGCTATATGTGGGGTATGTCCGGACTGGGGGTATGCGTATGCTGTTCAGACCGCAATATTTTAGTTGGCTGATCTATGCGAGCAAAAGCGCTAGGCGAAAGCAAGCCAAGAACGTCGGACTTTCCGCGGCCTGATTGCGTACGTAACACAAGGCATCTTTCAACGGGACGCGTCCGCCTTTACGCCTTGAAGGGCTCTGGACGAGGAACGGACAGTATGTAGTCCTCTGGAGTCTATGGACGAGGAGGAGGTTGCTTAGTAAGCTTCTCTATTTTTCTTCTCGAGTGAATAAATAACAGATAACCCTATCCTTTCCTGTTCCCTTATCTCTTTTGAGCGTACGAGTGCTATGACTGAAAAAGCTACTACGGTGGGAGGGAGGGATGTTTCGATGAAGAAGAACTAGCCATCGGGAGCGCAGTGCGCAATTTAGGACCTAATGTCCAGGGAAACCCGTAAACCCATAAGTATGTTGATAAATAAACCGATGCGAATTGAGAGGCGAATGCGGCATTCGGGAGGATGTGCTTAGTGCGGCGGGTAGTGCGGGGGGTAGTGCGGCGGTGGGATACTAAGCAACCTCCTCCTTGTCCATAGACTCTAAAGGACTACGTTCCTCGTCCAGAGCACAATGGACTCCGTTCGGAGGTTGCTTATTTGTCGATGAAGGGGAAGCCGCGTTCGATGCCGTATCGCGTAGGAATTCGTCGTAGGTGCGTTCGTCGTCGGAAGAGGAGGATGCCTCGGCGTAGATGTCGTCGATGCCGATAGGAGTAACAAAGTCGCTTTCAAAGCCTGAGTCTGTAACCAGAACGGCTATCCCAGCTTGGGATTGATACTGTACACGTCCCGAAGTCTCTGAGCGTAGAATGTGCAGACGGCCATGGCCATCTCCGTGTCTCTCTCATCCGTATTCAAAGACTCGTAGGATCTCTTGCGATATGGAAGCGTAGCCAGGCACAACCTGAGTGCCCATGCAAGTGAGGGGTACGTCTCTAGTTGATCTTGTGACCACTTGTCGCTTCCACCGGCCTCCCTCTCAGATGGTTCCCGATTCCTGCGTCCGCCGAGAAAGCGGCGGCAAGTCTGGCAGCCTTCGTTGCAGACAGCGGGCGCGAGCGGCGATGCCCTGGCGGATAACTTCCCATCTTTCCTGCTGGCCCCTGCAACCCGCCCCCCCGCATTCAGCACGGTCGGGAACTGCGTGCCTGGCGTACGCGGCTGATAGTATAACACGCTTATCCACCATGGCGAACGCCGACCACCTGCTGCCCCGCGAGACGGAATTGGTAGGACAAAGCGGGCCCCAGCACGACGTGTCCGATTTAATGCCAGAGTTTGATCGCAAAGATAATGGCTAGCCAAAGCGAGCGTGTAACGTCCGTTTCCTCAACGCATTCTTGGTCAATGCCAATAATGTCTCGGGTAGCCGTAGGCGCCCAGGCGAGGCGCCAAAGTTGTTTCCATATATGATACACGGGCCCCTACTACTGGGCATTATCTTGCACGCAGATGGGACATCGGCTGGGCGGCATGGCACTTACCTCGTATGCACCCATATACATTGGGCCGTCCATCTCGACGAAAAGCAAAATCCTTATTCCTTTCGGTAGTTTGGTTACGGCTATCGTCTGGAGCTTGCAGGTTTTCAGGGTGCCTAGCGCATCTTCTACGGTTTCTCGCTCGTGCTGATTGAGGGACATGTTCGCTGTTGCGGCTGTTGCGGCTGTTGCGCTGTTCGCTGTTTCTTGATTCCCAAGTGAGTGATTCCCAAATGAGTTGCAGGTTTCTACTGATAATGCGAGCGGGTCCCACGGGATAGGCAGTGGGCTTGCCTTGTTTGAAGACCGTGGCTGGTCCCGGAGGTAAATGAAAGATTTCTCCCTTGCAGCCAATGCATCCTTTTCGGCCAATTGCTCAGTTGTTGAAACCGCCAGGGGTGAAGGACTGTTTGGGGTAACGTCCGTACCGATCTGGCGTAGAGCAGCGTAGGAAGCGGCACGTGTAGCCGCATTCTTGAGCCCAGTTCCCAGTGCACCCCGGGCCGATGCTCGGAGGGCAGTCTCGATACGCACACCGTGTCGAGAGGCGAACTGCGCACCCCTAGTTCCCAGGTGGATATTGAGGAGGCAGCTTGAACATCAAGAAGGGCATGCTTCCTGGCTGTGGACACCGGGCTCTCCAAAGATCAGCTGGATGTTATCCACAAACCTGAAAAGAGTATGTACGGTTCGGCCAGTGCGTTGAGGTCCTCGTAGAAGTTTTCCATAGCGGTGCGTAGACCTCCGGGGACGAGGTCCTTGAGCTCGTTCGTCTGGGCGGTAGTCAGCGTATCGGTGACGATGGGCTGCATGTCACATCGAGTCAAGATAGCCCAGCGGTATTCCTTAACGATATTGTGGAGATCGACAGACTCCACAACCTGTCCTGACTAAATCACGCATATCCGATCACCCCGTCCAGCACGTATCGGCAGCATCGCTCGTACCCCGCGCCAGAACGTAGGAAGAGGGACCCGACGCCGCCTTTTTGAGACGGTGCGGTTCTCCCGTCCTCCGTTCCTGGGGGATAGAGGGGATCTGAAACGTCCACAGTGAGAACCTCCACCCCGCAAGGTCTCAGAATGATGGCACGATCATCATAGGGCAGTGCTCAACCGTCTCCAGCGACACCGCACGACCCGCCCGGCAGTTGACCTCAGCCCAGTGGTTGGCGCGGTGCAGAGCATCACTGGGAGGAGAGGTATAGCGAAAAGAAAAGTTAGCAAACAACCACTGTCCCCCAAACCTGCAACCGCCTACATCCCTACGCGAACACGCAATAGCGCAATACATGATAGCTTACCACGCCTCAAGCAGCCCCGACCCAATCCAGCCGTGCTCATCCAATCGTCGCACAACGTATGCCTCTGTCAACCGATTGAACCGCCTCAACAAATCATGCAACAAGCGAGCCCGAGCGCGGCGACCCCCCCCCCCCCCCCGCCCCCCCCCGCTCCCCCCCCGCCCCCCCCCCCCCCCCCCAACCACACCACCCCTTCCAGACTTGGGATTCTTCTGTCGTCCCATCGTGCTTAAGTCAACTAAAGAGGTTGAGCGCAAGGAAAAAGAAGAAAGAAGGAAGAGGCGCTCTGAAACCTGCACCTCTTCATGTATGAATCTCCACATTCTTGGTTCGCGCAAGTGTCGGGAAAGCCCCACGACCGAGGATTCCTCGCCGACCCCGAGAATTGTGCCAGTACGATCCAGTCTGTCCCGATGTATGTACCCGCAGATGTACAGTAAATGCGGCCGCACCACCGGACGGCGATCATGTGGTCTTGGATCGACTTGTAAACCTCGTTGCCGGTGTGGACGTATCGTCGGCGGACCCCGGTGAACGACGGCACCGTGTCCCATTCGAAGAGGGACACGGAAGAGGGACCATTCAGCTCTTCGTGCAGCCGACGCGAGCTCGACCTTCAAACGGGCCGAAGCCGCATTTATTACGAGATCGACTTGGAAATCCCGCTTGGTCTGGTTCCGGAGGGATTCCATCGCCGCAAGCATCTTGGCGGTACTCGTCGCCATCTTTTTTATCATTTCCTTTTTCTCGTTCGATATGTTGGCGGCGTTCTAGCATGGATTCCGACTTAGAGGCGTTCAGCCGTAATCCTACGCATGGTAGCTTCGCGCTTCCCAGGGCACTGTTTTGTGCCGATCACAACTTCGCGGGGCCACACTTGCCTAGTGAGTGACTCGGCCCGGCGGATGGTCTGCAGCCGCACACTCTGGCTAAGCCATGTTACCGTCTCGGATGCGTCCTCCTCGGAACCTGTCAATCGGATCCCCGCCCTTTTAGCCGCATCCGTCGCCTCTTTTTCAGTATCTCCATCCAGCAGTCGAGCACTGACGTATTCAGCCCATTTCTTTTGTCTGAAGGACGCGGCAAGGGCCCGTGTGTGGATGCGTAGGCCTTCTGGATATGGCCCTCCCGTGAGATCCCCGTGTTGCAGCACCAAGTAGAAGCCTTGCTCTGGCAGCGCAAATATCCACTCGCCGACGACGGTTGGCGGAGCGGCGGCGTAGCCTGCCACCCATTGCGTGCATGGCTTGCGGGCTTGAGGCTCCTCCGGAAGCTCCTCCGGAAGCTCCTCCTTGGGGGTCAGCTTCCATGTGGCGCGGCCTGTGTGCGGGTTCAGCTCGCCGGCTACGCCGTCGTCCGACGGGTCGGAGTGAACGACCACTTGATAGTTGGTAGTGGCGAACAGCGGGGGGAACTCATCGGAATGTGGCCCGTACACCTCTGGCATGGACATCATCAGGTAGGCCGCCGCGGTGGGGTTGCGTTTGGCGAGCTCCTGCAGCAGACGCTTGGTGAAGGTTTTCCGTGGCAACGAGAAACTTCTTCGCCAACATGTCTGCCCTTCCTTTCATTGAATAGTGCGACGTCCCCCTGGCATATCCCTAGTGCTTGACGCCACGACGAGAGCCCCGCGGCGTGCATTGTTCCCCTTGAAGCCTTCCATCGAACCAGAGCCGGCCGGGATCCACAGGACTCGACGATGAGCCCCAGCCGCAGGTCATGTTCGCGACGACCCGCGCTATTGTACGAGATGTCTGCGCAATCATCAGAGCAGCCAAATGGTGTGTTGGATCAATCTTGTAATATCCGTCCTGTCCCAATATGTACAGCCAGTGGCGAGGTCATCTAAATCTTGCTTGATGTCCTCCTTGTGCGTCTTGCACTCCTCCCGTACTTTGTTCAGGATGGTCAGGACCTTGTCCTCCACAAGACCGCCGAGGTTCCGTAACATGGTGCGGAAGTACTCGAACCGGCCTTCTTGGTTCACAATGATCTTCTGCGCGTTCTGCTAACTATGCTGGTCCATATAGGTGAAGATGGCGTCAACGAGGTGGCGCATGTAGGAACCCTCTTCCACCTGACAGAGTGCCCTGGTTTTGCCGAGCCCGGTGCTATACGCATTGGTCCGCTCGTTGTCCGGCCACGCCGCAAAGTGCCAGTCGCTTTGGTCGGCGTAGCAGGTGGAGCTTCAGGGTAATACTTCTCTCCGTAGTGGGCCATGATCCTCCCCTGTATTTCACCCACTCATCATGGAGGTCGGGTCGTCCTAGCAGATATATCGTCGCGCGGCATCGTAGTTGGTTGACTAAAACGCCAGTGTTGGTCCAGCTTTCGCCTTGAGGACCATGGTGATCGTTCCGGACGGGGTGGCGCGGAGGGACAGGTTGCGGAAGGCGAGGTTCCCAGCTTCGAACCGTCAACGTCACTGGCTCCACACCAGAATTGGTAACCCAATCCTGGGTCATCAGTTTGCAGACGTACGTGTGTGAAATCCGCATTCCGATTGATCAGTTGAAGATCTGTCCGTGAACGTACTGGACGGTGTACCTGTGGTCGCTGGGGTTCACGTGGCAGTCTACTGTCACGTTAAAGTTGAGAACGCACATAGTACCGGGGGAGCCGGCGGGAATGTTGCGTTGGCATTGCGCGGGGAGGTTGTCGATGACCTTCCTTCGTCGAGCATGGCGGATTACGATAGTAAAGTCTACACTACACGCCGTGTCGTTAAATAATAACTTTTCGGAGCCAAGTGAGCGGCGGGAAGTCAAAAGCCACATAACAAGACGGGCAACGAACTTGATTCGTGCACCGGACGAGGAAAATGGAGCATGAATTGCATACGGTGTGGATGCCACACGAGCTGATCGTACGACACGAGATCCAGGTGCCGCACATGCAGCACTGACGGTCGTGGCGTCCCGGATTAAAGTAAATTGGCCAAGGGCCTCTAAGAGAAGCAGTCAATACACGTTTATCAGTTGGATTACCCCTTCGCCCCACTCACCGACAAACGCCACAGCGTGGGGCGTGCAAGTGGGTCACCATTTGGCCGACGATACACGTACGGCAATATAGGTGCCCACACGGACCGCAGTGGGTGCCAGGGTTGATCATACAGATCGGGCAGATTGGTCCGTTTGGCATACTGACGGGTTGAGTGGATGTGGATGTCGGAGAGGGAGTGTGTTGTTCATTGTTATGGAGTTGAGAGTGGAAGTTGGACAGCCTGACTTTTGGACAGCTCGAGTCGGGGGAGTGTTGTGCGAAGACGCGAACTATCCTGTCAGTTGCTGTCGATCCACTCGTGGCAGATAGCCATTCGTTTGTGGGCCGTGGCGTTCCCCGCAAATTCCAGGTACTCTGCCCACCCGCGGCCGTACCTCAAGTCCACACTTTCGGCCATGGGGCGGGGGAATTTGCCCTTGTTCGTCTCCCCACCGGAGGTCGTCGTGGTCCACACTCCTCCGTGGATTACCGCCTGCGTGTCCGTCGCTGGATGTCGACCGCAATTCAAGACCGGAACTTCAAGTCGACACTCTCAGCCGTGGGTCAGGGTCAGCTTTCACAGAGGGGCCTCTGTAGCCAAGGAGAGGTTGAGCCACCGCATGGTTGGTTTGTTTTGCGTGCTACACACGCGGTGCGGCTTATCCAACTTGTAGTTGTAACCGTGATGTGCTTCCGCGCACGCAGCAGTCTGGGTCGAGTTCCAGTGGTTTTGAAGGTTCTCGATCACTCTCCTCAGCGTCTCGAACCTCCCCTGCGCGTTCGCCTGTATCAGTGCCCCGCTCGGAAAGAGTGTCTGAGTCTGGATCAAGCGCCATAGTGATGCCAGTACGTCCGGTCGCTTGGGCATACGGACGAAAGGCATCTGCGAGGTTGCGTATTTCCTAGCCAGTCGTCAAGAAAGCGCGAACCTCGGAAAGGTCGTTGTAGGCGATCGCGGTCGCTATAGCGTTGACCTGAACGCGATTGCCGTATTCTCCTTGAATGTCCCGAGCCTCATGGCCCTCAGGAGGCGCGCCAGAGCCTGGGCGGGTTCAGTCGTAATGCTGGCAAATTGAATGTATCTTGCATGGTATCTTGCAGTATACGCTGCAGAGACCCTCCGTAGATCAGCTGCACTCTGGCACTCCCTTCACATGCCCGCCCTTGTCCCGAGTGTTGATGAAGTACGTACGGACTACGAACAACTACTCGCGGCGACGTCTTTTTCTCGCTCGCTCCTTTTCCTCCTCGGGATAGTCTTCGTTGGAGAAGTCCTCCTCGTAGTGCTTTTGAAGCTCCGTGCTGTGCCAGCGTACGTGTGCCGAGGGAGGTTGATTGTTCAGGTGTTTGAACTCGAACCCACAAGTGGTACACCGCCAGTGGTGCTTGCGCAACTTGTCCACATCCTTTGGGAAAAGATCGTGCTTGAGGGGGACATCGACCGCAGCGTACTTTCTCACTTTTCTGATCCACGCGTCGAACTCCCCCAGTGTAGATTCGCGCCTCTGAATCCACTCGACAGAGGCCGAAGGCAGCCGCCGAGCGGGCACGCCTCTGCAGCGTCCTGATGTGCCTCATTTGGTCGAGTGGCCACCAGTAAAACTCGACCTGGTGGCCATCGACCATGCGGGTAACGATCGTTGGCTCGTATAGGATCCAGAGGTATCGGAATACGGCGATCGTCGTCTCCGTCTCCTCCTGCCCATCTGCCAGTGCATCTCCGACAGGTCGTACATGGATGGATCATCCAAGGCAACAGCACGGCGATTACATCCACCCGCCGTTTGGTGTAGAGAACAGGCTTGTTGAAGTGCATGTACCCCTGACCCGTGTCTTTGGAGCTTCTGGGTCCAAGGGGCCGGCGCCCGCGCCCTACACCTACATACGACGACCGCGCTTCTCCTGGCGTCGACCACCCTCGTCCTTGTCGTCCTCGTCGCGCCCGTGTTTTCTGGTGATCGGGGGCACATCACAAGCCATCTCGCTTCCCCGTCGCGCTGCTCTTGGGCGTGCAGCAATTCCATGTGCGCCGAAACATGAGCCAACTGAAGATGTGGAGGAGGATGAGCGTCATTTGGCGTGCAGCAATTCCATGTGCGCCGAAACATGAGCCAACTGAAGATGTGGAGGAGGATGAGCGTCATTTGGCGTGCAGCAATTCCATGTGCCGAAACATGAGCCAACTCGAGATGATACTCGAATGAGAAGTAATGACGCTCATCCTCATCCACATCTTCAGGCCAGCCGGCAGGTTCAGGTGGACCGTCGCGATTCTGCACGGCTTGTACCAACCACCACTGCGCTCGGCGTTCCGCAATGCAGGTATACCCTGCGCGGTGGGACTTGCCCCGTTCTGTCGAGCCGTCTTGTTCGTCGGGGTCGTCTTCATAGGCTTCGTCCTCATCGTGGTCCTCGTCGTCTCGCTGGTCCAAACCGAGCAACGATCGAAAGCTGAACGCCGAACAGCAGCTAGCAAAGAGCCAGACGCAGATACAGATCGTGAAAGGACGCATGCTGTGGGTGGGAAGCTGGTGTGATGTTGGATGAGTGGGTTCTTTCGGCACTCTGCCGACCGATGCTGGGATGTGTCTTTCTTCGATGGCTTGGCCAAGTACCTCGCGGATGTTCGCAAGCTGGCCTCGGTAGGGAGTCGGACTCCCACGGTCGACATCGGGACGCCCTTCATCTGCAGGCGATCCAAGAGGGTTTTAGCAGCCGTTGCTTCCATAGGATTCTCAACCGAAGTCGGAAAGTGCGGCGAGGGTTTTTCCTCTCCGCTCACGTAGAGGAAGCACGGAGGTAGGACCACAGGGCAATTCCAGTATCCTTCATTCGAGATCGGCTGGCGCAAAGGTCGTCCTCTGGCCGGGGGTGGTAACTCGACTAGCTGACCGTTGTGTCGAGCAGGCGTGCTTCCCAACTCTTCCTTGCCAGCTTGTAGAGAATACCAGGTTTCCCCTCGCGGCACTTCATGATTAATCGCCACACCTCAGTCGCCGCTTGAATCGTTCTCGCGGCCGCATCCTCAGTCAGAGGATCGACCACGGCGTCGAGTTTGTCCAGCTTTTCGCAATACACCCGGTGTTCCTCCGACGCTCTCAGGCTGCTCTAGGCGTTCCCGTTTGCGCAAGTTTGCGGTGAGGGTGTTGACCGTCCTCATGAAGCGAGTCTGAGAAGAGGGCGCTGATGCACGTCTCAGCGGCCTCCTGGAGGGCATCGACTGCCTCTTGATACCAGCGATGCCTTTCAGCGAACGGCGTCGCCCCCGGGGTTGTCGCGATGCTCTGATTGTGCGCCCGGGACACTTCAAAGTCAATCTCCTCTATCAACTTCCTGAAGGGCGACTTCAAGATCACCGATCCATATGTATGGGCATAGTGTTTTATCTCTGCCTCTGCCAACTCGCCCGACCGATATCCGCCCAATCTTCGTCGCAGAGTCAGTGCCTTCGGGAACGTGCACTTCGGCGGATGACCAATCTGACGTACCAAACTGAAGATTAGTGCCGTTTTGAACACTCCCCTGACCGGGGATGGCGAAACTCAATCTGGGAGCCGGGTTGATCTGGGCTGATCATTAGTCCACCTTGCCACTTCCATGTCGCTAAGGTTACGTCAAGGTTAACGGCGGGCGATTACCACGAGAGTTACGAAGGGAACTTACCCCTTAACGTGTTCGGAGCACTCACACACTCCCCACCGTTTCCGTCACCGTCACTCTCCTCTTCCGAAGACGACTCTTCCATGTGCTTCTTTAAGTACGCAAGTCGTTTCTTCAATTTATCCCTCTCGTTTGTCTCGGCCGCGTCGCTGCGGCGCTTTGCTTCCTTCATCTTCTCCTTCGAAATGCCACCCTTGCTCTTGTACCTCGACTCCGACACTGCCTTGCACCCAAGGTAGTCCGCTTTCTCCATCAACGCCTCGAAAGAACCCTTCTTTTTCTTCGATCTCTGGACCCTCGCGTGGGTAGCCGCCGGATGTTTCGCGAGATTCTCGTAGTTGTCCTTTCGATACCAAATCGTCGCAACCTCGGTCGCTAGTCGCAGAGCTTCTCTCACACGGGACTTCAACATAGACGAGTCACTTGCGGCCGCTGCGGAGGATGCGCGCGTTGAGCGCGTAGTCGGTTTTGAGGGTCCCGGCGGAGGTACAGCTGGAGGGACTGCCGGCGTCCCCGTCTTGCGGGCTGTCTGCTTCTTCTTCTTGCCGTTCTCTCCGTCGCCGCTCTTCTTTCCGTTCCCGTCTTTCTTGCCACCGTTCGCCATCTTTTCGCGTATCGACTGGCTGTCTGGAATACTGAGGTTGAGTATGGGAACGAGTGGGTAGTAGCCAGATGCTTCGCTAGATTCTCGTAGTTGTCCTTTCGGTACCTTAAGTCGCAATCTCGGTCGCTAGTCGCAACGCTTCTCTCACACGTGAGGTCGACACAGGCGTAGGACCGACTGTTCATGTCGCTGGGGCACTCCTGGTCTGAGCAGTGGAAGGGGGTACCGGAGAACTGGAGTTCCCTCCGGCACTTGACCCCACTCTTGTTGCGACCGCCGCAGCGGAATGGTTCCCCATCGCACTGAGGGGTTGTAATGTGAGGGAACGGTCTGGGTACAACCGATGCTACTAGACGTACCTGCTCCGAGGCCGCGAAGATGCACTCCCGGCATATGTGGTGCAGGCAGGGGGTGAGGAACATATCTCCGTCGCGGAGATTACCGCACAACCAGCACACGGCGGGGACGATCCCCGAGGTTACGCTGGCAGAGGACGAAGCGACGGGGCGACCCTGGTCGTCGTCGTCGTCCCTATAATCGCCTTCCATTGCTCTGCTGACTGATGGGATCCAGAGAGTCGGCAATTCAATGGAAGGAGATAAAGACCGCTCACGGTGCACGCGAATGTGCCGAAGAGTTAGGGTGCCGTTAAGAGCCGGATGAGTATCGTCGACTGAGGTGTTGGAGTGGAGGTCATGTGTCACCGACATTCCCCATGGACGACTTCTCCTTCATAAGGATCCTGAATGGAGAATTCGTCTGTGGAGAATGGCTGTGATCTGACCATATTGATGATGTGTAGAGTGAATGGACTGATCATTCGGATGGGATGGCGGTCCAGTCAACGAATTTCGAGTCACGGAGTCAATCAGCGCAACTGAGGCACAGATGTTTGAAGGGGAAGACTATTCCGCCGGCGCCGAGCCATCCGTTCCCGTTGGAGCTGACTAAGCTGGTACAACCTGAATGCGTCCCAGTTGCCATACTCGACCACTCGGGTGTGGAACGAGAGATCCGCTGCGGCTTCCGCGGTTGCAACTTGCAGAGCCTGTACTCGTTGCGGTTCTTTCAACGTCGTCGGGTTCCTTTAGAGCAGTAGGTAGTTGTGGAGGAGCTCCTCCATGCGGCCTCGCTACGGGGTTCCTTAGGAATGGGCCGGCATGCACTGGAAGGTGAACCGGATGCGCGACCCCTTGCACTCGGGGACGTGGTGGCGGCGGCTAAGACGTCTCGCGGCATCGTTGTTGGTTGACTAAAGCGCCAGGTGGTGGTCCAGTTTTCTCCTTGTCGAGGTCCCCAGTCGAGGACCGTGTGCTCTACTCGCTGGGTACGGAGCATGGTATTCGTTCCTGACGGTGTGGAGGCGCGAACGGATAGGTTGCAAAAGGTGAGATCACCAGCATCAAAGCGTCCGTGAACGTACTGGACGGTGTACCCGTGGTTGTTGGGGTTCACGTGGCAGTCGGCTGTGACGTTGAAGTTGATAACGCACATGGTGCCCGGGGAGCCAGGTGGGATGTTTCGCTGACTTTGGGCGAAGACTGTCGACGACCCTCCGTCGTCTAGTATGGCCAGTGGGGTCTATCCACTCGTGGCAGATGGCCATACGCTTGTGGGCTGTAGCATGCTCCGCGAATTCCAGGTATTGCGCCCAGCCTCTCGAGGATTTGAGGTCGACGCTCTCAGCCGTGGGTCGCGGGAATTTGCCCTGGTTCGCTTTTCCGCCAGATGTCGTGGTCGTCCACACTGCTCCGTGAATCACTGATTGTGCATTCGTTGCCGGGTGACCGCGTCGAGTTCGGAATCTAGGATCCTGCCGACTTGTCGTTGCCGTTTTCCATCCTCCATCCCTACCATCCAGGGTACCCTGCGTCATTGCCTAAAACGTGTCAACGGTGACATACTTGTACTTGGCTCCATTGACCTTGCTGATATCCGCCGGTAGAGCAGGTCGTACGGTACATGGCACAGATAATCGATTTCGATGTGATTGTATTTTGGTGGGGTCTGTGATGCGAGATATTGATTGGGTGTTGTTTGTATTCGCTCTGCAGCGAGTTGTTGATTGGGTGTTGTTTGTATTCGCTCTGCCGTGATGTGTTGATTGGGTATTGCCGCGAGATGTTGATTGGGTATTGTTTGTGTTCGCCGGACCTTGCCCTCTGCCGCGAGGTGTTGATTCCGTATTGTTTGTGTTCGCCGAACCTTGCCCTTGATTCCCTCCGCCGCGACCTTGCCCTCGACTCCCTCTGCCGGGAGCTTGATTCCCTCTGCCGACTTAATGCCCTCCCAGATATTGCTCCGGGTAATGATTCGAAGGCGGCCTTGCACTTTGTTTACCTCCAATTCGCGGACAGCGTTTGGAAACTCCACTTTCTGGGCAGCAACGTCCTGGTTCCGCACTCTCAAGGTTTCGGCTGTTCGAACCGTCAGGGAAGTGTTTGGTGCAATATGGACGATAATGACCTTTGGCGATCCTTCGGGCGCACCGACCAACTGACAGCGGAAGCGGGCCCTGTCGATGTCTAACAATAGTACACCTGGTGACAAATTCCGCGGTGAAGGCCTTCCTGGTGCTGGTGATGAGGGTGTTGTCGGTGGCAATGCGAAATGTCCGGTTGGCCTTTCCGCTCGCGCACCACCGTCCGCAAATTCGGGGGAAGGCTGCCTGCCGAAGTAGCGCTATCGGGTCTTCGAGGTCGTCCCGAGTGGCGCGGATACCGTGAGTGGCGGGGAATGCCTTTGCGCATTGCCGGACTGGTGTGGGCAGGTCGCTAATTACGACGAAAATGATTGTGCTGCGACCTCCTTTTCCCATTTTCGCATTGCTGTATGGGCAGGGGATCGTGTGGCGAAGGCTGAGCGAGAGAAGATTCCATGTACACGGGTGTACATGTGCGCGGGGACATCTTGGTATTCCTTCCATCGGCTTGGGAGCATAATATCCTGGATGTCCTTTCGCGCTACTCGGTACGGTCGTTCCTTCTCCATCTCGAAGGTAGTGCGCTGCGCAAAGTCGGTTTTCCATTGGCGTCCTCTTAGTCGTTGAGCAGAGCGACCGGAGTTTCGGCAGGAGCTCGCCACACCGAGGGACAGCGAGTGGACGGCGCCACGAAGACAAAGACAGGGAGTAGAGAAGTGAGTGAACTTTGGTCATTACTTCAACAGAGCCGGCAGAGATGTTTAGCAATCCGCCGCATGGCGAGCCTCAGTTCTATGAGAGGTTGGCGTTTACGATATTTAGTCCGCTCCGTAGCACTGATGCCGTTCGGAAATTGTCACTGTCGAAAGTGTTTCGAGGCCGGTTGTAACTCTTGATCGAGACCACCATCTTGTGGAAAAATGATCCATAGCCAGAGCAGATGTGAAGTCTCCCACGGATACGTTAAGCTGGTGATGATCAATATCAGCAACGTCGGTGCCACTGACAGGAATTGCCAGAGCGCTTGGAATGCACATCTTGACACCGCGGAAGGCGCTGATGTGAATGACGGCGAGCAAGAAGCATGGCACAGTGTCGATGAAGTCTAGGCTCTGCTTTTTGAACGAGGACACAACTCGGCTTTGGACTTTCAACCGACTTGGCACCAGATGGGCGACTGACGAGAGGCGATGGGAAAGGTATGAGTCACGCTGCAGCCAAACTTGCAAGGAGTCGGAAGCCTGCAGGAACCAGAGCGAAAAGGAATGAAACCATTAGCACCGGCTTGGGGAAATGACAAGGACGAAAGCAATGGCTGGTGGGTCGGAAGGAACCAGATGGCCAGATTTGACAGCTCGAGCGATGGTTGAGATGAGCCGAACTCGTAAACGTACCTGGCGGCCATATTTATGGAGCGCGCAACACAGTTCACCACAACGGCTGGCGTACAGTGCACAGGGTTGTAGAGGCTGGGCCCAGTCTGTATGCTCTTAGATATCTCTTGCCGTGCGATCGCCGGATGGAGAGGGAGAAGGAAGTCGGTCTGTCGGTGGATCGATGGCTTATCTGCCGCTATTCAATTGACCGTGGTGGATCACGTGCCATAATGGATTTAAACTGGCCGCCTCTCATGCACTGGACTGAACTTCTCTGGGAACTGATGCGCTGTCTGCATCTGAAAGCGCTACTCATAGACGCATGATGTGGGTAAGGAGTTGCTCCATCTGTTTCCTCATTGAAGCCACTAATTCCAATATCTATTCCATCGCTAGACTAAAAGTGGCATGGAACCGTCGTCCAACCCTACATCCTAATAGAGTCCCTATACGCCTTCAGGGTGTCCAAAATATACTCAATAGGTCGCTCAGCAATATCCACCGCACCCCCATCCTCCCGTAGATGATCTACTAACATCAAATTCGCCGCTATCCTTGCCACCTTCTTACTCTCCCCGTCAAATCGCAGCATATCAATGTAGCACACCAGCCGATGGTACGGAACGTTCGCAGACCCCCCGAATAGGTCGACAATGCATGATTGCAGAAGCTCGTCTTCCCCGCCGGTTTCAATCGTGGCGATATCTAAACGGGATTGCATGAGCGTGAACAGCAGGTCGTGCAGGATTTCGGGCGTAGTCGTGGCCGAGTGGAAAATTCGGTTCGAGAGGGTGGCAATGGATGTGATCATCGTCAGCGATGAGGAGATCGTTTCGAGGATCAGAGCGGTTTTGAGACTTTGCAGAGTCTCTTGGTCGATTCGGGGTGCTGGGTCTGGAACAGGCGCCATCGTGACGGGGGCCATCGTGACGTCCCTGGCCTTCTGAACCTCACCAACATCCTTGCCAGACTCGTCAGCCGCCTTCAATATCTCCACATCAGCGTCCGTCCATTTCCCGTCCTCCTCAACCTTTTTGAAAGCCCAGGCTCTCGTCTCTGGGAGCTCACATAGGGTGTATAGAATTGCGCGTTGGGCTTGGCTGTCTGCTTCGTGGGCCAGCATGTCCTTGAGGGTGGTGATGGCGGCGTCTTTCTTTGCCGGCTTGCGAGCGTCGGCTGAAAGTTGGCGGAGGGACTGAGTGAAGCCTTTGCGGAAGGTCATCCTTGCGTTGTATTGGTGGTTGTTGATGGTTGTTGAGGGAAGCGGAGCACTTGCGGGGCTTCAAGGCCAAGCGACCTCAACGAGTTGATCACGTGTTTGACGCGCTGTCGAAAACGCTATGCAAGCGGAGAGTGCACCGCTCAGGTTCCCATGGACGAAGGACCCTGGAATTTCTGATAATATACGACATCCGCCACCATCTAAACCATCGATTCCCACGTCGCCGATGTCGCCATTTCCACCGGTACCGTACTCATCTCACTCATGTCTCAAGGCGCGATGGCCTTGACGCGCGAGCAGCAGGAAAAGCTGATAAGGATGTTTTGGAGCGGGATAATTTGGAAGTGGGGTGATTGGGGTCGAAGGCGGGGACAATGGAGGAGCGGAGCCAGAAGGTTCAGGAGAGGGAGGGTTCGAGGCAGGAGCTCAACGAGATTATTGTGAGAAGGATCAGAAGGGCTAGGAGATCGATAGAAGGAGCTGGCGAAGCTATGGCGGTTATGCCGATGCGATATTTTCCAAAGTGCCAGCATTCTTAAGGAGGTGGCGGGGACGCCAACCTCGACGGGGGCAAGGGAATCTTCAGTGGGAACGCCTGGCGGCGGATGCTCATTTCGACTGCTGGGGACTATTTGACTTTTGCTTGTTGTCTTGGCATATTTCGAGGAACGCTGGCCGAAGACACCAGCCATATGATCCAGGCCAGATCATATGGCTGCCTTGTATGCGATCATTAAGACTTTGTTCATTGCGTTGCTCTGAAGCATGTCGATACGGGTACAACGATGTGGGTCTTGAGACAGCGGCCCACATCAAGTTGGGCTGGAAAGTGAACCCCGCAGCCTCGAACCGGAATGTCTCCGTCAGAGGTGCTGAACCCTGCTCCAAAGCTCCTGGCTTTGGAAGGCCCTAGAACGTCCGCGTTTTCTGTTTGCTGACGCTTTACAAGCAACATTCAGTTGATGAAGACGACCTTCCGAATTGGAACTACAGGTGGTGAAGCAGAAGGCGGCGTTGGAGAAGACCGCAATGAAGAGAAACTCGCCCGGCGGAGGAACGAGCGGACAGAGGAGCTCTACAAGGCGTACGAGGGAATTGCTCGTGGTACGCCGGAGCTGCATTGTACTCTCCTACTCGACAACGTCAAGGTACTTGACCGATCCAGTTATCCTCACCTGACGACGACACGCACCCAGCGCAATAAAAGGAAAGCGTGGACATCCCAGCACATCAAGACACGTTCACGACATGCGGACGCACATCAGCAACGCACACATCACAGACGGTGAGGATACCTTAAAGGCCAGTGCGGGTCCGGGAACTTTGGGAAGATGAGAATCCGCTGGGTCGTGGCACGGGAGGCTAGGTGTGTCAAGACGTCTTTGCTCGCACCAGTCCATCCGCTATACCGCAAGGCCCTAATGTTGTGGACAATCACCACAACGAACTGGGGATAGGGCCTGAATTCGTCGACAATCTTGTGCTAAATGTTGATCCAGGCGCCCATGAATATGACCCCTCCTGCTCTTTCACTGGCGATCTCTCGTAATGAGCTTCCGGGTCTTTCCTCACAAGGGCAGCTTACAACCTCTTTATTGCTCGCGCTCGCCATGTTACCAATGAAGCCCGAGAAACGACACCGCTACCCGTCTCGTTGGTGTGGAATGCCACAGAGATCAATGTACTCAGACTGAAGAGAAGGAAACGAGGGAATTCCGGAACCTATCGGATCTATCGGAACCCTATTTTCTCGTGGGATGTCGTTTACGGTGCGCTGCCGGCCGCCACCACTCGCCCATCGAAACCTTTCGGCTGATTTTCCTGTCCCCATCGTGATGTCCGTCTCATGTGGTGTGGTCTGCGGCGGACACCACTCCTCTCCACTCTTGAGGTCGTGTGGCTACCGTTGGATGCCATGATCAAAGCTTTTGTTCCTCATACTTCGTCTGAAGATTCGGGACACTGAGGACCTTCGGCGGCAACAGTTCAGTTAATTTTCGAATGATGATTTGCATGAGTTGCCAGGGATGGATGAAGCTGTTCAGCTTTCGACTTGCCCGGACAAAGGGATGGTAATCGTCATTGAACCTCGGGGAGAGAAAAAATAACGGAATCAAGGGCTTTCAAACACTCGTACACCACATACAACTGGCAGTCAAGTGGCGGAAGCCAGGCCAGTCGTGATAGCGGGGGTTGATCTCAAGGATCGGGGAGGCGCTGGAAATGGTCACCCATCAACCAACATCAGAACATCAGTCAACTCATCGAAGCAGGTGACGGGCTCTCCATCCAGAACCCCTACAGACCCCATGGGGGAAAAGAGAGCACGCTTGTTCACCGAAGTGCGGGCCTGAGGGGCCACAGAATGCAATGGTCTCGAATGCCCATCATCTGCCTCCCAATCCGCGACCCGGAGACAGGGGCTAGGGACATATTCCTCAAGTAGAGACTTCCATTTTGCCGTGTCCACCATATCCGCAGAAACTGACCTTGTTGGATCCTCTCTAGGGAACTCAACAAAATCGGCGAGAAATGCATGTACGGTGAGACCACAACAATCACGGTGCCAACGGTCTGGGAGGCGCTGGAGGGGAGTAGAAAGAAGCGGCGGATGTCGGCACCACCCCCGACACACCCCACCATCAAAACACGACCAGAATGGCTCTGATCTGCCCAAATCCGGCAAAAGAGGTTCCCCACCTACCGGGGGTAATCATCCTAAGGGACCGAGCTCCGAATGCAGGAATGAGCAATCGCCTTCTTGACGATGTTTTGGCAGGTGTAGGAAACATCCCCTCGCGCAACAGGCCATCTAGGACTACATAGAGCACAAGGCATCGATATGGTTGGATCATACGAACCTCACAGACACAAATGCAGGGAGATACCATCCTGGCAAGGAGACTATAAGCTTACATACGGGGCTTGATGTCTACTATCATTCCCGTGCTGGGTGTGGCGGATGTCGATAGGAACCCACGCGGCATTGAACGTTGGCCGATAGCTCAGGGTCCGTACTCATCCTTAACAACGACCACCCACACGACCATCTGGGTTGCAGAAAAATCCATAGTCAGGAGATACCATAGTCCATACCATCAAGACAGTGGGCGCCCATCACCCCATCGCTACGAACGACAACTACGCTCGACAGAAGCACGGGGTGTGAAGATCAACCCTACACTATGGTGCGTCTGGAGATAACCAAACCTCGCAGCTGTTGCCGATCGACCCGAGCTTGAGCTACTGTCCGCACGGGTACTGGATACGGCGATCCGGCCAGCGGCGCTGAAGTTGCAGATCGCGCGGTCGGAGCGAAAGCCGGACGGGCGCAAGTTTCCGAAGCCGTTGATGGTGCGGTCCAACTACGATTACTAGGGACTGCCCGGAAGACCGACGCAGACCCACATAATCAGAAACATGCATGCTGGGTCGCCCCCCTTAGTCTACGTGGAACCTATATTCGGCATAGCGACCTTGGCGACATCAAATCATTCTCATTCATCGATTCTCAATTTCGTGTATTGCGTAGATGGTATCAACATGTTCATATTCAATTTATCAACAACCAAAACGTCGTTGCATGATTCACCCTCTTCCGTATACTCCCATCCAAACAACACCGCAGCAGGATATTGAATCGATCGGCAGACCCAAAATCCCAGCAACGACATCACCGACCCACATATCTATCCCCCCCAAACCCTTGCAACAACACAATACTCCAAGAACCCCACCTCCTTCCTCACCGCGCCCTTCAACGCCCACTCCACATCCGCCAGCGTCACTGCCGCGTTGTTACTGTTGCTGTGGGAGCGCGAGGCGGTTTCGCGGAGAAGACGGCGGTAGATGCTGTCGAGGGTGCTGAGGTCTTCTGCGGGTGTTATGGGCGCATCCGAGGTGGAGGCGGGGGAGGTGAGCGGACACTGAGCGAGGTCGTACAGGCCCCTGACGACATTGTGGATGAAGGTGCGGTCCAGTAAGGGGTTTAGGAGGCCTTGCTTGAGTTCGCGGGGGGCCATGGGGGCGGAGGGGGAGGTCGGGGAGGGGGTTGTTGTTGATGTGGGGGGTGGCGGGAGGGAGGGGTTGGTGGTGACGGAGGGTTTGTGGGGAAGGGAGGGCGGGTGGCGGAGGATCATGAGGTCGAGGGCTGTGCGGAAGCGGCGGGCGTCTGATACTGTGTGTAGATATCCCCAAAAGAAGTATGTTTAGATATACGGCCCAATAGAAGGAAGAAAGTAATCATAGCGATGTTCGCCGTTATCTTACCAAGCGCATTCAACCGCCTAACCCGTCTCGCCAACACCCTCTTCTTCCGCATCCCAATACTCCCCATCACATCCTCCTCCCGCTCCCCTTTCGCCTCGCCCTCCCCACCTTCCCCACCATCTACGTATCTCTCAATCCCGGCAGCCTCACCCAGCCCGGGCCAACAAAGCACCAGAATCCGCTCAAACGCCTCATCATCGTGCGCGGCGCTATAGGCGGACGTGTAGGGCGTGGAGAGGTGGGAGTATGTCCAGTCGGCGGGTGTGATCTCCTCCTCCCTCACATTTATATTTGTTGTAGTAGTCGCATTTTTACCATCCCCGTCAAGATCAAGCCCCACCCGACTCCCTCCCCGGCTCTTCCCCCTTCGCCAATACCCAAACACCTCCGCCCGCATCTGTTCGGCGCTTACATGCCCTGTTCGGACGCGCGGGTGCGCGGCGGGTGTGAAGAGGGATTGGGCGGCTTGAAGGAACGTTTTTGTTGGGCGTTGTGAAGTCGTTGGTGGTGGTGGGAGGTCCGGGTGTGAGGTGGATGTGTCCGGTTGGATGAGGGGTTGGGAAGTGCAGTGGGAGGTGATGAGGGCGTGCAGGGTGTGGAGGAGGGTGAGACGGGTCGTTGAGAGGCCGCCCTGAGGGATAGAAGAGAGAGGGAAGCGGGTTGAGTGCTTATTTTGAAAGACAATGGTTCACAAAACCATAAAGAAACTGGCGACAAGATTGTTGGGGGGGCGGGGCGCGGACCGAGCTCGCTTCGCTCGCAAAAGATCTGACGCCTGGTCTCCCAGCTCGCTTCGTTTTCCCTAGGGTCCGCTCGCACACATACCTTAAGATCCAGAATAAACGCCTCAGCGGTATCCATGCCATCGACCACGCCCGTATCCAAAGAATAAGCCTCAACAATCATCTTCGCATTCTCCTCCAAAATCTCCAGCCCACACACCCTCTTCACACTCTCCACGAGCCCCCTCGCAACCCTCTCCCTAACCCCGCCACTCCCACCCGCCTCCCTCTCAACCCTACTGTCCACCACGCCCTTCCAAAGTCTCCCCACCGCCCGTGGATCGTGTCCAAGTGCTCTATCCAACGCGGGCCCGATTTGGAGTGTGAGTAAAGGGGCGAGAGCGTCGCGGAGTTGGGCGGGGGTTGTTGTGGGTGTTGCGGGGGCGTGGGTGGGTGAGAGGGAGTCTGTGTCTGGGGTGAAGAGGAGCGGGGAGAGGAGGGGCGGGAGGGGGAGAGGGAGGGGAAGGGAGGAGTGGGGGGATTGGGGGGAGGGGGAGATGTAGATTGAGGTTGGGGTGGGCATTGCGGGTTGCCGAAGGGAGTGGGAGTGTGTATGGTTTGCCGAATGAGAATAGTTGCTGGGATGAGAATGAAAAAAAAGTAACGGGACGTCGTCCTTCCAGTCGTTCCCATCTCCGCCCGGAATGGGACGCGTGAGGTGAGGGTTCCGCCGTCGCACTTCCGCCCTCCTTCCTTCTCGCTTCCCATACTCCATACTGGCAGGCGGGCAGGCTGGTAAGGCGCAAGTGCTTCCGGGCTGTCGTCCTCGTAAGGCGGTCTCGCTCATTTCCCGGCCTTCCACGGATGACTCCGCACGCAGCACTCCCATAAGAGAGAGTTCACACCTCCCACCCACCTCACACTGCCCTCCATCCCGCCGCCGCCCCTTCTCACTCCACACACACCAAATGTCCCGTCTCCCCACCTCCTTCAGAGCTCTCCACACCCTCACTTCACTCCGGAGTTCAATAATACCTTCTGCGTCTCACTTGACCTTCGCTCGACCACTACCCACAGTCAGTGGCCGCTCGTTACAACAACACCACCTCACACCCCGATCCATTTCCTCAACGCCACAGCCCAAACCACCATTGCACAGCACCGCCCTCAGATCCCCTTCCCAACCCCCGCCAAATAAAATGCCAACCGACCCATCCACAACCACCCCCCTCCTACCGCCCACAATCACAACCCCATTCACACCCCCACCATCCCCCCTACCGTCATCAGCGGCCTCCGCGGCAGCCACAGCAGCCCTCGCATCCCTCCACCCGCGCTTCTCAAAGGGCTGGTGGTGGGACTGGAGCGTCATCTTCCTCGTGTTTGGGATCACGGGTTCGACCACGGTTAGGGTTGTTAAGCCCTTCTTGGAGAGGGTTTTGGGTATTGAGGGTAACTATCGACATCTCCCAAGTAGTCCCTTTCGGTATGGTATTATTTTCGATGACTGACGTTTGTGTGATACCCCGCAGGAACATTTATAGAAGGACCCTGGAGTTACCGCATCGCCTACCTTCTGACCACGCTGCCGCTGTACTCGGCGATCCTGTTGACGGTCGGGCGGATCTTTGGACGTGGGCCGTATTTCAGAGCCGTGGCGTTGAGGATGTGGGGGCGGTTTTTGCCGAGGAGGTTGTTGAAGCAGTAGGATTTTGGCGGTGAGGACAAGACTTGAGAATGGGCGAGAAGAGTCATACTGGGGATACGACCGACATCGCATGCGTGTGCACTTTGGTCGTTCCAGCAACCCGCCGTGCGCCATCCGCTTAATGCTGCAGTTGAAACTGGCACGGATTCCAATTGTATTTATATACAAATGACTTGCAAATAGACATGTACACTGCCCTCCACCTTTTCTGTGTTTGCCTCAACGGACTACCCTCTGATCCTACGAGCCAATTAATCGGTGGGAAACTCCACCACAAGCGGGATCTGGGTATACAGTAACTGTGCACAATGGCCCGGAAGAAGAAACCCCATCTCCCCCCGTTCCCTCCCCAATCCATACACATCAACTCTCCCGTCCATAATAAACCCCCACTCCCTACCATCACTCATTCTCCTCCTCCCCACCCCTCCTCTTCTTCCTCGCCACCGGCGTCGCATCCACCGGCTCAGCACTCAAACTCGACTTGCGCCTCTTCTGCGCCGCCTTCTTCAACCGGTCTACTTGCGAGAGCGGTGTGGGTGTGCCGCGGTAGGTGGACGATGATGCCTGCGCGGCGGTGGATGTTGAGTGGTGACGGTGGGAGCTGTCGTCGTCGTCGTGGCGGGTGTGGGAGGCTATTTCCAATGCCTTTTTCATCATATTCCTCTCATCAGTAATAAATCCCTCACCTGAAACGGAAGGACATACACCCGACACAAACACCCTACCTTAGGATACGTAACACTACTCCTGGAAAACAACCGATCCTCCTCCACCAGCTTCTGCTTCTTTCTATTTCCCAGCCCCGTGTTCGTCAGGTACCCCTCGAACCCGCGGATGATGTTGCCCTGTGACGTGTCTTCCAGGTAGCCTGTTTCGATATTATAGATGCGCTTTTCGAGTTCTATCTGTGGGAATCAGAGGGGAGACGTGAGTGGCTTGCAACATGGGGGTGTGAGGTAAAGCAAAGTTGGAATGATGTTGGGGTACACACCAGTGATCGATCCACCTGTTTCTTGCGACTCAGCAGTTCCTGCAGCGTTTTCTCGGCTTTGGCTAATTCCTGCGGTGTCACCTACATGTCACCCAACCCAAATCCAAGGTTCAGCGCCCCCGAGTCATTTCATTCCCTACTGTGGGAGTGATGAGGAGGGGACGTGATACACGCACATTGCTCAGATCGTCGCCTATGGAGCCGGCCGTTAGCGGGGTCTCCGGGTCGCCGGGAGGATGGGAGTCGGCACTGGTTGGCGGAGCTCCTGCTCCTGTGGAGAGTGGTGCCGGTGGAGGTGGTGGGTTAGTTTGGGCTGTTGACATGATGCCTGGCTGGGCTTGTTGGGCGCGTGGGAAAGTGTGGGATTGGGAGGATTGGGTTGTCCTTCTTCAGAATGCCCTTTGCAATCTCGTCGCATTGCGCGGAGGACAGGAGGACAAGCAGGACATTGCTCGAAGGACATTTGCACAGCAGTGAAGATACGATATCCCCCACTTCACACCGACAGAGGACCCTCCACCGACTTCTCACCCCAAGAAACCCACTCAACCCCACCCAGCTTCTCACGAATGTCCTTCGGCCAATTAATAGTCGGCCCCCCCGGCTCCGGCAAAACCACCTACTGCCACGGCCTCTCCCAATTCTACCAATCCCTCTCCCGCCCCTGCGCAATCGTCAATCTCGACCCCGCCAACGACGCCCTCCCCTACACGCCCACCATCGACATTTCCTCCCTAATCACCCTCGAAGACACAATGGAGGAATTCAATCTCGGCCCAAATGGCGGGCTGATCTACTGTCTGGAGTATCTCGAAAAAAACCTCGACTGGCTCGAATCCCAGCTCAAGCCCCTACTCGAATCCAACACGTACATCCTGATCGACTGCCCGGGCCAAGTGGAGCTCTTCACCCACCACAACTCGTTAAAGCACATCGTGGAGCGGTTGAGCAAGAACCTGGATCTCCGGCTCTGCTGTGTGCACCTCGTCGACTCGCATTACTGCACCGACCCGGCGAAATACGTCGCGTTGCTGCTGCTGAGTTTGAAAACAATGATCCAGATGGAGCTCCCGCATGTGAATGTGCTGAGCAAGGTCGATGTGATGGAGCGGTATGGGGAGACGGCGTTCCCCGTGGAGTTCTATACGGAGGTGCAGGATTTGGATTATCTGTTGGAGAGGTTGAATAACGATGGTGAGGAGGGTGGGGAGAGCACAACAGCGAGACAACCATCGTATTTCGCGAGAAAGTTTCGCGGGTTGAACGAGGCCCTGTGTGATCTTGTACGCGATTACAGTCTGGTCGGCTTTCAGACGCTGGCGATTGAGGATCTGCAGAGTGTGTTGAGCCTCGCGAGGGTGATTGATAAGGCGAATGGGTATGTTTATGGTGGGTTGGATGGGGTTGGGGTTGGGCCGGCGGCGGGAGTTTTGCCGGCGGAGGGTGGGGTGTAGTTTACGAGGAAGCGAAACTGGGATCGGCTTTCTTCGACCCGAAAGCACGCAGGCTGCCATGGGGCCGATACCCCCCCTAAACAACCACATTCCATGCGCCAACATTTCGCAGCATACAGTCCTGCACCCCGGGCACCGCGAGAATTCCACCCTTCTATCGCCACACATCGGCATCGGACCGAGGATCTATTCCCCGTCGCTTCATGGGCTTCATGAACGCAGGGTCGACGTGGTGACACCGTACTCTACGGTCCACCACGCCGGGCGACACATACCACAGGCATCTCCGGAACACCCACGCCTATCGGTCGATGCAGTGCGGCTGTACCTACATAGTCCACACGTAGGGTGAAGGGTAGCTTCATCCGCTTTCCCAATTTGGGCAAACTATTAGCATCACCAATGTATATATTGTTGTGACCACACAAACATACAGTCCAGTATTTGGGGAATGTACAGAAGGCATGTAATATGAAAGGAGACGGGATGGGGGGAAAAAATGTTACGACCGTGGGAATGGGATCAGAAGATACGCCTGGGGAGCATTAGGGGTTCTGTCTGTCGCTGCGGAAGTGGCTCGGCCATCGTTCACGTTCCGAAAAGTCGATATAGTAAAAGAAACCGCAACGTCCAGACGTGAGTGTCCGTGGAATATGGCCCACGAAAAGGGATCGAAAGGGGCTCCTAGTTCCTCGCCTGCTCGGCCACCGCCAATTTCCCCTCCTGCACCTCCCTCGCCTCCTTAGTCTCCGCCACGACGGTCGCGGGCCTATGCAGCTCAAACCCACTCACGACCCGCCCATACATCGTGCCGCCCAACCTCCCGAGCGGCCTCAACTCCGCCAGATCCACAATCCCCTTCTCCCGATCATACACCCCCTCCTTGACATGGACCCTCACGACCTCGGCCAGCACGACGCCGGCGGTGGCCTTCCCGTCCTTGTTATGCAGCATGTTGACGTGCGCGACGCGGCACTCGAACGAGACGGCGGATTCGGCGATGCGCGGCGGGCGGACCAGCTCCGACGCGACCGGGGTGAGCGCCGACGAGGGGAGCTCGGACACGCTGGCCGGGTACGGCGTCGTGGTGTGGTTGGCGGACTCGGCGGTCCATTCCGAGAACGTGTTGATCACGAGCTGCGACGTCGAGAGGATGTTGCGGAGTGTGTCTTTGGGCCCCGTCCGCCCGGCGTTGACCGAGATCTGTGCGGGCGTTGAGTGAGAGAGACGTGAGCCCTTTTTCTTGGCGGCAGAACTTCTCGATGTATCGCAGAGCATTCTTATCCACCCCCAGCGTGTTGCAGCCACCGCTGTCCCCCCCTCCCTCCACTTCCCCCTTCCCCCCCTCCCCCCAAACCTTACCATCAGCGTCGGCGGGTCATGACAAACCACATTGAAATAACTATACGGCGCGACATTCACAACGCCCGTCTCCGCATCCACCGTGCTCACCAACGCAATCGGCCGCGGCACCACCGCGCTGATGATCAACTTATACATATCCGGCTTCGCGAGCGCGGCCGGGTCGATGCTCACCGTCGACCCGTGCGAGGCCGGCGCGGGCTGATGTGTGCCGGGCGTCCAGGTCGGGTGCGGGGGCGAGGTGAGGTGGAAGGTGGCGTGCTGGTCGAAGGGGGGGAGGGCGGACATTGTGGAATGTATGCAGGGGGGGGAGGAGGGCTGGGGTGGGAGTCGGGAGAGGGGGCGATGGGAGGAGGCAGGAAGGACGATGGATGATGGGTTGGTGGGTTGAGACGAGGAGGAAGTCAGGCGGGGATCCAAAAAGTCACGCCCGTCTTGGGGCCTTTTGAGGGCGCGTGGTTCTCGTCTCTTCCAGCGGCGAGACACACAGAGAGACACACGACTCGCAGACGCATAACACAACGATACTCCTTTCTGCACTACCCTCGTCTGAATAGCTCAACCTACTACTACAACGACGACTGGACAGTCGAACCGAAAACACTATCTAATGCAATCCCTACGCCAAAAACCCCCTCAAATCAAACACCCCCTCTCCCTTCCCCTTCACACAAACCCCCCGCTCCGTAACAATCGCACTGATCAGCCCCGCAGGCGCCACATCAAACGCCGGGTTCCACACCTCCACCCCCGGCGCGGCTACATGCACCGTTTCCGTCACCACCTCCGCTCTCCCATCATCGTGCTCTTTGACACCCGCAGCGTCATCCACAACCCTTCCGCGAACCTGCACAACTTCTAAGGGTGACCGTTCCTCGATTGTGATCGCGTCGCCGTTCGGCGTGTTCAGATCGATAGATGTAGTCGGGGCAGCGACGATAAAGGGAACATTGTGATACCGCGCGGTAATGGCCAACTGATACGTCCCAATCTTGTTCGCCGTATCCCCATTCGCCGCCACCCGATCCGCGCCCACGACGATCGCCGCGATCTTGTGCGTGCGGAGGAGGTGCGACACCATGCTGTCGCAGATCAAGGTCGCAGGGATCCGTTCGTAGACGAGTTCGTAGGCGGTGAGACGCGAACCTTGGTTGTATGGGCGGGTCTCGGTGCAGAATGCGTGGGATAGGTTACCCCGGGCGTGGAGTTCGCGGATGATGCCGAGAGCGGTGCCCCACCCGGCTGTGGCGAGGGAGCCGGTGTTGCAGTGGGTGAGGACCTGGATGCCCTCTGAATTCGAAGAGTGGGTGAGGATATACTCCGCCCCATGCATCCCGATATTCCGATTATCCCCAACATCCTGCTCCAGCATCGCCTCAGCAGCCTGTATATACACCAACGCGGTGCTTTCGGCAGTCGCGTCCTCCCCTACCGCGTGCCGCTGGACTAAAGCGTTGAGACGATCGGCGGCTTCGAAGAGGTTTACGGCGGTTGGGCGCGAGGTTTTTAGGTAGCTGAGTTTTTGGTGGACGTGGTCGGCGATGGCGCTGGGGGTGGGGAGGGTGGAAGAGGTGGTGTGTAGTTCGATGGCGAGGGAGAGGGCGGCCACTATTGCGATTGCTGGGGCTGGGAAATTGTGTGGGTTTAATTTCCAACCCTGCGAAAAATATGACCAGGGAGCGCAATTCAGGTATACTCACCACCCCGGACTTTCATCGTCTGGATAACATGATGTCCGCCCTTGATATCCTCGACCTTCTCATACACGGACTCGAACGGTAACAGCAGCTGGTTGAGGACGAGCAGTGAACCTAGCAATATAAAACGAGGGTGAGTTATTTCCGACGAAAGGGGAAAGCAAGTCGCCGTTGCGCAAACACACACAAAACAATAACGACCGACAAAATAGACACCTGGGGACATACCTCGTGAGTAGCGGATAGCCTGCAGCGTGTTGCCTCCGTTGAGTAAGGGGTTCTGTTCGACGGCCATTATGAATATGGGGGAGCTTCCAGTTTCTGGTGCGCAATTGGAAATGGGCGGTGGAGGTGAGAGTGCGAAATGGGAGGTGAATTAAAGTTGAGATCGATGTCACGTGATGCTCCAGTTGGAGTGCTGTCCTAGTTCTTTAAGACGAACCCTGCTTCGAAAAGCCCCACTCGTTTATCGGGTAAGCTAAGGTATACTATTACTGCATATCTACAGTAGAGACAAATGCCATATGCGATGGTATGATACAAACAGAAGGGAACAAATATGGTAAAAGGCCGGGTAGCCGCGTACGGCGTTACGCGCGCTCGATGGGCGTTTGAGATATCTCAATGTTCGATACCTAGCCCCAGAAGGGGAAGATAATGGACAGTCCGGCCTTCCACAAAGATCGCAACTAATCAAGAACAACCGCATTCGCACCCCTCTTCCTCGCCCCCTCCTTCACATCCCTCAAATCCTCCATCGCAATCTCAGCAGGAATCGTGTCAACCGTGGGCTTGACATCCACTTCCGGTGTCGCGACAATGGCGGTCTTCTTGGTGGTGGAAGTGGTCGGCTCGCTGACGGCGGACGTGACGCCCGTGACGTTTTCGATCTGGCGCGTGAGGATCCGGATCTTTTGTGTCTTTGCGGCGATCTCTTCTTGGTAGCTGAGTTGGAGGTACACGTCGCGGATGCGGCGGTAGTCGACCCTAGAAGACGAGAGGGAGGGAAAGGGATATGTGAGTGTGATGAGTGTCGTGAGGGGTGGATAACATGGATGCGAAGCGAAGCGAAAAAGCGATGGTTGGACGCTTGGTTGGTCGGTTGGTCGGATGGTGGATGGCAAGCGGAGCGAGCACGGTTGGGCTGCGTGTGTGTGAAGCTCGCTCCGCTCGCAAAGATCTGACGCTCGGTATTACACTGCGCTAGCTTTGCTCGCACCTCGCACTCCACCGCGTTCGTCCTCGCTACGCACTCGGAATCACACTCGCAATACTCACAAAATCATGAAAATCGCAAAAAGACTCAGATACAAATTCCTCTGAGCATAAAACAGCCTCGCCTTCTGCTCCAATCTCGCCAACGGGTTCGAATCAATCACATGGTGATGATGGGCAGCCCCCACATTCTGTCCCATCATATCATTGGCAGCCGCATCCAACGCCGCGGCAGTGGAGTGCAACTCAACCTCCATCCGGTACAGCCTGTTGACGGTATCGAGAAAGACACCCGCGACGATGAAGAATACGATACGGGCTGTCCAGACGACTGGCTCGGAGCGGGCGGCGCGGGAAACTAAATTCATCATGTTCTTTCGGCTAAGGTGAAGGAGGGAGGTGTGAGTGAGTCAATCATCAACCAACGACATCCATCAACCAGTAACACCCAACTACCGTCAACCCTGTGAGATGGTTGGTGAACTGAGCAGTTTAGGATAGATATGTACGTACGTTTGGATTGGCAAGAAGGAGAGCGGGACCAGCGTGAGGAGGTATACGATGAGCTCTCCTACGAGCATGTAGTAGACGAGTTGGTTGAAGAGCGACATGGCTGTTGCTGTGTGTGAGGATGAGGATGAGGATGAGGAAGTGAGCAGGAAAGCTTTGGCTTTTGAGCTCCTGTTCGTTTGCGGAAAGCCCTGCCTGTTGGACCAGTGTTGGTATGACGTGCGGGAGAGACGTGGCAAGAGACGAGGGGGGGGGGGGGGGGATTGGGCGCAGTTTGGGTTAGCTCTCTCACTATGGATTGAATGGATTGAATCCCACAAGGGAGTGACGCATTTCCCCATTAGAGCCCCGATTTCGACACTACGCCCGTCAACCCTCCTGAAAGGCCTTTCATTACTTAATTTGAAGTCTAATAAATAACCCACAACACAACTCCGACAGGCTTCCCAGAACGCAGAGAGAGAGGGAGGCGCAAAACGTCAGCGAGGGGAGGTTTAGCCACAGTATAAGTAGGGAGGACTGAGGTTGTTGCGCCATCAAATACAACTTGCGTTTTTCGCACGCAACCACCTCGGGTCTCTTACTTTTACTGTTCCGTAACCTCCTCTACCACTTTACGTACCCGCCCGTGACCCCCGGCTCATCTGGTTACCACTAAGCGGCAGAAGGGAGCAAGCCCAGCAGGCCCTGCAGCACACGCCTGCTTCCCGGCCACGCAAATACCATCAACGAGTTCACAGATAGAGAGCTTGGTTTGCGTCCAATCCGCCGGCGCTAACAAATCCTTGCCTTCCTGCATCATGAGCTTCACTGCCCACTCGGGGAGATGGGTCCCCCAGCTCCAGCCCTTACGACACATGGAGAACATTATCAACTTCATGACCCACGGAAAGCAGCCCGCTCCGTCAGATGCGCCAGCGAAACCATCCTAAACCGCACCCATCGCGCATTCTGAAACAGTGCAAAAACTGCACCGTGCCGTCGCCATGAAAGTCAAGAGAGCTCGACGACTCCAGCTCCCCTTCGTCATTGCGGGGGCAGTTACCGGTCTTTTTTGGCGAGCTCTTCGATTCATTCTACAAGATGCGCCGGAGTATCAAGAAATCCTCTGCTGTGCGGCACATGGATGGCATCACTTGGGTCCTCTAGGACCGATTGCGGAACTCAAAACCGTCACCAGCATTCACACCCATTTTTGCATTGAGACGCTCAAGATGTCCGCAATCATCCGAACATTGACCTGGCAGCCCACCTTTTTCTCCTCGGAGAATTTGATCTCCATCAGCGCACGTTCCCACGGGAGTTCCGCGAGCGCCCCCCGAACCGAGGCAAGCCTGCTCGACCCAGGACCGGCGCGGAATAACACCAACACAAGCTCCAAACGGAAAAAGAGGGGTCGGGAGATCACTCGAGGGGGAGACACACTACCAAGTCGAACATGGAGCGTCGAACGTTCACGCATAGCAGGCCACTCCTTCTCTCCCGACCGCGGCTCAATACCAATAAATTTGCCAAACCACGCCATATGGCGGAAATTATTTCGGTCCAGCAGGACTCCGAAAGGACGTTCGGCAAGGTCGGGGCGCTGAAAGCACATTCGGAAGCGCATTCGCATGAAAAAATGTTCACATGCAAACCCTCGGGATGATGAAGCCATCTTTCGTCGGTCCCACGATCGTAAGCGCCACTATCGATCGATTCATACTACGATCAAGCCATACGGCTGCCAATCCCGACAAGCGATTCGAGAATGAAAAATGCGACCGCCTCGAACAGGACCAGTTTCCCTACGTCAGACATCCCTCCGAACGCAGCCATGTCTACGATTTGAAACGGCATTATCGATCAATACTCACTACTCAGGACACCCTTGGTAAGACATGAAATGCAAAAGGAAGGAGGTTCGCGGCTGTCTCGTGACGGCAATACCGCAAGCTGCAACGTATACTATCTCGACCCGTTGAGGGGTACCTCGAGGAACAAATCGGATCTCATAAGGACAAAGCATACTCCCGGATTCCAAAAAGCGACACTTCGAATCGACGCTTTACGCGCCCGAAGTGCAAGAGAAACACTGCCATCGTCGGGGTTTGCAACAGCCGCCCCGTACTTTTGAGACCTCCAACCGGCGCTGTGAAGTTCCGTCTTGTCTCCTCTCACAAGGACTTGACCGTCCTCCCTTTTTGCTCTCTATGCGGTAGAGACTGCAAGCTTCAACCACCGGTGCCTTGCTGCGGGGTGAAATACCTCCGGAAAGCGATCCTGCAGGACACCCAGGCCGAAGAGTAGACGGCGTCGCCAGCAATGTATATATCACGCCGACCACAGCCGCCCCCGCCGCTTCCCCTGAATATGACATTGACGAGGGTGGCGTGTCAGTGTTCAGGCCCACGTGCGAGCAGTTCGCAAACTTCGAGGAGTTGTGTCCAGAGCATGGCAATCAGAGACCTGTGTATGCATATCTGTGGCCACCACTGGGCTACTTCGAAAAGTCACCAGAACATCGCTTGCGCACAAAGTCCGGTGCAGTTCGGCATTTCATGGTTGGACCAACCGGTAGAGCCCCCGAGGTCCTTCCTGGGCGGGCCCGTCGCTCCCATATACCGGCGCGGCCACCATGGTCGCGCCCCTGACACTCATTACTCCATCGTCTTTCCTGTTTGATTTGCCGCACGGTCAATGTTTGCTCGGAATACCTTGATCTCGTGGATCACGAATGACGGGCAGGCGGGAAAGGCGATCGTTGGTCAGCAGCAGCGCTACTGCTCGCAGCTACCCAAAAATCTATCTACAATAGTGTGCATCCAGGACCAGCAAGGCGGCAGCATCTATCGATTCTTACGGCAACCCGGCAATCACGTTAACCCGGAATGTCAGCTTGCTACGCAGAGACGAGGCCAAGCAAGTATATCGGCGGCGTTGGCAAGGGAAGCTGAACCCAGAGCTCAATGCCCTTGAGACTGTACAGCAGGCGGAGCTTCATGTTATGAAGCTGGACGATGTCCGCGGCCGTCAAGACGCCAACAATCGGATGGATATACAATAGGAATGGACATGCACGCTCCAGAAGCTCCACCTCAATGGGACATGATCGAGGGCCTGATGAGGCTGATGTCCTTTCGAGCGGGATTGACATCGACTTTAATCGGGGGAGGACATGGATAACATCCGGGATAAGACATTGTTCTGGACTTTGACTTTGGACGAGGAGTCACTTGGACAATTGAACTATAGAGTGACAAATCATAACCCACTAAAATTGTATATATACACATTCAGCTTGCAACATCAATAAATTTGATCACTGGTGACTCCAATATACTGGTCCTAGAACTATGCCGGGTAGTTGCCTGGTCTTGGAGTTCCGTCCGTCCATCTATAGTCCATCTTATGCAAACTGTCGATTGAGGTCACCTTTGCTCACCAAAAGCAACAGCGCGCGTCTCCGCCTCCTTCCACTTCAAAATCCCAAAACGCACAATCCCAGTGGTTGAGTATGCATAGTTAAGCGCAACTCAACCCTCTCTCTCAACTCTTCGAACCCACTTCAAGCCCTCATGCCGTTAAAATCTCTCAAATCAGGACCCTCAAAGAAAATCTCCGGCCTCACTTCGAATGCTGTCAATTTTGCCTCCGTGAGGAATCCCTGCTGACAAGGCTTATCCGGAAATTTCTCGACTGTGTTGCGTACCTGGGGGGAGTTATCATTTCAGCCCGATTTTACCCAAGCGCTTTTCGACCTAAGATACCTTTTCTTGTTCTAACTGGCGGTGGATCGCATTTCGGGCATTGAGAACGCTTCCCGATTTTCTTTGCCGAGCTTTCCGAAGGGATTTATCGGCAGCGCAAGTCGGGAGTGTGAGCGAGGCACGCAGCCGGTGTAACTCCCGGAACAACTACATCCCACAAAAAGCAACGGACACATATATAGACGGACGAGTGCACATAATCGACGGGAACTCTGCGTTCGTACGTCAGTTCGGCATTCGCTCGATTTACGACGCACAGAGACTCTCCGCCGGGGACATACCCACCACGCAAAGACCAAATCCTCTGACACCTAGATTACAAAACAGCCTACCGCCATGCTCAGCAAGCTCGGTCTCCGCAAATCGACCGCATCGGGGCTGAACAGCAGCGGCGGCGGAGGGTCGAAACCCAACCTTACCGGCTCCAAATCTAGCCTTAGCGGATCCAAATCCAACGTCACAGGGTCCAACCCGGAACTACCCACCCGCTCCACCACGGGGTCAGGCACGATATCGAAATGGGCGTCGGCGATGATGCATACTTCGATCAGGCATGCTGAGGAGGAGTTGAAGGGTGAAAGCGTAGGGAATGATAATAACAAGAGTGGGAATGAGGATGGACGAGATAACGATAAAAGGAATAACGGATCAAAGGCGTCACTGAGAGCTAAAGCTGCAAGCCGTGAGGCTTTGAATCAAGGTAGTGGCAATAAGAGCGAGGCTGCCGGCAGCCGTGCGGATGTTCGGGACGGGGAGGAAGCCCGGCGGGTGTCTGATGATCATTTACGAGACGATGATTACGCACCGGCACCCATATCGGAACCTGCCGCTGAGGGAGCGGCGAGAGGATCCCGCAAGTCTCTGCAAGCAATCAAACCCTCCACAAGCCGCGACGCACTCAACGCATCCACATCGAAAAGCAATATCGCTAATGTGGAAGGAGACAGGACGCGAGGCTCAACTAATTCCGTCGCTGGCGGCAGTACGAGTCTTTTGGATCACCCGCGCAATGCGTCGCAGTCTCAATCGCAGATTCAGCGTGGAAGCCGCCCTGATATGGCTGCCGGACGATCGGTGCGTTCGGTGCGCGATGCTGGAACCTACGATGACGACGCGTTCGAGCCCGAGCTACAGCCTGAGAGAGTAGCGTCTGTAGGTGGCAGTCAGAACCAACTCACTTCGCAGCAGGCGCTAAATCGGAAGGAGCGCGAGGCGGTCGAGCCTGAGCGGGAAGAGCAGCCTCAGAGAGTGGTGTCTGTACGTGGCAGCCAGGCCCGGCTCAACTCGCAGCCAGCGCTGAACCGCAACGACGAGTACGACCAGGAAAGGTTCGAAGACAGCGGATCGGTCCGCCCCGCGGAGTCGCAGGCCGCGAGTCGCCAGGATGTCCGCCCCGGTGCATCGCGGCCCGATGTCGCTGGCCAAACTCAATCCCGCAGTCAGTCGCAGCACCTCCAACAGGACCAGCAAGCCTACGGCGACGAAGAGTTTGAAGATTTCGGCGCGGGCGGGACAGGACCCGCGGGCACAGGAAGCCGCGCCACATTGCCCATCGGTTCCACGGCCACTCTTGCGCGATCTCAACAACCCCTGAATGATACTGTCGGCCGATCGCAGGCGGACATGCGTGCGGCGCCGTCTCGATCAAAAGTTGTGGGTAGTTACGGAAATGTGGCAGGTAGTCGAGCAAACGTGGCGGCTAGTCACGCAAACGTGGCGGGGAGTCAAGCGAACGTGGCCGGTAGTCGAGCGAATGTGACTGGTAACCAAGCGAACGTGGCGGGCAGTCGAGCGAACTTAGCAGCCAGTCAGGCCAATGTTGTGGATAGTGCGCAGGCCGGTAGCCGGGACAACCTGAAGGCATCTCGTCAGGAATTGAATAGCGAACAGCGGCATCACAAGTCGGCAGCAAATATACCAGCTGGCAGCCGGGAAAATCTGAGTGGGTCGCGTCAGGGGTTGCGAGATGCCGAGCAGCATCACAGGTCTGCAGCAAATGTACCAGTCGGCAGTCAGGCTAATCTACGCGCATCGCGCCAGGCTTTGCGTGCTGATGAGCCGCAAAGGTCGGGTAGCCGGGATAACCTGCGTCAGCAGACCGGTAGCCAGGAGAATTTGCGAAGTCCACGCCAAGCACCGCGAGATGAAGAGCAGCACCAACCTGGCACCCGAGACAACCTGCGTGGATCGCGCCAGGCGTTGCAAAGTGAAGAGCGACAAAAATCTGATAGCCAGGACAATATGCGCAGCTCCCGCCCTGCTCTTGGTGGGAGTGACGACAAGCTGCGTGGGAGGTCTCAGCAAGCGTTGGCGAGCGGCGCGGGATCGCGTTCTGTCAGTCGAGACAACCTACGTGGGAAGTCCCAGCACCAATTGGTTAACGATGGCGGTGCCACCGGCTCACGCTCTGCCAGTCGGGACAATCTCCATGGAATATCGCAACAGCAGTTACACAATACCGGCGGTGCAGGCTCACGCTCTGTCAGTCGGGACAACTTGCGTGGAAGATCGCAACAGCGGCTAGCAACTGCCGATGCCGGCGCAGGCTCACGCTCTGTTAGCCGCGACAACCTTCGCAACTCGCAGCAGCAGCTCCAAAACGACGAGCCAAAGCATACTAAGGACGAAAACCGCCCTGACGATACACGTGGGCCTATAAGCCGTCCAGAATCCCGCCACTCCCTTCGAGCCGCAGGCGATGAGTACACCAACAACCAGTCTGGCTACAACGAAGACGAGTTCGAGGACTTCGAAAGCGGCCGGGTGGACGGCCGCAAATCGCAAATGCATATCAACCATCAGGATGTAGCCGGATCACGCAACGCTCTGGTCGCCGGGGAAATCACAAGTCCTCAGATTGTGAGAGGTTCGCGGAACGTTTTAGCTACAGACAAGTGGGAGGCGAGTCGACAAGATGTGCGAGGCTCATACAATGCTTTGGCGGGCGGCAAGTCGCAGGTTGTGAGCCGGCAGGACTTGATGGGCTCGCAGCGTCTCGACAACAATGCGGCGGCATCAAGCTCCCCGAAACAGAGTCGCGCGGACGTTCGTGGATCGCGAAACACTCTTGAAGGGTCATCGAACGCAATTGCCGCGGCGGGCAGTCGGGGGGATGTTCGAGGATCTCAGAATATGGCTGGTTCGCAACAGCACTTGTCACGCGGAATTGCTGAGGGCAACAAGGCATCGAGCCGTCAGAAACTCGGCGGCGAAGGCCAGACGACGAGTCGTAATGACATGCGTGGCTCGCAAAACGTTGCAGCAGCAAACGACGTGCGCGGTTCGCAACACGTCGGGGCGGCAAATGCCAGTCTGTCGCAGTCACGATCGCATTTGTCGAAGCAGAGCGTTGGCGGCCAAGAGCCAACAGCACAGGGTGTTTCTGACCAATCAGCCTATGCAGGAGACGCTTACGATGACGACCCGGGTTTCGAGCAGGGCGGGACTGCAGCGCAGAGCGAAGCGAACCTGCGTCGCGGCAGCAACACTGACGGAACCGAAAGCACTCATCCCTCTCGCGCACACCTCAACGATGCCAATCTGCCCGCCAATAGCCGACATGAGGTCCACGAAGCGCTCGACGCGCTGTCTGCCGCGAAGAAGAAAAGCGCGCACAACAGCACCAAATCGGTTGCCGCAAGCGGCCGCGATTTGCATGCTCCCTTGGATGCGCTGGCGGCCGCCCTGGGCGGTGGGTCAGGCCGGCACTCGAAAGGCGCCAGCAAGGGCGATGTGAGATCTCGTGGTGGATCGAGACAGCTTCTGGCCCAGTCGCAAAACATATCCTCGAATGATGCAAACGGCGATGCGAATGGGTATGAGGACGACTTTGTAGGGAGCGGGCACGTTGGGCCGGAAGGGGCCGCGAGTGTGACTGCTTCCCAGCACGCTTCTCGGGAGCAGCTGGGTAAACAAGCCAGCAAGTCGCAGGCTGCAAGTCGCAAAGACATACGTGGAGAAGGTAGCACATCCTCAAAAACAGCGCTGCAGGACGCGGCTGGGACGTCACACGCTGCTAGTCGCCCCAATCTCGCTTCACAGCGATCGCGAGAGGTATCTACCGGCCGATCGCATACTCCGAGTTATAACGACGTTCGCGGTTATAGCGCAAACGATTTCGAAGAGGATCGTGACACGCAGCGGGACGACGCTGAGGGTGAAGGATACGCCGATGATTTCGAGTCGCAGGCAGTGTCCCGCACCCACCTAAACGATACGCCTGCGAAATCACAAGCGGCCAGTCACAACAACGTCCGCGCAGCATCGGCATCGTCCAACCAGAATCAGCCCAGTGCAGCGAAGGGCTCGCAGGATGTGCTAACCGACCAGCAGGCAAAATCACGCGCTGCGAGCCGCAAGAACGTGAGTGGGTCGCGTAATGCGCTCGCAAACGATAACGGGAGGCACAAGTCAAATGCAGCCAGTCAAGATTTCGGGTACACCATGGATGCCTTTGATGATGATAACGCGGCGCAAGTACCCGTCGACGTTGGCCTGGCCCGCGAGGCCAGCCGACACTCTTCACGGGCCGCGTCCGCAAACCAGCTCGATCAAAACCGACATGATTCCGACGCATACGCGATCAGACCACGCACGGCGACGGATGACGATTACGGCTACAGCATGGACGCCTTCGACGAGCCTGCGAATATCAGAGAGCAAGCAAACTACGTTGGACAGCAGCAAGGGCCAGGCAGCAACAACTCCAGCCGCCGTGAATCGAGGCGAGGATCTGCGCATCAGAGCGCAGACTGGCAGCTGCCGCCCATTCCATCATCGCAGACCCCGCAGCGCCGTCCATCTTCGCGCGCCGTGGACGCCGAAATCGACGAAGGTTACTTCCATGTATCGTCCACGTCCGGGTCGAAGCAGCACCTCGCTAACGACCACGTGGCCTCACACACTTCTTTGAAAGCTAAATCGAAGTCGTTGCTGAATTCCATAGCGAACATGGTGCATCCGCATCATCACAGCAATACAAACACCGCCGGACCGCGGACGGGTGATAGGGAGCCTGATGAGGAGTCACGATTGTATTCGAACCGATCGCCTTCGGTGGACAAGTCGCCAAAAGTGCAGAGAAAGGAGAAGAAACCTGGGCATAAGCAATCGGGGACTGGGGCTCTACCCTCGCTGCCTCCAAAAGGAAGGGCGAATGTTCAGCAGGTTGGTTTGATTGCTGCTGCCCGCTACGTGTATTCTTCTTTCCTTCTCACCGGTCTTACACTCAACTGCAGCAGGAGCATCAAAAACCTCACGCGCATCGCCAAGACGTCCCCGACGCCGCCACGGCGCCACTCATCGCCCAACTTCGCTACCAAATCGCATCGCTCAAAGAGCAGCTTGGAGAACGCGACCATGCCATAGACCTTCTGCGTGCACGGGAAGCTGAACTGCGCAGTGTAATGGCATATGATTATCTTGAGACCAAACTCTCCACTCGTTGACAACTGACTCTTGTTTGGTATCTATGTCGGACATGTAGGCTCATAGCGGCGGCACGACGAAGTCGTCTCACAAAATAGACGAAAGCACCAGGATATTGCTGGATAGACAGAAAAAGGTAAAGATCGCGGAGTTTTCTATGCGTCGGTAAATAACGGCTAGGGATATCAATGCTAAGTCACGTCGCAATGTACGCTCTCATCTCTACCAGGCGTACCAGCTCCAAGTCCAGAAACTCCGTCGCGAAGTCCGCCGACTGCAGTTCCAGCGGGGGTCACTTGCAGATCCGTTGATCGAGGTAAGTCTGGTACTATCTTCTAACATGCGTGTCCATCTTCCCATCCATGGTCTCTAATACAGCCTCGGCCCCTCCGTCACAGTTGACATACTTCCCAGGCCTATCCCGAGCGAAGCAAGAAGCTGCAGGGCGCAACCTTACAAACGGCGGCGCCGGTGTGGACGACTTCTCGATGAACCCGCCGCCTGCCACAGGGAACCATCCCGAAAGTGGGAGCAGGTGGTGGTGGGGATCTGGACCGCAGCTGTCTGGACATCGTGAGTTTTTTGGGTTTGTCTTGCATTGCAACATTATCGGAACAGTCGCTTTGGGAATCCCATCGTTGATCCGGGACTGCGTGAGAAGTCACTGACCGCTTTTCATTCCCCATCCGCGATCTTCACACAGTGGGCCAACAACGACCGCAAACAGCACCCCATACGCCCAGCTACCGCAACGACGACAGCCTCGACGCGCACCCATCATCGAAAACCAACGCCAGCGCATACCCACCTATCAAAGAAGGCGAGCGAGTGAACGTCAACATCAAGGGCGAAACGTGTGCGGGCGTCGTGCAATTTGTCGGACAGTTGCAAGGGCACCCTGAGACTGGACTTTGGTGTGGGATTGGATTGGATAGGCCTGGTGAGTAACTACCGCTCTTATGATCCTCTGTATTAAATTACTGATGCTTCTATTCTTCCAGTGGGCAAGCATGATGGACTCGTCCAAGGCAACCGCTACTTTTCGTGCCCACCAGCCCACGGTCTGTTCGTGAAGGCCAATAAGGTCGCGAAAGCTGCCTCGTAGACGCATTCAAACACTACGCTTAGGTATTCTAAAACATACATGGAGGATTTGATGAGTAGGATTCAGAACATAGAACAGGCCCTTGCATAGCATACGTATGTATACCCGGGCCGGAAGATAACTATAATACACGCGATGGGATGGGATGGATTCTGTTGTTGGCTGGATGTTGAAAGGAAGAGACCCAAATGCGGAAGGGGGGCATACAAATTGACACCACGATTACCAAATCGGACCGCGCCTTCCCAAGAGCAGCACTTGAAGCACGCTAAATCGCCCAAAACAGGATATGTATTAGGTACGCCGAGTATACAAGCGCATATATGTACAGTTGAGGTCAACCTGGGGCCGGTACCTAAGCGGTGGGTGTATATGCGGGAAAGTACGCCCAAAAGAAAGGCGAGGGGTGAAAAGACAGAGCCAGCTATCTATTGCTTCTCGCCGTCTGAGGTCGCTAATGTGGTCACAGTAAGGGGTAACTAGCATCCTCCTGGGCCGAAGGGGCATCCGACGTAATTGGCATGTTCGGCTTGCGTGATACCTGCAAGCTGTAGGATGGCCTGGATGAGACCCCCGATACCTTCGCCAGCTGGAAGAGTAGACACACATGGATGAGGAATTGGTCATGGATGTAAGAACAGACGCAAGTAATATGAGAGTACGCACCAATCAATCCAGCGGCGACAGCAGACATGTAGAAAGCAGCACTGGCGGGCGACTTCCGCTCCCAGAGCAAGGAAATCGCCGCTCCAAACACCATGGCGGACCCGTAGATTGTGTCAGGCAACACGAATGCAATGCCAATAGCGGCGGTGTTGGGCACGAAGCGGGCGAGTTTGGGTGACAGCGTGTTGCGAAGGATGACGGTGAGGACGGCAAAGAACGCGGCGCCGATTGCAACGTATCCACTGCTGTTCGGAATGGCGGGGTTGGGGTCCGTGAGCGCAATCGCACAGGCCTTCCATGCGCCGACGGACGGCATGTCGAACGGACACTCGATCTTGTTGGCCTTGATGTAGGCGTCGGTCTCTGTGATGCAGGGGTACGCTTGCGAATAGAGGACGAAAAGGCCCACGCAGACGGGTACGGAGATGAGGGTGCCGGCGACTTGGGCCCAGAATTGGCCTTTCGGGGCGGCTCCTAAGGAAAAAAATAGGGTCAAATGCCGAAAGGGATGCCAAAAATGGTCCATTCTCCTTAGGAATTTATACTCACCGAGGATATGGCCAGTTTTCAGGTCTCCGACCATGTCGACACTTTGCGCCGCCGCGGCGGCGGCAACGGTTCCGGCGACAAGGTTCAGACGCTGAGCGTCGATGAGATCTTGGCCTTTGACCATGCCTTGGCCTTTGGTGACGCCACCAAACACGAGCTGAGAGGTCTTGGCGACGGCTGAGACGGGGTTGATGTCGGTGTAACCTGCGGATTGCAACCCGATGAAGGCGAAGAAGAAAGCGAGGATGATGGAGAGGATGCCTTCTCCAATGCCGACGTTGAACTGTGTGCGGAGGACGATGATGGTCAAGACGGCAGCAACGAGGATACCGCTGCTCCAGGCCCAGACCGGAACTTGCTCGTGAGCGGGCGCGGGGTCCACGTCTTCGCCATCGACGTCCGCGCCACCGTTCTTGCGGAAAACGCCATCGATGGCACCTTTCAAACCAGAGTAGATGTACTTCCAATTCCAGCCGAGCTCAGCGAAGGAGGTGACTACCATGAGCATCACTCCGGGCCAGAGCATCCAGTACCTGGGCGACGGCGCGTTCTTGGGGTCGGCGGTTATCGCAGCCATGTAGTGAATATAGTCCGGCTCGAATCCAGGGTCCGTTGGTTCCATACCCATTAGTAGTTGTTTTGGACCTCCGAACGCCAAGCCGTTGGCAACGAGCATTGGGCCAATGAGGCCCCAAGCCAAGAAGGACCCGAAAGCCAATGACGCGGATGCGTTCATACCGCTCAACATTCCGGCGCCGATGAAGGCCTAATGTCAGGTCAGATTGAGGAAGCAGAGTCAGTATCGAGACGGCGCAAGACTCTTCTGGTGAACGAAGCGGTACTTACGGGCGTCCATTCGAACCACCAGTGCCAATTCTCGGCCTGGATGGCAGCGTGGTATCCCCAGGAGTAAAGCCAGTAGAACACATGCATGTCTTTCAAGATACCGGGAACGAAATAGCCGATAATCGTCCAAATGATCGCGGCAAAGAAACAGCCAAACATGACCTTGGCTTTCTTGATACCGGCAGCCTCACCGGCAGCACCCTCGTGCAGAGAGCGGATGGTGTAGGCGGAAGCGGTGGGCGAAGGGAAAGGCAACTTTTGCTTGATAACGAAGTACTTGCGGAGGGGAACAGCGAAGAAGAGACCATAGTAGGATCCAACGAGGGTAAGGAGCATGAGGCGACCAATGTCCTCCTTTGGCGATGCGCCAAGGAGGTTGAGCTTGTACATGGCAGGGATGGCGGAGACGAAGATGATCGTGAGACCACCGGAGGCGGTCGCAGCAGTCTGAACGGTGCAGTTTTCCTTAGGGCCAAAGTGACCGCCTATGACGCGAGAAAGCGGCTTGAGGATAGCGAAGCCACCAATGGCACCGAATAGCGATGCGCCGAAGGTGAAACCGGTCTTCAGCCCGAGGTAGAGGTTCGAAGCGCCGACGATGGTACCGAGCATCATTCCGACGAGGATGGCGCGTGCCGTAACTTGGGTCTCCTCCGGGTGATTGCTGTAGGCGGTGGCATCGTGCGGCTGCACCTCTTCGAAATCCTTATGATCCTTGACATCGGCATCGGTGATCTGGACGTCACGGACGTCGCCGTCGACATGCTTGGTGTCGGTTGTGTCAGCCATGGCGGACAGGGTTGAAAATGGATTGAGAACTTGGGACCTTGAAATGTGGAAGAGGGATGCTAGATCACTCGCCTCTTTTATATCTGCCAGCAGAAAGCGGAGACATGGTTCTGGGTGTCATCAGGAAGTGAGCAGGCGTATCATGTGTGTGGAGAGAAGCAGCGCCCCACCTTGCTGGCAAGTTGGCGATTATGCTTTGATCATTCTCCAGGGGACACTGTGAGACTGACAAGGATCATTTGGCGTCGTTGGCGTCGTTGGCGCTGTGTTGCCATGTATCTGTGCGAGGGCCGTTCGAGTAGGCGCACACAATCCGAGATTTATATACCCGCTTCGTATGATAACCAGGAGCTGCGACTTGCTCTCCGCAACGCCCACGAACAACCCGGCCATGAAATTGACAGTTGTCTTGGAGCTGAACTTCCCTTCGAGGTGCCTTCCCGCGCGTCTGTGCGACCGTAATTGGTGCTCAGAGCCAATCACCGCGCGTGGATTTAAGGTTTTCGGAAATGAAGGCGTCGCTGATTGGCTGCGTCGCAGCGCAGTTCTGCATGACAGTGCATGTGCAGGTGGGCGTTGGGCGCCTTGGAAGTCTCCTGAGTCCTGACGGGCGTAAGGAGACGGGCGAGACGGGCGTTGCGCCCACGCCCATACGCAATTGCGCCCGGTGCTGCGATCGTCGGTGAAAGATGGGCCGTATCAAAGTAGGCGTTGCATGAAGGCGGACGAACACAGCTGACATCGTCGACCATTGGGAGGCCGCATGGCAACGACGGAAAATACTGTACCTTGAGCCGCCGAGCGGAATTCATTCATGGTCGTCCTGCCGTGCAGATGGCGTTTCCATGCCCCGCGCCCGGGCTCCAGGTGTAAGACTGTGAATGTATGTACATCCAGACTACATGGTCGTATACATGTGTACAAGATATCTCATTTTAGATAGGCTTCACCGATTTTTATTTCTGCAACGTGCACGCCGCCCACCCCGGCGGTGTTAATAAGGCATCGGGGAATCGTATAAAGTGCCGTTGTCCATGAGCGCTCGCATTGCTCCCCGTATAATGGGTTCCCTCTGCTGCCCACCATCCTTGCAGGATATATCACTGCGTTTGTCGGGGAAAACAACGCACGACTAGAACATTCACGCTCGAAAATCAATTACGCACCAACCCTAATCCCGGTGATAACCCTAATCCCCAACCCTAATCCCATGACCCGCTCCTTCTGGAGAATTGTCTTGATATATTGGTCGAAAATGAGCCAGATCCCGATGCCTGCAACTTGGTCCTGGCCTCATGTGGTCAACGGCCTCAACCGGGCATGGTTAGGCAGCGTCAGCTTTCAGACCAGTAAGCTCTTTGTCACTTGGGGAAAGTTCTACGTGAGTGCCATAGCTACGCTATGGCGTGCACGTTGATGGCGAACGCACCTTACACTCTCGAATCTCTCGTTGCCCAATCGAATTCGAACGAAGGAATGCTATGCACATCAGCTTGTTTGGGAACACGATCTCCCCATGCTTGCCGGCCACAGTCTCCCCGAAGTCCAGAAACATCTTACACACCGAGTACCGAGTAATGGGCCTCACGAAGTGATACGAATCGTGCCATGAACATACAGTAAAGGGTGGCCCCTTTCGACGACTTGACGTTGCTATCAGTCTTGACACTCGGCTCAACATCGTCCGCAAGGCAGTCATCCTCAACTTCAGTTCTGGTGGGTTGACTACGCTGTTATCTCTGCATGTCTGACGAGAACTTGAATAAGTTAAAACAAACAAACGGGCTCGCTCCACAACCAGTCTAGTTGGAATGGAAATTCCTTATCTACATATACACACCTACCGGTACGCAAACCTACCTAGGGACATGTTGGATGAAGCCAAACTGTACACCGCGAGTTCCCTCTACACCGCAGGTTCCTCAGGGGCAACCCCTCCTTCCCCATTCCCTGCCTCCTTCTCCTCCTCGTTCGCCCCCTCCTTCCCTCCCTTGCCTTTCTTATTCTGACTATCAACCCATGTCCGCTCATGAAACCCACTAGCGGTCTCCATCTTCGCGCACTCCCTCAACGCCATCGTCGCATACTGACTCACCCCCAACGTAAACTCCACCACAACCGCAACCCTGCCCCCACCCGCCACCGTCTCCACCTCCTTCCTGCCCTGCACCCTCTCCAAATCCGTTATGGCGAGATCACACTCCGGGTCGATGTACCTCAACAACTTCCAGGCTACATCACGCGGTTTGCATATGATCTTGCGGTAGGAACCCGGGAGGGAGGCCGTATTGTGTTTCCGGTGCATGGAGAAGGGGTCGACGTTGTGTTGGGCCATGAAGGTCGTGTAGGAGGAGCGGAGGGCGTGGGTGGGGTACTCTACGTCGTAGCCTGGTAAAGGGAGGACGACGTCGGCGAAGGTGTATTGGGCGGCTTGTTCGGGGGTCTGGATGGTGAGGATTTTTTGTGATGATTTTTGGGAGGGGGTTCGCGTGCGTTTGTTGTTTGAGGTTCTGGGAGCGGGGGTGTCGTCATCGGATGGGTTTACGTCGTCCTCGTCTGGGATGTCGAGGTCGGAGCCGGTGATGTCGACGAGGTCGCCGACGACGGGGGTTGGGCCGTAGAGTTTTAGCCGCTCGGTGGCCATGTTGTTCCAGACAAAGCTTTGGTAGGAGTGGAGGTACATTAAGCGCAGGTTGCGCGGAATCTAAAATCAGACAGTATTGTGGGTCAGAGAAACCGTTCCGCCTACCCACCCAGATGTTGTGGATTCATTGAATTCCTTACCGCCTCCAAAGCTCCAAGGTAGTTATTGACATTCTTCGTACTCTTGAAGTATTGCAATATAGACCGCTCAGCGAGTAAATGCTTCGGCAACTTCTTCAACGCCTCAGCCGCGTTGCCTTCCTCTCGCCACAGGCGGCGGGCTTCCAGTACATCTGGGCGGTCTACAAAAAGCCATTCAACATTCACTGCTGGCCACCAGCTGGATATTCAGAGTTTTTTACGAACCCCCTTCCTTAGGCTCCATAATCATCTCCACTCCCCTCTCGAAATTCGCACCGAGGTACGCGATCCCGACGGCGTAAGTGGGCAGCGACCGCGTGCCGAAGCGCTGCATGCCAAAGTAGTTGACGAAGCCGTTGTCGCGGAGGGAGGACATGGCGCGGTTGAGGTCGTGTTCGTTAGTCATTTGGACGTCTCTGTATTGGGAGGGAGGCGTGAGATGGGAGCAAGTGGGTGGGTGTTGTTTCAGGAATCGTGTTTATGCATGCAATTACCTGAGGACGATCTTGAAGTGGTTTCCGCGCGATTCGCCGAGGGTCATTTGGGTCTGTCTGGGTCTGTAAGAGAGGTCCAAGGCCGGGAGATTAGGGCATATTTCCCGGGAAACAACTTGCATGCCCACTAAGTGCCCAGTGAGGTTGAGCATTACCTGTAGTCCCCGATCTGCATCCCTCTCAATCCCTTGTTGAGCTGTTCGAGCCTCCATGGCATCACACGCGAGACGGTGACTTTCTGCGTGGTGACGGCCCGCTTGTCCTTTGTTCCCGCATAGGAGAAGCTCTTGCCCGTCATTCTGGTCCACGCGCCAAAGAATACGATTGTCAGCAAAACAGTAACATCCACACGAGCGAAGAAATCCCAACCTCTCCTCAAGGCGGGTCCTCACCGCAGATACGCCGCAATCTTCGAAATCGCATTCATCGTGTCCATGTTCTCCTTATACAGCGTAAACTCGGTATACTCCCCACCCCACAGCTCCCACTCCTTCTTGTTGTTCCGCCGCGGGCCCCATGAGTTCTTCTGCTGCGGGCCTCGGCCTCCACCGCGGGCATTGCGGTCCCCACGCTTCTGATTGGTTTTGGGCCGGACGAATAGCCCGCCGCCTTCGGCGCCTTGGCTGTCCAACTTGCTGCCGAAATGCACTTCGATGAGCTTGTGCAGCTTTGTCCGTGCGGACTTTTCGGCGACGATCGTGCTTATGGGGTCTGGGAGCGGGACGGGCTCTGGTTTGGGTTCGGGGTCGGTTGATGGGGTTAATGTGGCGTCTGTTTCGGGGTGGGTGTTGGGTCGCACTCGGCTGACGTTGACGGCTTCGACCATTGCGCGCAGGTTCGACATGAACGCTTCGTCGTTGACTAACTCGGCGATTTCTGTGTATCCCACGTCCTCATTCGGTTCAACTGCTTCGACGGCCTCCTCTTCCGGAACGGCTGGTGCGGCAGTCGACTCCAAGTGGCAGATGGTTCCGTCCGCGAGTACTTCGTTGACCTGGAAATCGGAGAACCTACATCAACCAAGTTTTTTGAAATTAGAACAGTGGCCACAGCTACAGCTTCCCTAGAACGAAAACAGAAACATACCGTGTCTTCAAAAGCCCCTCAAACCCAGGAATGTCCGGCGCCATGTAGGCCGTTATGCCCATATCGGCTTCCAGAAAAAATGCCTTATCCGTCGCATAGCTCTCGGTCTTCGGCTTCACATCCGTACTGGGGCCGTTCTCCTCGTCTTTCACTCGTTTCGGCGACGTAGACAGCGACGCTTCTTCGGGAGAGAGCTCCAGATCCCTTTTCTGTGGTATGCTGCTGCTGCTGGCCATTCTGACGGGAGACTGCGTAGTGTGCTGGACGAAGTGGAAGGAATGCGGAAAAAGAGCACAGTAGACGGGCAAGGCGACGGTTCTGCTTCGTGCAGGTGATACGGCAGCACGAAAGAGGGAGAACATCCACTCGCTGTAGGATACACAGGGACTACCGACTGGGAGTATATATGTATATGGGGTCTCTGTTCTGTTCGCCCTGCCAGTTGCCCGATGCTCCCAATGTGCAAAGCCAGTCCGCATGGAACCCTAACCGCAGAATGAACGCGCAACGTTCGCTTTGAATGGCCCCCCCCCGAATTTGAATTTGGAAAAGGTTTCCCTTCCCCGCATCCCCCAAACCAGCACACCCATTCGCTCGGAAAGCAATCTCTGCCCTCTTTCAATCTGCACCCACCCCCATCACCGGTTGCCTCCTGCAACCCAGCGTTCAAATAAATGCGGAAACGATCCCAATGATGCACGGTAACACCCACAGTATAGGAGAATCATCTGAAACGTGGCTGAGCCGCCAAAGCTTTAAATAGGAACCGGAGTAAGAGCGGGCAATTTGAAACTTCCAAACTGAACTAACTTTCCACGTTCTAGAAAGACAGGTCGTCTCTTCACTGGCTTCTCCGCGGCTTCAGGCATGATATGTTGGTCGGCTCCTGTGAACCTGTTCGGAACATCGCAGTCTGTTGTACGTTCCATATTCCTTAACTCTCAGCGCTACTTCATTATGTCGTCCAGCACCACATCATTGCCTCAAGTTGGGGAGAAGACAGTCAAGAATGGGATCACTTTTGCCGAGGATTTACGGGGCCTGAAACGGGCAATCAAACGAATTCTGGACGATGCTGTTGGGCAATTTCTGCTACCACCACGACAAGCGGACTCGATTCCGCGAACACATTATCCCCTTTGATTTCGAAGCTTTTAACTCGTTTACACCCTTTTCCCCCTCCGTCTGAGCCTCCACCAGGGAATCATTCAGAGCCTCTCCGTCCCAAAAAACCATCTCTCGTACGAGCGCTAAGATACCCATAGCACGTATCAGGTTGTAGCCCAAAAGCGTAGGACAGCGTTGTTATGTTTATGTTTGAACCATTTTGTTACGGATTGGTTAGTTTTTGTCAAGCGCGTTGGGCCTCGTATACCCCCTGTGGATAGAAGTTCCTGCCAACCTCTGAGTTGAGGGCCGATCTTCGGCTAGACTCGAGCACATCCCCATAGCGCGATCCGGGATTCGGGTTCAACCCCCTGGCGACAGCGACTCAACCCTAACCCTTTCCGTCCGCTCTCTGCAATGCGTAATGAAATACATGTCATCACGCATTGGGCCAAAACGGGAACGTTCCTTCTCCTCGATTCTCTATAGGGTCCTTCACAGTGTTGATGTTTGAAGATATGCGTCGTGCGAAAGCGAGGTTAACCCCTAACCCTAACCCTAACCGTTAGGGTTTTTAACCCTAATCCCGTAACCCTAATCCCATGACAAGGGCCCTTCGTTGGAACTCTCAGACTCTCCAACTTCCTGCACAACCACCGAGTTGCACTGGCCGACTGCATATTCCCACGATCAAGCCCAACTTCTCACGCCCACACGGTCAAAGTCACTGAACAAAGCATTCACGGTCTTCACACACAGGCACGGAGAAACTGGTATGGGACATGGTCTTTCCAGTTCGCCATTGAAGTACAATGCAGAGTGCATGTTTAACAACAAGCGGGTTTTCTCGACCTACAGCAGTAGTCGACTTTGGAGATAACAGTTCCGCCAAGTGGAGGGAACACTGGAATCCTTGAACTTACCTCGTCTCTGCGCCTTCCACCGGACAGTGAAGCTGGACATTGTGTGCTCACGATGACTGTCGCGAACGCCACCCCCGCCCAAGATGACCTATCCAACGTCTCCATTGACGCGCCAATCGTGGCCAGTCATAACAAATACTTGGAGGACCAGACTGTGTCCATAAGGGCGAGGACCATCCCTTGGGAGGTAAAGGCGACGATGTGTATGACTGAGCGTAGCTGTGGTGCGCACTTTCGCGCACAGGGCTGTGCCGATGTGTTCGTCGCCGGCTTACCTTGCCGTCCCGCCACGTTCAGCGTTAACGTCGATTTTGTTTTTGATTGCAGGGATATCAAAGAGCTTCTTTGATTACAGAGGATGAACTAGCACAAATACGACAGTTTGAGAAATCTCCATCTGCTGCCCTCTCTGAAGTAGGATCCTACATCAGTTTTGTCTCAGTTGCAGTTCGGGTGTGCTAATGTAAGAGTTTCTTCAGGCCGGAGACAAGTACAGCGACCTGTTCCTCACCTTACTGCAGAAGCTGGTACGGGCCGACACAATTCAGAACATTCTGGTTCTGATAGACGACGTACTGTCAGGTGGGCAAAGTGACGTTGTTGTTGAAACGAATTGAGGGCCGATGACGCTGGAACATGGAGGAGCGCCGGATTCAGAAGACTAATATCGGCATTCACTCTGTTTGCAGAGAAGCCGGAGCGCGTGCAGTTGTTCTTCCGCTTGGCACAGCAGAAAAATGATCCGACACTTCCATATGGACCATTTTTCAAGTACGATCGGGATTCGATCTCGCATACATTCCACATGAAGCTCACATTCCTCCATAGGCTGCTCAAGAAAGATGACGAATACATTCAGCTCAAATCAGCCAAGATCGCCACCTACCTTCTACTGTGAGTTCACATTTGATCTCGTCCCGACTATCACGACACTCGCTGAAGGGTCACGTCTCTAGCCATGCGCCATCGAATGAGACCACAGACATCTCGGAACTGCTCACGTGGTTAACGACACAGATGCAGAATGCGAACGTCAATATTGTGGATATCGCTGTGCAACTGCTCCAGAGCATTCTGTCTATTCCAGAGTACAGATTGCCGTTCTATCAGACACACCAGGGCGTTCAAAAGTGCGGAAAAGTTGGAGCTTTAGCAAGTGCTGCTACTTCTACTGACGCATAGGGTATTCTTGCACAGCATGGTGGACATCCTCAAGAAGGGATCACCGAGTGCCCAGATGCAGTATCAGGTCATTTACAACCTGTGGTTACTGACCTTGATCAAGGACATTGCCGCTGATCTGCAACGGTATGGAGAACATATTTTGGGCAGACTCGGATAAGTAGAGCACTCACAGAATGCTTGTACAGCAAGTACGATGTTGTACCATTACTCATCGACATCGTCAAAGCTGCGATCAAGGAGAAAGTATCGCGAGTCGTTATCGCCACCTTCAAAGTATGAAACTATCGTCAGCGATTAATGCACCCTGAACGCGCTTCTAAACATTCCCATTCGACACTTAGAATCTGATGAGCGAAGCGCCCCAAGAAAACATGGCTGCCTTAATCGGGAACAAGCTTCTCAACGTCTGCGAGAACTTGTCAGGGAGGAAATGGTCCGACGAGGATATCCTGGAGGATTTGGCTTATCTGAAGGAGGAGCTCACGAGGAATGTCGCCAACCTCAGGTTAGAAGCACCTCGATACTTTTGTGACACCGGAAAGCCAACGCCCTAAGTTTCTGGTGATTCATACAGCACATGGGACGAGTACGAGACCGAGGTCCGGTCCGGAAAGCTCGAATGGTCACCACCACACTTGTCAGAGCAGTTCTGGAAGCAGAACGCAAACAAGTTGACCGAGCGCGATTTTGAGCTGTTGAGGTAGGCCTTGCTCGCTCATCAACCATTTTCTCCGACCGGCCCCTTTAAACATTGTACACCCACGTAGGTTGGTCTCCCGGATCGTGGCGACATCGCAATCACCAGTAGTCCTGGCCGTCGCAGCCCACGATATTGGCCAGTTCGTGAAATACGCGACGAACGGGAAGAAGTGCGTTACGACTCCCAAGTCTGAAATTGAATGTCAACAGCTAAGCAGACCAACGCGTTTTCTTTCGTGATGCAGGGCACTGGAAGAGATAGGCGCCAAAACGCAAGTCATGCAACTCATGACACACGCTGACGGCGACGTGAGATATCAGGCTCTTATGGCCGTGCAGTGAGTATCAAACCATACAAGCCTGATACGCTCACTTTTGCTGACGATTGATTGGCCGGACAGGAAAATGATGACACACGCTTACAACGCATAGGTAGATTGAGCCTTTTCCCCGTTGTGAGTTTGGGTTGGAGGACGAGGACTGTCTGTACCTCTGGCAAATACACGGGATTTGCAACATTGGTGTGGATGTCGTGGTTGACGTGTGTCTGGACAGCTGTGTGGCAATGTGATTTGTCATGTTACCCGTGGTACCAACCCCGCTGCGTCGACGTATTTACCGTTCGGTCGACGTATTTCGCAAACCCGCGGGAGATAGGTTCTGCTCATGCGCTTCGCCATGTCGTTGTCGGTGGATGCGCTCGATGAAGGATGTCGAACATCGATCCATCCCTGCTGGGTAGAATGGGAGTGCATCAGTTGTACGGACCAGTCCGGAAACGGTTCAGGGAGAGGAGAGGCCCGTTACCTCGCGAGGATCCTAACCCTACCTCTGACTTGTGTACAGTACTTCGCGAGGAAGGCGGGTTACCTCACGAGGAATCTAACCCTAACGCACGAACTGTGGACTTCTATGGGCTGTTAACCCTACTAGGGCACGTAACCCTAACTGTAAGTACTGTAATTTTGCTCGGAAGTCTAACTTCCTTTAGAGCCTCTAGCGCCAACCTCTTCGCGCCAGCCTGTGACGTTCCTTCCCATCTCCCATCCCATTATACCTGAGACCTGCTCCCCAACGGCTCCCCTCAAAAAGTCCATTGCGAAAACGTCGGCGAGAAAGCAACTCCTCTCTGCACATCACGAAGCAACCAACTTCTGATTATCACATGACCATTACTATATCAAACGGTCGGGAGGATCACGAGCCGCAGGATTTACTTCCAACGTCACCCAAAGCCAATCCCGCAGCGTATCTGCATGCTACCTCGCCAGCACTGAACTACCAGCCACCAGCGCCGCCAGCGACTTCTCCGTACGACGTTGTATCGCTTCACTATTCCGCGCCACTGTCACCGCCGACTGCTTTGTCGCCTCCACAAGGCAATGCCTTCTCGACGCTGGGTGCAACAGATCCCAAGAACCCTCCGGCTGTTCGTCACACTTCCCTGAGCCGGCGACATACTGGAAACGTCCCAGCAGTTGTAGTTCCGCCTCCGGCTAACATCAGCATGCAACGGAATTCCCCGTCTCCACAGGTTTGTTCGGTTTGGGTTGGTCAGGGAAGCAATTATGAGGTTTTCGACCAGCAGAAGAACTCAATTTGTCGCTTCCGGTTGGCAGGATCCCCTTCGTCAGTCTCCTGTAGCTACTCGGAGGTCGTACGGGCAAACGGGTCCTCCGGCGAGTAGTATGCCCATGTCCGCAGAAAGTTCAAATGCAGGGCGGAACTCGGCATCTACAGAGAGACCATTATATGTGGATACGAAGAGCCGGTCGAGCGTGGGAGACGATCGCTTTTTGGGAGCAAACCTTAGCCCGTTATCCTCGGGTATGGCTGCTCGGTCAGCCGTGGGGAACGTCTTGGAATCTCCGGCGTCACCATCACCTGTGACGAAGCCGACCATGCATCAGCTGGAGAGGAAGCGATTGTCGTTCCTTCAGTCGAAGATTCGACGAGAGTATACAGTGGCTGGGCCGAAAGTAGATTTCTCTCCCGAGCGGAAGGTTGCGAGGAACTTCAGTCGTGTTGTGGACTGGAAAGCACGTCGGGCAGAACTGGCACCGTCAGGCACACCATTGGTATGAGCACATCAGATTCAGTGGAAAGCAAAGCAGAAGCAAGACTGAATAGCTATGCATGAAGCTTTTGCATGCCGCCTCTTTGCAATTGCTGTCCAGCTTTTCCCGAGCGAACCCGGGGTTCATATACCAGCAGACGCACAACCCGCGGAGGGTTCTGACGAAACCATCAAAACCTGTCCATAACGGAGGCAAGGACAATGAAGACTGGGACTATCTCCTCTATGTCAATGATATTCTGGGAGACCAGGAAGGCCGACAGTATGTCATGTGCACGCGTCCAATCAGAAATCGCCGCGTTCCTTGACGATATGGTGTCGATCGCTTTGTAGGTACAGCATTCAGGATATTCTTGGGCAAGGAACGTTTGGGCAGGTTGCCAAATGTGTGAATATAAAGACAAAAGAGGCGGTGGCGATAAAGGTCATCAAGAACAAACCCGCCTATCGCAATCAGTCTCTCATGGAAGTCGCAATACTGGAGATGGTATGGAAGTTCCGGACCATAGCTGTGCCACCGCCAACACTTGGACTGACACATACCTCTTTCAGCTGAACCGGAAATTTGACCCGAACGATTCGCATCACATTGTGCGCATGGTGGACCATTTCGTACACTTCAGCCACCTCTGCATCGTATTCGAGATTATGAGTGTGAATCTATACGAGCTGATCAAACAAAATCAATTCCGCGGATTGTCCGCGAACTTGGTACGGATCTTCATTCGCCAGATCTTGGATTCACTGGTTGTTCTGAACAAGGCGCGTATAATCCACTGCGACCTGAAACCCGAGGTAAGTCAAGCTGCACTCTTCATCTTTGCTGAATGGCATGTCAACAAACTGACGTCACATCGCCATAGAACATCCTACTGAAAAAGTGAGGGAAACTTCTTATTGGGAACGACATATGCCTGACACTAACTATGAATGTCGCTGTAGCCTGGAGTCTCCGAACATCAAAGTGATCGATTTTGGATCGGCGTGCCATGAAAATCAGACTGTGTACACATATATCCAGTCTCGGTTCTATAGATCACCGGAGGTACTCCTGGGGCTACCGTAAGTGCCTGTGTTCATTTGCCACAACCATTTGTTCTCTGACACCGACATATATTTCGTTTAATGGCAATCAGATACACGTCGTCTATCGATATGTGGTCATTAGGTTGCATTGCAGCAGAACTGTTTTTGGGGCTTCCTCTGTTCCCTGGTTCTTCGGAATACAATCAGATCTCGAGGATAGTTGAGATGTTGGGGTACGTCCGAAGGAAATACTTTTGGGTCACATCTTTTTAAGAGGACGGCGATGCTTATGTGGTACATTCCTGCAGTTTGCCGCCCACGTACATGTGCGAGAAAGGGAAGCAGGCCAGGAACTTCCTGAACAAGCGGTACACAGCAGATGGCAGGCCATTTTTTGTGCTGAAAACTCCTGTGGAATATATGGAGGTATTTCGCGATATCTGCTCTCCGCATGTCAACAGGTCCTGAGCTGCTTCTAACGTACGAATGTGAATGGCTAGGAATCTGGAACTACCGAACAGCCCTCGAAGCGGTATTTTTCAGGAACTACCTTACCGGAGGTGATTAACGCATATCCACTAACGAAGAAAGGGGCGTCGGTGCAAGATATGGAAAAAGGTATGTTTCCGGCATTGCTCTTCGTTCCGGTCCTATGATACTGACACTCCCCTGTAGAAACGCTCAGCCGTCAATGCTTCATTGATTTCTTGCACGGAGTACTCACCATCAACCCGTTCGAGCGGTGGACACCTCATCAAGCGAGGATGCATCCTTTCGTCACTGGGGAGGCATATACTGGGCCATTTATGCCGCAGGGCGCACGGAAGCCTATGCAATCAGTAGCGACCTCCGGGGTCCCAATGGATTCTCGACCGGATATGGACAGTCAAGGTTATGAACCACACAATGCCCGCCGGCGTCCGCGGGCTAATACGATTAGCAGCTTGGAGGAGACGCTACCTCCACAACTACAGCGACTGGCAGCTGCTCAACGGCAAAGCGGGAACGAAGCGATGCGCAACCACGCCAACGCTGCTCACGCGGGATTACCCATTGTGGACATGAGGGGTGGGAACGCTAACATGGCGGGAAATTTGCCCATAGCAGTAGAACCGTACGGTTCTTCGATGGGTCCGGCTCCAACAACGGGGAGATCAGCGGCACAAGATGTTCCTTCGCGGACATCGCGCGACGCCAGCGGCGGAAGCAACAGTTCCAGTGCAGACTCAATATCGGCCACCGATTCACAGTTCGTCAGCGCACGACAAAGCAGCATCTCTTCGCTGAGTAGTCGTTCGATCAATAGCCACCGAACGTTAGGGAACGATCTGATAGCAGACGCGTCTCGAACGGGTTCCTCGCGCCTCGAGTCTCTGAGGACCAGTACGCCGCTGAACTCGCCGTTATCCCCACACCATTCCGCTTACACTGGGCTGGATATGTCGCCTACGTCGTCCTCACGCCCTTCGCGACTGGCGACGGTAGATGTTAACCGTACCGATGCCGCGGAATCAACGCAGCAGCGAAGTCCGCGGGTTGCCCTGACAGCATCTTATGCGGACGTAGCGCCGGAAAGCGTGACGCATAGGTCAGTGGAACAACATCAATATGATCAACAAAGTGGTAGAGGCGCTCCTGCCTCGATACCAACGCTGACCCGGGAAGCCCCCGGACCATTTGAGCCGGGACCCACCGAGCATGCAGATTATACATATCCGGGCAACAACGCGTATAATTCGCACGGGCAGACAAATGTCCAACCGACAGAGGCTCTTGCTGCTGGAGGCTATCCATTACGAAAAGCTCGTTCGGAAGTGACGGGCGCTGAAGGATTGGGCTCTGCTCACAACAGTGCGATGCGCGCAGGATCTTACAATTATCCATTGGGTTTCCTCGGCCAAAACTCGGCCTTTTCCCAGTCGCAGCAGCTCACGATGGTGGAAGATCAAATGGCGCAACTGATGGGAGAGGGACACCCACGACATGGCGAGACTGGCGAGCGTAGCGCAGTCCCATCTAGGCGACCCTCACTATTTGGCTCTGTTGAGTGGGATCCATTTGGTGATGTTCCCAATGATCCCGCAAGTGCTCCCTACAGCAGACATCAGAGCAGACGAAGCTCCGTTGTCACTGACAACCGTGGTTTATATACCGCGCATATGGCGGCAGTGGCGGCACACTTTGCCGCGACAACGAGGGACCGCAATGGGAATAGTAGCGACAATCCGTCATCGTTGTCGGGCGCGTACAAGTACGCGAGCATGCCTGACTTGGGGCCATATGGCCTCCAGCCCAGTCTGTCGAGCCACACCCCCGCCGATGCGCCGGAATACTCACCACAACAGTCTCAGCACCACTCTATGCCCCGTTCCGCACAACATCAGCATTCGCCTTCCTCTTCCTACCGGGACTACCCGTACCAGCACGGGTATTCCCTACATTCGCCGCTCTCCCCAAATGAGCATCAACAGCACTCTTCCTACCAAACAAACCAGGTCGTATCGATGTCTATGCATTCACCTACAACAGCACACTCGCCCTCCTCTCACCCATCCCAACCCGCTTATCAGCCCCCATTGCAAATACCACCATCCGTCCCCACCAATCGACGGCCGTCACTCGTAGCGATCAATATAGATGCAGCACATGGGGATTACGCGATTCCTGGCACCCAGAGCGCTTATGTGGCTCCGAGCGGTTACCAGGAGTATGGCGGCGGCCAACATAGACGACATCAATCGCTCCAGATCCAACCGCAGTCGTACGGCTACGGCTATCAGTATCCGGGAGTGCAGGAAGATCACACACGGTATCACAGCCAGCAGCAACCCGAGCAGTCATTTGAGCGGCAGCAGTTTTTCCCTTATGGATCGTATCAACGTCCAGCTGGTGACAGCTTCCGACCGGTGTATGACTCCGGTACCTATCCAAACCGTCTTCCACGCGACAATCACGAGCCGATGGGGGCGGAAGTTCCTAAGGAGGCAACCTCGCCTCGCTGGTCAAATCAACTCCAGGGAGGCAGCGAGGCAGCTGCTCGGAGAGTCAGCATGCCAGTGGCCGTGGACAGGACGTGGGCAACTAACCACGGGCGGAATCCGTATCTGGATACAGGGCAACACCGACCACCGCATGACCATGATATTGCCAGCGGCGGAGGTGGGCGTCCATATCAAGATCATTATCAGCAGCAAGCGCAAGACCAGTGGCAGGCAGCAGGACGGGGGTATTCGGACCAGAGCTTATCGCAGGCCGTTGGGATACCATTTTCCGCCCACCACTCTTCAGCAGCCCGCGGCACCGCGGGGTATTCTTTACCGAAGGCCGACCCATCTGCGAACGGCTCGAACGATTCGATCCAGAGGGAAGAGCAGTCGGTGCTCGGAAAACCTAATCCGAGCAGTATGTTCCCGTGAGCTCCATATCCTGCATCTTGGGAAACGTATGCAGGCTGGTCCGATACCCTCTTCTTGTAATATACCCGCTTCGTCTGAAACGAGTTCTATGCGCCCAACCCCTTTGCATTTCTGTTGTTCGCCGTATTCCACGGCATCTTCCTCTGGGTTCCTACCTTCCTTGTTCATTCAGAGTTCAATCCTCATACGCGTGGTGCACGCGTGCTGGCGATGGATTTGGCGCCGTGTCCGACGAGCTGGACATGCATGTTGGAAGGAGAGAACAACTTCAAAACGAAGTACAGGAGTTTGAACGGTTCAAAGGGCGAAGAGGCATAGCAATTCCGTGCACAGGGTACAGACACGGCGCTACAAAGAGTCGTCGTTCCCCGCCCCGTCCGCAATATCGGACCAGAACACCGTCAGCCACCTCGCATCATCTTCTCTCGCCAAGTGCTCCCACCGCAACATGCTCACTTCTTCACCGTCTGCGGCCGACGGGCCTGCTGGCCATTCCATGGACACAGACTCACCGTTCGAATTCGACGAAGAGCTCGAGGACCCCTCCACAAGCTACTTCAACGACGATGTTCGGACCCTCACCCAATGGTGGGTAAATGAGCGCTGCGCGCCGGAAATATTGCCGTATCAGGATGAGCTGGTACGGAGCTTGCTGGAGATGGTTGAAGCGCAGGTGTGTGGAGTACATTTTTTGGTGTCGACGGATTGTGCGGGTGACCGCCGCATTCGGTGCTAAGAAGGGTTTGCCAGACGAGCATATTAGAAACGAAAACGTCAGATACCGCCGATGGAGCGTTTCTCAACGTACTGTACCAGCAAGAGATGGAGAGGATCAAATTTGTGATCAGGAGCTACCTACGGACGCGGCTAGCAAAGGTGGCGAATGGGAGGTTCTGGATTGCCTCATGTGGAATACACTCCTGACGTGGGTTCAAATCGCAGATACAGAAATACACGGCGTTCTTCCTTCGAGAACCAGAGTTTCGCGGGCGATTATCGGAGGAGGAGTTGGCATTTGCAGAGAAGTGAGCATCCGACAAGCGGGATGAGGGGATGAGGGGATGACTGCGATACAGCTGTGGAAGATGGAGATGTTGCCTTGGGACGCATCAGATTTGGACGGACACTCATCTCTAGCTCTCAACGTACCTCTCCCTGCAGCCTTCAACAACTTCTAGAAAAACACTTTACGAAGTCATGTCTGGAGGGTCTGCCGCCATTCCTGACGCGTTTGGACGATCAAGCAGGGGACAGCAGTATGGGTGAGTGCTACCGTACGAACCAGAAGGGGATCTCGATCAGTACTGATGGTATGCCTACCCGCAGTGAGCATGCCGGATCTGGAAGATGCAGTGATATGCCGAATACTGGAAGACATAGGGGAGTTTCAGCTGGAAGATAGGTGCGTTTCGACGAGGACCCGTTTGCTTTCAGTGCCATCCGCTCACTTTCTGGTCCGGCTTGTCAGCTCCGAGACGATCGTGATGCGCAAGAACAATATTTACATTCTCAGATACAAATCGATAAGGCGGCTGTTAGAAGAGGATAAAGTTGAGTTATTATAGCGAATAGATGGGTTCGGAGGAATGAGGAATGAGGATGCACATATCATGCACTCCCGTCACTGAACCTGGCGTATATCCCAATATCACTGTCTGTTCCCTCTGCTTCAGTTAGCCAGGCAGTTACACTATTACGCATTCAGTCTTCGGAAATAAAATATTGACAGAGTCTAAAAGAGTACAAATCTATCGTTGATGGCATAGGTAAAGTACTAGGTAAACTATGAGATACGCTCGAATATCATACGTTGAGCTTGGCAGTGGCAGCCGTGAGTGCATCAACGTCTGCATCCTCCTCCTCCTCCTTGCCGCTGGCATCTGCTTCCTCCTCCTCCTCCTCCTCCTCCTCCTCCTCGTCCCATTCCATCTCATCTAACTCATCTAACGCACCCTCCTGTCCAAGCTCAAGCAGGGCGCGCTTGATGTCCCGCACAGCATCGCCTTCTGGATCGAACGCATTCCCGTTCAGCTCGAGTAGCGTCAGGTTCTTCTTATTCGACAACAGCGTGGGAATTAGACCAGCGCCCTCCGGGTCGATCTCGTTGAATGCCAGGTGGAGCTTCTCAAGCGCAGAGTGTCCGGGTGTCAACGCCCGCAAGACCTTCTTGGCACCCTTCTCACCCAAAAGACAATCGCCGATGTGGAGCACTTTGAGGTTCGTCCATGTGGGCAGCACCTTGGCAATCGCGTCCGAACCCCCCTCCGTAAACGTGTTGTCCTGCAAATCCAAATGTTCGAGGTTCTTGCACGATGCGAGGGCAGTCATCAACGCTGTGATGCCTTCTGGGCGGATGCTGTTTTGCGGCATGCGAATTTCGCGCAGACTCTCTCCGTGGGCTTCGAAGGCTTTGCAAAGGTGCTCTACACCCTTGCTCTCCATACGGTTGCGCCCGATGTAGATCACGCGCAAGGATGATGGTCGACCTTCCTGTTTGTTCTTCTCGGCCGCTTTGACCAATGCAGCAGAGACTAGCCGCGCTCCTTCTATGCCCAGGCCGTTGTTGTAGAATCGAAGAATCTGGATGTTACGGTTGTTGATCAGCAGCCGTTGCAGAGGCTCAGCCCCAGCCGGTCCGAAGGCATTGTCTGGAATGAAATCAAAATTGGCCTTATGAGCTTCGATGTTCTTAAGGCTCTGGTGTGTCACACACAGCTACCTACCCGACAGGTCGAGTTCCACCAGGTTTTTCTTGTCCTCGAGGGCCTCCACCAGGGCGTCCAAGACGAGGGGAATTTCGTTTCTCAGACGACTGGTGAACATGTCCGCCAAACCTGCGACCTGGAAAGCCAAAATAGTCGATGAGAACATATAAATCCAAACAAATCTCCCAGCCAAATGACTACGCACCTTCAAAGCATGCTGATCCTTCAGCGCCAGCGCAATAGCCCGACCAGCCTCCACTCCGAAAGTGTTTCCACTTAGTTTGATTTCCGTGAGACCTTCCACCCCCCGGATCTCGTCGGCGTACTGCTTAGCATCTTCAGCAGTGTCGAGCTTCAGGGTCTTGCCCTCGAGAGAGTAGAGCACCCTGTCCCCAGTGCGAGTGACATTTGACATAGTGCGGGGCTGTTGATGCTTGTAAACGACGCTGTGCTTCTTCTATTCGGACTATTCGGACGCCAGGTCGGAGTGAACGAGAAAAATGCTGCCCCTTCCTCAGGTCCTCGGTCTGTAGTTTTTTATGCGCGCAAACGGCACTTCAACATCAACTCCGAAACCAAAGGACAAGAACTACATACCTGCTGCTAACGAGCACCTGTTATAGCTCGCTTGTTACTGCCGTCCCATAGATATCGAGGTCCAAGTCTCGTCGACAAATAGAGATCATGTCAGAATACTGGGTTTCCAACAAGAAACACTACTGTAAGTACTGCGGGATATACATTGCAGACAACAAAATCGTAAGTTTTCCCAGGGACTCCTTCAATCGCTGTCCCAATAGAGGGCTGACGGTCTTACGACAGCCTGCGTTTCTTCTATTCTTTCCCTGGGGGGTGAAATAGAGCCGGCAAAATCACGATGGCGGACGAAAGCACAAAGAGAACATAGCAAATTATCTGCGGGACGTGCATAAACGACAGGAAGAGAAAAATGCGGTGGATGCGGAGACGAAGGCGATGTTGGAAAAGATTGAGCAGGCATGGCTGTCTCTGCCTTCAACACTATCCTTCTCTAGTCGATTAACACAAAGGCTCTCTCAGGCGGCAGGCAAACAATACGCCCGGGATACCCAGGGACCTTCGACACTAGCGCTAACCCCGGAAGCGGCAGCAGCAGCCCGTCGTCAATCTCAGAAAGACGCCGCAACCAACTCAGCCGTGGCCACAGTCCTCGAGAACCTCAACAAGAAGTCACAGGAAGCATCCTCTATCAAGAACAAGACCGAGAAGGATGACACCGAATCACATCCGTACGGTGATTGGGAAACCATTGCGATTCATCCGCCCCCACCTCCATCATCCACTGCGACAGGAGGCGATGACAAGAAGGAGCAGGTGTCGGAGTTTGTGGGAAATTCATGGGCGGATGATGGGGATGAGGAGCCTGAGCAGAATTTGAAAGAGTTCAAGTTGAAGGAGAAAATGATCCAAGACAACGGCGACCTCTTTGCGACTGATGGCTTGGCGACGGGATCCGCCGCGCCAGTTTTCAAGAAACGGAAACTTGGGGCCGCCATGAAAGGGAATCGGAATGTGCGGAAACGGGAGGACTAGTTGCATTTTCAGTAGACCGCATCTACGATGTAGGTTCTATGTACGAAATAATGGCAAAGCAGATGCCAAACCTATGGGTTTATCGATCGTTGTACATAATGTTGACGAAAATGGACGCGCAGGTGGAGGGTATATGGTCCGATTCGAATACGCTCAAAGATCCGAAAGAAAATCCGTGAGCGACAACGATCCGGAACCACTGCCGCCACTCCCTTTCTTAGCAAGCAGACTCTGCAAATCATCCTTCCGTTTCCGCTTCGTTGCTGCTTTTGAGTTTGGATCTGCGGGTTTAGGGAGCTGTGCCTGCGCTACCGACTTGGAAGACTCCGCAGCATTTGATGACGCCGACTTCGATGCGTTGCGGGATAAGGATGCTGCAACCTTCGGCGTGGTTGCAGATGTGGCGAAGGCGGCAGTACTTAATGATGTTTTACTCTTCGGCTTGGCAATTTTGATGGGAAGGGAAGTGGATACCGGCTTCGGGAGTGTAAACCCTGCTGGTGTGCCTGCCAACCTCGTTTCCGCGGTACATGTCGTGCAGACGTAGGCAATATAGCTGCTCGCCAGCGGTGCTGTCGATTGTCGTGCTGAGGTTGTTTCATCGCCCAAGCGGTTTATGTTAACTGGTGTGAGTCCGCTCGTAGCCGTCTCGTACGTTTCTGCAGTCCACTGTGCTGTTTTTCCCGTTTCGGACTTTCGGGTTTCTGCCCTTCCCATATCCGCTGTCCCAAGCCGCTTCTGCTTTTGTAGTCTCTTCCCTTTCTTCTTCTGCTCAACGCCCGGTGTCCCTCCCTCTGGAGTCACTTTCTCCTTGCCGGGCGCCGGCGCCTCACCCTTCACCCCTCGCCCCGCCTCCGAACTTTTGCCCTTCCCCTTCTCCTGCCTGCCATGCACCCTCCTCACACAAACATCCACCGTCCGTCCCGCCGCATACAGCGTCGCACACCTCGAGCAATATCGCCGTGCAACCTTGTCGATAATAGGCGTTTGCGTTGCGACGCAGGTTTCGGTGAATGTCGAGAGGTAGTGGCGGGAGAGGGACGGATGGGAGGCGAAGAGGGCGTGGGCGGCGTCGTGGAGGAAGCCGAGGCGTTTTGAGAGCGTTTGGTCCATGGTGGAGAGGCGAGGCGTTATGGGAGATATTCGGAGGTGTTCCAAAAACAAAGGCTTCCCAACGGTGGACAGTTTGAGGCGACAAGGTATGCGGAAATGAGCACGTTGTCTACGTCGTCGTTCCCGTCGTGGACGCTGTCCTTGCGCGAAAACAGAGTTGGGAAAGAGTGCGGAAAGTGCAAACCGGAGTGCAAACTCTGGTGCAAACTGCAGAAGAGAGCTCCGCTTCTCGCGCTTGTGGTGACGAGTTGACCATCTAGCATCACCGATGCCCGCTTGACCCAGCCAACTCGTAAGACCTGTTCAGAGTCTCCCTTCAACGATACAGACTCGACGTTCACAATCATCGTCGCTCACCCTACCGTAGACTCTCCCTCCAAAGCCTTTCTCAGCAATCTTCTCGTATTACTGTATCCCGTCGCGCTTCACAATGGGCCAGGTTTTCAAGTTCGGGCAATGGCCCATCCCGGCAGGGGAGGTATTTCTCACCACAAAGCTGTCTCTAGGAATCGTCAACTACAAGCCCATTGTTCCGTAAGTGCGTTGAACTTGCTATCTATTGGCTTATTAAAATGAGCGCTCTGCAGTAGAGAGTGGTTGTTCCCGGGCCACTGCTAACACCTTGTTCTTCCAATCCTAAAGTGGCCGTATGTACAAAGTCGCTTTCCGACTACTCGCTCTTGGTAACAGCTGTCCCTGAGAAAAGGTCCTCTGATGTTTGTCATACAGATGTTCTAGTCTTACCTCGACGGGTTGTGCCCCGATTCTCTGAGCTCACATCGGATGAAGTCAAGGACATGTTCCTCACAGCTCAAAAGGTCGGGGCTGTTGTGGAGAAGGAGTATAAGGGTGAATCTTTGACGATTACACTACAGGTAACGATGTCGATGTTATTGATTGTGCTGCGGGGATCGATCTGATAATGGGCAATCTGACCTTTAGGATGGACCGATGGCTGGCCAAACGGTACCGCACGTCCATGTCCACATTATCCCACGAGTGAAGGGTGATTGGGCCAATAACGATGAAATCTACCCGGAAATTGATAAGAAGGAGAGAGAAATGAACGCAGAACTCAGTAAAGGAGCAAAGGACAAGAAGGGAGTGGATAATGACGAAAGGAAGCCAAGGTCGCTGGAAGAGATGACGGTGGAAGCCACGGGACTTCGGCCTCACTTCGAGCAGTTTGAGGATGTGTGGAGTGCTTGAATGATTTGGCGTACGATTCGGCGCTGGTCAATCCTCGGGTTGCCGATTAGTTTTCCAATATGGTGTAGACTCTCTAGAGTAGTCAGTCGTGAGCAGCTCCTCTGTCTAGGCGTACGCTTCCCTGGATGATTTCCAGCCTGCCTTCCCGCTCTGTGTAGACAAACAGAATAATAGCAACCGTCTCTTCGAAGCCGTAGTGGGAAACCAGAATGTTTTCCCGAGAGCCACATCAAGCACGCAGTCGATTGGAGGGATTTACGTCCTCACACGGGTGTAGTCTCGCTCGACCGTTTGACGGGGAGCTCACCCCACAGTGATGTTTCCCACCCCGTTCCTCACATCGCATCGATTCCTAGCATCTCAACCACTCCTCAGCTCCGCGACACATGGAGAAACCATCAGATCTCTACCCTAAGTACAGGCAATGGATGCTCAGTGAATACCCGGAGAACAGCCCATGATCAAAAGCAAGATTATAGAGGAGCTACAAAAGTTAAAGAACATCGAATACACGCGACACTGTAGAGTTCAAGGAAGGCGCGGAGGGGGCCAACAAGGAATCAAAGGGAGACGCTTTATCGAACCAGGGCGCCGAGACAGGGAAGGGGACGATGGGAGTGGGGACGAAGAGGCGCTACAAGACGGCGCTGCTGTCTTCTTACAAGGCGGATAAGGCAGATAGATGGTGGCGGGCGATCTCCAAAATAAAATCAGAGCGTAGCTAAGGCTTTGAGAGCCTCCTTCTTCTTTAGGCGTGAGTCCTCCACGACTGCGGTAGTGTTTTCGCCGCTGAGTGAACTGCGCCGAGAGCTCCACGTATGTTGAGTTGTCGTGTGTCACCCGCACCAAGCGGATCGTGTGCAGAGCGGCCAATGTGTACACGGGAGGGTCGCTCTCAAGAAGTTCATAGGTCACATGGTGATGGAGCTCAGAGAGCTCATTGATCTGGAGGCGCTGCCTAGTTCCGTCCTTGAACTGCACGATGAACTGCGCCCCAACCTCCGTTGGCGACCCGGAGACGACTTCTACCGATTGCACCGCCGTCTTCCAGAACCGTAACGGTGTAGCGACTATCTGTTGCCAGAGGATGTGCAGAGGGCAGGGGATGACGCGAGACTCCGTGGCGTGTGTTGCAGAGCTCATGTCGTCAAGACGTGGAGGAACTTCAGGTTGAAAAGCTTGAGGTAGTGGCAGAACCGCTGTGAAACAAACAATGAGAGCAGGTTATAAAGGCTGCTGGAGTGCAACTTTATCGATAAACATGCACGCACCAGCATAGCAACGATAAATAGCCGGCCATGAGGCGAGAACCTGAACACAAATGGGAACCCCTTTGACACAAAACAAATAAGTGATGTGGTGGATTGTAACGTACATCAAGTCTCCGCGACGAAACTCTGATTCATATTTGATGTATTTTGGGCTAAGTCCGGTATATGATGACAATTCGAGGGATTCTGCCTCTAACGATGTATCTAGTGCTCGTGCTTGTGCTCGGGGCTCAAGAGATATGCCTTCCGATTGTAGTGCTCGAACTATGTCAAAATCGTCCGTCAGTACGGTTTTCCCATACAAAAACTCAAAGTCCTCCAGCAAACGCACCTTGGCATCAGCCCAGTCCTTCACGTAGAAGAAGGCCAGCGCTGGGGGACCAATGAACAAGGCCTGTCGTCCCAAGCGCTTGAACAGCCTGAAGGCTCCGGGGTTGAAGAAGCCCTTCATGGTCTGTGTTTGAAATGGCGACAGACCATATTCGTAGAATCCGCTTTGCAGCGATTGGTTTCCCCACCATCTTTTGTTGGTGACGTGTTAGCACAGAGAGAAGGAGAAGGCGGAAGGCGATCGTATGTTCGAAGACGAGCGAGAGTGGGAATCAACCGAAGGCGAGCGAGGACCGTGGAAAGAGACACAGATTTATCAGTAGTGAGTCCCTACCGCAATTTTGCAACCGACCAGTAGACTGCTATGAGCTCCGTTGAGGAGAGGAGACTTACTTGTGACCGCCAGCCATTTTGAGCGAGTTTTCTCGTTGGTTGAGGTTTGGGGAGCGTTTGCAGTTGCTTGTGAATGTGAAGGACACACAAGCGGGTATTTCCGCCGGGCGTGTGTTGTTCAATTGAACTGCATCTGCTGGCACGTGGCCTGAAATAAAAATGAGCCGTCCCCCTGTTCAACTTCCCCCACCCTGAGCCAGCCAAGCCGTCATCACCACTTCTGCTCGCGTTGTTCGCGACCTCTCGGCACAGCACGTTTTCCGTCGCTGCCTCCCTCCAGCCCCACCAAGGGACCAGCTGGAACAACTGCTGCTGGGAATATAAAGGCTTATGGGTGCATGCAGTTCCTCTCTACACTAACTGAGTCTTGACTTACTCCTTCGAGTCCGTCTGCAGCAGTCGCCGCCCGCTGGCACCGCACCATTCGCACTCCAAGAAGGCAACAATTTCATTAGCCAGAACCCGCACAGTCATGCGAAGCCAAAGATACATCCCCGTATTTGCGTCCCTCTTACTCCTTGCGGCAGCCGACGCCGGTCCTGTCCCCGCCACGGCACAGTCGGAGGCACTTTGCGGCTCTCTGGACATTCCGTGCCGGACCACCGCGACGAGCGAGGTAGACTTCCCAGCTCCTGTCGTAGTCGACGACCACCTCAAACTCCTTCCACCACCGGAACGAAAGTTGCGGTTGAGCACAAAGTCGCGGTACCTTGTCCCCGACGAGGATTCCAGCGCACAGTCTTGGCGCGACAGAACCGACGACAACGTGCCTCTGAGGACGGCGTGGGAAAGTAAACAGCTCAGATCAGGTAACCGTCAAGAAGCAAGCACATGCAAGGTCGTCAACGTCCAACTCTTAGCCCGCCACGGCACACGCAACCCCAACGGATCAGATCTCAAGCAATATCTGGATCTGCGCACGAAGCTCGCAACAACGTATACCCCTCCACCACCACCTGCGGGGCACAAGTACAGCTTCCTGACGAACTTCACGGCTCCGTGTGATTTCGCAATGACCGGAATGCTGACGACGCAAGGCGAAGTGGATTCATTCGAACTCGGCCGGCGGTTGAAGGAAAAGTACGCGCATCTTGTCTCGGATGTGGGCAGGATCGAATGGCAGACGACAAATGTATCGCGGACGATCACATCAGGACGAGCGTTTCAGCAAGGGCTGTTCGCCCATAAGCACGACCAGGATGTCGCTTTTTCGTCCCTCCAAACCTCCATTTTCCCCAACCACCAAGATCCCATTCTCCGCCCTTACGATTGCTGCAAGCGCTACGAAAACGCGACGGAAAATCCCCCGTTACCCTTACCCGGCACGACCTTCGCCCAGCGTCGCTACCCCGCCATCATCGCCCGACTGGCCCGCGACGCTCTCCTACACGACCTGACGATCCATGACGTGACGATAATGTTCAAGCTCTGCGCTTTCGAATACACCATTCAGGGCAAGGAGGCCGGGTTCTGCTCGTTGTTTACGGACGAGGAGCTGGCGTTGAATGACTTCGCGGTGGATTTGAATCTGAACTATTATAGAGCGTATGGGTTGGAGGGGGATGTGAATGAGTGGCTGGCTTGTCCGCTTTTGACAAAGATCTTTGGGGGTTTTGATGAGACTATCGCCGCTGGGAGCCGTAGGGGAGGAGGCACGCCAAATCATCCCATGGCGGCGTTCCGGTTCGGTCATGCTGAGACGCTTACGCCGCTTATCTCGACACTCGGCTTGTTTCGGGATCCGCATTCGCCGAAGGGGATTCAACCACACTGGACTGACGAGCAGATCAAGGCCAGAGTATTCCGCGGCGCCGAGTTCTCCCCTTTCGGCGGGAACTTCATCTTCGAACTGCTGGAATGCCCCGCATCCCAAGAGCTTGATCATCCGCAACGACACCACATCGCGAACGATCGGAAAACCTACAAAGTTCGCGCCCTTGTCGGCGAGCAACCCGTCGTGATACCCGGATGCGAAGGCCGTGAAGCGTGTCCGATACATCTGCTGAAGCAAGCGTTGGCTGGGAAGATTGGCTGCGATTTTGATGGGAAGTGTCAGAACTTCTAGGTTGTAGAAGGTTCCGTGTAAAAAAAAAGACGTGGTAGACCTTGAGCTGTGCCTTCCCTCGAGTCATTGTTTCCTTGGAACTTGTACATAGCGTTTATTTATTGACGAAGTATTCAAATTGAACCGGAGTCGTGATGAGTGCGTTACGGCAATGTAGATGTATTAGAGTAGAGATCTATGTTAAAACATGTAAATACACTGTGATAGATGCGAAATGCCCTGTTCTACATAAACCTTCTCTAGAGTGGCGACCTGGGTCGAGTAGGGATGATCACATTTTTCAATCCTTCCACTCTATATCAAACACCTTCTCCAGCACCCTCGCCACCCCATCTTCGTCGTTCGTCGCACTCACAAAGTCCGCAATCTTTCTGAGTGGTTCCTCCCCGTTAGCCATCGCAACACCCATGCCGGCTTCCTGCACCATCTCAATGTCGTTGAACCCATCGCCAAACGCCATGACATGGCTCATGGACACCTTGCCGGTGCCTAGTTTATTGCTCTTGCACAGCGTCTGCAACGCAGCAGCCTTGGAAGCGTCAACATGCATCACCTCCAACCGATCCTTCCCGAGCCTCAGCAATTTCGTCGTATCGCGCGGTCGCGGGCCCAGCGACGCATGCGGGATGAAGTTATGCTTCCCATCCCTCCCCGCCTCCACCACATCCCCCTCCTCGACCCCCAACGACCGCTCCACATCGTCCATCCTCGCAAAGTCCATGCTCACAAGTGCAAATTTGTGCGGCACCAATTCCCCGCGCTCCACCTTCCCCTTCAGATCCTTATCGTAGATCGCGCGCGGCTCACCGGCGGCAAACGTGTGCTCAAACACCGCGTCGTAACGGTTGGGGGTGACTATCTCGTTGCCGCAGTAGGCGATGATGGTCAGATTGTAGGTTTCCGCGTAGTTGAGGTACCAGATCGCGTCCTTGGGGAGGAGGCGGCGTTCATGCAGGATGTGCAGGCGGGTGGTGTCGATGTAGGCGTACCACGGCCCTTTGAAGGAGGTATCCCCGCCCGTGACTTTGTCAGCGAGGGACGGGTCGTACTCGACGGGTTGTCCGTTGGTGAGGTCGATACCCGTCGTGGCGGATTTGACGGTCCCGTCGGCGTGTTCGAGGACGAGGGAGCCGTTTAGGTACACGCCGATGACTGCGTTTCCTTTCCCCTTTGGTGCGCTGTCCTTGCCGTCGGTCTCGTCTTTCAGCAACGGGGCAATGTTCCCAGCGGCGCTGGCGGGCCGACCTGTCGCGAACATGATTTGCACATCGGGGTGGTTTTTTCGGAGGTAGTGAAAGGCGTTGATGGTGCGTTTGGAGACTGTGTGGTCCTTTCGTATGGTTGTGCCGTCTATTGAGAATTGAAGAATATATGTCAGTGGGAACAGGTTCCAGCGAATAGGGAATAGGAGCGGAGTTTGGGATGGAAAGCTACTTACCGATATCGCAGCAAATGACCCGGACGTTTTCCTTCTTGAAGTGCGCGGGAAGGGGTCCCAGTTCGGATTTGCTGTTATCGGGCGACATGGCTCTGCTAGGGGCGTTTGACTTGCGAGAGTTGAGTTGGTGTTGGTGAGGACCCTCAAAGGCCAACGTCCTGCTTTATGTTTGCGCTTATGTCGAGCGAGGGCTTGGAGGCTGACGGAGTGTTGGTGATTCGTGAATGTGACGTCGCGCCGCGTGCAAAACGCCTCGCAAGCGGCTCTCCGGCGGCTCCGCTCAAAGAACCCCCCAGGATACGAACATTCCACACTCCCGCGCGTCTGCTCTTGGGAACATGCGAAGTGTGGTGGGTGCTATGATGCTATTGCTTCTCGGGATGATAAATTACATATGAAGAAAAAAGTGATGTTGCTGGTACTACCATCTAGCTTGGCCCTACGACTATTGCTGATATAGCCCTCAGTCAGGCCATATATCCTTGAAACATGCGGGTCAGGTCGGTTCACCAGGAACTGCCCGCTGACGCCCGCATCCGCCAACTCTATCTACGCGGCGGTAGGTCCCTCACTACTCAAGAGTTGATAGTCTTGAATACATTGAACCCATTCAACGCCGTGCTAATAATCACGCCCGGACATTGCCTATGGTAATGCAACTCCTTAATGTGCTGCTGGCCCTGATGAATAAACATCAGCTGGGGCGGTACTTCCACACCGGACGCGCCGATCGTGGGCGCCTCGTCTTCGTCCTTCTCCATAGACAGATCCCACAGGGTGATTTGGTCGTCGGCGCCCGCGACAGCGAGGGCGGAGGATTCGTGGGGCGCCCATTCGATGGAGGTGATGGCGTCTTGGTGCCATTTGTAGGTCGCGGCGGGGGTGGGGGTGGCGGTGACGGACCAGGTGCGGAGATCCCAGATGCTGAACACGCCGGAATCGGAGCCGGAGGCCAGGAGGTTGTCTTTCGTTCTTTTTGAGAATGATGAAGATTGGTTAGCAAAGATCAGTCTAGAGCCGATATCAGGCCGAGAGAGATGGTACTAACGTGTGCCAGCTAATGACATTGACATCGGAATCGTGAGCGTGCACACTCAATTGTGGCTTGCTTCGCTCCCTCGCATCCCAAATCTTGATCGTCTGATCAACACTCGCAGACGCAAAGACGTTCGTCCTCGTAGGACACCACTGAAGATCCTCCACGGAATCAGTGTGGCCACGGAAGTAGTCCTTGTTCGTGACAAATTGGGCCGACTCTGTCCTCTGGGTCAGGAAGATGCGTCCCTTGGTGTCTCCAGTGACGAGATGGCCGGTTTGAAGGGACGACCAGTCCATGGCGTAACCTTCGTAGGCTCCGTGGTTGTCGATCGTGTACATTGGCTTTGGCTCTCTTGGCGGGATGAGACCGGGGGTATCTAAGGCACGGACATGTTCGGTGATATCGTAGATGTGCACCTTCCCCGTGTCTGCCCAGGAGGCTACGATGTGGGCTTCGTTGTGCGGCATAACCTGTGAAAGTATGGGCAGATCAGACACTGCGTCCGGGTTCTACCTTCAACCATCACCCCCGCCACTCACCCTGACACGGTTGACCCCTCCGTAATGCGGTACGGTTTTGTACTCCAGAATAGGGTCATCATCCAAATCATCATCCCCGCTCTCCTCCCCATCCTCATCATCCGCCACCTTCGTCTTGTGCAACTGGCTCATCTTCATAACATACAATTTGTTGTCCTTAGCCTGCTCCGCCTGTGACCCAGCAACGATGTACGAGGTCATCGGGAAGGTAGCTCGTCCCGTACCCAACCTGTCTCGAAGAACGTCGAAACTGAGGCAGGGCCATTCGACACCCATGGAGTGCAGCATTTCGTAAGTGCTGGGATCGGCGACCAGTTCTTCGTCCTCGGCTAGCTTTTGACCGGGGAGGTAAACTTCGAGGTCGTCGGCGGGTTCTGCCTCGTCGTCATTGTTGTCGAGTTCCATTTCTGTTCAAAAGTTTTTTTTTTTCACATTGAAAAGCTTCAGCGTGATACTCTACAGGCAAGCGTTGTAAGTATTTGCGGGTTTGCCACTCACCATCCTCATCCTCCTCCTCATCGCTATCAGGGGCGATGACGACCTCTCCCTCGTCCTCGTCCTCCACTTCGTCCTCGAACTGGTCCTCGAACTCGCCCATTCCCTCGTCTTCGTTTTGTTGTGGCAGCTGATCATGGACGGAGTTGTCGCTGACAGTCTTTGGGCCCTTGCGGGGTGAGACGTCCATAGCGTCACCATGGTCTTCTGAGGCGGCGGGGGCCTGACGTTTCTTTCCAGCCATTTTGTGTGTGTGTGTGTGTGTGTGTGTGTTCTTGGCCGAGAGACGTTGAGTTGCGAAAGAAGCCGAGGTGATTTTTCGCATTCCGAGAGGAGAAGTGACAGCAAGCGGCTACTGAGCACTCCCGCCAAGGACAACTTCGAACGTCCCTCACTATCCCTCCCACCTCAAACCCTCAGCTGCAACATACATAGAGAATACCTGTATCATAGCAATGCTGCTTCTCAAACACCCTCTTCCGTCAGGCATACTGCTGCTGGCGACATTTGCTTCGCTTTGTGTCGCTCCAGCCTACGCCGGCCCGCAGACGAACTGGTTCGACGGCAAGGTGGAAGAGGGTCCGTACGACGGTTACTGGAAGGTGAGGAGGACTTAGCTATGCTGGCAGCGGACTAGTATCGAGCGTCTGAACCCCCTCTGTTTCGCAGTACGACGAGGTTGTCACTGGTTGCAATGCTATCGTCAAGAACAAGACGAACCTTGTGTCGAAGATAGAAATAGGACAGTCACTACAAAGCAGGTATGCTCTAGTGCAGTGTCTGCTTTTGAGAAGCTGCTCGCTGACGGTACTCCCACCCTAGGCCCATCCCAGTATTGGCACTAACAGACACCGTCAACCTGGCAACGCCGCTGGATAAGCGTCCCTCGATGCTCGTAACAGCACTAACCCGCGGAAACGAGCCAATGTCAGCGTCAGCCGCGTTAGAGCTCGCAAAGACAATCGTCAACGAACCACAAATGGCAGCATTACTAGCCACCACGAAACTGTACGTGGTGCCAATGTTGAACGTCGACGGGTCCATATCGGGGAAGGCCAAGAACATGCGGCCGGGGTGTAAAGCAGACACATCGAAGGGTGGCGTCGATCTAGCCGCGAACTGGAATTTCGCATGGGATCTGTACCTGCCCAACAAGGCAACGAGCCAAAAGTACACGGACGAATGTTCGCCGAACTATCACGGCGACGACGAGTTCTCGGAGCCGGAGACAAATGCTTTGCAGGAGTTTGTCACGAATGTCGCTAAGCCGAGGGTGGCGGTGTTTCTGCGTGATGCGGCGACGGCGAATCGGTCGCGGCTGGTCATTCCGTACACGTATCACCCATCGAATAGCAGTGTGCAGCGGGCGCGCAAGCTGTTCACGGATGCTGATGCGGCGACGTATGATGGGATTGTCAGTACGCTGACTTTCGCCACCAATAGCGCCTATATAGTTGGGACGGAGTATGACGCACGGGGGACCACTCTGTCGGGATCGGATCTTGACTGGACGTTTGACCAGGCAGGCGCTTTTGCTCTGGGACTGGAGATTGGGACGAAGGGGAAGAAACAAGCGGATATTCACAGTGTCTTGCATGAGGTTCGTGGCAATGCCGTTGACCTGTCCGCATCCCGGAGTCAACGCTAACTTTACGCCCTCCCTACCACAGCACGTCCGCGGCCTAATGGCCCTCCTCGAATCCGTCCCCAAAACGCCTTCCAAGCTCGCCACCCCAGCAAAGGGCAGCATCTCCAAGCACATCGGCAAAGCCATCCTCAACATCCCCTTGATTCTCGGTGCGATCGCCGCCGTCCTCCTGTTCACGGGCTACCTCATCGCGCGGTTCCTCGGCTACGACAAGATCTGGGACCGGTTCGCCCTTGCGGTGCATCGGTTGAGGCGGTGGAGGATGTATCGGAATTATAGATCTTTGCAGCCGAGTGGGAAGGAGGAGGAGGAGGAGGGGGATGAGGAGTTTGGGTGGGATTTGGATGGGGGGTTGGGGGAGGAGGGTGGGGCTTTTGATCGGTGATTTTGGGGGTGCTGATGCGAGGATTTTGTAGATATGCGTGGAGCAACTGTAGAATACAATGTGGACCATCTGTCACTTTCATCTTTTGTCGCTAACTGCTGCAATGAGGTCTGAATGTGAGCAAGGAACGCTCTAAGGGTTTTGCATCCTCAGCAACGCGCGAAGGGGTCGGTTTGTCAGATGCAACTGACGGCATTCGACAGCGAAGTTGTCCGAAGCTTTGGACGGTTTGCGGAACTCACCCTCCTTCTCCCCGTCGTTTGCCCACTAGCCCCTCAATCAACCAAACCCACCCCCATCACTCCTTCAAAAAATGGTCCAACTAATCCTCCCAACAACCCTCCCCTCCTCCCACTCCTCCTCCTCCTCCACCACCACCCCACCCGCATGGACACTCATAGAACTCCAAGGCTCCCTGCACACCCAACAACACGAATCCAGCGACAAGGACGACCTCCGCCGGCATGATCTGGCCGGGGCGCCGTTGGGGCGGTGGCGGATTTCCCAGAATGTGAGTTTCGGGAATTGGCGTACGTCTTGCTGTGATTGACTGGTTCTGTGCTTGAACGAATTGTTTTTAAACCTAACGTGCGAATTCGGGGCATGCAGGGTAAAACAACGTACCTGGAAATCGGGCACCACCGTCTCGAGGGCCAGCGGGTCCCGCTCAAGAACCCTATTGCTGTGCTTCAGAAGCATCTACCGAGTGATATCCCACCTCTCAAGGATGAAGACGACGCCGAGGTGATGGATATCGACGAGGATGATGTGGAAGGCGATGAGATGCAACGCACGCCGCCGCCCGCACCGCCTCCGATCCATTTGTCGCTTGAGATGTCGTTGGATGCCGGGGAGGTAGAGGTGGGGTCGCTGCCCATGGACGATGACAACGCTCATGGTTTATCTACACCGCCACCAACAACAACAACAACAACAGCAACAACAGCAGCAACGACGAGGGAGAAGATTCCGAAACAGCAGCGGGAGCTGAAACCGACATATAATGTGGTGACGGTATTACGGCACAAGTACCTGTTCAAAGCGCGGCCGGAGCATTTGTTGGCGGAGGAGCATAAGGGGTTGACCGGGTTGGTGAGGAAGGGGTTGGGGGGTGCGGGGGGTGGCGGGAGGAGGGGGTGACGGGAACGAGAGGGAGGAGGGGGAGGGATGTGGGGCTTTTGTGACATGCTGGTTTTGTGGGATGCAATCCCCGGGATGGAACGGGACGCCGGCGCTGTAGTATGCCACTGTCTACCGCCCCGGCGGCGTTCATGGTCATCGTGAACGTCAGCGGAGTCGGTATTGACGCTGGATGCTTTCGGACGTATCCGCCGCGTTCTTTCTCCGCCACCAGGGGAATGACGCTCTCGACGAGATGGTACCGAGCCGCTTCGTTCGAAAGTTCGTCGACAAACACGTATGAACACAGCTGCTTTCGACCTGACGATTACTACGTGCTAAACTTGTTGCACTGCGCGAATGGTATGGGAGATTCAAGGGTAGAAAGAGATCGTTTGGGGACGGTACACGGCGAAAACCAGAGCCCTTCACGACGAGTCGTTAGGTCCTCCGCCCAAAGCGGCAACCATAACCCACAGCAAACAGGAACCGTCCACCTTGTACACAACACATAATGTTTTCGGGGGGCGCGAGCACGCTGCCATAACCCCATCAGTCATCGCACATTTGCATTCAGCAATAGAACACAAAACATAATAAAAAAACGAAAGAACGACCAAATAAAATACGGGAGTTGGGGGGGTGGGTGTACTAGCTAGAGATGGGGCTGGGGGAACTATGTACAAGGGGCATGGCGCCTCGCAAGTGGGAAGAGGGTGCGGCTAGAGTATCAGTGTGTGTTGTGCTGTGTCCCAGTCTATCGGAGTGGCAGATCGGTTGTCGGACGGAAGGAGGGTGGGTTGGGAGGTGGGTGAGCCGAGGCTGACGTGCACGGTGGCCAGCACATTTGCAAACCTTTGTCTATGATAGCGGGCCGGGGGTGAAGACATGAATCGATTGTTTTTTAACACATCTTGTATTCATGCGTCGACTCGTTTGAGGCCAATTGGCCGTGGAAGGTGTGGTTGATGATAATGTCGAGGTCGCGCGGGTTCTTGTCGTTTGCGGCAAGGGAGAATGTGCCCGAGATCTTTTCGCCTTTGCGGATGGTGAGGTATTCGCGGAGGTAGAAGACCGTCTGAGTGGGGCGCGAGAGGGGGAGTGTCAATGATTGGCCGTGTGAAATGGGAGAGTACAGAAATATGCCAATGTCCAATGATTGTCAGGCCTACCTGCTTCCAGTGGGTGTAACGTGCGTGAGGGCCAGTGGAGAAAGAGACCTTCTTGTGGCAGCAAGAAAAGTCAATGTCAAAGTAGCACAGGAAAGCGTGGATGTAGTCGTCCCTGTTTGCCGTAATCTCGAACGGCACTTTGAATTCCAGGTCCTCGACCTTGACGGTGTAGAGGTCGATATCCCTGAACCCGCAGGCTGTTGTCACGACGGCCTTGGAGTCCACGGTGTCCACCAACGGTTCCCTCAACGCAAGAGATTTGATATGGGACATGTCAAAGCCGTAAACGCTGTCCCAAAACCCAATCTTTTCCTCCTTGTAGTCGGCATCCTCGATCGCGGAAAGGTACATGGTAGCCTTGTCCGGGAAGATGAGACCACCAGGGGCCAAGTACCTGTCACGGGCGTACAGGACGGTGTTGAGCATGGACTCGTAGAGAAGGGCGTAACCCATCCATTCTGAGATGATGATATCGACTTTGTCGACGGGCAAGACGACCTCCTCCATTTTTCCCTGCACGAGGTGGATTTTGCCTTCGAAGCCGTTGTCCTTGACGATAACCTTTGCCTGGTTGATGATGTTGGACATGTCTACACCGATGACCATCTTTGCGCCTGCTTTCGCGGCAAACATGCAGAGGATACCGGTTCCGCAACCAACGTCGAGGACAACTTTGTCCTTGAAGAGGTGGGAGTTTTGGTAAATGGCGTTGCGGTAGCTCATGGTCCGCACTTCATCCTTCAGCATCTCTTCGTGGATGCCTGTGGGAGTAATAATAGGGAGGGGTGAGATAGGGCGGCCAAAGGGGAGCAGAGGAGCGCAATAGGGCCCATACCAAAGTGGGCATAGGAGTCAAAATAGTAGTCCTTGCTTGTCATGGGAGCCTCTCCGTTCTGCGCGGGGGCTGGCGCTGCTGGCTGATCGACTTGCATGCTGTGGAATAAGTTTGGTGGTGAGGGGGTTATGGGCGGGAGTAGCGAGGGCTATGGCAACGAAGGCAGCGAGCGGGAACGCAGGTAGAGCAAGGAAAGGAAAGACAGCATTGCTATCCGTCGGAGAGAGAGACGGAGAGAGGGCGCGCGAGCAGGATCATCCCCCGTCACGTGACTGTCGACGCGCAACTGCAGAACACGCCACAGCCCGACTTGCACGGGTTACAGTAGGCGTGGTTGGGGTAGGGGCGGGGGTTTTCGCCGTTTGTTGCGATGTACTGTACTGCATCTCATATGTGAAAGCCGTCCCTCACTTTCTAGCGAACGGAGCCGATTCCATCTTCTTAGGTGCTCTATTCAGATGTATACGAACAAAATGGTAGGTAGCCGGCCGCAGAATCCAAGAACCCCAGTGATGAAAATCACTCTCCCGCTCCCCCCTTCCGCAGACTACCCCATCATCCATCATTCCGCTTTCACTCCCCAGCAAGCACAGCATCAACAACCATCCGCGCCGGCACGGCCCGCTCCTGGTTCTGGTCGTCCTCAAACACGATCTTGTATTCGTTCGGTGATGCCTGTGACAAAAAAAAAGACCCCCCCACAAAAAATACATCAACTCCCGCCCCCTCTCTCATACGCCACATCGTCGGATCTCCCATTTACCTTCGTAGGCCCGCTCTTTACCCTCCCGCGATAGAAACACGTCGTGCCGGGGTACAACGCGAGCACGGGCTTGTCCCTTGCGATGATCTGTTTCTTGGCGATCTCGGTGTCGGTGGCGGGGAGGGGGATCAGGTCGCGGGGTGGGAAGTAGAGGGGTGTCCTAAAAAACCACATGATGGATCATCCATGTCAATGCCAAAGAGAGGGGACGAACATGCAGAGAGTGAGTTTTCGACATACTTGGGTTGCAAAGCCCCGTCCTCGTCCTCCGCGTCCGTGAATAGATAGAGGCCGCGCTCGGGGATGTATCGCTCGACGGTGCCCATGATCCATTCCGTGGCGTGGGGTTGGGTAGGGCGCGCGATCACCTGTTGGCCTGGGCGGAGGGGGTCTGTGGTTCTGCAAATGTCGTTGAGTTGCCGTTAACATCTCATGCGACCATGACATGGAATGGTTGATGGGGGATGGACGCTTACCCCGCACCGCCACGACCTTTTTTGTTTCCAGGTATAAGCAACACGGTATGCGGCTTCTCCCCCACAATCACGGGGGCCGTGGGTGACCCGGCACCGACACCGACGCGCCCTTTTTCGTCCAGTTTGCGCTTCTTGCGTGTTTTCGAGGGGTGGGTGGAGTCCGGTGTCGGTGTGGTTGCGTCGTGGTTTTCGCGGAGGAGGAGGAGGATGGCGGTCTTGTCGAGGGCTGTTGTTAAGAAGCTGGGGTGTGGGGTTAGGGAGTGATGGGTGGTGAGTGGGGGGAGGGAGAGGAGCGGAGGGTGGAGCGACAAGGGGAAGAGGGGAAGGACGTACTTCGTCTGTTCCGCAATTTTGGAGTTGGCGCGTTCGTAGAGGGAGAGGATCTTCATGGCGCCTTTTGCGTGGAAGTCCTTTCCTGAAGAACAGAAGAAAGAAGAGGAAGGGGTTGAATGTTGGACAGGTTGGAGGTGATATTTCGCCCATTGGGTTCGTCCGCGCCATCTTTCCTCCCCCATCCCTCCCCTTCAATCCCATCCCTCCTCACCTCACCCGCCTGATCACCCTCCATTCCTCCTCCCCATCACCCCCCTCCACCCCCTTCATACCCCTCCCCGTCTCCCACACCTACCATTCTCCTGCCTCTGAATGATCTTAGTATGCACCGAATTCACCTTCGGCACCGCTGCATCGACCTCCGGCAGCTGTCGCGAGAACCGCCATAGTTCCTGGCATAGCTGGATCCACAGCCCGTGTTCGTTGGATGTTGCGGTCGCCCCGCTGTGAGCGTGGGGGAGAGGGAGGGGTGTGTCGAGGGAGGGGTGCCGGGATTTGCGTTTTGTTTCGGACATTTTTGGGAAACGGGGTACAGGTATATGTATGCGCCTGGAGGCTGGCCTGGAGGGGACAGAACGGCTTTCTAAATTAGGAAGAGCAAACTTTTGCGAGGTCCATAGCGTATCCCCTCTCCCCTTTCTCCCACCGTTCTGCTGGTGCCAAACGTTGGGCTGGCGTATGGGAAACAAGTGACCCGGCTTTCCTCCAAGACAGACCGGACGGGAGATCGGTGCACCCCTCTCCTCGCACATGACCCTTTTCTCCCACCCACCAGATGGACCACTGCTGGCCCTTCTCCACCTTTCAACTAAGAGAAAGACCGGTACTCCTCTCCCTACGGGTGCTCTATCCCCAAAGTCGGTGCCCGTCCCCTTTAGCTGCCCAATTTCGAGTTTGTCGGGACGAGGCGGAAACACTCTCGCCCCAGACTTGGCCATATGAGCGACCCGCCGAGCTCCTCACTCACTCCATCCATCCCAACCGAAGCTAAGGCTCACCTGAATGAGGAAGCAGCGCTGTGCCCGCCCAGCAAAGGCTTTCCCTGCGATTCCGTGGAGTTCCTCCGCAAGTGTGCAGGTTATAACGCGGCGCTGCTGTCATTTCGTTCCCCTGATTGCCGTCACTCGCGACTCTTCCCTGAGCGCCGTCGAAGCTGTTGGTCTCGTCGATTGCTCTGCACTACTGAAGCGCTACGGGCGAATGAAAGATGGACAAGGTCTTCGGTGAACGCCACGACGAGGTCGATACCGTAGAATACTCTATACATAGGGACTTCCGTCCGTCTCCTGCATATCCAGCACCCACGCAGGCGGAATGGCAGCAGGCGGCAGAAGAGTTCATTGCGGAAGTGTTCTCCTTCGTCTCGCAATGGACCGACGGCTATATCTGGCACAAGGATGCGTTTGTCTTGAGGACTGATAGCGGGTTTGGTAAGTGTGGGTCATCAGTTGTTGCACACACCGTCCCCTCCTTGCTAACCTCGATCACTCGAAAAAGACGCCTCAACCTCGTGTATTCGCGGCTCTACACGGTTCGGTGACTGCTTGGAAGACGAGTGGTTTATTGTATCGCTACTGGTCGAAATCACAGCGAAATATCCAGATGCCGTCGTCAGTGTTCGCGACAACGACGGGGAGTTTTTACTCATCGAGGCGGCTGATCACTTGAGCGCCTGGATTGATCCTACTACCATCCGGAACAGAGTGGGTTGGCTTTTTGTTGCGAACCTCATGCGATCCTTCACTAATTTACCCATGAATCTCTCCAGGTGTTTTTGCATAAGGGCGTTCTTCATATCATTCCCATTCCGCGAACACCAGCCGAAATCCCACTCTACCCAGCCGGCAATATTACTCTCGAACAAGCCCTAGACACTATCAGAGGCTCCGCACCGACGAATGCACCAGAGAAGGTGCAAGATGTCATTATGCAACGTCTCAACGGTTACCCGGGTGCTGCGATGAAAAACATGCATCATGCAAAGTGTCATGTTCCATTCAATGTTGCGCAGGTGTTACATCATGAGCCCAATTTGATTGCGCCTGCTGTTGAGGCATTCTATAACCGCGATCCATTGGCGTTGAAGGTTTGTACAACGGGACATGCTCCTGATCAACCGATTCCGACGCTCACTCCCTCCTTATATCACCAGGCCTGCTATAAAATGGAGCAATTCCCACCCGCCTCCTCAACCACATCCCTCATCCGCATGAACCGCCATCAATACGCCCAACTCGTCAGCCAAAAGTTCCACCCGCCAAAACCCTTCCGCCTGCCTCCACCCAACTCCCCCGACTTCAAATCCCACGAACTGGGCATGAAGATCGCCTGCGGTTTCGAAATGCTCTATGCCGACGAACACTGGCAGAATCTGGATACGCAGGCGGACGCAGCTACGGTCGATACCTATGCATTCGCCGCGGATCCAGCCTGGGCGCGGTTTCTTCACAAACTCAACAAACTGAACTTCTTCCGCTCCGAGCTCCCCGGTTCACGAATTTACAAAGACCTCGAATCCAGAGCACAGTTCCAGTTCCTGCAAGCCAGGACGACGGAACAGAAAGAAGATAACCCCGTCACGCGGATAAAGGCCGCCCTCGCCCGTCCGCCTGTCAACATAACCGACACAAACCTCAACGAAGACAGCGACAGCTGGATGGACATCGACCCCACGCACCTGGACGATATGCTGAACGCCCGACAGGAGGAGTTCAAACACGCCCAGGAAGATTTTGCGGGCATGCCCCGCGGCGAAGAGGACGTGGAGGAGATGGATGAGGAGGATCAGCGGGATATGGATGAGTTGGCGAAGATGTTTGGTGGGTTTAGCGAGTTTGTTGGGAAGCAGAGTGGGTTGAAAGGGGCGTTGTTTCCGAATGAGGAGGAGGACGAGGAGGAGGAGGATAATGAGGATGAGGGCGATGGGGGGCGTGGGAGAACGGCGGCGGATCGTGCAGGGGGTATCAAATTCGATGACCAGCAATTCATGCAGACCCTAATGCAAGCCTTCGGTATCGACGCCACCGAAATGGCTCACTTGCAAAACCAAAAATCCCCTCAACAACAATTCGACCCAGACGTGCTCAGACCCGCCTCGACCGACGACAGCAGGTTCACAGAACTAGCAGACGACGATGACGACTGGACCGCACCGTTCTCCCGCACCGATAACGCAGAGGATTCGGAAACCGACGAACCTACAGGCGACCCACAACTGGAGCAGTACATGCAAGCGATGGACCGCGAGCTCTTGCATACCAAACTCGCGGGGACGTTCGAAAAGGCCGTTCCCGCACCATCCCAACCCAACTCAAAGGACGATGAGAATGATGAGGAAGAAGGTGATGAGGAAACACGCAAAAACGCACCAGTAGATCTAGACCTGAACCTCGTCAAGAACATCCTGGAGTCGTTTTCGGCGCAGGAGGGGTTGCCGGGGCCCGCGGGGAGTATGTTGGGCGGGTTGGGAATCAAGATGCCGAGGTTGGGGGAGGGGGCGAGGAAGGGTGGGGGAGGGAGGAGGGGATGAGTTTGGGGAGGGAGATTATGGCGACGGATTGTGTGGACGACGCTTCGTAGGCTTGCACCCAGAGGTCCTTCCGAAGGGTCCTGACGGGCCTAAACAACATGCATCCGGCCGTGTGATTGCATATGGGATACCCCACTTATCGCGGGTGGCCCAGCAGTCTATTAGGGAATGTGGCAACCTTCCATGGACGTGCGACGGGACATTCGATCGCGGATCGGATGTAAGGCCTTTCATGGTCAGAGCGCCATTCGCAGAACGCCGACCGTGAATTTCCAGCAAGACTTGAGCGACGACGGCGGCGACTTTGCCATACCATCTAAGGAGCGTTCGACGTTCTGGTTGAAGAGCCTTAACCCGTCATCCATGGAGGGAACCGCAAAGGTGGAAGCTTTCCGTCACGATATAGCGATTGAATTCCGATATAGTCCTGGGAATCTCGAGATGGCAGTATGTAGTTCTCCTATCATTTCTATTGCCTATAAATCCTGGCGCACCGACGTAGTCGCAGCTCGCATTATGTAGGAGATAGTCTAGATCACATCACACTATGTAACCTACATGTCGAATGTACGTGCGCTCGTCGGGCTTGTGCCGCATCGGCAAAACCTCCTGATACAGATCGAACAATAGTACCTCAACCTCCACCCAAAATCATCCCACCCCACTCTTCCATCCCTAGTCTCAACCTTCAACCCCCGCTGCCTACTTATACAGACTAACCCGACACCTCTTCATAACCTCCCTCATCTCCGACCTCCGATACGGCATCGTAGCAATGCACGTCGGGATCCCCTCGGGCTGTTCGATCCATTCGTGGAACACTTTGGAGTGCGTGGTGAGCGCGGTGCGGATCTTGGTGAGGTGCGCGGGGTCCCGGGCTGCGAATGTTACTTTGTGCATTCTGGTGGGGGTAGAATATGAGGGATTGCGTTGTGTAAGATAGAGGTTATGCTGTGAATGCTTTTGTGGGTTTTGATGGACGCACCTCTCAAGATCGTTAAGATACTCCAGGACAGCTGGATCCCGGCTGTTCTTGTGCATCACCGCCATGGATGCATGACATGCTTGTGTTATAACGCTGGATAAGGGAACGTCAGCGACTTGTTCCCTTCCGTTGTCCACATGATTCAGGGCGGGGTTTCACCATCTACCTTCCTGATGGCCAGTTGAGGTCCTATGGTGCGATGATGAAGGATATGCTTTGATGAGTTGATCAAATCATCTCTACGCCCGTTCCCTTCCTTCTTTCATTGCATCGGGCGTGATCCCACCGCCTCGTCTAAATAGCCGACATTTACACTCTCCAAATCCTTCCGGACAAATAGATACATCGTCAAAGGCTCGCCATCAGCTGTCGTCGTCGCATTCGAAGCCGATGCTGGTTCCGTCTCCGCCACTTCGGATACTGGGCCGGTCGACATTGTTCTTCGTAGGACGCGGGATTGGGAAAAGATGGGTAAGGAGGTGTGGGAGCAGGCTGGGACGAATGGAGCCGGGAGACGACGGATGAAGAACAGGCGATGCATGTGACGAGAGCGCTGTTGAAACGTACACAAAGAAGGCCAGGTCCGAAGCACGGCTAGAAACCTGCTGAAGGTGAGAATGGCAAGGTCATGCCCCATCCACAAAAGAACAACTCCTCCTCCTTGCGCACAACCGGTGGCGCCTAGAGGCTACTCCAGTTATCCTCCCCCGCACGTCTTTCGCCCACACCAGCAGACAGCCGTTGGCATACCGTTACCATACCGATGCGAGAGGCATTCCTGAACAACGGAAAGGGTGCCGGCAGCGACATGGCCCTCGGTCTGAGCTTCGACCACGAACTGAAGCGCGGCAGTCTCCCGTTCGTACGTGTAGCGGAGGGGCGTCGACTCACCTTGGTTATGCGCGGAGCGATCATCGGCGGTGAATAGGACGGCCTTCACACACTGCTTCACACACGCGTTGGATGAAGACTCCGACAACGCAGCCCTTCCACAATCCACAGGGCCTCAAAAGAAAGCAAATGTATGCATCTATGGACAAGTAGTCAGTCTCACCACATCCAGAATGAACATGGTAACAAAATACACTATGTACAACTAGCTATTTACAGTTCGCCGTTGTCATCTTCCAGCATGGCCAGATACGTCAGCAGGCCCGTGATGAAAAGAAGGATGAGGATGATGGGGATGATGTACAGGTTGCCTAGAAAGGGATGAACAATACGCTGAGTTAGGCTCGTTCCCTGCTACGAGAGGCTGAGAGTCCGGGCTTACCTGAAGCTGGCGGCACAAGGGCCACGTGGACCGTCCCGTCGGCGGATCCACTGACGAGTATCTGTCCTGTTGGGTCGAAATCTAATGCGGTCAGGGGGAAATCGTGGACATTTGGTATCCGGTATATTGTCTAGCGGGGAGATAGGTCAGAATCAGTATTGGTGTCAGTCAAAGGTATAAGACATATAGACCGCTTCCGTTACCTGCAAGCCTTTAGCCGAAATCACATTCACGCTCAGATCTGCTGCTCCAAATGCGAGCAACTCCCCCGTTTTGCTGTGGTTAGAGAATTGCAAAGTCAGCACGTGGAGAGTGAAGGGTAGCATTCAAAGGCCATACCTTATCGTAAACGCAGTAACAGGTTTCGACCCGATCGCTTTTTGCCTATGCAGCTTCCACCCTTTCACTTGCCACTTGCAAATGAATGCCCGCTTCCGGTCTTTTGCGTTGATGACGAGGAACAGGTAGCCTTCTGATGCGCGCACGCCGAACCGCGATGCGCGGAACTCGGACTTTATCGTTTTCTTCATGACGGGTTTCTCGATGGACCAGAGGGTCTTTGCATTTGAGACATTTGTTACGTAGCAGATGTTTGCTGTGACAGACACCAGCTGTTGTTATGTTTTGAGATGATGATTATCAGTTTCCAGGTCATAGAGGCGCAATTCTGAAACACTGGCCTTACCTGCTTGCCATCAGGACTGAAATCTGCATCTACAATCTCTCCTTTATGGTCAATTGGCGGAATTGCCGGCTTGAAGTCTGGCCATGTCCATATGCTTAACTTTGTGGGCGACGTCAGTGTCATTCCGTGTGCAAATGCACAACATGTCACCATGGTACCTTTCCATCTGTGTTCCCTGTCACCAAGAGTTTACCATCCTCAGTGAATCGAGAGATTTTCTATCGACAGGTTGGGACGGTAAGTTGGTGCATAGCTGGTCGCTTCGAGAGGACTACTGCACCTGATGGAAGAACGGATCCGTGCTGTCCAAGGTTTTATGGGCTCCTTTGGCGGTGAATCTGAAAGTGGTGACCGTCATAGTCAGCCAAGGTTTTCCACCCTGATATTCAACCCCTGCAACGTACACCTTGTTTTTCAGGAAGAACACGCGACAGTTCTCATTCTGGCCTGCCTTCATTTGCTCCTCCGGGCAGTTGACTCCAGCTATGAAAGCCTTCTCCTGTAACCCAGCGTCAGTGATGCACTCAAAGCGCCAATCCCAGCCGTTATCCAGTACCTTTGGGTGAACAGCAATACTCATACATCCATCGTCCTTTTTCCCAAACAGTTGTTCCGTCACAGGCTTGACGTCGAGAGTGTTGGGGTCGACATCATACAGAATCTGGGAGTGAAAGCACGTAAATCGATCTGTCCGATTGTTTTCCTGCTCCTCCATACAGCCCCACAACCTCCAAGCAGCCTCACCATCGCGTTCTTGACTCCCGCCTTCGTCGGTCCACCGCCGCCACCGATCGCGACGCGATGCCTCGATGGCGTCCAGGTTACCGCAAAGACCGGAAACCCCAGCGTAGTCTTCTTTCGTGGTGGCGCCATGTTAGTTCGTTCCAAGAATATATGTCGACGGTCGTATTGAGAACCCCAGGAGGAAACTACAGGTACACGCGTGATCAGCCTTAAGATGTCGGGTCTGGAAGTGAAAGCAAGGAAGTACCCGTTGCTTACCAGCGACTTGTTGGACTCCGGCCGTGCAACTGCTGTCAAGTGAAAACCAAGGGATGAAGAATGCCCCTAGATTCTTGTTGAGATGATGGTCGTTGGGCCTTCAGTTGGTGGCAAGTCATGACGAGGCAGTAATGCACCCGTTTAAACAACGTGGCTGACACGTGACTTGAGCGGTTTATTTACCCCCGGTTCCACCCGGCACACTCACACGCACGCGTTTCGAGCATCCCCCAGGCATAAAAGCTCCAAGCGACGACGACGGGGATTCCCACCGCCGAACAAACAATCCAACTCCGCATCGCAACAATGGCAAGCAAAGCAGCCTCAACCGTCCTCGGGCGTCTCGGTGCCGTCAACACCCCTCGTTCCACCACCTGTGCCGTCGCTGCCGTCGCAACGTCCGTCTCCCGCCATGGCTATGCATCCTCCTCAGCGAACGTCAAGCCCGTCGAGCGCATCACAGTCATCGGTTCCGGTTTGATGGGTGCAGGTGTCGTCCAAGTCGCCGCCCAGTCTGGTTTCAAAGTCTCCATGGTGGATCTCACAGACGATTCCTTACGCAAAGGCGAGAAGATCATCACCTCTTCCTTGAAGCGGGTCGCCAAGAAGAAGTTCGGAGGAGACGTTGAGGGAGCCGAGGCACGAAAGTACATCGACGACATCATGTCCCGTATCACACTCTCTAAGGACTCTGGGGCCGCTGCGCGCGATTCGCAGCTGGTCATTGAAGCGATCGTCGAGAACCTCAAGACGAAGCGGGCCCTTTTCAAAGCTCTGGATGAAGCCGCGTCCGCATCGACCATCTTTGTCAAACACCTCGTCGTTACCCATCCGCGATATTGCTTCTGCGACAAAGGCGAGCCGTCAAGCACACTTTGCCGGTCTGCATTTCTTCAACCCTGTTCCCCAGATGAAGCTGGTAGAGGTTATCCGCACGCCCGAGACCGTCGACGCCGTCTTTGACTCTCTTGTGGCCGTCACCAAGAAAATGGGCAAGATCCCCGTTGCTTGCAAGGACACCCCTGGCTTTGTCGTCAACAGGCTGCTGGTCCCATACATGATGGAGTCGCTGCGATTGGTCGAGCGGGGCGATGCGTCTATGCAGGATGTGGACACCGCCATGAAGCTTGGTGCAGGATACCCTTTGGGACCTTTCGAATTGATGGACTACGTTGGTCTCGACACCATCAAGCATATCACTGACGGGTGGTACCAGTCTGGAGAGGGTTTGAAGGGAGACAAGTTAATTGCGCCTTCTGCTCTGTTGGAGAAGCACGTTAAGGCTGGCAAGCTGGGAAGGAAATCTGGCGAGGGCTTCTACACGTATGACGGCGTAGGTGCCGACAAGCGCAAGCACTAGAAGAAGATAACTTCTCTTCTCGTAATGGTCGGAGCCATATCCATTCTACATACTGCACCAATTCGGTATACCGTATTGCCTTAAATTTTGAATAGCATATCTATAGTCGCCGTTGCATATCTGACATCCACGGCAGTTCTGCCCTCCGCGACATAATTCGTGCGGTCGCAATGCAAGTGATCCAGCATGGGCTTTGGATGATTGAGGATGGGCTGCGTGATGTACGGACGATAAGCACAAAGGATACAGCACCAGTAGCGAGATGGAAATACGGGGAAATGTAACTCGATGGGGGCTAGGATACAGCTACGGACTACCGGGCTATCAAGCATCCAGTGCGTCACAGCTCGTCGTGATCTATGTCTCGACATTTTCGGTGGCGTAAAGTTTGAACGTGCGATCGTACGATGCCGTCGCGATGAACTTTGCGTCTATGAAATGGGAACCGTTTACACTCAGATTCCACTACCAAGGACGAGAAAAGATGCATAGGTACTCACCACCAGAGATATCACAAGCCATCACCTTGCCCTCCAACCCCGTCAGCGCCTTGACCGGCTTATAGTCACCATCCGTCCATACTTTACACGTCCCATCATACGAACTCGACACGAGGAACGATCCATCAAGGAGTTGCCGTCTCGTCGCCGCGCTCACACCTCCTGCAGCCCCCGCACCCGCCGTGTCCGCATCGCCTTCGACTTTTGTCGTGATCTCACTCTCGACTTCCATCGGCGCCGCCCCATTTGATTCTACACGCGTGAGTTTTGCGGCATCACCATCATCCCCATCAACCCTCATAATATCCGCCTTGAACGTCCACTCCTTATCAATCGACTGCTCAAAGTTTTCCGCTGCGTGCCAATACCGCACCTGGCTGACAAGATTCGTATGCGCCGGCACGGTATAGAGGCTCTTCGCCGCGCGCATATCCCACACGCGTATCGAGTTGTCCTCGCTGCCAGTCGCCAGCTGGTACCCGTTCGGACTCCAGTCGAGACACAGGATGTGTTTGACGTGGCCCTGCAGCACCATGATTGACTTCCCGGTTCGCAGGTCCCATACGCGCCCGATGGCGTCCATGCCGCCCGTTGCGGCTAATGATCCGTCGACTTGGAAGCCGATGGCGAAGAGCTCGCGGGAGTGGCCTTCTTGGAGGAGAAGCTCCTGGGATGTCTGGGCGTCCCAGAGCCGCCAGGAGGTGTCGGTGGAAGCTGTGCCGATGTATCGGCCTGACGGGTGGAATGCTACACGGGTCACACGCTGCTCGTGGCCCTCAAGGGAGCCTATCGGGGCTTCGCTGTTGAAGTTCCACAGATGCACGGTGCCGTCCGACCCGCCCGTTACAAGGTTGAGGGCTTCGGGCGATTGCGAGAGGGTTGACCCAGGGTGGAACGCGAGCCCACTGACTCGATCGCGATGCCCTTTCAGGGTATGTAGGTGGGTGCATTCTGGTACACTCCACAGTTTGACCAACCCACCCCACGATGCTGTTGCTAGTAATCGGGAGTTTGGCGAAAAGGAGCAGCTAGACAATGGCCGCTCGTCTCCGTACTGTAGCGAGCGTGTTTCGAATGTTTTGATGTTGGTATAAAATTCGTGTCGCATCTTTTTCCGTTGCGGATATGGTAGCTCCAGTTCGGCGCGGTGACAGTCCAGTCTATGTTTCGCTCTGTTGAATAGAATTCCCAGTCAGCTAGGCGCCAAGCCATCCACCACCTCAGCGTATCCCACCTTGATATGGAGTAAGTGGAAATATCTTTCCTAGCTTCCAACAGCTCATCGGGCCCATAAGTATAAAACTCTTCCTCCGCCTCCGCCTTCTCCTCATCATCGCTCTCGTCCTCGCTCTCATCCACATCCATCATCGGCTGGTCATGTAGCTTCTGCGCCAGAATTGATCGGAGACGGTCTCGTCGCTCTGCTGGCTATGGACCGCACTATCAGCCTCTCGCTCTATGACAGCATGCAGGGCAAAAGAACATACCCCTTCGCCAAAGAGCGTTATAGGCTCGCCCTCTTCCCGTAACCTGGCCCGCACCCGTCCATCGTCCGTCGGCACAGCGAGGTTCCTGGCCAACCGCTTCTTTTCGAAGTCTTCCAAAATGGCTTGATGGTCGGCTTGCGCCCTCGACGTTGTGTCCGCTGGCTCGAATTCATCCTCTGTTGGTGGGGTGGATAGTTTATCAGCTTTCCAGGGACTTTTGATATGCCAGCTGAAGATTCAAGCAGCCCCTCTGTCCCTCCTGCATACACACCTAGATCGTCGAGAGTAAGGCCTCCCTATAAATGGCAACAGGGTCAATGGCGAGCTTCATACGTGGGAATTGTCAAGATCAAACACACCTTTGTCGCCCCATTGGAGCCGCCGCCCCGGACCACCCGCTCGTCCTCCTCCAGCGAGGGGAGGTGGATGCGGGGCCTTCCTGATACAAAGTCAGTCATCCTCTTTGGGTACAGGGGGAGTCGACGGGGACACGGGAGGGAAAGGAGAAGGAGCGAGAGTTCAAGTTGAAGTTGAAGTTCGAAAGTTCATCAGAACCACGCGCCTGGGGTCGACTTCGGCTTCACTCGGACCGGTTTGCCAGGTTTGCACAGCGCCGTTGAGCTGCGGAGATTGTCGTTCACCCGAATAGAAGAATACAAAAGCACAATGGTCGTCGGGAACGTCGTCACCAAGGGAATGCGGGTGGTAGGTGTTTTGAGCTCTGAATGGGACTTTCTCCGGTCGAGGGCCTCGCTAACTTCCCTTCACCTCGCAGGTCTCAGTCCTGCCTTCGGCGACCGAAATGCTATGCTTGATAGGAGGGGAGAAGCTGCTAGTCGGAAGGAGTCATGAGGTGGGCTATTGCGGACGTTTTCTGGGCCGGCGACGGTGAATTTAGGAGGAAGGTCGCTAATTGGAATGACTATGGAAGGACAACTACCCAATCAGCATCACCGACCGACCGATCCTGACAGGTCAAAAGACCACTTTTACAACTTCCGCGGACGTGGATCGGCAGGTCTCCGAGGCTCTTGCGCAAGGGCAGGTGTGTTGCTCAGTCTAGCGGTCTCAGGTGTTGGAGAACTCTTTGACCGAGACATCAAAGTTGTAGAGTCTCTATACATTGGACACGACTCTTCTGGAGAAGCTGCAACCGCAAGTGATTCTTACTCAGGATCTTTGTAATGTCTGTGCCATTGATCTCGTCACGGGTAAGCTGGTCTGCTCACGTCGTCCTACTTCCTTATTCCACTCACATCTGCTTTCACAGTCCAGCGAGTGGCACAAAAGATGAACCCCTCTCCAGAAGTTGTGACACTGAACCCAATGAGCCTGCAAGACATTTTGCACAACATCGCAGAAGTTGGGCGGGCAGTCAACATGGAAGCCGAGGCGGCCGAGACGATCAAGAACCTGGAGAAGAGGATCGCCGAAGCAAAGACCCGCGGGGCGGCGCTCTTGGAAGCATCGGGCGGCAGGCGCAAACGAGTTGCATTCTTGGAATGGACGGATCCTATCTACCCAGGCGGTCACTGGACGCCACAACTGATCGAGATGGCCGGGGCAAGCCACCCGATTGCGCCAGCGACCTCCGAGGAAGGCGCTGGTCCGTCAGTGCGCACCCGCGCTCAAGCTGTCATCGACAGTAAACCCGAGATCATCATCATATGCCCATGTGGGCTCAACTTGGAGGATGCCAAGCGGGAAGCCAGGCTGGCGATGAAGTTGGATTGGTGGAAGGATGCGACGGCTCACTGCGAGAAGATTGCTGTTGTTGATGGGGATGCTATGTTCAATCGCCCCGGGCCGCGATTGGTGGTAAGCCTCCCTGACTTGTTCGCTTTCTCCTTCATCTGTGTATTCTCTAACCCCGGTCGATGTGGGTAGGACGCTTTGGAGTGGCTGGTAGGCTTCATTCACGATAAACCGGAATATATTCCTCAAGGCTTCCCATGGGAATTTTGGACAGAGACGGAGAACAAATAGGGTTAGGTAGCTAGCTGTTAGCGCAGGCTCAGAAGACTATGTAACAGGGCACGACGATGGTGCGAGATCTTGAATTATAACGCCTTCTGTTTAGTTCATTCGTGCGGGTGATTGGGAATTCCTAACTACTTTGCAACGGGATGCGGAAGCGGGATGCGCGTGTCATTATGGGAGTTTCCCCTGTGGCTTTGGGTCTCGGCCTAAACCTATGTCGCCGTGAGATCACTTTGAGGAGGTGATAGAGAAGCTACATAGTACGCGTATCGCTGTGCTCCTCGCACTGCCTCCGTGCCGTCCACATCCTACGCATCTGCGGAAACATCCAAAATCGCCAATTCCATCCTCGAAAGTTTCTGCCTGCTCCACTTCCTGACCGCCTTCCAGATAAACCACAACGCTCTGACCGCCCCAATGCACATCGACACGATAAGCACGATTGATCCGCTGCTTTCATTCCAATTCCTGATTCGTGGTAACCTCGGCGCCCAGGGCCCGCTGAACAACGGAACGACCATCTGAGACAAGCCCAACATCCCCACAACGCTAAATCCCCAGAGGAAATGCTCGACGATGTACTCGTACACGTGAGCGCGGTCCGCCGCCCAGAAGGAGATGCGAGAGCCTTGAAGGAACCAGAGCACGGCATCATCGTCCGCAGCTTCAGGTTCCTCGTCGTCTGACATCAGGAACACGAGAAGCTTCCCGACGAAACCGGCGAGGATGACGGCCGATAGGAAGACTCCGATGGTTATGAGTGTTACGATCGCTAGGTGGGTGAGTCGGAGGTGATGCTCAATAACGGTGAGATCCATTCACCATTGACGACCCGAGAAGCTCACCTTCATTCGTCAACCAATGTGCCCACGTCGTCCGCCGGAAGTGATACTTATAAAGGCAATGATCACATTGGTAGAAGCTCTCCTTCTTCCGACTCACTTTCCGCCACTCGTTCAAACACCCTGCATAACCGAAAGAAGTCAATGACACCCTTTTCTCATGTGATGTGCACTTGCGGTTTGCGATGAATATGCATACGCACCAGTGTGAACAAACCGCATCGTCCCTTTACACTTGCAAGGACTAATGAGTCGGCCAAGATACGGCTCATCTGGTTCCGCTGGGCCCCCGTAACAAATGCGGCATATTCGATGTTCTTCTGGTACCGCCCCCGTTTCCGTGCTGTTCGTTTCTGGGTTGAGAGAGCCAGGTGCCGCAGTTGCTGTATCTCTATCACTAGTCTCGTCATGTGTAGGACCCACGTCCTCTGCCAGGGAGCCTGCATCTGGGGCGTCAGACCGTTCTGGTGGACGGGGTTCCTCTTCCTCGGTAAGACCGGTATCCGCTTCCGCGGACGAGCTTGCGAAACGGTGGGATAAACCGTCGTTTGCAACATGCAGTTCCACTGGCAGGATGGGCGTCGCCGTTCCTGCGGGTTCGTCCAGTGTAAGCTCTGCTTCCCTTGGAGACGCCGGTACGTCTGTGATGCCGACTTCGCCCATGGTGTTTCGGGGAGGGTACGCGAGGCAAGATACGCAGGTATCGCTAAACGAACTTTGGACAAATGCTCTTTGCCCCTCGCCCCAAAGGACTTCTTGGGGTCTGGGGGTGTCGTTATGACTGTCGAATATCCAAGTTCCGGGGTGTGCAATGCAGCGTGCGAAAGTGGTTCTGTCGCTGACGGCGCGAGGCTCGCATTGGCGGAAGGCCAGTGACAGTGTGACACATCAGCAACTTGGCACCGCGCGTCACGAGCGGCAAAACCTTAACAAACGGCCGTCGACGACGAAGCGGCACTTGCTCAAGAATCTCGACACACGAGTGACTGATTTGCTTCATCTCTTCCCGGCATCTCTGGCGTTGAGCTATACAGTAAGCTGGAACCATGACGGCCGCTCAGGCTCCCGACAACACAAACCCTTTCGATGCTTTGATCGACGCTAACGCCGCTGATGCTGTCTGTATCGTTGCATGCCGCTTGTTTTCGCGCACCACCTTGCTGACCGACACCAGGCCTTGATTTCCGCAGCGTACGAACAACACAGGACCAACCGCAATAAACGAAATGCAGACTTAATGCTCGATTCAACGTTTGAAGGCATGGTTCCAGATACTGTTCTGAGCGGGCTCTTGGCCAATCCTTCTGTCCCCGATGTGCGCAATGGCCTCAGCATTTGGGCAAGACCGCCAAAACACATATGCGGCCTGGTCAAGAACCTCCAGGATCGTCTGGCCGCCCTTGCACCCAGTCAGTTACCTCATCGCCGTTTGTAGCCTCTTTTGGGGCAGCTGGTCCCTAAACTTGGTTTTCAGACATCTGGATCGTGCCCGGCTCGTATCTCCACTTGACCGTGCTTGAGATCGCTCACTCAAGAACGCCCGAGGAGATCGCATCGCTGGTCGAGGTCTTGCGTCCGCACTTTGGCCGGATAAAAGATTGTTTGGCCGGCCAAAGTTCAAGACTTGTCCATCCGCAACTGAGCTTTGATGCGGGTGCCATTGCTCTAAGCTTTGTTCCTGATGTTTCTGCGTCGTACACCCATCATCACCTGCGAAGGGACGTTTCCGAAGCGGTTCGGAAGTCGCGAACGCCCCTCAAAGCCCGCTACGTGGTGCCAACGGCGCACATCACGGTAGCCCGCTTTGTGTCGATTAGCGATTTTGGTCGTGATGGCCAGCCGACGGATCTGGCCAGAGTGGCGAAATGGATCCGGACGATCGAGGAGATCAACCGGGAGCTGAAATCAGAGGTCTGGTCGCAACCAAGCTCGTCCTGGGAAATTGGCCCAGAGAGCCTGACAGCTTTCTTTGGGACAAACTGGTATGGGCACGCAGAGGGGTCTTTTAACTAAGCACTGCAGGCTGCTGGCCTTGTATGCATTATGATCAAACTTGCTGCTCGGAATAGCTGGCCTCAATCGGCGGTTCCATCATCCCTGCGTGCACTCCAATGATGAGAGCGCATATCGCGAACATGTAGAAAATCGTTCCGGTCGCTCCAGAAATGTCGAAAAACAGTAGCGAGGTGAAGCCAAAACCGGCCAGAGTTGAGTGGAGGTGACTTGGATAGGACTGCAAAAGGGAAGATTAGCCATTTTGCGAGAGGCATGAACGCAAAATGGCTCTGAGTTTCTCCTTACTTCCGCCCGGAAGTGTGGTTGGTTGGTTCGCCGGCATGGAGGAAATGAATTTGCATCCCGCTGCAAAAAGACCATGTCAAGCGTCATCACCGACTGATCACTCCCGAACTTCCCACCAACCGAGGATGTACAGTAAAAGATGGTGAGAAGAAGCCAAAAGTTGGTAAGGAGGAGGTACGCCGTCACAATGGCCACAAGAATGATGTAGTTGTTCTGAAAGGAGACGTCATGAATTGCGCGTCATATATGATAGAACGAGAACTGTTGGGGCTTCCATATCTATTTCCCGCCGCCAGAAGACTCGAGAGTCAAGAGAGGCTCGAAACTGAGATCATGACGCGTTTTTGACGCAAGACGCGATGTCTCCCGCCGGAATCATGTCGTTCCAAAACAGAACATTCCATAAACCCGAAATCCGCACTCGATCCTTGACATGGACGGCGATGCAGGCGGATGGACGCAGTGGCGGAATGTCCACCGAGCATTCGAGGGCCAAGGCCTTGAAGAGACCCTGAATGAAGCATCCTCTCCCCGCGGACCCTAGGCCTGCTGGCTGCGTAGGATGATCCTTCCTGCTGCAAGTTACATATGAGCCTATGGGCTAGTGAAGCGGGAGTTCTTTCTCTGTTTCCGGGTTATTTGTTTGTTCAACTTTGTACCGGGGTGTTTGTTCCATTCATGATAGTGAATGACAAGAGCCATTATCCGGCGTGCGCAGCGAGTCGGGGCTTTGCCGTTGCCCATGTGCATGTGTATAGATTAATAGGTGTCGCCGCCGACGTGCCCGCACCTCCTCAGCCGCGCGTTCCTTCGAGCTCTCCCCACATTCTCTGATGTCATCATCTCCTGTTTGAGCGCATATAAAAAGAAAGGGAGACCAGCGTTCGTCCTTTTTCCAAGGACAAAGCCCGTACACACCTACGTTCGTATACACAACTGCATCCAAAATGCCACTCCATCAGAGGAACAAGGATGTCCCTAAAGAACACAAAAGGAACCGGTAAGCACATCGAGAAACGGAGCGACATCGATCGGGGCGGGAATAGAAATCTAGCTGGGCACAACTACCCCCTGAATACGAAATGACGCACATCTGCTCACGTTTTTACTTCATTGTAGGCCTGGAGACTGGATGCCAACGGACCATCGCATCCATCGAGAATGGTTGGGTTCGGTGGTAGACCATGTGGACAAGAACCCTAAGCCACTCCATCCGGTCATCCAAGAATTCAAAGATCTAATCGACAACAACACCCGACTCTACCTCCTATTCAGCGGCATGTTCGAAGAGATCCCGAAAAAGCAGCCTTACACAATGGATCCCAGCGGCAATCACAAGCAAGTTCGAGATTACGAACACATGTTGCAGGTGCTTAACCACATCTTGACGGTCGCGCCGCACTGGAATGACAAGTCCCAAAAAGTCGGGATGGTCGGGACGCCCATTGGCGCCGTGCTGGACTGGCCTATGGGCACACCGAGCGGCTACGCGGCGTTCTTGGACCCGGAGGTGAACAAGATGCTAAAGAAGGTGTTGAACGAGTGGGGAAGATATCTCACGACGGAGGAGAGCGCGGCCGTGCTTGGCAACGACCAGTTCGGGTGGTTCAGCGAGCACGGCAAGCACGATCTGGAGATCACGGCCAACCTGGGCGAGGAGAACGCCGCGGCGCGCAAAAAGTTCGAAGACCTCTTCGTGTGCGACCCATCTGCCAAGTACCATGGGTATAAGTCGTGGGACGATTTCTTTACCCGTCAATTCCGCGAAGGCGCCCGGCCCGTCGCGTCGCCCGACGACGACGACGTGATCGCCAATGCCTGCGAAAGCAAGCCCTACAACGTCTCCAAAAACGTGCAGGCCCGCGATCGGTTCTGGAACAAGGGTCAGCAGTACTCGGTGCTGGATATGCTTGCCCACGACCCCTTGGCTGAGAAGTTCATCGGCGGCACAGTGTACCAAGCTTTCCTCAGCGCGTTGAGCTACCATCGCTGGCATGCGCCTGTTTCCGGTACCGTTAAGAAAGCGTACGTTGTTGACGGCACGTATTATTCCGAGCCCCTATTCGAAGGCGTTGGGGACCCGAACGGCGATCACCACGATATCGACATTAGGCAAGAGAGCATATCTCAGGGCTACCTGACGGCAACGGCCACGCGCGCCTTGATCTTCATCGAGTCCGACAACCCCCGCATCGGGCTCATGGCTTTCCTCGGCATTGGGATGGTGGAAGTCAGTACGTGCGAGATTACGGTGAAGGAAGGGCAGAAAGTGAAGAAGGGAGATCAGATCGGAATGTTCCACTTCGGTGGGTCGACCCACTGCTTGATGTTCCGCAAGGGCGTCGAGCTGGAAGGGTTCCCCGAAATCGGGAAGATTGAGCACAACTTCCCTGTGCGTGCGGAGGTTTGCCGCGTTGTCAAGAAGTAAAGCGGCGTTTTGGATGTAACCATGTGTACATAGTTTTGCCATTCCAAAAATATATTAGCACTCTCCGCACCCAAATCTGTCGTGATTCGCTACACTGATACTTTCGAATGAAACGGTGGCTTACAAGCCTCCAAATTCACGTCCTAACGTTGAGGGATGGAGAGGCGCTTACAAACGCCACATACATACATTGAATACCTAACGCTAAAGGGCGGCACCTCAAATTTGCGCTGGTGGAGCGCCTGAGGACGTTTCGATACGAGCCTCGGTAGCAGACCATGGCCAGGGGTCCGAGCACGCCTGCACCGCATGCCTTAGGCTCAGCTGGCGCCAAAGCCTCTCCGAAAATATCTCAAGGCTCCTCGTCGCTATCATCATCGTCCAGATCCGAACTTATGGAAACTTCCGAGATGTCATCAGAAGACCCCCTCACAGCGCCCAGTGCCAGCTTCAATTCCGGTCGTCCAGATGACTGTGGCTGTCTACTCGTCGAAGTCAGACTCGCGGGAGATGCCCTATCCTTCAGCAAATCCACATCGTGTTCCAGAAACCTCTCGATACTGCGCATTTCGGCGTCGATGTCCAGCGAAGGCAGGCTTTGCGACTCTTGAGACTTTGGCAGTGCCATCTGCAATCAAAGACGAGGGAAATATCATTAAACCCAACGACTGGCTCCTCCATAACAAGCGTTAAATGGTTACTAACCAGGTCGAGACGGCCCACATGATCTTCGCCCTGCGAGGAGCGATCGGCGTACAGATAGCTGAGAGAGTCTTGCCGCGTGATAGACGGTAACACCATGTCCACCCTCGTGGAAACATTGGACATTGCGCTCACAGCAGGACGCGTAGTGGGTGGCCGGTCGGGAGTCTGTCCGATGTTCTGTGCGGACCGCGGCGTGGTCACAATGGCAGGCCGATGGGAAGCTTGCACCGTGCGCTAAAGAGTTTACAATAGGTACGTATGAGTATCACTTTAGATTCACTCCTTTCGCTGAATAAAAGGGCATGAGCTGCAATCACCTTCGGCGTCCGATACGTCTTACTCGGACGCGGAGACGCGAGCGCACGCATCGAATTGAGGGCGAGGTCTTTCGGAATCTCAAACGTTGGAACATCGGCTTCCTGGCTGTCCGGGAAGTCAAAGATGCTTTTGGAGCTTGAAGGCTGGTGCTTGCGTTGGGCGGAGAAGCGTGCATTTGGTGTTGTCGGCATTTTATGTGGAGCAAGGTGTGGTTTGCCGGGTGTAAGCACGGAGATTTGGCGCTTCGGACTTGCCAGCGCAGTTGCATTGGGCGGAATGACGACGCTCGAGACGGATGGTGGTTTTAGGAGAGACGCATTGCTTTTGTTGGGAGTGAATGGGGTTTGCACGGAGACGGCCGCAGGGCGCGTATCCTTCGACTGCGAGATCGCGATCGATCTTGGCGTGTTCGTTGACTGGGAAACGGCAGGCGTGCTCAGGGTGGTCGTCACTGGGGGTGATTGCTTTCTCTCCCCATCGTTAGAGCTGACCGCGGGCGGTTCCATACAGGAGAGAAGGGTCTCGTGCAAACTCCGGAGGCCCGCCGATGCCGTCCACATCGGATGATGGGGAGACTCATCTGTTTCCGTTTTCGTTGATTCGTCGGAACCTTCGGGAACTTCAATCTGAACACGGGACACGCTGTGAATTGATCTATCTCCACCCTCCATTTGTTCAGACACCATTTGAGCGAGGGTTGTGCTGCGCGGTAGATCGGTCGAAGCGGTCCCAGTTGTGAGAGATACCTTCCGTGCTTCCGTAGTTATGGAGACCGTTGACCGTCCACTTCTCAGTTTGCGCGTTGTTTCGGTGGGGATCTCCAGAACCGCCACGGGTTCAGCCAGGATACCCTGAGAGGATGCTTTTGCGCTCGATGGACCTGCACATGGGTCGGCCACATCTTTATTGAAGGCTGTAGAGCGCGGCACAGCATTTGTAGTAGTGCCAGGAGAGTCATTTGCTGATAGCCCTGGGATCGCAGTGGTCACGGGACGACCACTCTGCGGCGTGCTTGTCGCTTCAACGGAAACCTCGGCAACCGCTAGGGCTTCAACTTGTCCATCAACAGAAGAAGCTGTAACGCTGGACGATTTCTCCAACTGTTCGGTCACCGGTTGAATGACCGCTGCCTCGCGCTCCACTCCAACTGTAGTTGCGTCCGTCGTGCCGTTTACTGATATTTTCGGCGATTCCATAGTTATCAACACCGCGGAGCTTCCACGTCTGGTCGTTCGCGACGTGCTATATGAAGCAAATCCATTTTTCGCTTCGCCTGGGTCCAAAATGATGTCAGCTGCAGGCGGCGTCCTTGAACGCCGAGTCGTTGGAGTAACCGACCGCCGGCGTTGAGACCCCAAAGTGCCAGGCTCCCTTTTCGGGCTTTTGCTCGACCCAATGAACGGTTGCAACGCCGCCAGGATGGACGTCCGAGGCGCTCGTTGACGCTTTCGAAGGCCGTGGAAAGCCGGTTCTGACTTTACAGCTACGAATGGCGCAAATGTATCGGATGATGAGGCCTCGTGCATTGGCGGTGTGCTTTTCCGGCCTGGGCGCTCAGACTTTGCTGGTGTTTTCTGCCGTGTTTGGGAATGTCTTGCCATCGTCGTGCCATTACCGTCCATGTTGGCTCTCCCTGCCCGAGCGACGTGGGAGAACGGGATGTCGGTTGAAGATTTCGTCAGCTTGCTCTGCGGGGGCGGGATGACTTCCACCCTGGAAGACGACTGCCGCGCAAGACGTGACCGTTTTGGAGCATTTGCCGCCGCCACTCCATCCTGTTCCAGCACATCTCCAGTCGGCTCAGCATGAAGTGCCGACGCAGAGGCGTCATTTATCGCACGCGCTCCCATATCTGACCGTGAACGTGAGATCGGACGATCGGGCTTCAGTTGCCGCCCTGCAGACGTCGCAGTCCGTTCAAGTGATGATGGCGGTCGTATGAGGGGAACTGTAACGAATTTTGGCGATTGCCGTCCTGCAGAAGTCGTAGTCTTTTCAAGTGATGGGGGCAGTCGTATGCTGGGAACTCCAACGAGCTTCGGCGATTGTCGCTCTGCAGAAGTGGGAACCTTTTTGAGTGATGGCGGCGGTCGGATACTGGGAACTTCGACGAGCTTTAAGGGGCCTGGCACCGCCGTAACACGCGCATTCTTTGCGGCTGCAGATGATGTGCCGCGTGTTGACCCTGTTTCGTCCGACTCCGATATCAGCTGCGGGGACTCAGAGCCGCTCAGCAGTTCGTCCATGTCAAACTCAGATCCCAGGGAGTGCCGCGGCTGGTCTTCGAGGGACCTCCGCGGGTTTGAAGGTCGCGGAGCTGACTCACACGGTTGAAATGTGAGCGCTACACTCTGGTCTGACGCATCCCGCTCTTGTGAGAAGTATAACGTTAGATCTCCTGCACTTTCGCCTCTGCTCCTAAACTTTCGAAGCCTCGATGGTGCTGGTGACTTGGTAATTCCGAGGAGCAGGCTGTCACTAAGCCTGGGCCTTTTGTCCTTTCGTCCATTCAAATCTTCCATCTTAAGGTCGGGAGTTCTCGGCCTTTTCAATGTTTTCACCGCCGGACGTCCTGTGCCAGCTGCCTGTGTTCGTCGCAGACTGGCTGATGGCGATTGGTCCGTTCGCATGAACAGAAGCTCTAGTCCCGTCTTTCTCGGACTTCTCGACAGAGGAATGCCTGGCAGTGCCAAATCCATCAGCGGCGTTTTGATCCGCCGCAGGATGGCCGGTGTTCGGCGAGACTTCGACAGGCTTCTGATGGACACGAGTGTTGGCGTTGCCTCGACGCCTGGCTTCGTGTCCCTCTCTAATTCACGTCGTTTGCGTTTACGGCCGTCCGCACCGTTTCGAAGCTGTGTGGTATGGGCAGGATCGTCCGCCACGATGACGATCGAGTTTCTGCCATTTGTCGATGAACTCTCAACAACGACGGGCATATCATCTTCATCCATGCGCTGACTGTGCTGACTGCTCTTCGCCGACAGCGGTGCCGCGTAGGTTTTCCACGCCCCACCTCCCGCTGCAGAGCTCTTCACCCGATTCCCCATCACCGCGGCAGAAGAGTCCGCCGGTAGTCTATGCCCTATTTTCGACCGAATAGCTATGAAACTGTCCTGCTTGTGAATGGCCATGCTATCCCTGCGTTCGTCCAATAATGCCTCCTTCGTGCAGCGTAGCGGACTACAGGTACGCAGTAGCGCTAAGCGACTGGGAGCCTGCTCCCTCCAACCGAACAATCGTGTCCCACTCGAGTTCGAAGGTACGCCCGTAGAAAAATCTCCGCGCAGACTGCTTCCACCACTATTTCCTGCCTCTTTCCACCCTGAAATCGTCACTCTCATGCAGCGTCAGCCAAGGCGGTACTCAGTGCCGAAAAGTCGAATAACACAGGTATTCTAATGCAAAGGCAAGACGGCCCTTGAGGTCACAAACATGCCAGCGTTGGGGAAACGCACGTTGCTGATATATATTGTATAAAGAGCCTCCGGGGCCCGTAAATGCGTCTCGATCTCAAGCTGGGTTGGGAGTTTTGCTGGAAGTTTTGTCCTTGGGAACTTCAATTTCGGACTCGCTTCTTGACGAATGCTTGCCGATATGCTGAACCCGCAAAACGCGTGGGGAGAACCGTCACAGGCTCCCATCTTTCCCCGCCGGCCTCTCTGAACATCTTTCCAGCGTCGATATCGTACGTGTTGACGCAATATACGACGGACAATAAACGTCCGGTCATCTGCATGGATCTATTCGTCATGCATGCTAAAAAGGGGGACCAAAACTTCTATTGAACTTCGTCGATATGGGTACGGGCAGTTTTCACCGAGCCAAAGCGGACAGCACAAAAATCGCTTCCCAGTCTTGATTTTGACGTCTACGCATGCGAGACGCATAGCTACGATGATCGAAGAAACGTGGAGTATCCGGCGCAGTTATGCACCCCTTTTCCACAAACGGCGTAAACGTCGCGCTTGTCCAAGTTGATGCTACGTATATATATGCGCCTACGTTGTTGCGAAGCAGATAAGTCACACGCCCGCGGATAAGTATCATACGAGCCCGTTGATTACCAATTGACCGTCACCCTCCGTCCTCTCAGAACGGCCTGCTCTTGCTCAAAACCAACCAACCAACCGTTCATCGTGCAGCCTCTACGACCACGGTGAGTGTCTCCTGAGACGTCAGTCAACCAGTTCTCAGGGAAAGGAGCTTCACTAGGTTTCCATAGCCATCGACAACTCACGCTTTCTGTCCAGAACTGTTTAGTGGCTGGCTTTTTCGAAACATAAAGCCTCCCATCGACGACGACGAACACCGATCCCGTCAAAGACATCCATTTTCCCACAACCCTTCACTCAAACACCCGAATTACGCAAAAACCCTACCAAATAAGCATGGGCCAACTCTTCTCCCGCATGTTCTCCCGCCTCTGGGGCTCCAAAGAAGTTCGCATCCTCATCCTGGGACTCGACGGCGCCGGCAAAACGACCATCCTCTACCGCTTCCAAATCGGCGAGGTCGTCACCACGATACCCACCGTCGGCTTCAACGTCGAAACAGTCACCTACAAAAACATTAAGTTCCAAGTCTGGGATCTCGGCGGGCAAACCTCCATCCGGCCCTACTGGCGATGCTACTACGCAAACACAGACGCAATCATCTACGTCGTCGACTCGCAAGATAGAGAGCGGGTGGGGACGAGTAAAGAGGAGCTGGTGGCCATGCTGGAGGAGGAGGAGTTGAAGGATGCCGCGCTACTAGTGTTGGCAAACAAGCAGGATATGGAGGGGGCTATGTCGCATACGGAGGTTAGCGAGGCGCTGGGGTTGACAAGTCTGAGAAACAGGACGTGGACGATATACAAATGTAGTGCAAAGACAGGGGAGGGATTGACGGATGCGCTGGATTGGTTGGTCAATGTCGTTTCGGGCGGGGCAAAGTAATATCTTAAGCGATGTAGGATGCAGCCTCTACTAGTCGCTTAGTCGCTAGAAGCCTTCAGCAAATCCGCTTTGGTCGCATTAGGGAGCTAGTTCTTCCTTGACCAGTCCCGCTAGACATCGTCCGAATTGTAACATATAATCGTGCTGTATCTCGTTGGTTGGGAGTTCTCCTTTGGCAAGGGGCATATGCGTTCGAAGGGCGGTTCGGGGATGAATGAATGAATACGAAATTGAAGTGTCAGAGAGCTGCTATGGTACTACATGTCCCTAGATTCTATGCTATGCAGGGACGATACGAATCGGTGGGGGATTTCTACTCCTTCTTCGGCTCAACAGTGAAATGAACCTCCGAGCAGTTCCGCAACTTCTCCGCCGCCTGCTCAGATGTCAAGTCCCGCTGCGGCTCGCCCATCATCTCGAAACCCACCAGAAACTTCTTGACCGTAGCGCTGCGCAAAAGCGGCGGGTACATGTGCAAATGCAAGTGGCAGTCCCCATCATGGTCCTTTCCATCGGTAGGCGCGCCATGCACTCCCATTGAGTACGGGAAAGACGTCTGAAAGAGGTTGTCGTACCTGCAGGTGATTCGGCGGAGGATGTCAGCGAGGTCGGTGCGTTGGGAAGCAGACAATTGGGGCAGGGCAGTGACGTGCTGCTTAGCGACAATCATGGTTTCGAACGGCCAGACCGCCCAGAACGGAACGACGCAAGCGAAAGAGTCATTCTCGCATACGAGGCGAGACCTATCCGAACTCTCCAACGTCGCGTAATCACACAACAAGCACCGGTCCGCGCCCTTCTTCTCACGGTACCGCCTCATTGCCCTAATCTCCTTGCTGGGCTCCTCCGGCACACCCTCCAACGCCCAGATCTGCCCATGCGGGTGCGGGTTAGAGCATCCCATCGCCGCGCCCTTGTTCTCAAAAATCTGCACGTAGTTGATGTATGGCACTTTGGCCAGCTCGGTATACTCGGCGGCCCATGCGTCGATGATGGGCGTGATCTCCGCGACGGTCATTTGCGCCATGGTTAGGTCGTGGCGCGGATGGAAGCAGATCACTTTGCATTGGCCGCGGACGCCTTCGGCTTTCAGGAGGTCGTTTGCGAGGGATGTGACTGACGATGACTGCTTGTCGTCGGATGTCGGTACGGGGCTTGACTCGTGGAAAGATGGCTGGTGTTGGTTTACGGCAGGGAAGTCGTTGGGGAAGATGAAGGTGCGGACATAGTTGGGATTCTGCAGCTCTCCGCCTACCCTGGAGTTCCCGGGGCTGACCAACGTTAGGAGTTAGTAGATGGACCATATCAAGGCCATACCGTAAACTTTAACCTCTCACCAAAGGTAGCACTTCGGATCATACTCCGGTCGCTTTTCCACCGTATTCGACTCCTGCTGACCTGTGGCAACACTAACAGAGTCAATTCCCGTCCGACGCCCTTAGCTCTCGAGGCAACTCTTACCTTGCCATGGTCGCTTCGCACGGTGCGGTGAACACAGAACCCACGACTCCGTCAACGGGTTCCATCTGGAAGACAAGTTGCGGATGAGAAAGTGCTCGTTCGAAAGATAGACATGCCCGGAACGGCATTCGCGAGCGAATCACGCACCTTCGATGAGAATGTTCCGTGAAATCAAAAACTTGCGACATTTGTTCGCAGTATGCTGTAACACGCTTCGAGGTCTCACTGAACGGCTTTAGGCGATGGGAGGTGGGTTGCCGCTACTTATATACGGCGTAATGTGGGACCGATGCACTGTAGGACATGGGGACATGAGGGTTTTTGTGTTGTGGACGACGGGCGGAAATGGCGTTCCCAATTGGATTATGGCATCCAAATTGGATCGGGATTCGGGGCGAAGGTTTGTGTTGTTGATCGATGGACGTCCCACTACTGTACAGTACTAGGCCTGACGCGTTCCGTCCACAAAAATGGTGGCGGCTCTCGACAGCTCTTCCGAAGACCAATGGGGGTGGGTATATTGACAGGATAAACAAAATAAGGCAGCTAAACTGCTTAACAAGAGGATCGAGGATCTCTGACACTCAAATCAAGTTCAAGGAAATGAAACAGTGTTGAGGTTGTCCAGGTCATGGAAGTTGGACTTGCAAATCTTGAGGACCGTCAGAGAGAAACAAATCAACAACAGATACAAAATCGTCGGAAGCCAGCACAGCATCGGCGTCGGTTCCGAAGGCATTCGGCTTCTCGTCACCCGGGAGCGTCATTCCCAACGACGTGAACGGAAAATCTGAGCCGCGGAATGGGCTGTCTTCCTTGTTGTCAGCGAGACCATTGAACTGTTGCTCTGACGGCGGGCCCGCTGATCCAGAAAAGACATGTTGCGTCGGAGCGCTGACAAAGTCCGAGACGACGTTTGGCGTTGTGGGGTCGAGTAGCGGCGGGAAGGGGGGTGCCGCGCTCAGTGTAGGCATTTGCGAAGGCACCACTGACGGACGGATGTGCGGAATGTTATGAACAGGGAAGGGAGAGTGTGCTGGGTGAACCGGGTACAGGTGAGAGGGTAGATACACGGACAGGTCGTCCGCGAGCGCGGAAGAGTAGTGGTCAAATGGTCCAGCGCTCGATGGATTGTGGCCTGGTGCGTAGACGCTGTGGAGGCCGGGGTCATTGTCGTCCCAAGGTACCAACGTTGCCGAAGACGACCCTGCAGCCATCAAAAGTTGGCGAGTGTCGAAATGGTGTGGGTCAAAGGAAAATGCCCCAGGATCTTTGCCTGGGGACCACGGCTCAGCCGAAATAGGGAGGGCGACAGGCAAAGTCGGTAACTTAGGCTTGAGGGAGTTGAGCGCGGCGTCGCTGTCGTCTGACATAGGCGCCTGCTTGGCTCTGTTCGCCCCGCCCGCCGTGCTGCTCTTCCCCCGATCCAGCTTTTCTTTTTTGACGCGACTGCGACGCTGTTTGTTTTTGCGAGGGGCATACTTGTAGTCCGGATGGAGCAGGCGATGTCGACGGCGCTCCTCTTCCGCCCGCGACTTATATATCCGCTTGATCTCCTCAGGCTCATTTTTCCACCACTCGGCAACGATCTTGCTGATATTGTTGTTCGTGATGCCTGCGTGCTGCTTCAGCACGATAGGATGCTTTTCTTGACGGTAGAGTATCCACGAGTTTGCCGGCCGTTTCGCATCTTTGGTCGTTGTCGCAGCGGCATTCTTCCCTGCGGACTTGCTTTCGCCCCAGTGGTCGCGCTCGTCCCCACCTTCATCGCCCGTAGAACCCACCCGCGTTGAGAGACTGCTCAGGTCTGAATCGGACGTCCGTAGCCGCAGCTTCCTAAGCTTGCCAGGCGCTCCCGGAGAATACATCGAGGGATTTGCCGCAGTTGCTTTCGTGTTTCGTGTTGGAGGGGCCAAAATTGTATTTTGAGCCAGCCCTCTCGTCGGATCGATGGCATGGTGGCTACTCAATATATCGGACGGGCCATTTTGGGGGCCAGCAGATGTCTGATAATTGTAACCAGGATTACCGTTGGTATATGCCCGATGCAACGGGTCGATTCCTATGGGCTGGGCTTCGTGAAATGAAATGTCAGATATTTCCCTGTCCCGCGATGGTTGCCAATTGCCGAGAGCAAGGTACTGACGATATTCATATGCACCGGAGTTCCAGACGGTATTGGCCGTCAAATGTTGAGGACGTGTTTGGGCCGGATGCGGATCAGCTTCATTGTCGCCAGTCGTAGCTGACGCCGACGAAAGATCCATCAACCCGAAAGGGTCGGCATGAACCAGCGATCTGCCTTCACAAGCGTGCATGAACGGGGTTCCATACTGACTAGCGGTCGCATGTGGGTCCATGTATCCGTACATCTGGAGAGGCATTGGTTGACCTGGCGGGTATGCATACCCGCCGACATGCGGTGGGCCCGAGCAGCCCACTTGCGAGTATGAGTTTGCGACATGGTCGGATGCATTCGGTCGGCCGCGTGGAGACGGCGGCAACTCGTAGTTGTCGGACGAGGGTGGCCATGTGGGGTTATTCATTTGTTGATAAAAGAGGTCGCTTTCAGCCATACTGGTAATGCTTCTTCGAATATCACGCGCAGGCGTCGACTTGGAAACGAGGCTTCGAAGATCGGCAGTGTTTACGATTGGAAAATCGCCAGTTGTTTACAATGATCAGCAAAAACCGGGGCCAACAAGGTATACGCAGACGAATGCGAGATGAAAGAGCAAAACGTCGTTCAGGCGTATGGTTCTGTGGCTCCGAGGCTCGAGTTGAGAAAACCGGTTTCCAGATATGTCAAGGTGGTCGACAGCGGGAGCCTGGTATAGGAGCCAGGTGTGCCCAAGTGTGAGCATGAATCGACTTGGCAGTGGCTCTGCTAAACGGGTCTAGGGGTGGTAAGTGAAAATCACCTGATGGAGACGATATAGGCGTAAAATCGGAGAGTGAATGTGTAGAAAGCCCAATGGAAGGGTCTAGACTCTCTGCGGTGTACAATCACCTCGCAAAAAGCCGTGCCCCCCTCTGATTGAAATCAACATTGGTCACTCACGTGAATTTGGCGTCGCGGCAGTCGCTGATTTATTTCACGGGGGCACAGCCTTTTGCGAGATGACTGTACAATACTCGTAGACCGTATAGTAGGGGCGCGTTTTAAAGCATGGAAGATCGCGAATACCGGCCCGGCTTGTTCTTCGTTCCCGGCGGATTTTGGATATCGGAGTGAGGCGACGGTGAAAGAAGGAGGAAGAAAGGCGCCGTGAGGAGAGTGCACGGAGTCTCGCCAATACCGAATGTGGAAGGCGGCCGAGCCACCGGCTGAGCAAATATAACGAGCTCCCAGTGTGAATCGAATGAATGGCACGCTGTCGTATGCTTATGTCAGCTGACCCGACTGCGCGAACTATGACGCAATCTCGCAACTGGAGAACACGGAATGCTTGACTCTGCCGATGTGCACATTCATTCGACTTTGAAAAGCCAAAGTCTCGCTAGCTCAGACTTGAACTCATCCTGTGATCTCAAACGGAGAATAGAAGTGAAAATGGCAGCCACTGTCGAACACACCCCTGCAACAGGAACCATGGTTGCTCCCGCAGAGGATGGGCAGCATCAGCCAAGTGCCGCCAATGCGCAGGCGCCGGCAGAATTCCAAGTCCCCACGCGGTCCATTCTCACTTCAGAGGACCTCGAAAAATTCCAAACCAGCGATACCCATAAAGAAATCCTCGGATTTATTGAGAGTCTGAGCGCCTCTGTACGAGGCAACACGCTGAGGACTGAGGTGCCAAAGAGCGAGGTGGGTTCTGGAACTCGAGATTTGGGAGAGTAGGCGTTGTTCGTTCCGGGCGCGACATGTGATCTCACGATGGACGACATTGTGCAAGAGTAGACCGTGAAGAAGCTTATATCGATACTGGATCGCCTGGATGAGTGGGTGAAAGAGATCCCGCCTGCGGAGAATGCAAAGTCCCGTTTCGGAAATCCTGCTTTCAAGACGTGGTATGACCGTCTGTCAACGGTGTGTTTGCACTGCCTTTGCTGCCAGATTTTCAGATGAGCAGGGCGCTTACAGTTGCCGTCCTTTAGCACGCGGAGTCACTGCTTGAAGAGATTGTGCCAGCACCAGCAGCGCCAGAACTGGCAACGTACCTCCTCAACAGTTTCGGAAACCGGAAGCGCATCGATTATGGGACAGGACACGAGGCTCATTTCATCGCCTTATTGTAAGTATCTTTGAGCGTCCGAAACAAGTGCAGACCATATGTGAAACTTACCTGGGTTGTTGCAGATTATGTTTGAAGAAGCTGGGCTTCGTCACCGAGCAAGATTATCCTGCATTAGTACTGTCGGTGTTTTGGAGGTGCGAGATTTCCCAGCGCTATCGACATTGCAACACCCGAGCTGAACCAGTTCCATAGGTACATTGGCGTCATGCGGAGTCTACAGTTCGCCTACTGGCTGGAACCAGCAGGATCACATGGTGTTTGGGGTCTTGATGACTACCATTTTTTGCCCTTTTTGTTTGGCGCTTCTCAACTCTCAGGTGAGACTCCTGCTGCAATTTCACCTCCCGAAACAACGAACCGCTCTGACATTGGCTACACTAGACCACAAGCATATCCGCCCGAAAGCCATCCACGACCCTGACATCGTCGAAGAATTCTCCAAAGACTACATGTACCTGGCCTGCATTAAATTCATCAACTCAGTAAAGACAGCCTCACTGCGTTGGCACTCCCCCATGCTGGACGACATCAGCGGGGTCAAGCAATGGTCCAAAATCGCGTCGGGAATGATGAAAATGTACGATGCGGAGGTACTGCACAAGTTGCCCATCATGCAGCATTTCCTGTTCGGATCCCTGGTGGCTTTCGAGGGAAGCGCGCAACTGCATTCACATGAGGGCCATGAGGATGGGCACGGACACTCCGTGGGTGGGAAGAGCATGATGGATGATGATGACCCGTGTGGGGACGGCCATATCCATGCGTTTGGCCAGGAATTTCCGCAATGTTGTGGGATTAGGATCCCGAGTGCTATTGCGGCTAGGGCGGCGGGTGGAGCGGAGGATGGTCCTTCACAGCCAGCTAGACCACGGCCGTTACCCTTCGATTAGAGCATCCAGGCCAGGAGCTCAGATCGCGACATGCGCTCAGCTTGATGAGATGCGATTTTTGATATTGTGACTTCTAGTGTACATATAATGCGTCACAGGCATTTGAAGCCGGTCATAATTTTGAATGAACATTTGCCGTCGAATTTGAAGCGGCGGTCCGCTTCGCAATCGTTTCGATGAGTTCTGCTGAGGCCTGCCAAATCACATCAAAATGAGTTTTGAACTACGGTCTCCAGGTCCCGCCTTAAGCGACTCACCTTAGCCCCCTCATCTAATCTCTCCCTAAAGAACTCCTTCGTCCCCTCGAACCGTGCCCGATATCCCTCGAAATCCCCCTGCTCAATGCACTCGACCCACCCTCTCGTCGCCGTATAGAACTCGCAATCATCCGCTCTAATCGATTTCTCGCGGAGGGCCGCGACGATGCTGTCTTCTAGTAGCAGAGGCGTGCGGAAGAGGTACTCGGTGCTGCCTAGGAGCATGCGGAAAGGCGGGGTTTGGCATATGAGGTGGGCGTATGGACTGGGGGAAGTTGAAGGCGGGTTGGTTGGATATGCAACATCAATATGTGCAGCTGAGCGATGCTCGATTGCGGCTTACTTTATACCGAGTTTCCACCAACAATCGACCACCGCAAGCAGTGAGAGGTGCGAATTCGGCTTCCAATCATGTCTCGGGATGGCGGAGAGCGCAAACTTATCCATGACATCGTCAGACAATAGCATGCTGCTTTGGCCCTTCGTGGTAGTCGTCGCAGATTTGCCAAACACAAACTCGGATGCCTGTGAGGGTCAAAGGAGAAGCGATGAGGGGTCGAACGGTCTCCAGGGCCTTGAATGCATACTTACAGCAGCAATGCGATTCCTAAACGCTTGGTCGTCTTCTTGGATCATCATCTTGAAAAGTTCAGAGACCGATTGTGCGTACTGGCGGACTTGCGCTTTTGCGCTGGGGTTGAGAAGCGCCAGACCTGTGAGAAGGGGTTAATCAACGGGATAATGAGCGTCCCACAGACAATCATTGCCCAATATTACGAAGATGTGTACCTGCATAAACATGCCATTTATTACTGTAAATCCGCAGCATCATGAGGGTTTTGACGTTCTCCAGGCCGCCAACATAAGATGGGTTCTCCCACTAGAGCATCATATATGTCAAGAATGAGTCAGATTGTCGGAAAAGATTTACATACAAAAGGAAGTGTTACATTACAGGATATACGGCCGCTGCTTTCCAAGCTGTTCCCATACTGCCAACAATAGGACGTGCGTTCAAATAGGTGACTATGCATCGCCATATCGTTACGCCAATGTGCGCCGATAGAAGCTAGTGACATAGGGTCCATCCGACCAGTGCTTCAAGCTCACCTGAGAAACGCTAAATGCGTCGCTACTTGAGTATCGGCAGTGATACGATCTGAGATTGCCGGACCCAATTCGCTCAGCAATGCACCTAGAAACCCTCAAGTTCAAACGACTGAAACTACCATGCTCCTGGTAAGACAAATATACGATCTTGGAGTTCAAAGCTTCCAGTATCCGAACCGTAAGCCGAAAGGCCTCGTCGTTGGATCGGTGCCGCATGACAACCAGCGGTTGTCCCGCCGGATTGACACCAGGGCCATGGAGAGAGTGGCATGTTACGATGTGGACATCCTGCGGGACGTGCTTCTCGAATGCCCGGATCTCAGGGTCTTTCACGGATGTCTGCAAGGTTTAACGTCAAAGCGTGGTTTAGTTTTCCGAACCCTGCCTCGGATTTGGATCGAATGTCTGAACGAACCTGTCCGCACACAACGGCGCCTATCTTCGTTGCTAAAAGCGATCGTGGGAGTATGATGAGTATGCGTTTCGCGAAAATGTGTCTTTCAGATGTTTGATACCTGGTGCATAGGCCGCCACCACCTTGTCCACGTTAGCCGCTTCCACACAATACATGATGTAGTCACTTCGACGTGCGACGGCAAATCCGTCAGGAAGAACGTTGATGCCGGTGCCTGCGATGGAATCCAGCTTCTTATTGCAATCGCTCAAATAAAACCAAGATGGGAGCGCCAAACCTTGCAGCTCGTCTTTCAATGCCTGGTATTTGGTGGGGATGTCGCAAACATTCACCCTAGGGAGCGGACCGTCATTTCCTCTTGTCCCAGGCACTCCCACACCAAGTCTCCTGCAAATACCGCTTCCAGCCCGCCCTTGCGAATGCTTTCGCATAAACACGGCCCATATCACCTATAGACCATAACTGTCCCGTGAGTGCTTTTTCGCGGCAGGATCACACAACGAACTATTGTGCACCCACCCATTCCTATGACACCCAACTCTACGACATCCTTCTCGTTGTACCCTACCATCGCCGACACAGTTGTTGAAGTCCACCCAAGAAGTCGTCTGTCGTCGCCGGAAATCACAGGAGCAGCGAACCAAACGGTGTCTGAACCTTTCGGCTTTCGTCCCAACAGTTGCAATGCGATGTAGAAATAGCTTCTGTCGAAACGTCAACTTACCGGAAGATTTCAGGGTCGTTGGGTGGTGACCTGGGTGGTGACGGCCGGTGACCGTGTCCGAAAAGAGGCCCGCATCATCGCAGTCATCACATGGAAGAGATGGGGACCAACGGAAAAGCGCGGGATGCTAAAGTCACCGCCCCCCCGGAGGTGACGAGCGCATATCAAATGGGCCGCGCTCCTGCCCTGCGCCCGCCTCTCACTTTCCCTGCTGAGCCAAATCCGAAACCGTGTTCTAAAGTTGCAAACAAAATTTTGCTATATAAGGGAGAACCTTCGAACGCCGCCCCCGCCCGAATCGAGCGCCAAGAGAAGGGGATAACTTTACCATTTTCCGGTATAGATTCTCCACTCTCACTTTTGGGGTCAGTTATCTGTAAATATCCATCAACTACCCATCAGCTATACCCTGGGGTCTCGCTCTGAACCCCCTGCGAGAGTCGTGTTCGGACACTTGGGCTACTACTGGAATCATCGGCTTTGGGCAGAGTGATTTGATTCCCAGCGGACTTCTCTAGGCGGCTTCACAGTCGTTTCGTGGTGTGAGGACAGACATTAAAGAAGGATTGCGAAAAAGCTTTGCGGCAAAGGAACGCTCCCTGGCGACGCTTCGTTTGCTGGTGCATCCGATAAGAGCGCATTGCTGCCCTCGTACCAGCGCATTGACCGGCGGTTTTCCTAAACGAAACACTTCCGGACTTCAAGTCATGTCTACAGCTGTTGTCGACAGGGCTGAGCAGGAAGCGTCGCCTGAGCAGGATGCCGGACCTTCTGGTTCGGGCATCAAGCCTATGCTTCAGTAAGTACCACTTGGACCGATATGATCAATCGGTCTATATGGTAGATTGTCGGAGCTTGGTGGGGTAGATCTCTTGGTCCCTGCTGGCGTTGGCTTCGTTTTCTGAAAAGCCTAGGGCTTGGTACCTATTGCGTTGGCGCGGGACTTGCGGGACTGCGGGATTCTTCCGCACGGTTGGTGTATTTTCGCAAAAATGAGTTTCTCAATTGCTTCCTTGCCCAAAAAAGAAACATCGTTGCGACCGTCAATCTGGACTGCCGTTTGGATTTGAAGACCATCGCGATGCACGCTAGAAATGCCGAGTACAACCCTAAGGTGATCACAAAGGCTACTTTAGTCTACCATGTGGCACTCGGGAACTTGAGCTAATCTTTGCCTCCTCAATCACGTTCACGTCCTGATCTCTATTGCGCAACTTCTTCGTTTGTGGTATCTTCCGATATCCTAGCGTTTCGCTGCCGTCATTATGCGTATTCGCGAACCGAAAACAACTGCGTTGATCTTCGCCTCTGGCAAAATGGTCGTCACGGGTGCCAAGTCTGAAGAACAATCTCGGCTGGCCGCCCGGAAATACGCCCGCATCATCCAGAAGTTAGGATTCCCTGCGAAATTCGCTGAATTTAAAATACAAAACATCGTTGGTTCGACCGATGTCAAGTTCCCCATCAGGCTGGAAGGATTAGCGATGGCTCACTCAGCGTTCTGCAGTGTAAGTCGTGGCATCGCGTTCTCGTTGCGTAAGACCTTGTTCTCATTGCTCGTTACTCTTGCCATCTACACAGTACGAACCTGAGTTGTTCCCGGGCTTGATTTATCGTATGGCGAAACCGAAAATCGTGCTACTGATCTTCGTCTCGGGAAAGATCGTGCTCACGGGTGCAAAGGTATGCTTAAGTCGTCACTGTCATCATCTCTGTCAAACGAGGTGCTGATTTTCTTTATTTACATCCCTAGCTTCGTAACGAGATTTACGAGGCATTCGAAAGCATCTATCCCGTCTTGGAACGTAAGTGCCTGAACTCGATGGCTCGCATATGTCCAGGATTCGCCACTAACGGCAACTTGGCGCCTTCAGAGTTCCGCAAATCCCAATAGAAGTGTTCGACTTCCAAGCAGTCGTACCCTCGCTTGTCTGACGACCTATGGATCGACAAACAATCGAAACATCTTAAGAACCTTTCGTCTCCCACAACATATATATAGTGCCATTTTGGAACGCGTCATCCATCCGCCTTCATAGAACCTTGGATGTCGCGAAGGCAACAAGTCCCCTTCGCATGTAAGGGAGGAAAAGTATCGTGGTCGTTGTTTCGCTGGGGGCCCTGAGGGCCGGAATGGCTTCTCTGAACGTGGTTGGTCCCCATCACTCGTGGTTGTGGTGTGAACCCTGTATAGAAAAACTTGAAAAGCACATTAAAAAAAAACAATAAAACGAACTAAACCAACTCCGGGCCCAAGCTGCAACGTTTATTGCCCTGCAATCTAGTGATGATGGCCATATATACAGGAGAAGGGGCATGATGCCGCTCACACCACCACACTCGCACCACTCGGTGACGTGTTCCCGGCATTTTTTGCTGCACTGGCCCTTGCACCTGCGTTCTGCGGTTTGCGAGCTGCAGCACTTCGTTCCGCGAGCGCTGCGACCGTGTACATCCGCTCGATCCTGTCGTACTCGGTTTGCACCTGATGAAGCAGTTTTTGCGAAGGCGGGATCAAACTGGCGTTTCTGATGGCGAAGCGCAAAGCCGGCGCCGGTTTCATGAGTGCCGCTTGTATATGGAGATGTAGGGATGTAATGAGTATCGCTGATTCCATTTTCCTGAGGCGTGCACTGCCATATGAACGCCTTGTACTCACCGATACTTTCTTCCACAATCTCAATCTTCTCATCTACGCCTCGCATCAACTCTCTCATCGGCGTGAACTCATCGGACGGCCCGGCATTCTTCGTCGTCACCCTACCACCCTTTGGCGTGCCTCTAGGCGGCAGGCTTGGCAGTACCGCCGTATTTCCACCCTTCCCACCCGCACCTCCGCCTTTCGTAAACCGGAATGGCGCTTTACCTCCAAACGCAGCCTTCCCCCTTCCCCCAGCAACCACCTGATGCTGATAAGCCTTCTGCGTCGACGCAAGCGTCTGCAGCGCATACGGCTTCGGCACCGGCGCCCACCCGCTGACTGGATTCGACAGCGCGTGGCGGAGAGCCCGCAGCGCACCCGTCAGTGTTTTCGGCAGCGGCGGCAGGTCCGCGTCTGTGTCGTCGTCGAGGATGTTGACGTCGATGGTGGAAAACGGGGATGGCGTCCGCGGCGGCGTGGACAGACCAGAGGCTTGCGATGAGCTGAGCGAGGACATGTGGTCGTCGGATGAGCCGAGGCCGCCTCCGCCTGTGATGTGCACGCGGGTGAGGAACGTATCGTCTTTCGCTGTTGGGTCGTATTGAAGCGGTTCCTCCCCATCGAGTGGTTCGGCGTCTTCCAGCCGAGCCCCCTCTGATCCTGGACTAGACCCCCTCGACTTTCGGTCCTCGCCTCTCTCAAGGCCCCCAAGTTCCATCCCCATCTTCCCGTCACTATCACGGCCGCCATCCAACCCTCCCTGCCCCATCGCCTCCATCAACGCCATCCTCATCTCCCTCTCCTCCCCGATCTTCACCAACTCCTCCACATCCGGAATAAATCCCTGCCGCACAATCTCCCTAAAGTCCTCATCGCTGAAATCATACGCTCGCCGTGCTTTGCGCTTCACGCCGGCTTCGAGCGTCCATTTCGTTTCGCCAGCGTCGGAGACTGTGTGCGAGGCTACGATGTTGCGACCGGAGATGGATGGTGGCGCGTTTTTGCGGTGCAGGTGGGAAAGGAAGCGGGAGGATGCGATTGTGGTGTGGTATTGTGCCGGGCGGGTGAGAGGGGCTGGGTGGAGGTGCCGTGGGACGAGGGGGGCGGTGTCGTGGTCTGGTGTGATCTCGCGCGGCGAGTCGATTGGGCGCATGAGAGTGGAGGTTGGGGAGAGGCAGGGGATGGTGGTGGTGGGAATGTTGTAAACGGCATCGGCGATTTGAATGGAGTACTTTTGAGGCAGTTCGAAGAGGGGGTTGAAATGCAGGTAGCCCAGGACTATAAAGGTATGCCACACGGAGAGTTAGAACGAGCATACGCTGCTTCGCTTAGTGTTAGTAGGAAGCTCACCAGTATCCGAATCCCCATCCCGGATGGTGACTTTTTGATTCACCCGCTGCATCACCGGGTTCCCTTCCAAGAAAACTCTCTTCAACGCAGGCAGCCATATCACGCCCGTCAGCTGCTCCGGCGATCCGATATTGTTGAAAGATAGATTGACCTCAACCAACGAATAGAATCCATCATATCTTGGCTCTGAGGTATCTGGAACTCCGGCGTGAAATGAGGATTGCGTTCTGGCTGGGGTGAGGAAAGCTAGCGTTGTGATGTGGTTCCGAGACAAGTTCAGCGTTTTCAAGCTGGTGCGATGCAATACGCGGTCAGTCGGTAATAATACGGAAGCAAGACATGTTGGCAGGAGTGATCTTACTTCGGTAGTGCCGCTAAGATTCTAAAGGTCTCGGGGCTGTTGATTCGATTGTTCTCGAGTGATAGCAGCTCCAGCCGTTTGAAACCCGGTCCACCGGAACTGTTCAAGATATTCTGCGCCCTATTGGCATCCAGCTCTCCCACTGTATTCTCCTCGTCCGCCACATCTGCGTTCCGGTCGACGGCGCTCTCCTCAACATCTTCCTCGCTATGCGCTACTTCCTCTGAATCTGCAGCATCTGGCGCCTCCGCGTCGCCCGCATCAGAGGCGGTGGCTATAGATGCATCATCGTCGTCTTCGTCAATCGTGACGGCCATTTCTTTGGCCACTTGTACAACTTGCGGGATTGTTGTTGGACGGTCTGAGGTGGACCCGTCCGCCACGTTTTCTTCGGAGCCTGGGTCGGCTGGGGTTTCAGCGGGTCGTTCAGTCGCCGGAACATCATTCGACTTTGTCGCCGTTTCCGCTATAACGGACGGCGAAGATGCCGCCGCTGCGTCCTCTGCCTTAGACACTTTCTTCTCCTTCCCATTCATCTCCTTTCCACCCTTCGCCTCCTTCCCGTCACCATGCGCCGGCAGTTCAGCCTTCAACCACCCCTCCAAAGCCTGCAAATCTTCCTCCGGCAAAAGACTCTCGATCACACGTTCCCGCCAATTAGTCATGTCCATCAGCGTTGTTGGTAATGATGTGAGCCCGTTGGTGGAGAGGTCGAGACGACGGAGAGAGGGAAGCGAGGCCAAGACCGTGATACCGGCGGGTGTTAATCGGTTGTAGGAGAGGTCCAATTCCTACTTCGGTAATTCAGGAGTATATCAGGATAGATTGGGCCTTACAGGGCTGTGGTTCTTCCCCACCATACGGAAACGATCCCGCATACGAGACGACCTTACGAACCTCAAGCCCCAGAAATCTCCCTTCAACCTCCAAATCCAGATCCGTCACATCGTTGCAAGGCATCACCAGCCTTCTCAGCCCCGGGAGAACCCCCAGTTTTGCCAGCGGCAAGTTGTTCTCACCGCAATGCAGAATCTCCAGATTGGCGAACAATGTGAGGTCATCTTCAATGACATGCCGTAGGTTTTCCCCCGTCAAGTCGAGGTAGTAGACGTTGTCGGGATCTTCTGCTGGTGCTTTATTTAGCTAATAGAGAGCGAGTAGGCACTTTAGCTTCAGAAGTGGTATGGGTAGCCTACTGGGACGCTATATATGTCGACGAAAGCAGTCAACACGCGGGCATACCATGAAGAAGCCATCCAGCACCTGCGGGATTTCGACATACTTCCCGCGCCGCTTTTGTGTCAACTCCCCTGGCCGCATAGAGTTGGCCAGGTATGGATCATCCTCGGCCAGTAAGAGCTCATGTTGATGTACATGGTTCTTTGCGGTTGGAGACATGTTGCTGGCTGCGACGGAAATGATGTGTGGCTGGCCGGATTTGTCGTTTGCTGGATGAAAGTGAACCTTCGCCTCGAAAAGGGTCCGGCCCAGTTGACACTACAAGAACCCAGACCTCGCGCCGACAGGAGTTCAGCTAGATTTTAGACAGTATAGAGATAATAGCCACAAGCTCAGGGAGCTATGCTACCCAACAAGTTAGTGCGCTGCATCTCCGTTCGCAAATGATTGGGCCATGTCCGATACCGTCAATTCAAAAGACGCGGTGTCGAATTCACGGTGGCAAAACGACTCTGAGAGAAAGCTTGACGAAGGACAAACGGACCATCAATCTCTGCTTTATTGGCAATCGCAGGAGTTGTATCGGACACCAGCCTGCTCAGACAATCTGCTTCCGGGTCGAATCGAAGGAGAGTCATAAGCAGGGCCCTACTTGCTGGATCCTTTCGCGGTTGAATGTCCAGAGCTCCCTTCCTGCAGCAAACCTAATACGAAGGACATTTGAACCCTTGAGAAGATGCCCAGCGAAGAACCTAGCATCGTTTCACAGTGCATCCGCAGTCCAGCAAGTCGAATGTAAGGTAAAGAAGAATGGGGATATCCATGACCTCAGCTCGCAACAACGCGTTCCTCTGCCACTGGTTGGCGCTGTCCACGAAATCACCACGAAATGAAGGAATTCCGTTGCTAGCGCCCCTGGCCTCTCCGCTCCGACCTCTCCGACGCCATTGGTCAGCCCCACAGACCTCGCAGGAACTAACTTGAACCACAACAGCTTGCCAGCGAGGGGGCTCGAGACTGTGAGGGGATAGATAGAGCTGCAGACAACCTCATAGCCCGCTGGTCTTACTTACCACAGTTTCCAGCGCGAAGGTCCATAAAACCATCACTCCGACGCTTTTCCTCCCACCGAAGGCCGCTCCTTGACAGCAAGGTATTCCGTCAACCCACAATGTTGAGCGCTTTAAGAACAACACTCCCGAGGTCCGCCCTCAGGGCGTCTCGGCTGGCGTCAGTCTCACCTTCTCTCACGATACGAGCATTCCCGCGCGGTTCTGCCGCACTTGTGAGGGCCAATGCGAGAAACGAAACCGTGGCTGCTTTTTCGACTACTCGACCCTCTCTTGGCAGCAAGAAGGATAAGAAGGAACGAAAAGATGAGGAGGATAGTGCAAGCGACTTGCCACCGCACGTCGCCACCGTCGGCAAATACAAGCGCCACGTCCTGGTCAACTCTCGTAGGTGCTCGTTGTCTGTCGAGTGCTATTTCTTCAGGCTGCTTATATCGTTCTGGCGCAGGTGCGAACCCTTGGATATCGAAGATCAACGAACAGGATGAATACTACGCAGCTCTACAATCAGCTTTGACAGACTATGGGGCGAGTAGTATCGTTTCCCCTGATGTTGACCCGGTATCGGACGACAGCTCCCGGTCTCTTCTGATCCTACCGGACGGCATTCGCATTCCGTCAGTATCCGTGTCGGATTTCCCCAAAGTCGCTAAGCTCTTCTCCGAGCCCGCAGGCTCGAAGAGCAGCATCGCCTTCGAGAAGGATCCCCACAAACTTCATATATTGGTTTGCATCCATGGTGCACGAGACTGTCGGTGCGGAGATAAGGGATTACCACTGTATGACAGCTTGAAGAAGGAAGTGGCAAAGAGGGGTCTCTCCGACACCGTTAAGGTCTACGGTGTGTCACATATCGGTGGCCACAAACACGCAGGGAACGCCGTGGTTTACCCCGCCGGAAATTGGTACGGCCTTCTCGAAAAGGAAGACGCAGGGAAGTTGCTGGACTCAGCGTTGGAGAACAAAGTACTCTGGGACAAGTGGAGGGGACGATTGGGCTTGACCAAAGAAGAGCAGGAGGGCATATACAGAACGGAGATTTCGAAGTCGAGCGCGGGAGCCGAGTCTCAGCCGAACCCTGCGGCAAGCCAGGAAACGATCTCTCTGACGTATATCCTACCGGACAATGCTACGGAGACTTTCGAGGTGCCAGTTGGAGCGAGATTGATGGAAATTGGCAGGGACAACGACCTACCGTCCCTTGAAGGCACATGCGGAGGCAACTTGGAGTGTGCGACCTGCCATGTTATTGGTATGCATCTGTGAACGTCCACTGTCTTCCGGACATAAGACTGATCGAGTTGCGCTACCTATAGTGGACCCGGCTTACCAAAACAAGCTTCCACCCGTGACAGAGGAGGAGGAAGACATGCTAGAGTATGCTGTTGGTCGGACGGATGGGTAAGCATGCTACGCTGGTGGGGACAAGTACCGCGGACCGGTTCTCACAACCAAATCGTTCTGTAGATCTCGCCTCGCCTGCCAGTTGAAGGCAACGCGAGATCTCCATGGCGTGCGATTGATGATCCCTACAGCTGTACCTCGGAAGTTTCCCAGTATGAGGTGAGTGAATCAGTGACCTTCGTTTCTCAGTCAAGCAATGCAGTGGACAGACGCCAACCATTCTCCATCTCAGTGATTTCCGGGATGCATGGCAACCGAACGCCGCCGGCCAGCGACAACAACAATCGGGATTCCACTCGTTTGCCCGAAGCAATTCCTTACGTTCCCCATCGACAGCAACATCAGCAACCCGCATAAACACCCGGTTCGCCTCCACCACCTCCGAATCACCGCTCAACACGCCACCGCCACCGCCACCTGGCGCCCAAGAACCGCCGAAGCGCGACTTCAAATCCCTCCTCCGCGAATACGGCCCGATAGCGACCATCACCTATCTCACCCTGTCCTTCATGACCTTCTGCGCCTGCCTCACCTCCATCATGGTACTGGGAATCGACCAGAAACAGATCAAGACCGCGTTCAGGAAGATCAAGGAGTTCCTGGGCTTCCACCCGGCCGACCCAGAACCCGAGCTTCGCGCGGCAGATGCGTTGAACGACGAAACAGCGAAGGAACCGACGTGGTGGGAACGGCACATGCCCGAGTGGCTGAAGAACCCAGCCACTCACGCCATGTTGACCAACATACTGTTGGCAATGGCGATGACGAAAATGTTTCTGCCCATCAAGTTGGGCATCACTGCGGCCATAGTGCCCACTGTGGCAAAGAAGTTAAGGAGCATGGGCTTCAATCTGGGCACTAAGGGCGGTTATAAGACCGCGGCACAGAAAGTCAAAGAGGATGTGAGAGCGCAGGCGCACAAAGCTAAGCGTAGGTTGGATGATTAGATTTAGAAGCGTTTCGCTACGTGTAGAAGGGTATGGGATTCGTCCCAGGCATTACGGTTTATGAGGGTCTCTAGCATCTGTAATTCTAGTCTTTACTAGTGCTCTTCTTGTACAAATCATATCTACATTTCCCGCTTATTTCCCCGCGTGTCTTGGTATCGGCGGATTATCCTCGCCATCGACCAAAAAAAGAGTGCTCCGGAACAGGCCTCGCGACTTCCGTCTCAGAATAACGTCCTAAGAACTCTTTGACCGTCCAAACAACCCCGCGAATCTCCTCACCCCATTCTGCACCGGTACCACAGCAACCCTCGCAAACCACGGCGTCAAGACAAAACACAGCCCAATCCTCAACGGCATCGCAGCCTTGACCACCGCGTAACTCGTCGCCATATACAGCATCGCCTTGCTGTCCTCCCTGATCCCTTCCCCGACCCCAAAATACTTTAGCATCTTGCCCATCCGTCGGTTCCCGTCCGCGAGGATATCGTCGGGGAAAGGGATCGGTAGTTCGGTGGTTGAAAGGAGGAAGTAGATCAAGGGCAGTGGGATGACTGCGGTTAGTTCGTGCAGGAGGGCGAAGGAGACCAAATGAGATGCCGGGTGGTTGCGGAATTGATGGGCGTATTTGCGCCAGCCGCGGGCGGGGGATGCAGCAGCGGTGGCGCTGCTGCTGGAGGATGCTGCTGGTGGTTGGGTGGACGAGAGACGGAGGTGGGTTGTGCGGAACTGGGGTTTGGACAGGAGACGGCGGTAGGAACCTTGCCTTAGCAAGGAGGCGTGATTGGCCAACATTCCGGAGAAGAAAAACTGGCTTGCGACTGAATATGAAGGCTCATCCGCCCTGGATACTGTATCTGTATCGTCAAGAAGGTCCGTAGTTTGTCGAGTTGCGAACTGAATGGCGAGGAAGGCGAGAAGGGAGTGTCAACGCGTTGGTCGGCAGCACCGCTTCGCTCTTTCGGACAGGGTGCACAATTCGCACGGGTGGGAACCGTCAGAAGGAGAGCGCCAGACTATACATACGTACATATCCACGGACTGCAATAAAGACTTCAGCGAGAGGGAAGGTCTTCTCTTTCTGGCCTACACAAGTATGACCTGATAAGTGGTTTACTATCTGGCGGAGGACTTTGAACGCTCACGAATTGACAGGGATGTTAGGAGGCGGCACAATGGAACAAACGGTTCTGAGCACACTGAGTGGGTGTCTCTCCCAGGACTCCCACATTCGGAAACTGGCAGAGCAGCAGCTGGAGGGTCTGGCTTCTCAGCACCCCGGTAGGAAGCCCGCTGCTACGGCATTATGACTTGGGACTCCCCTAGATCACTCAAGTTCCCTGCACCTCAGACTATCCCAAGTGCTTGGCGAGCATCGTGGTCACTCAAACGTACCCCTTTGCTGAAAGGCAGCTATCAGCTGTGACGTTGAGGAAGTATGTTGGCGATAGGTGGACCGGCAAAGTGGAGCAGGGGATCCTGGGAGTGACCACGAGAGACATTCCCGAAGAGGTGGGCTCAGCTGACAGCGAAAGCTTGCTATGGGACTTTGCATATTCATGCATGGTCACTCCAGGTCAAATCCAGTGTTAGGAATCTGATGATCAGGGGCATTGCGGACCCCACCAAGCAGATACGTGTCATTAGCGTAAGGAGCACACATTCACGCATACTTCGAGGAAGTGCATCTTTCTGACCGACGTCGCTCTTCGACCTGCAGGCATACGTAGTAGCGCAGATTGCGCATTTCGACTTCCCGGAAGCCTGGCCCAATCTGTTCGACTACATCATCCCCGCGCTTCGAAGCGGCGATGGCGATCAGGTTCACGGTGCCATGCGCGTGTTGGCCGAGTTCGTCCGAGATGACTTGACGGATACACACTTCCCGTACATCGCGCCTGCACTTCTGCCCGAGCTTCACAGGATCTTTGCGGACGTCAACGTATGTGATGTCTGACGAGGCGTGGCCGAGAATCCACGGTGGGTGTACTGACAACATTCTGCGTCCGATGCAGACGCATCCTCGGGATAGATCGCGGGCGTTGGCAGTATTCCGGGATTTCAGCGCGATGATCTATACCGTGTCCGAAGAGCATCCGAATGTCATATCATTATATCTGGATCCCGTTATACCGCGGTGGATGGCAACTTTCAAGGAGATCTTGTCTTTTGTGGAAACGCCCGCGGAGACCGTTCCCGTCAAACATGAGATCCTTCGGGTAACTATTCTCGTTGTGGTCCGAGCATATGCAGTTGAAAGTCTGACATACCGCTCCAGACATTATGTAAGCTGTTGAAGCAGTTCCCCAAGCTCATGGCGACATACATCACGGAGTTCTTGGAACCCATCTGGAATCATCTCGTGGCCCTACAACCCCAATACGTGCGGGAGCGAGTCAACCCGGACGACGATGTCATCGAAACAGAGGATGTGGATAGCGATGGCGAGATCTTGGGATTCGAGAGTTTACTGTACTCGCTGCTAGAGTTCATGCAGATTGTTGCAAAGAAGCGCCATCTGCGGCATTTCTTCTCTTCCGGCGTGAGCGGGGCGCGAGAGGCTGGGCAGCTACTACCGCAGTTGGTTGGCGTCTGCTTGACGTATCTGCAGATCACTGCTGAGCTGGTTGGTGCATCTGCACTCGAGCAATTAAATTCACACCGAAACTCACGTCTGGTATCTCGCATGATTGCAGCAAGACACATGGGTCAACGACATGAATCAGTATATCCAGGATGACAGCGATGAGGCGCTGACTTTCAATATCAGAATCGCTGCAGAGGAGCTGTTGATGGTATGTGCTCAGTTCGCCGCCGTCGAGAGATATCTTCAAGCGTCTCATTACTGCATTCTCTCATAGTCTTTGGCCGAGTTCTACTCGCAAGAGACCCTTCAGGCCATTTCGCACGTGGTTCAAGCAAAATTACAAGAGTCGACTCAGGCCCGCGCAGCCGGCGATGTGAATTGGTATGTTTCCACGATTGCCTCGGGGCATACGCCTCAATCAAGCCGAGCTAATCGTCTGTTATCTTTGAAGGTGGAAAGTTCACGAGGCATGTCTGCTATCGGTCGGCAGGGTCAGCGACATTTTCATCGATGGGCTGCAACAACAGAGCTTTGTCTTCGACATGGAAGGTTTCTTCAACCATGTTGTCCTTGCCGACATGCGGTGCAACGGTGCGTATCTCGAATTACCTCCAGGCCTGAAAATCGTATCTGGCTGACGACTGGCTACCAGAATGCCCATTCTTGCAGGGTCGATCGCTATGGCTGTCCAGCCGATTTGCTGAGATATTATCTGATGAGACTGTGACACAGTACATGACAGCAGCGGTGGAGGCATTGGGCCCGAACGTTACGAATCCTGCCGTCAAGATCTCGGCCGTGAAGGCTCTCCAAAAGTGTGTCAATTATTACGTGTTCCCAAGGTATCTATGAAACCTCTAACCAACATCATTTTAGCTTCTGTGGAACTCTTGGACCACAGAGCCTGATACCCTTCCAAGCGGCTATGATTCAAGGCATCGTGGGTCTTACGGAAGCTGCTAGTGACGAAGTGCTTGCCCTTCTCCTCGAGACCTTGGAGATGGTCATCCAAGTCAACAAGGAGATCACGGCGCAATACGTTGACCCTCTCACGACAATGGTCCTGCACGTCTGGAACCGAAATGCTGAAGGTATGCCGATTCGTATGAAGCAGATCGCTTCGCGTTGTCGCAGCAATTGACCGTTGATATGCTTAGATTACCACCTGTCGGAAGTTGTGGTCGATCTGTTCTCGATATTGGCTTCCAACGAAATGATTGCGCCTCGCCTCCAAGAGCGGATGATCCCAGCTTTACGGGATGTGCTGCAGGCGGAAAATGTGCACAATATGCCGTCAGCCGTGGCGGTATGTAGAGAGTCGTCATCTGACATCCTTGGTTTGTATAACTAATGGAAAACTCTTCCTTAATAAGACGGCGCTCTCATTGATGACCGACCTGATCAAGAACGCCCCGGAACCGTTCGCGCCAGAGTACAGGTCGTCGGTCTTCCCGCAAGTGATCATGCTGCTACACACTGTGACGGAAGACCAGGCCGCGATACTGCAGAATGGCCAGGATACGATCCGGGCACTCGTACAAAGGGACTTTGCGGGAATCGCCAAATGGTCTCATGAGGGACATTCGGGGCTTGATCTTATTGTTGCGTTTATTGCCAAACTATGCCGCCCCAATCATAGCGAGAGCGCTGGAATCTTTGTCGGCGACCTAATAAATGCACTCATTCAGAAGGTATGTCAGGCACCACTGCGAAATTCCATTCGCAATCTACTCACAAGGTCTGATTGGTGGTAGGCTGGAAATGATATTATGCCGGTTCTGCCACAAATCCTGGACGCTGTCTTGCAAAAGCTGGCTGTGTCAAAGACACCGTCGTTCATTCAGGTACAGATATTTCGGAAAATCTCAAAATACCAATGCTAACTATCGAAAAAACCGGCAGCAACTGGTTCTCGTGTTCGCCAACCTATTTATTCAGCAAACGGCGGGCACGCTGGATTTTCTGTCTTCTGTGAATGTCTCTGGGAAGAGCGGGCTGGAAATCGTTCTGACGGCGTGGGCAGAACAATTCACCGACTTCCAAGGTTTCCTCACCATCAAATTGAGGTATTTATCCCTTTTCGCGTTTGTGTCAGTATAGACTTTTGGAGCTAACGTCGGCCTGATCTGTCGATTCACAGCGCGATTGGTCTCACAAAAGTGTTTGAGACGCGGGATCCACGTTTGAACAACATAATGGTCAAAGGAGACGAAATCGTCACTTCTAATAGTGAGTTGCATGGTGGCTGCGTAAAGTCACTGACGAATACTTACAAGGAATTTGCTCAGAAATTGTCACTCGGTCCATGAGTCAGAAAAGTGGGTCTTTCATGAGTTCTTGAAATCGTTGCAAAGCACATCCACTTGTTCATACTCAGCTGTTTCCCAAACAGAGCCACAACAGTTCTCCATTATCCCCTTTCCGGCGAAGGCGATCAAGCTGATCCTTGTGGAACTCCAACATCAATCGGACAGTCAAATGGGCAAGCTTTCCACAAGAGGGAACTACCGAGATGAAGATGATGGCGACGAGGAAGGCAGTTGGGACGATGAGGATGAGGTGCGTCCAGGGTCTCCCAACTTAGGTTGTCTGATAGCTGTCTGACAGGGGCATGTAACTTTGACAGAGTGAAGAATGGGAGGACGATTTCATTGGCGCCGATCCTGTAATGAAAGGTGAGGAACATCGGGAGATCAGTTGTCGAGTGGTTTGAGTGCTGATAGTCTTTGCTTTCATAGGGATGATGGGCGATTTAGGCGCTGATGAGTTAGAAAACCTGGGCAAAGACAACGCTGAAGCGTCAAATGACCCCGTCTACAAGATCGATCTAAAGGTGCGATATGTCCTATCTTGTGGCAGCATCACTTGATTCGCCAGACTGACATGAAATCCCATCTAGGCGTACCTAACGGAATTCCTGCGGACTTGTGCGCAAACTGATATGAACTCCTTTTCTGCGCTCTGTGAGCAGTACCTCAACGGCAAAGAAAAGGAGTACGTTAGGGTTGTTCTGAGCGGTTGATATAGTGTGCAGCGGTCGCGCCGAGGATGGTCATAGGCCCATCGTGGTTGGTCCGATGTATTCGAGGTGCTGAAGGAGATTGATGACGTGCAGGTTGGTTATACATAGGACATCGTAGCGGGGATGTTGTACAATAGTCGAAAATAGCCTTGGCGGCATGGGCGTATGAAGAATACATAGGATCGAAAAAGTCGCCGAATTGTTGCGGACAGTGACAAGTTTTAGTAGTTTGAGCGCGATGTCCTCAAGAACTCTAGAATCGTTGCGGACAACGGGCCATTGCATCGAATGAAAAATGCATAGAAGACTGATAGTCGAGTAGAAAGCAGGATTGTGGTGTCTATTAAGTATGGAGCATAATAGAAAAAGGGAGAACGACCACGGTACGCCCACGGTACGCAAGTGACGCTAGCTCCCCTCGGCATGTTCAAAGAAGCGCCTAGGGACTAGGTGATGATGCCAGCTCAAACAATACATGAACGAGTAGTTCCGACCAGGGGCGAGCTCACATCCTGTCAACAATGTCTGCTTACGACGTGTTGTCAATCTCCCCAACTGGTGACGTGTGCGGAGGAAGGCTGAGAGGCGGAGGAGGCTGACAGGAGAGCCTGAGCCCGTTGTAGGATCTTTCGTCAAAGGTCCTCGGCAATATGGCCGCCGCTATCAAAGGACAGCCGTCTAAACTGGCCTACCTCACAGTCGATACCTTCCGATCGCACGCATGTCGCACATCACAATTCCGAGCTCGCATGCAAACATACGCCACAGCGTCTGCATCCCCCAAGATTACCCTCTACACTTTTGGTTCGTTATGTCGTGTTCGAAGGGAGATCTAACTTCAAGACGTCATCTTGCACCAATTCCTCCATGTAGGGACTCCCAACGGCCAGAAGGCCAGCATCGGTCTCGAAGAACTTGGACTCAAATACAAAGTACGGGAGGCCTGCGTCTATCAGCAGCGTTTGTCATAGGGGTTCTGTGTGGCTGACGCTCAAGGGGCTAGGTCGTAGAAGTCGACATCACAGAAAATGTTCAAAAGGAAGGTTAGTCAATGGAACCTACGGGTAGTTTAGTGGTTGAGGTTCCTTGCGGAACAATAATGTTGGTCATACTCTTTCCAACCCCATATAGAATGGTTCTTGAAGATCAACCCCAATGGTAATCAAACACTGTCGAACGATTATCGCAGCTGGAACTGGAGAAGATGATGTGTGATTTGGGATGTCCCCGCAGGCAGGATCCCAGCGATCGTCGACCACAGCCGCGGTGACTTCCCCGTGTTTGAGACCGGGGCCATCCTGATGTACTTGGCAGAACACCACGATCCCAAGAATATCCTTCTTTCCGAAGACGCAAACAAGCGCAGTGAGGCCATCCAGTGGCTCAACTGGCAGATGGGCGGGCTTGGCCCTATGCAGTAAGTGCGGTCGCCACATGGCCCTTCGCGCGATGGAGGCTAATCCAACCGACGCGTGCAATTGAAAAGGGGTCAAGCGAATCACTTCTTTCGTTACGCGCCGGAAAACATTCCATACGCAATCAAGCGCTACCAAGATGAGACCAAGCGCTTGTATAGCGTCATGGAGCGTCAGCTGAGCGACGGCAGGGAGTATCTCATTGGAGAGTACTCGCTGGCGGATGTTGCGTGCTTTGGTTGGGGTAAGTGGTCTAACGTTGGTCACGGTGGCAACGAGATCGGGGAGCACACTTGCAGCTGAGGACCTTGTCTGACCTTGTCACCACAGTTGCGGCACACAATTGGGCAGGTTTAAGCCTCGAGGAGCTTCCATTAGTGGACCAGTGGCTCCACCGGGCCGCTAAGCGTCCCGCGGTGCTTCGCGGAATGAATGTGCCACGTAAGAACAATCTCATCGAGAATGATTTTAAGGTTTGAGTAAGGCGAGCAGTGTGACGGGTGGGGTTGCTAAGACATGAGTTGGACTACGTGGGACTCCCGTGAACTAGATAGCTTCTAGCACCAGATAGAGGGCGTCCTATATTGAGTTCGCAAAACTTGGCGAATTCAAGGAGTGTTAAACATCAACGTTCTCATCAATAGAGGGCACTTCGGGCATGGCGACATATCGCCAATGTATGCCTTCCTACATTCAAAGTAACTGGAAAGGGTATATGTCTAATCAAACTACTAAGATCTATCTAAAACCGTGGCATAGGTACGCCGCGGAAATGTCGCACTTGCAGTCAACCACGGTAGCTCAAGAGATGGGCCAGCCATCGCGCTATCCAAGATCAGACGTTATTCTCCGGGTCCTTCCCACTTCCATCCCCAGCCACGTCCCCTCCAGTCTTCCCCTTCCGCCTTGTCAGCTTGCCCACGATCGGCACAGCAATATCCGTGTCGACAAAGAACTCCGACAAGAAGTTCTCCAACGCCCTCAGATGTCTCTGCTCTGCGGGCGAACTGAGGAATATCCGCGGGTCCCCGACGGCGGATGTTGGAGTAGCGGCCGCCGTCCACGCACTCGATCCGCCTACGCGCCGCTGCTCTTCGACCCAGCGGCGTTGGCGGGCTAGATCTAGGAAATGTTGGTGGTGTTGTAAATTTGAGGTGGTTGGTGAGGGAAGGGTTGAGAATCCGATGGGAGATGTGGGAGACGGATCGTTCCTTGTTATCGCCGGGATGGGTGTAGCTGGCGTCGTTGGACTTCCCTGCGGAGTCTCGGCTGGGAAGGGATACCGCAGGGGAGAGTGTTCCTTTTCGCCGTTTTTGTCCAGGCTTGCGACGGGCGAGGTCAACGGGAATCCCTTTTCCCCCGCTGCCTTCTTCGCATCGTTACTGCTGCCCGAGTACACATCCATTGATTTTTCAGGGCTCTTCGGGCTCCTTCTTTGCTTCCGTCTCTTGGGCCGCTTAGGTTTTGGCACCGCCACGTCAGCCAAGCTTGTGAAGTCCCCATACTTGGTCCTCAAGTACTTCTTCATCTGTCTCGAGAAGATCGCGTGGACGAACCCGAATGGCGTCAATCGACGCGATCCGAATAGGAAGAGGAAGACCGTCGTGAGGAAGGATAAGACACCTCCGACGGTAACAAAGATGTCAATCGGTGACAAAGATGGGACTTCCTCCTTCACGCTGACCATGTACACGTTGGGTTCGTTGATATCTTCGAGCTCGTTGATGGCGGATATACGGATGTAGGCACTGACGGGCGGAGAAGAAAAGACATGAGCTAGTGGTGTGCACACATGATGAACAATGGGAGGCTAACCTGTAATTCCTTCCCGTGGCCAGGCGGTGGGGATCAACGTAGGTCGCCAATGATTGTGAATAGTACCACACGATACTCTGACCCAGGGCCCACCTGATTTTCGTCTGCATATCACCCTTCAGTGCCTTTGTGTTCTCGTAAGTGAGGTACACGTCGAGCGTAGTATTGCACACGACCTCGGCTGGCAGTTTAGAGAGACGTGTGACATCACTGCCGGCCGTAAAGATGGCGGTGTGCAGTCTATCATTTCGCCTCTCCCAATCTCTCCCATTCGCGTTCGTTCGTTCCGAGGGTCTGTAGTCGTAACCGCAAGTAACAACAGAAACGCTGTTCTCCGAAGCGGAATACGCCTCTTTCGAGTAGGCCGTAAACTGCAAATTCGGGGAGGAAAATCGGTGGCAAATGACAGAAGCGTTGTCAGGTAACCTCCAAGTCAAAAATTGCGCCTCGGATGGCAATGTCACTGGTTGAACATATTGAGTTAAGTTCACCACTCCGATTTCGTCGCTTGTTTGAAGGGCAATATCACCGAAGCAAGTCGGCTCCGCGTCTCCATTGATGAAAGATGTTGCGATCGGGTTTCCGTATTGTTCTGGGTTGAGACAGAATATGATGTTTGGGATTTGCAGTTGTGTGGTGCGAATTGTGTGTTTAATCAGCGGCGTCTAGGAGCCCATCAGGATTCAACGTCGAATTTTTAGCACACAGCACCGGTGGGATAAGTCACAGATCAGATCTCCTCTCGTCTCCCTACGGCACGTACCTGGTTAATGTACCGATACACATTTTGAGCACTGGCCGCTAGGAACATCAAGGCCATCAGCGTGACCGCAATTGTCCTCAAACGTGTCACGCTAGCCGGAAACGGGACATTGGGGCTTACAGGTGTCGTCGGGGATAAGGGACTGCCCAGGTCGTCAAAACTGCGAGCGGGGAGCGGGCAGAATATAGTCGATCTGCTCGTCAGTGGAGTTGCAGGCGGGAGGGGAGCATTGGTGTCAGTGTTTAAGGGGCAAGGGTTGGAAGTCGATAGGGCCGCAAGTGGACGGATGCGATGGTTGGCAGGACGAGTAACGTCGATGCTCACGGCGGGCGGTGGGATGGCCAAGGCCGCTGGCGGTGGAGCCTCCGACATCGTTACTTTTTGCAGCCCACAAGACCGCCCCAATAGCGGGCTGCTTTTCTATATCTATGAAGCTACACCCACGAAAAGTGTAGGGAGTGTTCGGCGCAAATGAGTCCACACCGACAGCCGTCTAGCACCCACCCGTATAAAGACCGAGTCGCTTAGCGACAGATGCTCCTATATATTGTGCGACTCGGTCAGCAGCAATCCGAACACATATCGGCGGCGATTTGGCGGGGCACAGGATAGTAGTTCTCGCCTCTGTCTCCCAAACCCCCATCGTATATAGAACACCGATTGCCATATTATCCTCCGCCGCACGCACAGACACAACACGGGTTTTTTTTTGATTTTGAACGCTCCGAATTTGCGCGAAAACATCATACTGTATATGCTGTATATATATCCCACTTGCCGGCAGTGGCACGGCACGACCGCAGACCTAGGTGGTGAGGTGGTGTGGGTTGTGGGTGTTGGCAGTGTGCACATGCAAGAGATGCGGGCGAAATGAAAGCCACGCCTAGGAGTAGTAGAGAGTGTCAATTTGCATGTTTGCGCGTTGACTTTTTTTCGTCATTCATACCGCAGCGAGGCCGCTACGGCGAACACCCTCCTCGACATCGCCATCGGCATTGCAGCAGTATTAAGCAATCTATCTACTACCTATACTCGCCAGAACAAGCGTCCTTCACTGAGCCTCAACCCGCGCACCGCATACTTTCCTTCTTCCCAGATACGACAAAATGGACAAAATCACCCCCTACCAACAGCAGTTCGACAACTACCTCGCAAAGTTCCGGACTCTGAACCGAATTGAGGCGGCGACGGGTGTTCCCAAGGTTCGTTTGTAAATGGGGAAGCTGTTGGATCGGGATTGAGCAAGGGATAGAGGAAGGCAGGGGGCAACGGGAGATATTGCTTGTTCGGTGTCTCGGATTGGAGCACTGGTTCGGGATGGCGACGAGCGTTGCGTGGAAGTTTTTTGGAGACGATACTATTCAGCTTTCTCCCGATGAACTTCCTCTCAATTTGACTGCACTTCCATTCGCCCTATTCATAGACGTACTTCACTCTTGCCATATACGTTTTGGTCTCCATCTCCGTCTTCTTCAACATCTGGGCCGGCCTCACTACCACCGTCCTTGCTCTCATCTACCCCACCTACCGGTACGTATAAGCTTGCAATGCATGAGCAGCGATCGTTTCTGCGATGGACGCCTTCCGCGATTCTTTTCAGGTTCACTCATCGATCTTTTTTCGCAGGGCATTTGAAGCGTCCTCGAAGAACGATGTCGAATCCCTGAAGGTCTGGGTTACATACTTCTGGTTCCTCGGACTTTTGTCCCTCGTCGAGTTAAAGGCGGGGACTATCCTCTACTACTTCCCTCTGTACTACGTCGCCAAGCTTGTTGGAACATTCCTCATGTTCTTGCCCAAATACGATGTGAGTGCCTGGAGATTTTGGAGGGCGATCCACGGTGGACAAGGCAATCATTCTAAGAACCGTAACCGTAATCCCATTCCTGTAGGGCGCAAAACACCTTCACGACTTCATCTTGCCTCACTTTGAGCCTTTCTTCAAGCACAACCAGAAGGACCTTACCAAGTAGATTTTACCTTAGCGAGCCTCATGGAACCCCATACACTAGATTACCACTCATCCCGGAACTTGATTCCCTTATGCATAATAGAAGTTTATTAAGAGATGTAGCTTTTGGTTGGTACCGCAATTGCGTACCCTGACCTGCGAAGAGAAACCTTTAGCTCGGAGATCTCCTTGATGCGCTTGGATCTCCTTTGGGATCCATTCTGCTTTCCCGGAAGTCTGTAGGATCTGCTTCCCTCAGGAAAGCATTTGGATCTGGACTGCATCTTGTAGCTGACCCTGATATGGAGGAGGGAACGGTAAAACCGCTGTATGACAGTCTGCAGGTGTTCAGTCGTGTGGCTTATCAGCCGTCCGAGACCCACGCCATGCCAGCATCCGCCCCTGAAAGTGGCCTAACGAATGATTCCCTTCACTGGAACGTAACCCCCCCTGACATCTTCCGAGTACGCTCCAAGACGCAACCCATGTCCGCCCACCCCATCATACACGACACCACTTCCATTCGTCCCCTCAGTGTTGTTGTTGTTGTTCACGAATTCCATTCGAAAACGCAAATCCGCTCTGTTTCAGAACGCTCCCACTAAACTTCCAGTCAGATCTTCGATGCTCTAGATCGCTTTCTATTTATTTACGTTTCCAGCGGCATGGGCAGAGAAGGTGGATATTGTTGCGGGGAAAATACACTAGTGTCCAGTCTTGTTGCCCGAGGCGTCAATGACTTTCTGCAAAATAAAAATCAGAATAGAGTCAGTGAATCTGCTAGAAGCGGACATGGCTTCTTCCATAGACTCCCCATCTACAGAGAACCCGAGCCAGCCAACAAAAAGTTAATTTCGAAAACTCCCGTAAACGTACCGAGTCACCCTGCTTTCCATCCTTCCAGACCTGCACCTTTGCGTACTGCTCCTCACGACGGAGGGCAAGAACCTTAGCGTTTTCCTTCAAAACGTTGCGAAGCGCCTTGGCCGAGACGTTGGCGTATTGCAGGTATCTAAAAAGGTATAGGAGAGAAAGTCAGGCCCACATCAAAATCGGAATTTAGCCGTCGGCTGAAGCTCAGGTCGGGAAGGGGAATGATGGGATGTGTTCTGGGAAGCTTAGGATACGTACGTCATACCAGCTTCCCTCCAGAAGAACGACATTGTCGGTTACGCTGTGGGGGGTTTGCGTTGGGATGTATGGCGGGAATCGATGGTGGATCGCTCGAAATTGAGTCGTCGTTGTTCCATTAGGGACACGTTATGGACGGGTGTGGCGCAGCCGCCGATGCCTCCCGTAACTTTCCACAGAGTTTTGGCCAGGTTTTGGCTGGATTGTAGACTTTCTCGCAGACATCCAGGTGCAGCAGGTGCAGCAACACACAGACGAGCTACCGACAGTTTACATCCTTTCGTGGCGGACAACTCGACACCCTCAATTTCTATTGGGAGAAATCGCTGAAAGCGCCCGTTGATCGACAAACGGCAAAGCTTGCGGCACACAACAGCAAAACTTGAACAAAAACCCACCGAAGGAAATTCACACAACGCTAATAACATTCTGCAACTTATCGAAAATCCATGTTCACCGCCCTCCGTCACATCCTCTTCCCCGCCCGCCTACGGGCCTTCCCATCCATCACCTCCTCACCAACCGTCGCACTTACACCCGCACTACTGATACCGCCACGACCGACAATATCACTAGCTCCCCTCTTCACCCGCGGCTACCGCACGCGAACGGCGCTAAAACTCCGATGCGAGAATTGCTTCTTTTGCAAGCGGAGAGGGAAGCTGAGGGTGGAATGCAGGGAGAATCCGAAGCATAAGCAGAAGCAGAAGTAGGGGGAAGTGGTGGTCGGGATGGGATGGGATGATATGGGTGTAGATACATGGGGATTTTCGGGCAAGGAAGGGCCATGATGTGCAGTCGGAGAACTCCTGGCTGTATTCTGGACGAGGGGAGTGTGTGATGATTCTGTCGGATGGCAGTCGGAGTGGCAGCGCCATCAAGCACAATGAAACAGGGATGTTGGGGTCCCTATGCACTGGGAATGCATTGAATACTCGTATGGCATTCGAAATACACTACGGGAAGCGTCCATACACTCGCATGCGCTTCCGAGAGTCGGATTACTTGGCCGAGATGCCGATTGCGACGAAGCCTATGGACATCCACTCACAGACAAATGACTGCTTTGGCAGTGCGGCCAGTGGCAGACATGGGATGTCAGGACAGTAGCCCCAGTCCTGGCAGGGACTCCAATGTTATGCCAAACGTGTTCATGACCAGGGCTAAATTACGAGCACGCGTGAGGCAGGCTCGTGCAAACGACGGTCAAACGGTCGGAGTCCCTGAATTTTCAAGGTCACGGCGACGCTCTGTCAATCAAACGAGCAATTTCATGGAGAGTCTGCTCCTCATCCCTAATGTTTAGATAACCTCCGTCTGTCGGTGACGGGCAGCTTCGCCATAACAGACCTCATCCGTGATGGCCGCCGCCACTCAACATCAGCCCGGAGATCACTCGGGTCGACCGCCTGTGGATTTGCTCTCCCCATTCGTCCGAGTGGCCGATCTTTGGCTGTCGTGGAGACCCGTCCGCTATTTTACTTTGACGTGCATCCAGCCTTTCGTTGTGCTCACATACCTGTACGAGCGAATAACCCCCAAGCGCGAGCTGGGAAGTGGCCCCGACAAGCGGCGCGCGTCTTTATCTCCTACTGAACGTCGCGGCTCCTTGACGGCGGCGACTGGGGTCTCAGGAGAGCCGTTGCCGACGCCACCACCGTCTTCGACTGCTAGTACGTCTTCCCTGGATGTGAGGCATGGGGAGGAGAGTAGGTCGCATCGAAACGTTAGCGCGGCGGTGAGGCCGAAGTTCCACCGGAACTCAACGTTTAGCGACGGCGGGAGTGAAACGAGCGGTTCGATATATAGCAGTAAGTTGACGTGGTGGCTTACCGTCCGTCACGATTGAGAGAGGTCTTACTGTTGGAATACATCAGCCGCATCGGCCGCCCCCGCGTACCTCCCAAAGATCAATAAATACGCTATCATTCGAACATCGGACGCATCCTTCGAGCCTATCAAGGAACTCTTCCCGTTTCAACCGAAATACTTCAAGCTGGGCTCTTTGCGCATCCACTACATTGATGAAGGGACCCGGGAGTCTAGTTCACCGCCTGGTGGTGCAACGAAGCAAAAAGTTGTCGTGCTGGTTCATGGGGCTTTGACGTGGATGTACATGTACCGAAAAGTGATCCGCCAGCTGGTGGATGCCGGGCTGCGGGTGATTGCCATCGATCTTCCAGGGTTTGTAGACGGACGCATTTCTCGCTACCACACCGTGCCGAGCTAATCTAAGTCTCGATTACTCTTCAGCCATGGGAAATCGGACAAAATCCCCATGTCGGGCGCGGCACTTATTCAGATTCAAGTCGCTGCGATACGCTCGCTCCTGAACCGCTTTTCGAATCCGGACCTGGACGTCACGCTTGTAGCACATGGGACTGGAGGCACTGTGGTCGGAATCGCGCTGGCTGAGATGGGCGACTTTGGGAGCAACCTAAGTCGGTTGGTGTTCGTGAATACCTTCCTGCCTCCTCATCAGGTAGGTTCAAGGTCATGTAGAATGTCAATGTTCGGACTACACCTGATCACTGACTTTTCCCAAACAGGAGGAATGCAGTGGGAGAGAAATTGAGACGCTTCTCATTGCAAGATCCCTCTTTTACACCTTCCGGACGTTCGTCAAACCGTCCACTATGATACGATGTGCTACGGCCTTCTCTTCCAGTAGCAGGCTTACCATTGGCGAGGCCCGTGGATACGACGTCCCATGTGAGTGCCTTTCCTCTTGCGCTCACATACTGCTAGAAGAGCTCATTTGAGCCCTCCTCTTCTCCAGACCCAACTGTATCGCACGCCCACGCAGTAAAGACTCTCCCTTCCGCCCTACCCCTCCCGCTCTTCTCCGACCCGCTGATCCTTCGCATTCGCGAACTCTTCCCCTTCTTCGCCCACCGTACTCCTCTCATCTCGCCCCTCCTCGCCAACAACCAAAGCGTAGAAGTCGAAACAGAGAAGGCCAAATTGTTCTTGACCGACTATGCGCGTCGGGTGGCGAGGCGGTGGGTCGATGGAAAGCTGGTCGTCACGACTCCGACGACTTCGGGCGCGAATCATCGCGCGCTGGTGATTTGGGGTACGAGGGATAGGTGTTGGAGTGGTCTGGGGAAGTGGTTTGCGAATTTGATGGGTGCGAGATTGGTCACGATCGACAGTGCTGGTGAGTCTCGTCCTCTGATCTGTACGCCCATCAGACTGTGAATCCTTTGTCTGACCGAAACTCACGCGACCTTTACTCTCTTCAGGCCACTACGTTCCGGAAGATGACCCTGAAGCACTCGCCCAGTGTCTGCTAGAGTTCATTCAACCTTGAATCACCAAGGATCGCTGCTGCTCGCGGCTTCTCTGATTCATCGCGAAAAACCTTTACGTCTCGTACGTTAGTTTTCTCTTCCCTACTTTTATGGGCCATTACAAGTTCTTTTTCTCATTTTTTGTAGTTGAAATTGTATTCTGAAGGGCTGCAGGCAGGCCCTTCGTCGACTGTACATATAATTACAATACTTGTTGTCCACAGAAGCCACAGAAACCGTGGCTGTTGACGCCGTGACGTGCACGTATGGCGGACGCGTGCAAAACAAAACGCCGCTGGCGCCGAGAACGCCCAGAACGCGGCTTTTCGCTCACAGCTCATGAAGAGACTCGCAAGCCTTCCGTCGCCACATTGCGTTCTTTGCTTCAGGATACCTTTTCGATATAGCAACCACATGCTTTGCTCTCGCTCTCGCTGCATTCCTTTCTCAAGCGCAAGATCAGCAATTCATCCCCTCCTTCCTCCCCATCGCTACTTCACCACCTCAATACCCACCGCTATGCGAGTTATTCCCGTTCCATGTTTATCGGACAATTATGCATATGTGCTCGTGGACGATAACGGCGTAGTATGTAGTTTCCAGTATAGTCTTGTAGTCCGCGTTTTTGCATACACCCCTGGGTGGGGTGCGGTGGCTGCGTCCTGGGAAGATAGGTTTACTAATGATGTGGGCTGAATAGGGACTTGCCGTAGACCCTGTTGAGCCGCGAAAGGTCATCCCAGTGATGGAGAAAGAGAACGTGAAGATATCGGGGATATTGACGACAGTGAGTATGCTATGATACGCGGACCATCGACGGAGGATCTGGACTGGAGATGGCGACACTAACCTTTATTCACCAGCACCATCACGCGGACCACGCCGGCGGCAACAAAGGGTTCCTCCACCAGATCCCAAACATCCCCGTTTGGGGCGGCGACGACCGGATCCCGGGGCTCACCGAGAAAGTCGTCGACCGGGCGGCCTTCACGGTGGGCGAGCTGCACATCACGCCGCTTTATACACTGTGCCATACGCTGGGCAGTGTCTCGTTTTATGTTGAGGATAAGAAGTCGGGGGAGAAGGCGATTTTTACGGGGGATACGCTTTTTGTTGCTGGGTGAGGAGGCGGGATGGCTGTGATTTGTTAGGGGTGGGGTCGGTGACGGTGCTGATGTTCGAAAATATGGCTTTTTAGATGCGGGAAGTTCTTTGAGGGGACACCAGAGCAGATGCACAACTCGCTGTATAACGTTCTGGGGCAGTTACCGGCTGCAACAAAGGTGTATGTGGGACACGAGTACACAAAGGTAAGGGATTACATCCATGCCCGGTCGTCCATCTGACAATGTCTTCACTGAGATGTTCTTCCCTCCAGTCCAACCTGAAATTCGCAGTACACGTGGACGGGCAAAACCCAGCCGTGGTCGCGAAAGCCAAATGGGTGGAATCCAACACATGCACCGTGCCCTCGACGATCGGCGATGAAAAGACTTTCAACCCCTTTCTGCGATGCGATACGCCGTCGATTAGGGAGGCCGTGGGGTTGCCGGCTGATGCGAGCGTGGTGGAAGTTTTGGGGGCGTTGAGGAAGTTGAAGGACTGTTTTTAGGGGCGTGAATTGCATCAGCAGGATCTGCTTCAAGAAGTTCATTGTATAATAGTTTTGCATCACTGAAATGATCCAATTTCTGCAGCACGTTCGAAAAGTGAAGGCCTGATGTGCGAGTTGTACAAGGTCTTAGCTGTCTATCTACTACGAAACCTAACTACTACTACTACACCAGTTTACCCACTACGCCAAAGTAACGCCGTCGGGCATAAGGTTTGGCGCGATTTCCATCTCCATCGCAGCGTCCCGAGCCGCAGCTGCGCCGGCAACATCTCTAATTATGGCGAGCATCGGGGTGATGGCTTGATATACCCGAATGAGAATTAGCAAGGGAGAGACAGAATGTACGCTCCTCTTGATCAGGGAAGATACTCACGTGTAACTCCTGTCTGGGCGACGAACAGCTTGCCAGTTTCATCTTGGCCCCATCGTTTGGGTCCATTGTACTCATTCAGGACTTGCTCGGAAAGCGTATTCCTTGATTGTAACAAGCGGACCATAGCTTCTCCGCAAGCGAGTACAGCCGCCGATCCGCGCAAAAGATCTTCCAGCCCACTCGCGAGCGACGCTTCCAGTTGAACGTACTTTTCCGGCGGGACGGATGGTACGAGGATAACCGACGAGGTCCAGTCTTTTGGAAGGGCATCGATGGGCGCGTGTATTGCCGAATCGCAGCGAACGCGAACAATCTTCGACTGGTTCGCGTTCCGCGCGGATGAATCCCCGCCCGTGACGACCAACTCATCGGCATTCGCTGGAGGTACCCCTTGCATAGCTACGAGCTCGACTATGTGGGTGCTCGCAAGTCCAAAACAGGCTTCCAGTATTCCAGCCACATCCAGACTGTCGAAGCCGGGAAACAACAGTACTTTGATGGTGTTCGACTTCCTCTTCGAGAAGAACGTCAGAGGAAGCGAAGGCAGTCGGCTGGTGGTCGCCTGCCCTTGAAGATCGGTACGTTCTCGCACCACTGAGCTGGCAACTAAGGTGGTAGCTTTAAAGTAGAGGTAGTCTGCCCAAGGGCCTAGAAACGCGAACATCAGATAGGCATCATAAGACGGATTCGACGATATTCGAAGTTGAGAGAGCCCCCATCATACCCGTAGGCTTATGCAGTGTCGCAAACGGGTCATCGCCGTCTGAAAGTGGGACGTATCCGACGAGACCTGCGACCTTATCGGCTTGGACAGCGCTGAACAACTCTTTTGCAAGGTCAAATCCTATGTCCAAGCCAGCAGAGACACCGCTAGCGGTGGTAAACTTTCCATCGGTCACATAGCGAGCGTCTCGTATCCATGTCACCGACTTTCCGTACTGCAAATGAAATTCAGCAAAAAACTCCGTGTGACTGATGAGGGCCATCAGGACAGCAATCGAACCTGGGTTTGCAAGCCGAACACGGCTTTGTTTGAAGTGGCTCTCCGCCCGTCCAGGAGGCCAGCTTCGGCCAAGATGGACGATCCAGTGCAGATACTAGCCACCCGACGAGCGGTCTTGCTCTGCCTCCGTACAAAGTCAAGTAGTTTGCGGTCAAACGCGGCTGTCAAGCTTCCTGGGCCGCCCTAATAGGCCGTCTTATGTAAGTTATAGTGTGCCGTTAACAAAGTGTGTCGAGATGCTAATCACTTACAGGTATCAGTAAGACGTCGGCCTGCGGACAAGAGTCCCAATCGTAGTCAGCGAGGACCGGAAAGTGGGCGGACGAGGGAATGGGTTCCTTGGTTTGCTCCCCGACCCAGGCAAAGGCATATTGCTCAGAACTCTCGGAGACAGCGGCAACCTTCGCCAAGACGGAGAACGGGCCCTGCACGTCCAAAACCTCCCAACAGGGGAAGAGCACGGCTACCACCAGCATCCTCACAGCGCCGTCAGTCGAAAAGAGTGGTTGGACGTGAGGCCCAATGGAGGCCGCGGGGAGTTTGTCACACGCGTCAGCAAACGTCACAACCGGCGACTGCCATCCAAGGCCATCCTGCATCTGGGCACGGACGAGCTCGAGCAGGCTTCCGACTGTGATCTCAACTCTCACGCCAACACTCAACATGGTCGAGGCGACGGAGGCCCTGAGGATGGCCGACGAGGTCTATCAGAAGTACGTCGCCACGTCGAGCGAGAGACATAGCCTAACCAACAAAACTCTCCCCGAAGAAGATACTGTAGCTAACTGCAGCACTTTCATCCTTTTCGCAGCTTCCTGGTGTGGCTTAGAGAACGCCAGCAGTCTCGACCGCAGCCAACCCGGACAGCACCCAACGTGCAGGGTCAGCGCGAAATAATAGGCCGGTAGGATAGCTGCTGGCTAGGTTAGCCTTGCCCTAATCTACCTGGACTCACGTCGTATTGCTGTTTCAGACTTCAGTCTGCGATCGCTCAATCTCGTCACTACGAGGACTTTGAACTGCAGGTATGGGGTCATTTTGCGGGACATAGGGAGACGGCCGACTGCGGCGGGCGAAGCGTGGTGCAGGGTTGGTTCGGTCTGGGTGACCGCGTGGTCGACCGCGTGGTCGACCAGAGCAAACGCTTTTCGCGAGCCATACGAGCCGCAAGCGAAGCGAGCGATGTTGGCTGTCTGCGGCGAGGGACAGCGGAGCGAGCCACATTGCGCCAAAGGCGCAATACTCTCATCACCGCATTTCTTACCGAGCCTCAGCGAGCGTCAGATCTTTTGCGAGCGAAGCGAGCACCACATCGCGCCAAGAGCGCAGTATCCGCCTCGGTGGGTTTTGATGGGGGGTTGATGGTTGATACGTTGATGGTCAAAGGTTGATGGATGATGGGTCGATTCCTGATGGTTGCTGATTGATGTTGATTGCTGATGGTTTGACTTCCGCTTCGATACACGCGACAGGATGCAGCACGTGACGCTATCCCGGTGGATGAACTCCACGAACAAGCTCAGTCGGAGGTGAAAGCGAATGCCGACCTGCATTTCCATGATCAGTTGGTCAAGGCTTTGTTGAGATGGTTCAAAACAAAGGTGAACCCCGGGATATTAGCTGGGCGATGGGACGAGAACTGGTTAGGCATCGCGTATACTCATTGAATGGAAGACTGTAGTATTTCACGTGGGTCAACGCGCCGGAATGTCAGTTCTGTAAGGTAGCCGTCAGCTCATCTATGACTCGGAAACGAGTGTGTGCGTGAAAAGGCTCACTTGTCACCCATGTGTCATTAGAGCTCAACAACTGGAGTAGGGGGAGCTCAGCCAACACCCACAGAGGCGAGCTATCAATGCGGGAGGGTAGAGCTGTATAAATGCACCGCATGCTCGAAAGAGACGAGGTTCCCTCGCTACAAGTGAGATTCTGATATTTCAAATGGACCTCTATCTGCAACTGATACTGACGAACTCTTTGCATGTATGTAGCGACCTGCGGAAACTGATGGAGACCAAGTCAGGGCGATGCGGCGAATGGGCGAATGTACGAGGGAATTTCTCTTTGTCTTCCGTCAGAGCATTGTTAGCATCTGATTATCGAATCTTGATCAGGTGTTCTGCTTGTTCGCGAAAGCGATGGGTTTCGACGCTCGTTACGTGCTGGACTTCACCGACCATGTGAGTGACTTTGCTCGGCGTCGTCGTCCCGATGTGGCTGCAGCGATCCAGGAGTAGAGCCGATGCAAGAGTAAAACGCTAAATTCAAATCCTGGAGTAGGTATGGACAGAGATCTACAACGATCGGGAGAAGCGATGGATAAACTGCGATTGCTGCGAGGGAGATGGATCCTATGACCAACCACTGATGTCAGGCTTGAACGATTGGTACCATTTCGCGTCTGTCCGAACGTACTAAACGCTTACAATCCTCTGCCAGGTACGAGGCAGGCTGGGGAAAGAAGCTGACCTACATCTTCAGCATCGGTCCTTACGAGGTCGTGGACGTCATCCACCGCTACACCGCCAGACCAGACGAAACGTTCGCGCGTCGGACTCTGGTCGACGAAGCTTGGTTATCACAGGTCCTCTCTCTCTCTATACATCATAACTGTCGCGAACGACGTTCTCACTAAATCATGTTCTGTCTGCCTCTCAACAGCAAGTAAAAGTTTTAACCCATGCTCTCCGCGAAGGGCTGCCACCAAGCATGATCGCCGAACTGGAAGAACGTGATAAGGCGGAGGAGACGCAGCTGAAGGGCGCGCCGAAAGTCGAGCATCCTGAGGACCTTGTTGGACGACAATCGGGGTCGGTGGAGTGGCGGGCGACGAGGGGTGAGATTGGGAAGAGCGGGGAGGGGCAGAAGGACGATGCGGCGAAGGAGGAACATGATGATACGGTTTAGAGTCGACTTTGCAGGGGGTTCTTCGAGTTACGGTCACGTTTTTGGAGTAGATTCCCTGCCTTCGTTGCGGCATGTTTAGCAATTTGAGCGCTGTGGAAAATGATGGGCGGAGCCAGAAATCGCGCTCATCGCCGCACAATGTCAGACTAGAATATAGAACGGGCCAGCCGAGCTTATTGAAGTGGACTACAGTAAAAGTACAATATGATTACAGGGAACGGGAACGCAAAACTGAAACACTATACGCCGATGAGGGAAAATAGGACTCTAATTATAAACTGTACACAAAAATATGGATCAAATTATGAATCAAAGATCGAGAAGGTCGAAGAAGATCCTCCTGCTGGTCCCAAGCGATTAGGGTGACGATGAGATGGTATTGAGATATGCCGATGAGAGGTTTTGAGTAGCAGCGAGGTAATAGGGCGTGCGCGCCAGTCGTTTTGAGCGTCCATTCGAGGCAACGAGTCTGTTGAACGGAGGGATTCTACATCGGCAACGACGACGAAGACCACTTTGCGTCCAGCTTGCCGTACCTGAGCGAGGTGACGCTGCCGTTCCTTGAAGCCAAAAGCGGCGAGCGCACGCGTTTGAGGGAGCGCCGGACATTAGGGTGCAACGACTCCTTCCGAGGCGGTGGGAAGGGGCGGATGGCAGTCCACGCGAGTGACCGACGACGGGCGAGTGCGACTCGAAGGGTTGCCAGCTTCTTCGCACTGGAAACATTCCGGCGGAGAGTCACCTTCTTGGTGATGGGTGTAGGGATATTCTCGATGGTGGTTGTGGGCAGAGAGAGAGAGCGGGGTGGTAAGGGTTCCGCAACGTCGTCGGATTCAAATGGCCTACTTGGTGTAGCCGGTGGTGTGGTGCCCGGGGTTGGATAAGACATTGTGTGCGACGTCGGGTCATCAATGGCAAGTGTAGTCTTCACGTTTGTGAAAGCTGCGTCCCCTTTGTCTCCAGTACTCTCAAGACTTGGTTTCGGACTGATTGACGCATGTGCGTCGTCTGGCTGAGATGCCCAGGTAGCGACGATCCCCTCAAACCCTTCCAGATCCCCAGCATCGTTGCTCTCGATGATGGTCACCCGCTTTCTGATCTCCGGATCGAGGTGGACAGGAGTCTCGTCGACAGATTCGATTGAGGTCAGACACTTTTTAGGCTTTCTGAGTACCGGATCGGGGCTGACCATCTCGGAGTACGTGACACCCACAGCATCGCTGATGGCAGCGCCTAATGCCGCTGTTAGATCTCCCATGTCGCTTTTGTTTGTGGTTGGGCTACTCGCCGCCAATAAGGGTGACCGCGTGGGACGGCCGCTAGGCTTCCCCCCGCTTTCCCCGTCCTCTTTGCTCTTGATACTCATATCATCTCCCCTGGCTTTCCGACGACTGAAGATGCTTTTACTCCGCGCTCGAGGAGGGGATGGTGGCTCCGAAACCGCCTTAGGGCTTTCTTCGGTCCCATTTGGCTCGCCGCGGGCATCTGCGCTGACCGAAGACTTTATGCTGGAAGGCTTTTTCATGCTCCAGATTTTCGAATTCGGAGGTGTGGGAGATGCACTCCGAGGGATTGGTGGGACGGGCGGGATGTCGTCCGCAGTCTCCTTCTTCTTGTTCGAGTCCTTGCCCCGCAACTTGTCCCAAACGAGCCTGCTCATAGAGGGTTTCCGCTTCATGGACTGATCCGCTGTCTCGTGAGCGTTATCCGTGTTGGTACTTTTTGTCGTCCGCAGTTCCGCCCGCTGTTCCGCCATGTTGGGTCGCGCCAGCCGCGTGACCGCCTTTGCATAATCTTCAATCTCCGTCACTTTCGGGTCAACCTTGGCAGGCACTTGCCGTGACGCCGAAGTAGTGGACGCCGTACCACGTGCTTCCCTGTCTCGCTTCGAAGCCGGTACGCATGCCCGCTGATCCTCCATGTCGGGCCGGGCGAGACGATCGACGCGTTTTTCAAAGTCCTCCAAAAAGTTATTGTCGCGCGGCGGCTCCGGGGATTTCGAGGACTTTCGCTGGCTGCTGCTGGTGGCAGTCTTCGGAGATTCCGCATCATCTTTGATGCCTGCACGCCCCAATCGCCCGTCTGTAGTGCTATGGTCCTTGGCGGGGTGCCCATCAAGCGTGGATTTCTGCGCTTTCGATACCTGCGGATTCGCGGGCTTGATCGGCGGTGCTTCACGAATCGCCTTGCCGTTTGTGATCGGTGCTGTCACTCCGGCGAGAAGTGCTGCATGCTCCTTGACCAGGAGACCGTCACGCGGGGACTTTGGGGAGGTCCGGCCGTTGGAGGCCACGATGGAAGGTACACTCACTCGGAAGTTGTTCTGCCGTTGCTCGGCCATGGACTGGTTCGGCTTCCCCGGAATCTTCCTTTCCGACGACTTTTCCTCAACCTCGGCTGTCACAGGCTGCCTCAGACGTTCAAGTTTGGCACCAAGCTCCTCAACAAGCAGCTCATCACGCATGGAATGCGCCGGCCTCGTATCCGTTTGGGGCATGACGCTGCCCTCGGCCTCATTGAGATTCCGATCCAGTTGCTCCTTCCCGAGTGAAGGTTCAGATAGCTTTTTCATGAGAGCAACATGTTGTTCGACAAGCTTCTTGTCTCCAGGGCCGCGAGTCGACGTCTCATCCTTTGAGCCCAAGGGCATTGGTGACATTTGGGCTTCGTCAGTTGTCCTCTGCGCTTCTGGTTGGTTCAATTTCTCTACCAGTGCTGCATGCTCAATCACAAGTTTCTGATCTTTCGCATTGCTGGCCGCAGCCGCACTCTTGGGTGCTTCTAGCGGGGCTGCATTCGGCGGAGTCGTTTCCAAGGTTGGCCGCTTGAGCTTTTCCATCAATGCACCATGCTCCTTCACGAGTTTCTCATCTTTCGCATCGCTGGCCGTAGTGGGAAGTTTCCGATCTTTCGCATTGCTGGCCGCAGCCGCACTCTTGGGTGCTTCTAGCGGGGCTGCATTCGGCGGAGTCGTTTCCAAGCTTGGCCGCTTGAGCTTTTCCATCAATGCACCATGCTCCTTCACGAGTTTCTCATCTTTCGCATCGCTGGCCGTAGTGGGAACTTTTAGCGATGGGGCAGTTCCCGGGGTAGTCTCCGAACTTGGTCGTCGAACTTTCTCTATGAGAGCGGTATGCTCTTCCACAAGCTTTGCAACTTTCCCATCACCGTCGGGCGCTGCGCCTTTTGTAGACACAGGCGAAAACGGGGCGGCTTTCTGGGTAGTTTCCAAACTCGGCCGTCTGAGTTTTTCCATCAAAGCGGTGTGTTCTTCCACAAGCGTGGCATCCTTCCCATCGCTGGTCGGTACCAGGCTCTCCACGGGTGCTCGAGAAGGTGTAGCGGGTTGCTTAGTAGTCTCCATGCTCGGGCGTTTCACACTTTCCATCAGTACAGCATGTTCCTTTAACAGCTCGGCGTCCTTTCCACCAATGGGTGGTGCCAAGTTCTTCGCTGTTTCCGGCGGTGACGCGGCAGGCTCCCGATGAGCCTCCATGCTCGGACTTTTGGGAGTCTCCATCAGATTAGTATGTTCTTGCACAAGCTTCTCATCGCTGGCCGGCGCCGACGCCACACTCTTCGCGGCGACCGGTGACAGTGGAGCAGCTTTGCGGATGGATTTTTTTCTTGGTCTAAACCTTTCCATCAAAGCTGCGTGTTCCTTTACAAGCCCGGCATCTTTCGCATAAGGCATTGGATGTTCTTCGGTAATACTCGTCGCTTTCACTGAAGGTATCGACTTTACGCTCCCGGGGCTCGACGTTCCGTTCACTGCGGTTGCAGCCCGCGAGACAGGTGTCGCTGGCCTCGGCAGGAGAGCTGACTTCGATGGACGAAGTACGGCACGCTGATGCTCCAACATGGGCTCACGGAGGCGGTTAACCGTCATGGTGTAGTCGAGTAGCACCTCCGTCAGGTTCGCTTTCGCGTTTGTTTCTTTTTGTGCTTTTGTCGGAGCGACTGATCGGGGAGACTGAGGTTGCGGCCGGGTGTTGGAGGTAGTGACTGCGGAAGTAGTGATGGTTGCATCCTATATTGACCGAGTCAGAAGAAGCGATGAGTGAACATGGTGCATGAAGTCACAATACACAGTAGAAATTGGACATTACCTTTGCATTGAACAGCGGCCCTTTGTTCCACTCTGCCACGCTCGAGGTAGGAGGCAAATTGGTGTTCGCCCCGTTGGACTCGGCCTCTGCCTGAAAACGAGGGATGGATTCTTGGGTGGGAGATACCACCCTGGCGTTGTTCTGATAACTTAACCATTCTTCGATCGAGTATGCAGGCGTGTACGGGTTCTTCTGAATCGCAGGTTGTGTGACGATCGGTGGCAGAACGAAGGGCTGCGTCAAGATGTCGAAAGAAGAGGTGCCCGAGGCGCTATTGGATCTAGGCCGTCCAGAGCTGCTTGAAAAGCGGTAAAGAGAAGAGAGTCTCTTCATGGACTTGGCTCTCCTTCGCGCGGCCTCCTGCTCCCGCAGATAGTCTCCCCGCTTTGCTAAGGAGTTCGTCGGTGGCTCGGGGAATCCTAGTCGAGGAATCTCAGTGAAATCGTCCGGGTCAGGCGTTGGCAAATGCGCGATGGGACTGGCGGTGCTGAGAAACTCGTAAGCACTGCAGATGTCCGAATCGGCGACCAGCGTCTCATCAGAGTTCTCTCGCTTGTGCTCGCTCGACTCTTCCCAGCCCGGAAACGTACGAAGCCGTGTATCGATCTTTGACAATTGTGAACCCGAATCCATTGAACTGTTGATCGGCCCATTGACCCCGTGGGGAAGATCGAGGGAGTTCCGTGCACTTCTGATGGCAAATGGATTCACTGCCGGTATCCGTGGGCCAGACTTCCCTCGTTTGATATGAGGACGTTCGGAGGAGTCGCTGAGAGCGGAATTCGGAAATGAATCGGAAACATCGGCACTCTCCGACATCGGAATCGTTCTTGGTAGATCGAGGGATAGCTTCTGTCCGGGTTTAGGGGGCGAAAACGGTGAGGAACTCTGCGAATGACCCTGCCTCGCTGGGGATTCAGCTTCTTCCTGGATCGGCGGCAAGTTAGACCCAGACGACTCGACGCTGCTGTCGTGAGCGGTGTAGTCCTCGTTGGAGAAGCAAGCGGTTGCCACCCACTCCGCCATGTGCTTTTGAGTGTCTGCAAGATACCGATCCAGGTCGAGGTTGGTGTGGGACTGCGGGGCCTTTGGCGCTGAAGAAGCCGTCCATGACCCCCCACTACTTGCAGAATCCTGTGCCATTGTTGCGGGACGCTGCTATGAGTGTAGATGGTCGTTGAACAGTCGAGAGCTGCGTCTGCTTATTCCCACAACCCCTTCCTGCGGTTCAACAGACGGTGTGGGACCCGATTCTGAATGGGCAAAAACAAAGGGCTCCACAAGCTTCAAAAGGGACACAAAAGACCGCTGCACACCGACAAAAAGACAACAACAGAAGATCTGCTCTAAAGGAAGGTAGACTACAGTAACCTTCTGCTGCAATGCGGTCGTGGATCTATGCAGAGTTCCCACCTGCAATGGGGGCAAGGGTGCGTCTAGGGTATTATTATGTGTTCACTTCGTACGTCAGAGGAGTGTGAGGTGTGCGCTGGACCCGTCCCCCTTTGGCGGGGACTGGTCGAATCGCGCAGCGCCCAAGTGTGAAGTAGTCGCGTGCGCTGCAAAACTTAATAGTACTACTGCACAAAACTCTTTATCTACAGTCCACTACACTGGATTCACACAGATAGGCGGCAGGAAATAACGGTACTTGTCCGATGCTTCCCTATTACGTACCTATCGAGAGTCTTGGGGAAAGAAATAATAAAGCAAATCATCGCCAGCAGAGTGTTCCGTATGGTCATCGATCACTCGGAAAATACATGGCACACCTATATCGAACACCAAGCCAGGATGCGGCTGCCGGCTGCTCGCACTGTCGATCAGAGGGTATTCATGCTCGTACGAATTAGATGGATAGCAAACCTAAATTGCTTTCCGGTCGCGGGAATCGCATAGGCAGCAAGAAGCGCACCGTTGGCTTGGAGAACAACCTTAGTGCCGAAGATGCCTCTGCTTTTAGTGTTCATTATTCCTTAGAAAATGCGTTGACTTTGGGCATGTCTGTTCTCATTGGCATTTCCACGGAAGTCCGTACATTCATCTACATTGTTCCACCTCATTGCCGTTACAGTGCGCTAGCAGCGCTACATCCAGCAGACATCCAGACTGACAGGAGCACCTGGAGACCACGCGTTCGTTCCAGCGTTCGTTCTCCGGTGTAAAATCCGGATTACCGGAATCCGGGTAACTGAAGGTGGACGATCTGCGGCAAAAGTCAAGTGCGGCTTGATGACTCTGTCTGAAATGTCTTTTCCCCCAAAAGCAAGAAAAGCACCGAAAGGGTTGCACAGTGCAAGGTTCAGCCTTAGGTGGGCGGCGGCTAGAGCGTCCCTATAGTCCATACTCAAACGAGACTTTTCGAAAGCGAACGGAGGACCAGTGAGCGGCAAACCGAACGATGAATAGCGGCGAGACTGACCGTCGGAGGTGAGGTGTCTACCTGAAGGAGACGGGCTGAACAGCCCCCGACGACTCTTGCTCGCATTCTGGATCGGTCAGGGGAATACCATCGTACTGTACGACAACGAACGCTATGTTTGAGCACTTCAAAGGCGTGGAGGAATTTGTGGACTAGAGAAGTCTCAAAGGGGGGCAAGGTGTGTGTGACACAGCATTACGGGGAGCACACTACTTTTTCGTTTTCAGCGGCAAGCGGAGCTATTGAAAGACACGGAACATCGTGTGTGGTCCTACGGCTCCGTCCGACACCAACAGTAGGGGCGAGCCTTAGCCGATAGCATGAGGACGTTCACGGGGTCAGCCGCTAGCGTACAAGGTTAGAATGCAAATGGTTCTTGCGCTCTCCCTTTGCTCATACTATTCGACCCTTGCACTGATTATTGAGACTTGTGTCTTTGTATCGAAAGTGCCGTCTTTCTCTGGAGCTTTGAGATCGAGGAGCCGATAACATCCGCAACATGGGACAAGACGGCCGCCTTCCGCCAGTCCTCATTAAGTAGTACCCTTTCTACGGCACATCCTCGCGAAAGTTGGACGAAGCTCACCTCGCACTGGAACTGACCTCTTGGGATTGTCGAGATTAGGGTTAGGGTTAGGGTCGACTCATCAACACTCGACATGTACTGTATGGATGTGGCCACCAGCGTGGTTTCGAGTCGAACAACTTACGCGACATGACCCTCCCGCCTGAGTGGCGAAAGAACCTGGCTCCAGTGGCGTAGTGGTTAACGCACTGTACTTATAGGTGGCCATTCCTCCCATGCAATGCAGTGATCGCGGGTTCGAACCCCGCCTGGAGCATTTCGTGACAGTTTTTATCCGTTTCCCAAAAAATCCTTTTTACTTTTTTTGGCCCAGATTTCATATGGGAAATCGACCATTTTTGCGAGGGGGAACTGAACAACCCTGTTAGAAACGGCCTATGTTGACAATGCGCTGTTGTTCAAAAACAGATAGCTAACTTATAACACAACTTGCTACACCGTCTCCTTCTCTCATAAGCTCTCTCATACGCTCCCACATCAAGCCTTGAGACCGCATCTCCCATTTTCAACGAAAAACACCCACTCCAAACCGCTACGCAGTGGAACCAGATATTACACACTTTCAAGCACGCCTCTTCCTCGCGCCGCTTTCCTCCTGCTCCGATCCTCCCGCTCGCCTCTTTCCTGCCCCAGCCGGTGAAGATCCGCCTTGCTGGTCGCCCTCATCTATGTGCTCCTCCTCCTGCTCTTCTTCGCCCTCTTCAACCTTACCCTCGGCCTCACCCTCGGCCCCAGCCTCTTTCTCTTCACCTTCTTCTCCACCCGCCAACAGCAGCGACGGAAGTAGTTCTTTGGCAACGGCGGCGCACGGGCAACGACGGGCCAGTGTCCCCTGTAGCTCAGCTTCGGCCGCTTGTTCTTTCGTCAGCTCGGCGGCCGCTTTCTCTTCCCTTCGAAGCTGCCTCAAAATCGTTTGGCGGATGGCGGATGGTAAACCCTTGTGCACAAGGAATGAGAGACTCGCGCGTTCCAGACTTGTTCCTTGCCGCCCGAGCGTCTTGCGTTGAATGCGAAGTTCTTTCCTGACCTCGTCGAAGAGTTTGGAAGGAGTTTTGGATGGGATCACCCAGTCAATGCGAGTGATATCGACCTTTTTCGTATCGAGAATTTCGATGGGGATATTCCTGTTTGTGGCGTCTCTAGCAATCGTCTGCCAGAAGCAGATATTTGCGGCGGTGATGCCGACGTCGGCCAGATCCTCGCACAACTGTATCGTCTGAAAGATGCAGGCTCGAAAGATCATTTTCTGGTAGGTGCTGGGGAGTTTGCTGAAATCGTGGAATTCGTTGCCGACGAATGTCGATGACTTGGACATTTGTTTTCCAGTCCGCGGGTTTCCAACATTCCGACACGGGTGCCATGGCCTTTCTTAATGCACATCAGCACGCGAGCATAGCTTAGGACGGCACCGGCCGCATACCTATGCCATGCCAGCAACAGCCAGCTTGCAGTGCACACTAGATGCGGTAAATGCGAATCTCACCAACTATCCGGCAAAGAACGCCACCATTGAAAGCGTTGCCATGTGCGTGGCCATCTGCCTCGCATCGCTCGGTTCTTTTGTCACCCGACACTGGGATCTTGATGATGGGCCGCGATTCCGGCGAACTTCCAGCACCTAGCAGAAAATTATCTTTCGACCGTGCCTGTCGACAGCGTAAAGACTACCCGACGGACCTGTCGCCGTCGTGCAGCATTTCGTACAAACACTACGAGCTTCTCATGCAACCCCGTCTTTGCGTGAGACGCTCGGAGTATTTGTAAGGTGATACTGCGCGAGCGCCGCTCCTCGAAATCGAATCCGGACGACGTTTTGACTTCAAGCGACAACAATACTTGCGCGGATGGCGGAGGCCCGAGGGTCAAGCGGAGGAAATGCGGATCGCGACCAGTGCATAAAGCAGCTCAGCAGGGATGGCGACACCCGGCGGCCCGTTGCACAAGAGTAGCATTTAGGGGATACCTGCTGTATCGTCAGATAGGAAAAAGCTGTCTCTCCTCGAGATTAAGTCAGTGTCGCCAGCCGTGCATCACTCATCATCCTTAATCTCGGGCATGTCCTGATGAGACCTAATAGTCGGCAGCCGACGGCGTCTGTCTCCCTTTTGAAATGGTCATTGAATCCAATTAGGAGAGACAGCTTTTTGCTACCTGACTGTACATTAAGCTAGAGAGAGATCTAATCGAGTCCCTGTATCAAAGAACAAATTTGGGATCTCCATTGTCTTTTCCGGATTGAGCGGTTTACTCTTGGACATTATTCCAATCTCATTTGAAACTTTCGTAGATAGGTCGCTCCACACATCCGTGTAAGAAACTCCTATTTTTTTTTTTTGCATACTGACCAGTCGCTTTCCTCGGGTCTCAAAGACTCTGACATACTTCCTACGGACGGTCCATTTCGGTGGCCCGTTGCGTTCTCACGCCGCATGACAGGGGAGTGCTAGGCGTAGGCGACCAAGATTGAGGACGAAGAGACCCCATGCAAGCGACTTCCGCACCGAAGACTTGACTTGCGCATATTGTTTTAGACGGCGCGCTACCTTCGTGGATACCCATCTACCTCGAAAGCTCCGGCCGTACATCCTAGAGGCTGTATCCTACCTACACAACCTCTACCCGCATTCAAATGCATCACCGGACGCTAAATCGCGTTTCGAATACCTTATCGGTCGCCGCCCAAGTAGAAGAAAACTTGTACTTTATCGATTATCGTGAATAGAGAAGACTGCGAAGCATTTCAGAAGGAAAGGAGTATTGAGATACGTACGTACCAATCCAGGTAGACTGAGGTAGTACCTCTATGATGTACCAGCCTCAAGCCTCAAGAATCCGTATATAAGCCCGGGGAGGAGGTGAGACCGTGATGAGAGGACTCAGAGGAGTCTGATGAGGAGCACCCAAAACACATGCAATTGTTTGCCGTGTTTGCGGATGGAAACAACCCATCCCACGCATCGATTGGAGAAGTATTGAGATTAAGAGTGCCCGTGCAATTGATGACGCGCCGAGACGGATGAAACACATGACACCCATATGGCAATCAGCCCATCCCATCACCCATGTGCAGCGCGGCTCAATTTCAAGTTCACGCCTCAAGCGTTGGTACAGAGTCCACTTCTAGCGGCTCCGGGAAGAGAACGCCCCGCAAGGATATTGCACACCCCGCAAGGATATAAAAGGAGGGCACCATCGGCTTCCCCCAGTTGTCTCGTCGGGAACAACGCAACGCTTCTGTCTTAACAAGTGTCCTTTCGCATATCCCACACGGCATCGAGCCGTGGTCAGGTAGGTAACTTAACCCGTCTTCTGCATTTGATGTGGTTTTACCGTCAGCCAGCTGTGTGTTAATACGAGACTTTCGACCAACTACGTAGTTCCCACGCCTTCAAGTCGTCAGTCCAAACAGGCTGAGAGCAAGCGAGTTTGAAGGAATGATGAATGGAACGTGCTTCTCTTTGTCGTGGGTATGTGCGCAATCAGTTCAACTTTACCTTGAAAACATGTGAGAATGCTGACTGACTCCTCCTATCTTTAACTCGCAAATAGGATGTTCATTCAAGACTGAGTCTGAATTGAACGAGTACGCCTGGCCATGATGTCGGTGCAGTCTCTGCGAAAATGGATCAAGACAAGTGGGCTAGTTACTTAGTTAGTTAGTGTCTGTTCCACCCGTGTGTGCAGGTGCACGTAAAATACCCTAGCATGTTGACCCCACACAGTGCCGAGGGGCATGGGTCAGACGGCTTCTACAAGTCGTCACGCGATTATACACGTAATTATATACAAAGTGTAAAATACTGTACCTCTACCTCTATCTAGTAACTCCCTGCCCCGCTGCGACAAGTACCTCTCCTTTAAAAGAGGGACTCCCTCATAATACAAAACTCAGATCTATACAGCACGCAGCATACGGGATTCGCAACCATGACGACAAGCCCGAACGCCCCAGATCTCACTGGAAAGCTTGCTTTGGTCACTGGCTCATCCAGGGGCATTGGCAAAGCTATCGCTATTCTTCTCGCAGGACGGGGCGCCGACATCGTCCTCAACTACAGCAGCGATAGCCCGCCAACGGATGTCCAAGAAGCCATCGAAAAGCTGGGCAGGGCGTGCACGACGGTCAAAGCAGATATGGGCAAGCCCGACCAGATTATCCAGATGGTGGAGGAGGTCAAGAAGTTCGCCGCCGAGATGGCAGGTGTAGCATCGAAGCATTCAACCGGATCAGAAGCCCAAGCGCGACCCGAACCTCGCATTGACATCCTGGTCAACAACGCTGCAATCGCTCCCCCTTCCTCCCCCATAACGAAACTCCGCGTCGCAGACTATGATCGCGCGATGGACATCAACGCTCGCGGGCCGCTCATCCTCGTTCAGGCTCTGTATCCCTACATCAACGACGGCGGCCGCATCATCAACATCGGGTCGGTCAGTTCCCGGCTTCAAAATCCGCGAGGTGACAGCATCTACGGAGGGTCCAAAGCGCTTCTCGATTTCTTCACCCGTGCGTGGGCTGCGGAGTTTGCTAGCAGGAACATCACCGTCAACGCTGTACTGCCCGGCGCGACGTCCACCGATATGCTCTATGAGGCGAACGCCCAGCACGGTACTAAGGAGGAGCTCAACGCCATGTTTGCAAAACAAACGCCAATGGGCCGTGTTGGAGATCCCGACGATGTTGCGCAGGTGGTTGCTTGGCTCAGTAGTGAGTCTGCAAGATGGGTCACAGGGCAACATATCATGGCGAGTGGAGGGCTCGGTGTGTAGGCAAGTCGTTTCCAAGTGGTGTCAGTAAATAGTGTATATGTAGGGTCTATGGCTTAATCAGAAGGAGGCGCACGCGGGAGGAGGCTATCTGTAATCACATTCCTAGACGAATCCTTACTTTACATATATGTACAAATCCAGATTTACTGGGCGCAGAAGGTGTCCGGAGGCCCTCCTCAACGTCCACAATACAATCACCTAAGAAAGAGGCGACGTCGCGAATCCACAACGATGTAGCGCGGCGTGTCTCACGTGAAACCGGGGATCTCCGTTCGCGGCCGCTTCATTGCAGGAGCGAAGCGTTGACCCGATCCATTCTCCGCCTGCATATGCTGAGGGTGCATGGTATTTTGGACTGCTGATCCAGGCGCGGACCCGCTATGTTGAGCGAACCCTGATCCATTCGGCCTGAGGACAACCGTCCCAAAAGACATCGCTCGGTGAACCATTCCCAGGTCAATTCCCACAGTCGATTGTCTCTCACCTAGGATCCAACGCATCGAGTCCTCGCTTCATTTGCTGTTGGCCATTTGCGCTTTGCATATTTACATTCTGGCCATTGTGCTGTTGCCCACCCTCTTGCTGTCCAGCTTGAGACGTTCGGTGTTGCCCGGTATTCTGCTGCATACCGTTTTGGCGTGGGTGCCCCTGCCCACTATTCTTGGGGTTATTGTTCGTTGCATTTGGGCCTGAGCGTTGCGGGAAACTAGCGCCACCGCCTTGTCCCATGCCCAAGCCTCCGGGGGCTGACTTCTGCGTTACGAGCCTCTTGGACGCGTCTAGAGACCGGGTCGGGGAAGGCTTCAGGGCTGACTGCATTTGGTTCTCCTTCTGCTGATAGCCTGGTCCTTGATGTCCGTTGCTTGCACCGTTCTGTACATTCCGATTCTGCTCCCCGGTTTGCTGCGCATTCTGTTGTGGTGGCAGATGCGTCCGTTCCTGTTGGTTCTGCATTGGATGCGGACCAGGTTGCGGTGGTACAGTCGTCGACTGATTTATCTGTTGCTGCCCTGGCCCCGGTTGCATCTGAGCCTGCTTGGGACGCTCAGAGGATGTTGATTGCTGGTGCAGAGACCCTTGGTTGGTCTGATGATGCATTTGCATCGATGATGGATTATTGGGGATACCATTGGGCGGAACTGTGTTGTGCGGAACTGTGTTGGGACCAGCCCTACTGTTTATATTGTTTGACATGGGTCCCATACCTAAGGAGGTCAAATTAGTTAGGGTATTCATCGGTAGAATAACGTACACTGATCGACTTACCCGGAGGGGCGTGGACGTTTCGTTGTTGTTCTTGACTGCGCGGGTTCTGCACAACTGTCGTACCTTGGTTCGTCTGAAAAGACTGATTGCCTGAGGCATAAGGCGCTGCTGTTGTATCTTGGCCAAACTGGTTGGCCAGAGAGTTATGTGGTGCTCGACTAGGATTCGAATATGGACTTCCCATGAGTTGCTTATGCAAGGTCGAGTGTTGTCCACCGAAACTGCTTACTTGGTGGGCTTAACTGGAGTTGCCTCCTGAAGCAATCTGGGGTCGATGGTTTCCAAGTCAGCACCAACCAACAAATCGTCGTCGTCTACGCGCGATGATGGGAGAATGGGATCAGAGGGTATCATCGGTCGCGGTCCTCCTCGAACAATAGTTACCTCCAAACGAGCTCATAGTCCCAAACGAATGGGCCGCTGGTGGTACTGGAGCAGCAACTTAAAGAGAATCGCCGCACGGTTGAGTGAAACCTCCTCAGCATGAGAACAAGGCGCTTCCTCCGGAAAACTACCATTCGGCTGAGGACTATGTTGATGATTCGGTGGTGGTCGTTGTTGGTTCAGCCCCGTTGAAGTGGGTTTCCCAGCATGCCGGTCGCCGCTGGTCTTGTTCATGAAATCGGGAGGAATCTTGCTAGGAACTTCGCGGAAACTCTCATGGCGATAGAGTGCTTTAGGATCAATGTTGGTGCTCTGCTGAGATCTTGGAGAGTCAATGCCAGCGAGGACATTCTTCTCAAAGCAATGGAACAAAAGAGAAGTCAACACTCACAGGTACGGAAATTCTTTGCACCTTCTTCAGGTAGTCTTTATCGTATAAGCATCCCCCCATACTATTCCCGAAGCTCTTCAATGCCCGTTTGAGTGCATCGGTAATGGATTCCTTCTTTGCCTGCCGACGAAGTAGAAAAAGGGGAGCCTAGGTTATTGATAAAGCCGTCTCGTCGACTGACAATCATAGATGTTACCTTTTCGAAGGCTGCTGACTTCGATTTGGCATTCTCTATAGATCCATAGCCGACATCCTGTGGTTCTCGGCGGGTGAAACGCCGCACGGTCAGAGGACGGGACAGATTCTTGATTGAAAGAGAATGGAAGCCAACCTCTCGATACGTTCCATCTTTCAGCGTCACACGCACGATTGAGGATATGCCCGTGCTGACTTTCCCGTTCTCGATGTCCACCTTCAAAAGACAAAACCGACGTGGTCAGCGCCTAACCCTCGTTTTGGCCCTCCTCCAGCATCTTACAAAGTCGACGGTCATATCCACAACGCTGTGCGACCAGCCATTGAAGCCAAATATTTCGTTCGCCAGGCTTACTACTTTCCATCCCTCAATATACGAGACTTTGCCTTGAAAAAGTGAAACGGTGAGATTAGCACAAAAGACATTACGCACCGAACTGCAAAAACTCACTTCCACCAGGGCCACTTCGGTTTGAAACGAACTCGGGGCCCAATTGCTTCCGCAGGTTGTTCCCAACCTCCAGCGCCTCCTGAGCATCGTACACATGCACGCCGAACGTGGAAGCAGGGAGGGTGGGCTCTCTTTGTCGGTTCATTGGAGTATCCCGCCTGGAGTCTTTCCGTAGAACAAACGAGTTTCAGAGGTGGAACGGTGTCAGCAGACTATTCCTATCATAGCTGCTCCCAGTGCGCAAGGTCGCTACGGCTTCTACGCCCAAGGCACAGCAAGACGGCGTAGGAAAGTATGCGGTCCTGTTGCGTGGGAAAAGTCAGAGCAAGCCAGGCAATCGTGGGAAGATGCTTTGGAGGAAGGGAAGAGGGGAAATCTGAGGAATGCTGGTGTCCAGACGCGCTGACGCTTCATCATAATCGCCCATCTCCGACCGTCCGATTCTCCGACAGCATGTGCAAGACCTAAAGACCACGAAGACATACCCAAAAGTAGACTATGAAGCCTCAGGCGGCATTGCAGATATGCAGTACTCAAGCAAAACTGTCGTTCGGGGCTCTGAAATGGACCCGGCTTTCTTGAAATATAATATCTTAGAACGACTCCCTCCAGCGGCACGAGTGGGGAATCCCCTTCTGCCCAGTTGTCAACCGACCTACTTTATGCAACTAAGCAAGACGTGGGACAAGGTATAAACAATTTCGGATTCCGCAAGAAAGCAGTGCCCTCAAACTTTCGAAATTCCGACATGATTAGGGGACAAGAAGTGTGAGAGAGAAGATTCTACAAGAGTTCGTTACCCATAATCGGAACAAAACGGGCCCTCAACTGGAAAGGGAGTTTAGCAATGGAGCTAGTCTCTTTCTGACAAGGATTTCCGCATGGCTACGCTTGAGGTATGAGCTCTGATGTGAAGAGGGGAATGAAAAGCGATGCCATTTACTGAAACCCTCGCAAAGTTACCTTCTCGGGCATAGCCTATCTATTCAACTCCAAGCGATCAATGTATTCATCTCTGCGTCCAGTGGTCATCGTTTCCTCGCAGAGTTCTTGGAGGTTGGGGGGGTTCTCACGGTTTTAGAAATCCTCGGACTGGCGCAAGTCAAGGAGGTATCCACCTATACTGTCGAAGATTATCGTTTGTCGCTCACGTCCTCAACTTTTCAACAGCCAGACAAGGCGGAAGCTTTGAGAGTCCTTCTCAGTGTCGCACAAGCGGGCCGAAGATACAAGGAATTCATCTGCGAAAGCTATGGTATATGTTGACTTATCCTCAGACGAGTGGACATCATCCGCTCACACCTCCATATTCCAGGTGTGCGCGCCGTCTCGGATTGTCTTGGCAGATCCCGCTCCGAAATTACGCAAGACTATGCGAGGAACCTTTTATATCAGCTCGGAGTGGTAAGTTTTTGTCTTCTGCAGTCTACGGCTAGTCAAAAGGCTCACCACAGAGGACCGCAGGGCAATCCGAAATTCCTGATGCAAGTCTACAAGTCCTTGCTCTCTCTGCTCACCTCTCAGGGACCTCCACCCACGTCCCAGCAAATGGCGGGGCAAGCGCTTCGGCTGTTGCTTGTAGGTGACAATTCATCTCAGTCCCGCGGCCTGTCCTCCTGTCTGACTCTGGTAGCCCTCCATTCAAGCGATCCATCCTTCGATTGTCGAAGCTACCATCGCATTGCTCAAGAATCCGCATATACAGATTCAATACGAGGGTGGGTTCACTTTGTGGATACTAGTATATGAGCGCAGCGCTGATAGCGGTTGCACCATTTGCAGGTTACGAGATCTTACGTGAACTGCTCAAGCGGCCAGCTCTGCAAGACATCATCATTACGCAGCTCATCACGATTCTCAAGAATACTGTGGAAGACGTAAAGGAGGAGCTACCAGAAGGTGAAGCGCATCCTTTTTCTGTTCCTCGCTATGGAGATTTTTCAAACGACTAGAGAACCACAGATCGCAGAAGACGGGGGAAAGGGGATGCGGGAAAAACTACAGGAGCTTGGGGCGGGCTTGTGGCAAAAGCAGGGGACGAGAGCAAAGGACAAAGCGAAACTGTCACTGCAGGCTACATGCAACAAGCATATGCTGCAAAACTCCTGGGGTATGTGCATCCCAGTAAATGTGAAACAGGACGCATCTCTAACTTTCTCATAAAGAGTCATCGCGGCCATAAACCGGACTCTAGCAGAGCGTATGATCGAATCGCAGGTTGTCAGTGGTCTCCTGAACGTGATTGCGAACGTGGGACACCCGGATAGTCAGAACTACGCAGCAAACGCTCTCATCGTAAGTTGTTGTGTCCATTGAGATCATTGGAACCTTGCACTAATTTCATTGGATTTCTCGCAGTTCCTGGTTGAGAACTTTGAGTACGTTGCAACTGCTCTCCGGGAGCACATGGGTCAAAACTTCTTTGCCTTGTTGGAGGTAAATATGACAGTAAAGACAGTGTTCGAGGAAATGAGGCGCTAACGTTGCTTTCTCGTCCTATAGGACAAGCCGGACACGTTTTGCAAAGAACTCACCCGAGAGCAAGTGCGGTACCTGCGACGGAACAATGTACAGATCCGTAGCAGTCAAGATGTCCGCAAGTCTTCCGACTCGGAAGAAGGATACAGCTCGGATGAGGACAAGGACGAGTAAGTCTTGCCCTATGGTATCTGCGTCCCATGCTTGGGTAGCTAACACGAACGGTCTACCGCAACAGTACCCATGAGAAGCGCACGAAGCGACCAAAGAGCGGGCGCCGGCCTCCGAGCTCCGGCGCACAATCGGTCGTCGCGTCTCCGTTCGACATCTTTCCAGCTACTAGGTATGAACTTTGAACAGTCATGACCTCCAGAATGCATTTCACTCATCTTATCAACTTCGGTCGCTGTCGTGAGTAGAGAATCAGAAAAGTAAGTGGGAAGCCACAAATCCTCGGTATGCAAATATGCCAGATATTGATGATACTTCCAACAGCACTCGGACGGAAAGCAATGCAGAGGAAGAGCCCACAGAAGCCCCAGAAGCTGAAGTTGCGAAACCACAACCAAAAGCGGCATCTGAGCGATCCTTTGAGCCGGAGGTAGGCTTTTGTATATGAATATGCACATCGGGCAGGCAACTCTTATGCAACGCTTTCTTTTGCGTAGGTCGAGCCTCCACCGCCTGTTGTGCAGGACATGTACGTTCCGTTTGCACAGTCGGTGGTTAACTCCACATTTTCGGTAAGACCTTTCCCGGTTGTGATTGATGAGCTGGTCAATCTTTCTAACTTTCTTTCTTCAGGCCCGAAAGTTTGGGAAAAGCAATTCACTGCAGCAGGAAACATTTGACTCTGATTTCCAGAAGTTCAGGTACATCAGGATAACGTTCCGCATCCGCAGCCGAACATGCGTTCATCTATTGCCATCATAGAGCAAATGAATCTGGTCAGAAGCGAGATCAGCGCAAAGAAGACGTCCCGCTTGATCCCACTAGTGAAGATTGGCTTCTCAAGAAAAAGAATACGGATTTCAATGACATCAAGCTTGCAGGTATGTCATGAACGCTCTTTTTCATTGAATCTATCGTTTAAACGGTCGATGGTTCTTCATCCCTCTTCATAGCTGATGACAAGGCGAAAACGCCGAAAGACTCGGAGTTTGATGACAACGATGCAAGCAGCAGGAAGTCTCGGAGCGCGACCTCGGCTGAGGCGTTGGAAGGCGATGATAATGTCGAACCGAGTGCTTGAGGGGTAGTGCTGAGCGCTGTTCGAGGATTGCGACGGGTTTAGACATCATGCACATTTGTACATCATTGTGAGAAGCAAGTGACACACTTGAGATAGACTTGGGATTGGAGGGAGGCGGACGGCCACGGACCACTCTTTCAAACGCGTCCTTCACGCCAGATATCCAGCCACTTTCGGAGAAGCGGACAAAGCCTTCGTCCCACATCGCTAGTACTCACCAGCATATTTAACGTTGAACGCTCCTTCAGAAAGAGAGGCGGGCAAGGAAGAAACCTCGTCTGTCTATACTCGCATTCACCGGCTCAAACACCAGGCTGGAAAATGGCAGCCATAGACCCACAATGGCTGCTCTCGCAAATGGAGAGGGTGACAGACGACGACGGCGTCTTGAAGGTGAAACTGGAGGGCAGCAGCAGCTCCAACGTACCAGCACCGGAGTGGACTCGTGGTACCAATGCGCTCTTCCACTTCAAGACGTTTACATACGCGATACCCCCTCACCTACAGTCGGGCGAGGAGAAGTCAAAGGGCGGGAAGAAGGGTGGACAGGGTAAAAGCGACGCAGCGAAACAGGACGGTGCTCACAAGCATGACCATACATGTAGCCATCCGCCGGCATCGAAGGCGGCAGGAGATGCGAGTGGAGATCGGCCCATCCGAACGAAAGTAACGGATACACGGGAAGATGATCCCGACAAGCCGTTCGAGTTGCGGATAGGATACAGCTTTTCAGTGCGGGCACTGGAGATTGCGGTGAAAAGTATGCGGGTGGGAGAGAAGGCGAGGTTTCTGTGCATGCCTGAATACACGGAGGTATGTGAACTAGTTCATCTGATGGTGCTAGTGGTTGCATTCTAACTCCGAGATACAGGGGTACGTACAACTTGCGAAAGTCTTAAAACAGGAAAGAGAGAACCGCATAAACGTTGCCAAAGGGCTTCCGGTCAAAACCATTGGCGGCGGTTGTTGTGCGCACTCATTCCAGGAAGAGATGAACGCGCAAACCGACTTGGCCGCGCTACACGGGGCGCCTCTCGAGTTCGAAATCGAACTGATTGACGTGCAAACTCCAAACTCGTTCACTAAAGAGCCGTGGGAAATGAGCATGATGGAAAAGTTCCGGGAAGCGCCTGTGAGAAAGGATGAAGGAGGGCGGCTATATAAGGAGGGGAAGTACCAAGAGGCTCTGGACAAGTATACACGGGCGCTGGCGCTACTGGAGAGCGTGGCAATGAGTCCGGAAGTGCAGGATATGGGGAGGCCGGACCGGCCCAGCAAGCTGCAGGGAACATCAAGTCCGTCAAAATCAAAATCAGCAATGGCAGCGCCTGCCCAGAACGGGGACTCTACAACGAAAGAGCCAGAAATCGACTTGTCGACGTTAGAAGCCCTCCTCCAAAGCTGTCGGCTAAACTACGCAGCATGCAAGATAAAACTTAACGATTTTGCACCAGTCATCCCAGCATGCACCGAAGTCCTGAAAACCGACTCGGAGAACGTTAAGGCCATCTTTCGGCGTGGTCAAGCGTATTCGCGCGTCGGCAGGGATCTGGATCTGGCACAGTCGGATTTTGCCAAACTGGAAGACATTCTGGAGCGGAAGGCGGTGCCGAAGTCGGGTTCAGAGTGGACGGAGTTGAGGCGGGAGCAGCAGATCTTGCAGGGAAAGCTGAAGGCACATACGCAGAAGGAGAAGAAGATGTTTGGGAGGATGTTTGCTTGATTCTACGGTGATGACGGTTGGGCACGTTTTTGGTAGAATTGTTTTTGGCACAGCTGCTACTTTGCATCTAATAGACTACATGCTGCTCATTCAATGACAAGCAATCAATTCACAGAGCTTACACAATCGCATTCGCATAAATGGGAGGCTCAAGGGGACAATCTTATGAACACGACCCTTCAGTCGTCAAAACTCAAATATGATACATTCGACCTAGAACTCCTATGACCCAAAACTCCTCCACTTTCCGATCCTTCGACTTCCACCGTCGAATCCTCCTCACTTCCCCTCCTTCTTCTTATCCGGGTCACCGCCAGGCCCATACGCGTCCTCCTCAGTCAAATACTTCTGAGTTGTGCCCCAGTGCTTCTCGGCGGTAGCGTCAACGTGCGCCTGCTCGGCCCCCGGGGTGGCGGTCTTGTCCGCCGCGGCAGATTCCTGGGCTTGGTGCTGGAATTGGGCGGCGGAGGAGGGGGTTGCTCCGTTTTGTTGGGGGGTGGACATCTTCGTGGGGGTCGGGGCTGCAGGTGATTTGCGAGTTGAGGTTGTGTACGGGGAAGCACGGGGGGGTTTGGTGCTGTGGATGAGGAGGTTTCTGGTTTGTAGGTTGGTGAGCGTTTTTTGTGCGTTGGTATGCAGCATTGCCGGTTCGTTGGGCGAAGACGGGGCTGGGCGGTGGGGAGCTTTTATACAATCATCTCCAACGCGACGCGCGCGAAACCATGACATCATAAGAGAGGAGTTGCACATACGAGGCTTTGTTGTTCCGCAGGTGGGTGGTGGGCAAAAGGGCAACGTCCACACGTCTATGCTGTAATGTCTTTCATGTTACAATAATAAAGATAAAAAAATGCAATGGGAAATTATCTACACGTTTAAGATACGGCTGGCATTTGCAAAACGGCTTTGGAACAGTGGCGAGGTCCAAGAAATGCTATTGCTGGCTGATAATGATACGCTAACCACTACGGCTAAGCTCCACCAAAACCCTAGTTCCTCTTCGTTCCCTTCCCTTGCAACTTCTTCGCCAGGGTGTTGGGATCTACAGGCTTCGACTTCTTGCGGTTCTTATTCTTCACGTTGGCGGTCTCGTAGTAATGCTCTCCGACCTTCTTCTTGTTGGTCGTCATGCGCGGGGACTTGCGCGTGCGGCCCTTGTCGGCGTCCGCTGGGTCCTCGTCGGCATCGGCGTCACGGGCACGCTTGTTTTTGCTCGCGGCTGCTTTGCTGGGGGCTTTATTGTCTGCTTTCGCCTTGACTGGTGTCTTTGTGGATTTGCCTTTGGTGGAGGGCTTCTCCTCGACTACCTTCGTCTCCTCTTCTTCCTCTTCTGCAGATGACTCGGCATCCGAGATGTCCTCCTGGTCATCGTCATCCGCTTGGGCGGCATCCTCAACCTCCGCTTCCTTCTCTACGAAGGGCGCCTCCTCTCCTACCACACTCTCGAAAACCTCATCCCAATCAGTGACTTCCGCCGTAGCCTCCTTATCAACATCTTCGTCGTCCGCAACCACAGTCTCGTCGCCGTTCGCAGATGCCTCCTCGGCAGCCTCGTCCTCGGCAGTCTCTGGTTGCTTCCGCTTCATGTCGTCGGGGAGGAATTTGGCGGTAACTGGAATCTTGCTGAAGAGCTGTTGCACCATGGGTACAGCGCTCTCAGCAGCAGCGTTAGCAGCAGCAGCTGCCTCAAACTCGGGTGAGTCAGGGGGCATGGTGTAGTATGGGATCTTGCCGCGAAGCCAGTCGTTCAGAATCATCTTGGCGACCGTGTTCAAATCAGCTTCTCCTCCCTGCAGTAGAGAAACGTGAGTTTTGGATCTACGATGTGAAGTGTATGCGAGAATGTGCTGTCATACCTTCAGCAGCTTTCCACTCGACCGAGCAACTTGACTTAGGAAGTCCACCGAGTCCTCCCACTCCCTGACTCCATACGTCCGGCGCATGTATTCAGGACGCACACGTTCCAACACGGCGGGGATGTGATGCTCAGGTCCAGCAATGTTCTCGATACGGGTCACACCGCGCAACACCAAGTCGGTCTCAGAGTCTTCCATGGACGGGGCGACGACACCGGGGCAATCGATCAGGTAGATGCGCTTCATCAAGGTAATGTATTGCCAGACCTGACGGAAGATGGGCGATTAGATGCGAAATTGGACATGCATAATACGGTATATGGCCAGCGGCTTCCACACATACCTTGGTTTCTCCAGGAATGGGTGCGACTGTGCAGACCTTCTTCTGTCTCAAAGTGTTGATGATGGAACTCTTCCCGGTGTTGGGGTACCCAAAGAATCCGACCGAGATTTGCTTCTTGTCAGAGTGAAGCTTGCTGAATTGACGCAATAATTGGATAAGAGATCCCTTTCCGAAGGAGTTGTTAATGCTGGCGTGGAAAGCCAGCGTGGGGTATTCTTGCGACAGAATCTTCACCCATTTCGCCTATGTGATCGGGCATATTAGACTCCTAGCTCGTTCCTTTGACTCCTAGCTCGTTCCTTTCATGAGACATGGAGTATACGCACCGTAACCCACGTGGGAACAAGATCACACTTGTTCAGGACGAAGATGAGATGTTTGTGTTTGGCCTCCTCTCTCATGAACTTCTCAACGTTTTTGCACCGCGTTCCGATCGGGTCTCTCGCGTCAAGAACGTGGATGACGACGTCAGAGGAATCCAGCACCTTGTAGAGTTCATTCCAGATACGCTTCGATTGCCCAGCACGCAAGAAAGGGTCTTGCGCTCCGTCGATCTGTCCATCTGTCCTCACGTTGGCCAAGAGTCGTCCGTCCTTGGTGGTGTCATAGCCATCTGGGATTTTGAATGAGTAACACATTACTTGAAAGCAAGGTTCAAACACCCTTGCTTACCCAAAGAGGTCTCGACGTTCGTTGCCAGATCATCCAAAGATCCGGCCTTCAGCTTTGGTCGCTTCCTTTGTGCTTTGGGGCCGAATGTGTTGGCAAAAGGGTCAACTTCAAGCAATTTCATGGAGGCAACCTTGAATGCGACCAAGATGGCAAACGGTTAGACGAATATCCCCCTGCGATCAAAGGAAGCTGAGGCAATACCTTGGTAGGGTCAGTCAGTAAACTCATGGGTAGCTTGTTCTGACGCATAATGACCGTGTAGGGGTCATCGGCCTTGGTGGCCATAGCTTCGCGAAAGCTATTCAAGGCATTTTGACCAATGGTTCGAGTGTTTGCTGTGGGTTGAAGAGCGTTAGCCGCGATGTAAGGTAGCAGCAAACGCATTCCGGTAGCATAGACGTACTGAACCAATTCCTGTCCGGAGCAATCCTCGCTTGTGTTCCAGGAGCCAAGCGAGTCTGGTACTCGGCGGCCTTGATGATCTTTCCATCGGCGTTCCTGGTAGCTTTTCCACCCTTCAGCATGTTCACCTGACGCACTTTCTTTGCGTCACGGTAGAAGTTGACTCCCTTCACATGGGTGACATTGCTGAGGGAGTGGCCTGACCCAGTGGTCTTTTCGGCCGCCTGGCGGGTTTTCTCCTTCTTCTGCTTTCCCATTTCGACTAGTGACTATCTACGTAGGTGGCGAAAGTCCACAAAAAGGTCCGTTTTTCTTTCCTCCTGCTCCAGTGAAGGCCTCTTTGCCTAAGACGGTTCAAGTTCCTCTCGGGGGCCCGTCTGTGGATGGGTGCTCTTCGTCCCGCGGAAGGCGTTCCTCTCGCTGTGGTCTATGTGGTCGAAGTGTCGCTGTTTCTTGTTGAAAACGAGTCGTTGCCTTCTGCGGGTAATTGTAAGCCGCGAAAAAGAAAGTGCTCTCGCTCGCTCGCTCGCACCCAGACGCAGGCAGATCCGCGACCTGATCGCCCAGTTGTGAATTTCATCGCAGCGTATGTGTCTGTCTGTCTGTCCACGTGACTTTGATGCAGTCATGACTCATTCCATCGAACACGCCTCTCTCGTTCGGACGCACTTCATTTGGGACGTTTGGGACCACCCCCCCCCGAATCCCCACCACGCCTTTTCCCTGGGAACAACGGTACTTCCTGAAGTGTGGAAAGTGACTGCCAGTGTCTGTTTCCCACCCGCCTCCATCTAATATATATACACGGCGGGTTGAACTGTATTCTATATAGGTTGAACTACGAAAAGGATCCTGGTCGGGTGCCATGGCCTGCTAGTTCTGAAAGTGTAGTTGGCCGTCCGTAGGTGTCAACTCGAACGGGCTTGCTTGACATCGCCTGCAAAGATCTCAGAGAGTCCACGGGGCTTCTTTCCGTCTCGCACTGCGGCCATGCCTCCAAAGAGGAAGAGGAAGGTCTCAGCAACGGCCGCAGCCATTGAGCCGGAAGGACCGCAGCAATCGCAGCCTCGGATAACTAACTTGTTCGGAGCCACCAAACCCGGGCGCGCGCCGATCAATTCGAAGTATAAGCGACCGAATCTGCAGACCCAGGTGAAGGAACCCGCTAGCACCAACGCACTTGAAAGCCGGAGGAGCAGTCCACCAACCCCTAAGTTGCGACGGTCCGGACGTTTGGTTTACCCCGGCAATAGGCTACTGAGGGAATCCTCGGACGAGTCTCCTACGGAAGGCGAAGACACAGTACCGGATACGCCGGAGCTCTTGGTCTCCAATGTGATGGTGGAGGGTTCTCCAATTGCTGCAGAAATCGACACGGTAAAGTCTGCCTCCCAGAGTCCATCGCTCTTGTCGGATCGATGTCGGATAGAGGTCGCTGAGACGCCGGAACCGAGCAGACTGAGAGATCCGTTATCAGCTGTAAGAAGGTCATTGAGTGAAACTCCCACATTTGCGAAGGCCTCGCAGCTCTTGCAATCATCTCGAATAAGTCCTGTGACACCTTACTCACAATACGAAGTCGATTTGGATTACGAGGATCTGGAAGAAATAGAGAAGAACGCCTCTTCCATGATGGCTCACGAAGGAGATAGAAGCGTTGTAAACAGAAAAGTACCGAGCCTCGAGCTCAAGATGAGAGGGAACCTCGATAGTGCCGAAAGCTCTCCACTAGCTCGAAGTCGACCACAACGAAGTGGGAATCTATCTGTCACGGAAATGGCGATCTCTTCAAGGTCACAGCGGGCTCCTCAGAAGAACTCCGAAGCCGATTATGGATTGACGCGGAAGGATGTACCACCATCGTCGAACGTGGGTCCCATCACGGACGAGTTCAAAACAGGTGTCATTCAGATTCCGGATATCGTTACGAACCACGACACGGACCCAGACTCCGAAATGTCCGAGGATGTGATGGAGGCTCTCGCGGCTTTCGAGACGGACGATGACTGGATGATGGATGATGACTCTGCATTTGACATTGAGCCGGATGTTGCGATGCGAGGACAGATTACCGACACTGATGAGGCGCCGAGCCCGCAAAAGATTGTGGAGGCCAACACAAGCGGATCGGATGACTCCGAAGGTACCATCGTGCCCATAGATAAACTTTTCGTTGCGGACGCGGATGAGAACACCTCTCTCTTACTTTCCAACGACGTTTACGGCATTCCCGAGGAAATCATCACGGCGTATGCTCGACATGGTATTACTACGTTGTATCCTTGGCAAGCCGAGTGCCTCCAGCTGGAAGGAGTTCTAGACGGCTCGAAAAATCTGCTTTACAGCGCCCCGACGAGCGGTGGCAAAAGTTTGGTAGCGGACATAGTGATGTTGAAGAAAGTTCTGAAGACGAGGCGGAAAGCGATCATGATTGTGCCATTCGTTGCGTTGGCTAGCGAGCGAACCAAAGCGATGCAGAACATCTTTGCCTCTCAATCTTTGAACATCGTCGGATACTACAGTGATGTCGGAGCTGCTTCGTTCGATGCGATCGACATTGCATATTGCACGATTGAGAAGGTACGCAAAAATACCGCCTCAACTATCGTCTCCCTCGTTTCCAACGATCTTACCTGTAGGCAAACAGCCTGGTTAACAAACTGCAACAAGAGAACAAACTCGAAGAGCTTGGCATCGTAGTAGTTGATGAGCTGCACATGGCAGGAGATCCACAACGAGGATATCTGCTGGAACTTTTGTTAACGAAGCTTTCGTTCATTCTGGCCGGGCAGCTGCAGGTCGTTGGGATGTCAGCGACATTACCAAACATCAACATCTTTGGTGAGTTTGTCGTGGGCAATTCCCTGCAAGCGCAGGCTTCTACGTTGGCTAATATTCTACTACGCAACCAGAAAGATGGTTGGATGCTCACTTGTACGTTACCGACTTCCGCCCGGTCCCGCTAACGGAGTACATCAAATTCGGCAACAGCCTCTATGATTCCGAAGGGAACCTGCTCAAAGGTCTAGGGAAGCCAAACACCTGGGACCCCGACCTCCTCCTCTCCTTGGTTGTGCCCACGGTCGAGGAATCTGCGTCCGTTTTGATCTTTTGCCCCGCTTCTAAGCGATATTGCGAGAACACCGCAAAGCTGCTGAGCAACCGGCTTCCGCGGACGGCCAGCAATGAGGTGATGGAAAAGCGCCGTGATGTGGTGCGGGAACTCGAGCGTACCCCTGGGAGCCTCGACACGGATTTGGCGAACTACATCATGGCGGGTGTGGCGTTCCACCACGCTGGCCTGATCACGGAGGAGAAAGAGATCATTGAGGATGCGTATCGAGCTGGTGTTATCAATGTCATAGCATGCACTTCGACACTCGCCATGGGGGTGAATCTCCCTGCTCGACGGGTCATCTTCCGTGACCTGAAGAAGTTCCGAGGAGAGCTGATCAGCCCACGGGAGTACCAGCAGATGCGCGGACGGGCTGGACGAAAGGGACTCGATTCGCATGGGGAGAGCATTATTATGTGCAGCGACAAATACGAGTTCGCGGCGGCACAAGCATTGATTAGCTCCGATCTGCACCCCGTAACATCATGCCTGCTGACCGACGTAAAAGGGATGAAGAGAGCCTTGTTGGAGGTCGTCGTAGCAGGTGTCGTGTCGTCCCTGGAGGATATGCAGATGTATCTACGATACACTTTGTTGTATGCCGAGCACGGGGAGCATGATGAGGAGACGCACAATTGCCTTCTCGGCGCCCTCACGTTTTTGGAAACCAATCGATTCATCGGGCGCGATGAGAATCAGCAGTTCCGACCGACGAGGCTTGGCCGGGCTGCCGTCTTCTCCTCGTTGTCCCCGGAAGAAGCTTTGGTAGTTTACGATGAGCTGCATCGCGCCAGCGAGCGCTTTGCTCTGAACGAAGAGCTGCACACTGTTTACCTCGTGACACCAGTTTACATGGACGACAAGTATGTAGACTGGAACAAATACGCCGAGTTGTATGCTGACCTCACCGTTGACAATGCTCGCAAAAACGTCGCCGATCTCGTCGGTATCAATGAAATCTCGCTCTATCGCGCAAGAAAGCGACGGGGATGGTCCGCCGACAACGATGCGAGCGGTCGTGCCATTCACAAACGCTTCTATATCGCCATGATTCTCAACGACCTTGTGCAAGAAAAGCCCTTCGACCTCATCCTGCATAAATATCCGAATATCAGCCGTGGAGATCTGCAGAGCCTGCAAATGCAGTCAGGAACGTTCGCTGGGATGGTGAAGATATTCTGTCAGCATCTCGGCTGGGACAATCTCGTCGCTATCCTGGACAAGTTCCAGGATCGTCTCAACTTTGGTGTCACGGGAGACTTGGTGGACCTCATGCAGATCCCCGAGATTGGAGGTGCGCGGGCCCGAATGCTCTACGCCGCCGGTTTCAAGGATGTGACCTCCCTCGCCGCCGCAAGTCCTGACGCCATCTTTGAAGCACTGCGAAAGGGATCGCCCTTCCATCCAGCTGACAATGACAGGGAAGCCCAGAAGCGCTTACTGTACCGGGCGGCTCATATGATCTCGCAAGGCGCGGTCAAGGTTGTTCATACGCAATTGCAGCAGGCTGCCGTGGACGCGCAGCGGAAGAGAAATCTCCTTGCAAGGGTACGAGACCTGGCGAGCCCGATGTCTGCGCGTACACAGAAGGGGAGGACACCGATTATATCGTCGGCTAACAGCGTGCGAACTCCTGGGAGTGCGCTGGCGAAAAGGGCACGCATGAGGAATATCGAGACGCCATGCCCGCGAGTCGGTGGACCGGTAGCAGTTGACACACCGGTTGCTGTACAACCAACTCCTTTGGGAGCAGGTCGCAAGGAAGGCGATCGGCCATACATTGTGAGCCATGCGACCGCAAGCGAGTCCTCATTCAAAGAGGTTCTCAGCACGTGGATTGCGAAGAAGAGCTTCGTTTGGCATATACATTGCGTGCCTAGCAAGAGCTCGGGCCGCCTCCAGCCACGCGGCCTCTCCATATGTTGGGATCCTGAGACCGTGTACTACATGGACACCACCAGCAAGGTGTTCAGCTGGCGCGCCCTTCAGCCAGTGTTCGAAATTCGGTCCGTCAAGATATGTTTCGACGCCAAGTCGCACATAGGACACCTACTTGAGAACAAAGTCGTTCCTGTGCCTACATTCCGAGACCCCAAGATCGCAAACTGGCTGCTGGAGCCAGACATGCCGGAACGTTCCCTTCAAGGTCTCTTTGAGGCCCATCTCGTAAAGCCACCGCTCAAGGGTGACCCGTTAGACATCATGAGCCAATGTTCTAAAGCGGCATGGCAGACGTACAAACTGATGGAAACACTGTACCAGCGAATATGCGCCCAAGGTCTCGACAAACACTTTGTTAACATCGAGATGCCGATCGCCTTCATTCTCGCCAAGATGCAGCATGTCGGCATCGGAATTCAATTGAAAGACATCCAGAAGTGTACCGACATATATCGTGGGGCGCTTGCCAGCATCGAGAGCCAGGCCCACAAGCTCGCCGGGACCGCCTTCAATCTGACGGAAGGGCAAGAGGTGGCCAAAGTACTATATGACGTGCTTCAACTTCCTTACGATAGCGTTTTGGATCCAGCGACCAAACGAGAAGATGACAAGCGGCGCGAGAAGGGCAAAAACGTATTCCGCCGGACGTCGAAGGAGATACTGGAGAAACTTAAGGATCACCACCCGTTGCCTGCTATGATGATGGAACACCGGAGGTTGTCTAAGCTTGCTGCTACTCATCTGGTGCCTCTGCAAATCGCGAAGGTGACGTCGGGCATCTTTGCTATGGATCGGATTCACTGTACATTCCAGACACATACGGTAAGTTGGCAAGATCTAGCCTTTTGGCCGACGTTGCGCTTGATTGCTAAAACTACCTCGTCTTGGTTGGTTCATCGGGTCTAGGCTACGGGACGGGTGACAACTACAAACCCCAACTTGCAGAGTATTCCCCACCCGCGACGCGCCGGCGATGGGCTTGATATCGAGTCCGTGAACATCCGTAACGCTTTCTGCGCTGCTGAGGGAATGATCTTTGTGTCAGCAGACTACGGGCAGGTGGAGCTGCGTATCATTGGTAGGTGAATGTGAGACATTGGGGCCCGTAATACATTGTCGTATGCATTGGATGGGTTTATGGTTCCCCAGTTCCGTCGCTCACATGTGTGCGCTCTCAGCCCATATGTCAGGCGATGAAAAGCTTATCGCCCTGATTCATTCGGGCGGAGATTTCTTCTGCATGCTAGCGGCAGAGTTGATGCAGAAAAAAGTCGGTGACGTACAGGAAGCGGATAGAGATCGAGCGAAGGCTTGCACCTATGGAGGTGAGTTCAGTTCACAGACGCATCGAAACCCGAGGCTTGGAATATCGCCGTTGACACCTCCATCTGGGCAATATAGTAATGTACGGGAAAGGGCCAATTGCCATTGCCGAGGACCTCAACATACCGTTAACTGAAGCGGAAGGTTTGATACGTACGATGGACGAAAAATACCCGGGAGTCGCGGCGTGGAAGCGGAGAACCGTGCAGATGTGCCATGAAAACGGTTACGTCGAGACGTTACTGGGAAGGAGACGATACTTGCCTGACATCCATTCCAAGACGAGCGCTGACAGGTACGATTAGTTGGCTATATGTATCCATCGTGCGAGGGCCATGGATTCACACCCTTTTTGCGCATGTTTAGGGCTCATGCAGAGCGCCAGTCAATAAGTATGTCTGTCGTTCACGGAGGAGACTCTGCCTCTCGGTGACGTTGCTGACCTCATATGACAACAGATACCACCGTGCAAGGCTCCGCAGCGGATTTGGTAAGTTGATTGACTGCTCGGAGAAGTCTCCAATACTGCAACTCATATTCGTGTGGTTCTTTTAGATCAAAGTCGCAATGGCGCATCTTGGTGAGCTATCGTGCTCGTTGACCGTTGCTCATGAATGACCATCAGTACCGAACATCTCGACCACAGATAAACAGTTTCGAGAGCGCCGATGGGGAATGTGGTTACGCGATGACGTTCCAGCGAATACCGTCCCTCATCTCATCCTGCAGATCCATGACGAACTCTTATACGTAAGTGGCAGTATCCTTTCAATGGAGATCCTCTGTTCAGATCCTGATCAACAACGCACACAGGAGGTTCCGCTGAATCTCGTAGATGTTGTCCGCCCGATCATCCGAGATTGCATGGAGAAAACATGCGATATGCGGGTGCCAGTTAACGTGCGTCTGAAAACTGGCAAAACGTGGGGTAATCTCAACTGAAGACTGCAACGCGGATCGTTAGTTTTTGTGAAAACTGGCGTGTAATATAGAGTTCATTTTGGACGTAATAATGCTTTTCGGGGGCGTACATCCTGGCTTCATTAGTGGTGATGGATGCCGGACCGCAGAGTAACTACTATATCGGCTCTATCTCCGATTGAGTGCATCCCTTAGGATCTGTCTATCTTTCAGATAGTGATACGTCACTTGCGTATCTGAGTATCTTTCTCTGACCGCCCGCTCGCCCAAGAACGAGGCCAATTCGTCTCTGATTTGCACCAACATACGCCATCTTTTATGATAGGCGGTGGCAAGATCATGGGGATCGCTCGCCGCCTCCTCCTGCAACTGCTCGTACAACGCCCTCGCATGGTCCACGACACCCCCGCACGGGTTTTTCACTTCCTCTACGCTCACCGTCGGGTCAGGCCCGTCCAAATCCACCAATACCACTGCTCTAAAAGCCAACCACGGGCCATGCACCGGATGAACGCACAAGAACTGCCAATTCGGATCAAAGTATGCGAGACCAGCGAGGTGCGCCATCCGCTGGAAATACACGAATCGCTCTCCCTCCTCGTACGGATATCGTATCTCGTACGCGACGTCGGCGGGCAGCGCCTCCCGCAGAGCGTCGGCTATTTTCGTTCGGGCATAGTCATCGATCGGATTCGCTGTGCCCTCTAGTCTATTGACAGGATCCTCCGCCAGGTAGTTCTTGAACGGCTCCCACATGGCCTTCGTGCTGAAAATTATAAAAGCTGCGGTTGACTTGCGGTTTGGAAAAGTCGGAAGAGGCGAAAAGCGGGTGCATAGCGGGTCCGAATTGTATCGCTGAGCCGAGAAGGCTTCACTGAGGGATAGGCCTGCAGTGCATAGGTTTCGCCTGAGCGCTTCACGTAAGTGTGCCACCATCTTCCCGTCACACTTCCGATGGAAATTACAACTCCAAGTTTGCTTGCTGCCTACACACAGGAATAAGCAAAAAATATATATGCAGACGACGAACAAAACCGGAAGTCTACTCTAGCTCCAACCCAGCACCTGCCTCGAAGTCCACGCAACTGAAATACGCTTATCGTGGGAAACCACAATTGGCCAGCATCTGAAGCGTGAGCACCAGAAGGTCCCTCTGGTCCCTCCAACGCGTCCCGCACATCCTCCGCCAGCGCTACCTCTCCACCATTGCCCTAAATCGCGCCGTTGACATCTCGGAGAAGCATACAAGAGCCCACAGGCAGCAACTACCCACCACCCACTCTCTCAATTTCGGGCTGCAAACTGCTACTGCGCTCAGCGTTCTCATAACATTCAGGCTTCAACGCGCACGAACAATGTTGAGCGCTTTCTTCATCTTCAACGTGAAGGGAGAGGTCCTCATATCTCGCGTGTATAGACCAGACATCAAGTGAGTATTTGAACCTTTGAGCTCCTGGGCTTCTATGAACAGGCGAAGGCAGGCTGTGGGGCCTTGAAGTTTTCGCGCTTACGAATAAGGGGTGTGGGGCTGAGCCGCCGCTCTCACGTTGCCCCAGAGGGAAAGGTCACATGAACCATACGCTAACTCCAGCTCGCTCTAGGCGCTCGGTAGCGGATGTGTTCAGAATCCAAGTCGTTTCGTCGACGGACGTGCGCTCTCCTATCACAACGTTAGGGAGCATGTCCTTCTTTCATGTCCGCCATGAGAATATCTACCTGGTCGGAGTCACGAAGATAAACGCGAACGCCGCTCTCATCTTCGAATTCTTGTACAAGGTGGTAAACCTTGGTCGCAGTTACTTTGGAAAATTCGACGAGGATGCAGTGAAGAGCAACTTCACTCTGATATATGAGTTGCTGGATGGTACGGTATACTGTCTCTCAGCACCCAGCTTTCTTCGGAAGTCTCATAGATGTCCCACAGAGATTTGCGATTTCGGATTTCCACAGAATACAGAGGCAGAGACCTTGAAGCTGTATATAACAACGGAGGGCGTGCGGTCGGAAAAGGCGATGGTACGAGCATGGAGCAGAGTTCCATACAATGCCACATGTGACTGATGATCAATGGAATCGCATTCAACATACAGAAGGAAGAAGGTTCCCGAATAGCAATACAGGCCACAGGAGCAGTTGCATGGAGGAGGCCAGATATCAAGTACAGGAAGAATGAGGCCTTCCTGGATGTTGTGGAGAGTGTGAATTTGTTAATGAGTGCGAAAGGTAAACGAACTGCCTAGTGTCTGAATGTTGAGGGAGTGACTAACAGAGCTTGCTTCAGGTACCATACTTCGGGCTGATGTTTCCGGACAGATTATTATGCGGGCATACTTGTCGGGCATGCCTGAGTGCAAGTTTGGTCTCAATGACAAAGTATTGTTGGAGAAGGAAGGGAAACTTGGCAGTGCGGGTCGAAGAGCACCTGGGGCCGTGGAGCTAGACGATTGCCAGTTCCATCAATGCGTCAAACTTGGCAACTTTGAGCGCGACAGGACAATCAACTTCATTCCTCCTGATGGAGAATGCGAGCTGATGAAATACCGTACGACGGAAAATATCAACCTTCCCTTCCGCGTGCACGCGGTGGTCATCGAGGTTTCGAAATCACGGATGGAGTTCAAAGTGTCGGTCCGGTCACAGTTCAATGGGAAGATCTTTGGGCAGAATGTGCAGTTAAAGATACCGGTGCCAACCAACACCAGCGGCGCCAAGTGTTTCGTGACAGCCGGGAAAGCGAAATACGTTGGTAGCGAGAATGCCATCGTATGGAAGTACGTATGGCTGATGTGGGGACTCCAATCTCATCCAGCGACGTGCTCAGCTACTTATCTGTCTCGTGCAGGATCTCTCGTTTCCAGGGGCAGCAAGAATACCTACTTCGGGCGGAAGCCGAGCTCACTTCCACAACTACGAAGAAAGTCTGGTCACGACCGCCAATATCACTAGACTTCCAGGTTAGTTCAATTGGTTTGGTATGTTGGCCGTGGCCCTTTCAACTCACTAACAATCATCGCCATCATGTGTGTAGGTTCTGATGTTCACAGCGTCAGGCCTGATGGTGCGCTTCTTGAAAATCTTCGAAAAGAGCAATTATCCGAGTGTCAAATGGGTACGATATATGACGAAGCCAGGGACATATCAAATAAGGGTACGAATGTTTTTGTGTCATCCTTCATAGATGTGATGCTGAGGCCGATTCTATGCTCTCAGTTTTGATCAGCTTGTAGACTCCTCTTCCGTAGGCGTTCATCCCTCTAATTGGCGCCGGCCGGCGCATGCCCACCGATGCCTACCGAGTCACTACTGCCCGTTGCATAGAATGATGCTACAAAAATCATATATCGTTGATAGCCGTTTCCTTCATGGGCTTTGGGCAACTACAGATGGGAAATTGCTCATGAGTGTTGTACTATGAAGTTATTGCACGACTTTGAAGGTCCTCCGGCGCATTTGTTTACAAGGCCGTGAAACTTGGGAAGAAATCGTAGATAGTTTTTGCTACACTAGTTTTCAGTATATCTGTATATTAGTTGTTGACAGCCCACCTTTAGCACCAGACAAGCTTATTCCCATACTCAACCATGACGGAGCCGACTGTTCCGGAGGAATTCGAGGAAATGGATGAGGTAGACGAAGTGGCAAAAGCGTACATTTTGAGCCAACGTGCCTGCGAGGCGGACCGGCTGAGGTCTGCGGGGGTGAAGCCATTGGAATTGCCGGTAGGCTCTTCGATTGAAGCTGAAAGAGCTGAACGTCGAGGCTGGAAGCTTATCGACTGGGCTCAGGTAAAGAACTACGGCATCGTGAGGCACGACGACCATCAACCACCAATGATCATAAACCGTATAGAGGTATTATCTTTGCTGCACATGCGTTCTCACAAAAACCTTACCAACCTTGAAGTTGCATTGCACAGATCGACACCGGTTTTGATTTGAACAGGATTAGGCAGATCCTGGTATCCGAACCGGTAAAGTATTCTCATCGCTCCGGATTTCATTATGTCAATGTAAGCGAAGCCGTTTCCTGGATCAGCCGTATAACCACCCTATTTTCTTGTCATTAAACCTAGATTCCCTCCCATGAACGTAGTTACTTCTTATCACGGAGAATCCAATGATACCAATTCTCTTACCTTATCTTTACACCGAGGCGGTCAAGGCGACTGATGCAAAACAAATCAAAAACGATCTTCGTGAGTGGGTTTTCATAAACTCAAAGGGACTGCGGGCGAGGCACTCCGTACAAGAATATCATTGCATATAAGCCGAATAATCTAGTAAATATCGGGATTGCACGCTAGGCAGTTTCTGTTATCAATAACTGCTGCATTGCCTCTAACGTCACATAGATAATCGGTAGCAAGGGTGCCGCCTGTCTGCGGCATGTTTGGCCAGTTACAAGCCCCACTGGGGATGACTCCGGACATTTGATTCCCGCTGAGATATCTGAGGACAGAATTACGGAAATCTCAATTTAGTATGCCTCGTCTATCATCGGTCTCCATGGACGCTTGATTTCGGAAACTTACATAGCTTGAATGTTTTGGAAGAGACCCCATTGCACGGGGAAAATGCCCGTCAGGCCAGAGAAGGTGATCGACAGTGACGTTAGAGACGTCTGCCACTGGTTGTTGTGGTCGGGACTCTCTGCCATCCATGTGTATGTCCCTATGTCGTCTGTCAACCCAGTGCAATAATCAATTGCCCTAAAGAAGCAGTTTAGCCATGAGGTTGGGCACTCGCAATGCAGAAGCATTCTCGTAGTCCCACTCACAGGTCATTCATGGGCGCGGTACCCAGAGCATCGTTCAATGATATGGTGCCCGTAATTCCCGAAAATAGACTTGAGACGGTTGAACATATCAGAAGGATCCCAGATGGAGCCACCGAGCTCTCCTTTACATATACTCACAGGTGATTCAGCGCTGGGATCATGTTTGGGAACGTTTGAGCACCGTCGTATGGGGGAATGACGATATTCCAATCTCCGCTGCTTGCGCTCCTGTTCGTAATGTCAGTGTTCAACAGCCAGTACCGACCATCCTGCCCCCACTTACAAGTATGCCAGATTTGGTAGTCTCCAGAAGTCCGCCGACCAGGAAGCCCCCCCAGAGGTTCCAGGTGAGCCATCTACCGTCCTGTTGTCCACTGTCAATCGCGATGTTCTTAACGAATAACATGAGATGTCGGACTTACAGGGCTGTCATGGACACGAGCCACCGCATATAGCCGGGCATCCCAGCCGTCAAGGCATTGACAACATTCCTATATAGTTTTATACATGTGGAAGCGTGTCAGTGCCACCCTTCCGCGGGACTCTTGTGCGAGGCATCTTCCCAAGCGCACGCAGAACTTACAAGGCAGTTATCCCATTGGAAGTACTATCGCAAGTGACAAAGTTGTTCGTGTCCGTTGTCCATGTACACGGATCATTGTTCAACAAGAACCCAGTAATGTAGCCATTGTCGTAGCTGAACAGCCCCATCACGCAAAAGTTGAGTACGTTCGTGGGCAAGACCCCGATGTCCGTGAGGCAAGTATTCCGGCATGTTGTCGACAGGAACGAGACCACGGCAGGGTCAGCAGAATTGGCAGGGTAGGGAGCTCCGCTGGTTTGCGTGTACGCGTCCACGCATTGTGTGCGAAGGGATAGATCTGTCGAGTCTAAGGGAATGCCTGCCGCCTTTGAGTTGTCCGAATTCGGCCACGTTCGCGTTGGGACTGGCTCTGCCGCGACCGATGATGTCGTGGTTGTTGCCGTGGTGTAAGTGGTTGATGTGGCGGAGCTACTGGTATCCGAGGTTGTCGTTGAGCTGCTGGCATCAGAAGTGATGGAGCTGCTGGTCTCAGAGGTTGTCGTTCTGCTACTGGCATCAGAAGTGATGGAGCTGCTGGTCTCAGAGGTTGCAGTTGAGCTAATGGCATCAGAAGTGATGGAGCTGCTGGTCTCAGAGGTTGCAGTTGTGCTGCTGGCATTAGAAGTGATGGAGCTGCTGGTCTCAGAGGTTGTCGTTGTGCTGCTAGCATCAGAGGTCGTCGTGGAGCTGCTGCTGACATCCGAGATTGTTGTTGTGCTGCTAGCATCAGAGGTCGTCGTGGAGCCGCTGCTGACATCCAAGATTGTCGTTGTGCTGCTGGCATCAGAGGTCGTCGTGGAGCTGCTGCTGACATCTGAGATTGTCGTTGTGCTGCTGGCATCAGAAGTCGTCGTGGAGCTACTGCTGACATCCGAGATTGTCGTTGTGCTGCTGGCATCAGAGGTCGTTGTGGAGCTGCTGCTGACATCCGAGATTGTCCTTGTGCTCGCGGCATCTGATGTGCTTGAGGTTGCCGAGCTCGTCGTATCCTCGGACGTGGTCGGCGTCGTGGAGGATGCGTCGGAAGTGGCGGAAGCTGTGATTGTGACAGAGCTACTAGTAGCGGTGCTCGAGCTGTCAGCTGCTGCTATGGTACTGGAGTTGCTCGATCCTTGCGAGCTACTTGTGGTCTCGGAAGTTATTGTCGAGCTGTCGGACGTGATGCTGCTGCTCGCGTCTGGCGTCGTGTACGTCGTTGATGTCGACGGGAAGATGGAAGAGATGGATGTGGATGTGGATGTGGATGTGGATGTGGATGTGGATGTGGATGTGGATGTGGATGTGGATGTGGATGTGGATGTGGATGTGGATGTGGATGCGGATGCGGATTCGGATGTGGATGTGGATGCGGATGCGGGTTCGGATTCGAATGTGGATGTGGATGCGGATGCGGATGGGGATGTGGATGTCGATGTGGATGCGGATGCGGACGTGGATGTGGATGCGGATGCGGATGGGGATGTGGATGTCGATGTGGATGCGGACGTGAATGTGGATATGGATGTGGATGTGGATGTGGATATGGATAAGGGAAGAATCGAGGATGTAATACTTGAACTTGAGAATATTGAGTCGGTCGTAAACGATGACGAAGTGGGTGTTGCCGAGGATGAGGTGGAGCGGACGGACGTAGACGCTGGAGGAGCGATGGATGTTGTCGACGGGGATGTCGATGTAGGGTTGGATATAGTTGTGATGCTCGGCGGAGGACTGGGCGCGTTGTTAGTGATCTCCGAACTAGTCGTCACTGGTGTCGAGGTTATCACCGCGGAACGGCTCAGAGTTGATGCCGATTCAAATGATGTGGAAGTTGAGGATGTGCTCGAGGGTGTTGATGTCAACGAGGGTACGCTGGAGAGTAATATTGACGTGAACAATGTACTCGTCGTCACATAAGCAGAAGAGGGCGAAGGCGATGTATATACAGGTACTAACGCGGCAATGGAAGACGTCGAAAAAGGTTGTGAAGTGGAGGGGGCAGGCAAATTGATGGTGGAGGAGGAAAGCAAAGCCGGCTGATGCGTTGAAGAGAAGACGGGCGCTGCATTTGATGTTGGGACCGCCATCTCCACGGTGACCGTGAAGTTCACTCCCGAGATTTGCTGCAATGCCGCTATAGCGGCTTTCGCGGTGATGGAGTCTCGCACAACGCCGATGTTGAGGATAATGAGGTTGGTGAACAAGAGAACAGCCGTAAAAATCAGACAGAGTCCACCGCAGACTCCTCGTGCGAAGGCTGCACAAGAGCAGCATCGTCCGCAGCATGCCCAGTAACTCCTGCGCGCTTTATTAGCACGTTTCAATTTGCGTTTTTTTTGGTCCCCGTCTTCACCTTTGTTATCTACTTTCCAGGAGATCCAAGGGCACATGCGCAACTTCCGACGAGTTTCATATACATCGTGGACCTCGACGGATGGTCCGCCCTCTCCGTCCTCAGCTTCATCGCCAGCGTCGCCCCGTGGTTTACGCACTTTGATACTCTCCCGTGGCATCTCTTCGATGGATTGCGATTTCGCGAGGCCGGAAACTTTGGTTTCATCGAACGAGAATTCAGACGAACCGTCATCCTCAGGTTCCCATTTAGCTTTTCCTTTTCCAATGTCGCTTTGTTTTTTCTTCTTCTCGCTTCGCTTTCCGAAGATTGATGATGCTTTCGGAGGGTCGGCGTCAAAGATCTTCTCCGCACGGTCCGTTGGGCCCCTGACATCAATTGGTCGCCGCGCAGGTGCATTCAAGTCCCGGACAGACCGGGCTGTAGGCTCCGAATTTCTGTGTACGGCGGAAATCTCCCCGCTCCCGGTTGCCAATGTGCTTTTCATCCCGTCTTGCGGGGACCAATCCACGTAATACGTTGGTCCCGTGCCAGATGCCTGCGCCGAGCCTTCCGGGGGTAGCTTGCCAATTCCCATTGATATTTCCGGGGTCAAAATGGGTTGTGCGGCTTTGGACTTCACAGTTTGAGCTGAAATCGCCCTTTGCACGGGATATGCTCCAACTGTTCCGGATCCAGTCGGGAATGCAAATTCCGTTTGAATGTGGATAGGACCCTCCATTTTGCCTACGGATGAAGGAGTAATGGCCGGCTCACCGAAAGCGCCTCCGCCAGCCGAGTTTTCAAGTCGCCCAACAGCCGATGCCGTGGTTGCTGTAGGTGCCAACGGATTGAAGACAGCATTTGGGGAAAAGTTCGAGACAGAGTACGAAGTGTCATATGCGGGTACCGCTGGTGATGCCGCATATATCTCGCCGCTGCTCACTGGGTGCGTCCATCCCGGTTGTCCCCCCGTCAGTTTCCCAATGGACGATGCTGCTAGGTCGACTCCAACAGAGCGGTGGGATTGCCCCCCACGCACGTTGATCGCTGCGTTACTTCCTTGGGGGACAGGAATCGAAGAAAGCATCTCGATCAGGGAGGCTCTATTCGGTGCTCGAATGACGTTACCGAGCTCTCCCAGTTTCGACCCAATCGGCCCAACGCTGGAGAAGAGCTCCAAATCAGCACTTTCGGAGTTGCCCGAGAGCGCCGTGGCAGCGGTCGCCTTAAAGATCTCTAGGTATGGGCTAGCGCGTCAGATCAAAGTTCAAAAGACGTAAGTGTGAATTATTCCAAATATTCCAACTACCTTGCTCGATCTCGTTAACTCGCTGCTGAATATCATCACCATATTGCGTATCAGTGGTCGTGAGACCCTCATTTCTCGCTGTTCCAATGATGTGCTCAGCAACTAGGAGAAGATGATCTCTCTGCTGTTTTGCCGCCGAGAATTCCCTTTGTCCCGTCAGGCCAGGTTCAGGTATTGGCTGCTCGGCAATGGACGATATTGTCGCCTGCTCTGATAATGACCTCCCAGGAGCCTGCGGAGCTGGTTTGTTTTTCCTTCCTGAGGTTTTTGATCTGGTCATGGGAACGGGCGGCGGCTTCCGTTGAGGAGGTTGCCCAATGACCTCCCCCATAGTTAATGAACTCCTGGGAATATCACTGGAGGAAGGCCGGCTAGATCTTGACCCAGAGTCCGGCTCAATTCGCGAAGATCGGCCAGAGGAGTCACCTGGGGGCCCGACGGTCAACTCCATACCCTCACTCTGCATTCCGGCGGGATTGGTCATTTCCGAAACGTTCTCTGTACGAAGAACCGGCGTTGGACCCTCCAACCTTGTTGGCGAGGGAGGCACACGCTTCAAGATCCGTCCCTCATCTTGCGCGCTCTCGCCTACTCTCGGATCTAGTGTTGCTACCATGCGAGGGACCCATCCGCGTCCCTGTATGACCTTGAGGGTGCCCGAACCTCCCGGATTTGATGGCGATAGCGGTGGCTGGTCATCATCGTATGAGCTGGGGATGCTAGGCAGACTCCGACTTCTCCGAATCTTCTTGCCGCGATTCCGTGCCAAAATATGCTGCAGGTTTTGACTATCACTTTCGAATTGCGCCCTTGCACCTGTCTCTCTCCTACCCTGATTGTGGCTTGCCATCGAGACTGATGTGTGCGCTACAAGTCGCACGGTAGCTGCCCCGGTACGCAAATGCATCGGCGCATTTTGTATAAGGCCACTTCTCACCCTATCATCGCATCACATACACCCTGAGTGTGAAGCTGTCGGAGTTTGAAATGGCGATTTCATTGGGGAGGAGGATTTGCGATCAGGTTCGTCGTTCAGCGAGGATAATATCAATTTGGATTGACTGTATTTCGACAGCGCGGAACAAAACCAGAGCCGTGACAATAGAATCGCCTCACATGCCTGGTTCATTCCCAAGCGGAGTTCTCGGAGGAGATGACCCTGGGACCCAAGGACCTCCTTCAACACCTTATATGCGACTGCTTATCGTATGGATGTAGGGATCAGTATGAATGCACGCACATGAATCATAGTGAACATGCCGGATCATAGAAACCGCCCGGTAATGATGACGACGGCTCTGGTCCTTGACAGGAAAGGCTGTTTCCCTGCGGATCTTGGCAAGTCCTTGGGTGTACGGTAGACCTCCCAGTTGCTCCCAGAGTCCCAGATGTCGGCGAACGGTAGTGTCCCATGGATTGGGGAACGCGCGAGATCTGCGTTAGTCGTAGCACCTAGATTATAGACGCGCGGGCCCTTAGGTTCATAACAACATCAATGTCGTACTGTACCTCCGACCCTTCCAAATTGTGCTGCGTTCACTGCAGACACCCATTCATTTGCACGTTCCCCTTGATGTAACCAAGGCAAGCTGGTCAACTCAGGAGAGTCACAGCAGACCCCTGCGGGCAACGCTCAGGGGAATAGAATGGAACGCACTGAGTTCACGCCGAAATCCGAGCATATTCCACGAACGTACAGTACGACGACGAAAGTTTTCGGAATGCACGCGTTTCAATTATAATCAATTAGAAAATCCGTCTTCTTTTGCTACTGGGTAAAATCCACAATTATGCACTAAACTTAAATCCGCCCATAGAGACGAATATAAGCTTCATGTTGATCCGCTTGTTTTCCTTATAACTGGCCATGCGCTTTGTCAAGTTGGTTTGGGCAGAATACCATGCGGAAGATTGGTTTGAGTTTTTTCTCTAATTGGACCCGAAAATCAATTATGGGAGGACTGCTCCTCTGACTTCTATAACTTGACAACCAGACAGTTTTCAGACTTGACTACTATGTAGATTGAATATGCTCCTGCTTCCGGGCAATCCAACCGTATCACTCCCATGCGCTAAAGTCCAGTATGCATGGTTGTCAATTAAAGCCCTTCGATAAGCGATTTTTCTAATTGTTTATAATTGAAACGCGTGCGTTCCGAAAACTTTTGTCGTGGTACTGTATGTTGGAAAAAACCGTGCAGTATTGGATACCGCTCCAACCAATCCCCTAGAGCACCAGGGCTTGCGTCCAACTGGCGGCTCTGCCTGAGCCCAAGCTTCCCGAAAAAGAGGAGTTTCCAAAGAAAACCGGTCAAACATACGTTCTTTGTTACAAAACTGTCTCCCGAGCCAAGCCTTGAACGCTCCGGATGAATACTTTCCGCGCAGACGAGGGACACAGCGGACTCTAGAAGTACACAGTGTGCAGGAACTCGACACTCGACAGCAAGTAAGCAGCTTCCCAACGACCAATCGGTTTTAAGAAGCACATAAAGGAGGATCCGGCTCTCACACCGGTTCTCAAGAGGTACTTACATCCCCGGCTCTCCTTGAACTTCCCCATAGTCAGCCCGACTTCCAACCGACAACCGTAAACCGAATCTATTCACTTTATGATCACCCTCCTGGCATCTCGCGTCTCGACAAACATCTGGGTCGAGGAATACTTCACTAAACCGGCGGCTCGCAGATTTCGTGCTTTGTTTGTCGAAAGCGTATAGAACGTCTCCCACAGTGCGCATCGAGGACTCGGCATTCATCGAACCTGGAACAGAATGCATTACGCGCAGATACCCACATCGACCTATTCGTACGTGCAGTCTGGCGGGGAGCCCTCCCAGATGGGTTCTCAGCCCTTGGTCGTCGGACAACACCCCATCCAAGCGCCTCCTTCGTATGCCTCGGGACCAAATCTTGAGATGATGAACTTGATTACGGCTATGCGCCAGCAGGGTCAAAATCAAGGTCAGGCTCAAGCTCCGCAGCATGTTCTTCAACAACAGCAACTTTGGCAACAGCAACAGCAACAGCAACAGCAACAACAGCAACAGGTCCCGCCTGCGACGCCGCTGCAACAACATCAGCATCCTATGCTTATGCCGCAGCAGCTTCAGCATCTGCAGTTCCAGCCAGCCACCTCGCAGCCTATGTCACTTCCACAACAACCTACTTTGATTCATCATCAATCGCAGAGCCTCCTCCCAGTTCAACCGCTGTACGCTACAGCGCCGTTGCCCTCGATGAGTGCTCCCCGAGTCATTCCCTCCCAATTGTACAATAGTGGGAGTCAACAGTACTGCATCGTCCCCGATGGCTACACACCGATCCTGGTTCAGACAGGCCAGACATCGCAATTACCAGTCACGACGAATCTGGTGACCCAGTTCACGGTTCCCTCCATAAACCCTTTGGTCATGTTTGAACATGCGAGGCCACCGCCCCCACCTCCACCAGCGGCCCCGAAGCGGATACCTCGACCTGCCAACTCGTTTATGACCTGTGAGTACAGAAGTTCATACATGCTGATGTTGCCGTATTACATGCAGAGCATGATAAGTCAGCATTGTCTAACATCTACCACTTATTCTCGCTGCAGATCGAATGGACAAGCAACATGAAGTACTGGCCAAGCACGCCGGGGCCAACAACAAGGACATCTCGGTCATCATTGGCGAGATGTGGCGTGGAGAAAGCGAGAATGTCAAGGAGCACTATCGTCGAAAGGCAGAACAAGGTCGCAAAGATCATGCGTTGAGGTATCCCGGATACAAGTATACGCCCCTGAAGAAACGACGCGAAAGCGCTTTGAAGAAACACAGAGTTAGCCTCGACGGCATCGACATCACCCCTCAATCGCATTCGAACCCCGATCATCCTCCGCGAGCCGGCAGTATGCCTGCGTCATCGAGCACCACTCGCCAATCTCCTGACCATGGGATGAATCGTCGTAGAAGCAGTGCGTACGAACGCCACCGTGATTATGCTAGCCCCGACGCGTCAATGCCGCCTCAAATGCAAACGATGCGTTACCCGAGTTCGATTCATGAATCGCTGGATGTGTCGCGCGGATCGTCGTCCAGGGGTCCATTCGGCTACAGCGACGAGCAAGAGCCTCCATCCGCTAGTAGCGATCGTCGGTCAGATTCCATTCATACAGGCACCGGATCCGACGGTCATTCCGACCATTCCGCAGGCCCTCTGACGAATGACGACCTAGACGACGAACGCGCTCCGTCGAATCTTGCCGAAGAGTATCTGCACCCCTCTCTCTGCGCTCCGGCGTGTGAAGATGAGCTTTTCGACGATCACCTACAGATGAGGCTGGACCCGTCTCCGCTTGGGGACATCAACGACCATATATTGGAGCCGTGAATCTCTTTTTAAGTGTCGAACGCGTCGCGGTTGATTGCCCGGCTTCAACTCCGTGGCCGGCCGTTTTGTGAACCAGCGAACATGTCGCTGAAACTAGGGTTCACATCTGCATGCATCATCCAATTTAACTTAGTATGTCCATGCCGCCCTGAATGTCGGTGATTGATAAGGATACCGGATATCCCTTCGTTATTTGCTTGAGAAAACATAGCAGAGATATTGTTATTTTGGGATGGCATCCCCCTCCTTCGTTCGTATACGGATCGTCCGTGTGACCAAACAGACTCTATGCCCCTTCATTTGCCCAGTAGCTAGACCCTCCTCCTGACGTTGCGCTTTCCCTGATTTGTTCTATGGTTCAATCAAATTTTTTAACTTGCATCATGATCGCCCTATGTCCGAGATTGTTCCTGGATTTCGAACTGCAGGCGCTGCCGCCATTGCTAATCCAGATGGTTGCAGTCTGAGTCATGGGTCCACAAACTCCTTTGCCGACATCCGCCGGATCTACTTCTCACCATATCGACGCGTGCCCCTGAGAATGCTTTTAGTGACGATATGTTGAATGAAGCGTCACACAGCTAACGTGTGCAGTGTCCAGCAGTTCAATCCGCCGCGAGAAGAGATGCGGCTAAATTGCTTGCTTCACCGCGCAGTTGCAAGCATGACTTTGAGGTGCAACCTAGCTCGATATGACGGTTGCCGGAGGTTTGCAGGGTTTGCAGTTCCTCGAAAAGCCCTTTTGATGAAATCGTCGGGAAAACACACAGAAAGGGCTGCGTCGTGGCAAGGCTCTGGTAATCTAAACAGAGCTGGTCGAGAATTGAACGTCATGCAGCACTTCATGCAGTTATGGAAGTCCGATAAGCATGGCCAAACGTGCATCTGCTTATGGTACAAGCTTACCGGACGTCCAAAGTCAGCGAGTCGTCGAACTCGATACTGCATGGCTCCATATTTCCAAGAAGCGTGTTCCTGAAGTGCTGAAAACCAAATCAACAAAGCCAATATCGCGGCGCCAGCCTTTTCCCTCGGATCCCTACTTCTCGCTTGGCGTTAGGAGTTCGTCGTGCTTCCAAGTCTGCATGAAAGTGAGATCGAGGCGCATCTTTTGACCACTTGGCGACGTTCCAGATAGAGTACCAGAGAATAATCATGATAGTCCCAAGAAAGACGAGGCTCTCATCACAAAATAGGCTTGTCGTCGTCATAAAGAGGAGAGTAGTATAGAATCCTGCAAAGGTTCCCAATACGCATTCTAAAAGTGCTCAAATGACGCGTACTGGCCTCTTCCCCGCCAGTTTCCTCGAAGACGTTTCTTCCTGTAACGCTGACAAACGTGAGTGAATCAACGAGAATCTTCCACGGAAGACAAGTTCGTGCATGGGCTGTGTTTCCTCGTTAGGATGTTGCGAGGGATCTCAAGCCACTCAGATGAGAAGCGCCGAAACAGCATGAAGGTTTGGGATCTTTCCACACCTTTATTACAATAAAACCTGGAATCTTACATTTTCAACCGCTCGTAAAAGCCAAATCCTACCCCGATCTGAACGATGTTGTTATAGCGGTCCAAGTAGAAAGAAGAAGCTTAGCCCTTCCAAAGAGTGTCCTCTGTGCTTTCTTCTATTTGTCTGGATGGATAGAAGCCGTTGCGATGTCGGTATGGATAGCCAGAATAGCAAGCCTTTTTCGAGATGCGTCCTTAAGCTCTCTGCAATCGTACTGCCGTCTTGTGTGTTGCGATACAATGGTTGCAAACTTCCTGGGAACGGGCGATAACAAGTGAAACGCAGAGCAGGAAGTTCCAGCAATTCAAAACTTCAGCCTCCACGACTATATACTAAGGTCCTGATCGTGTCAGATGAAGCATAACAGTCCGCAGCTCTCACGCTTCATCCGGCCCCGCGATGGGCAGATTTTGACCTGTCTTCCCTCATGACCAAGGCATCCCCCACAAGAGCACCTCATTACCTTATTTATAGGTGTCTAGGACTTCTTCGCCGCAAGTTTTCCCTCATACATCGTTCTTTCATCGTGCCTTCATCGTTGTCTTTGTCGTCTTTGTGTGCCACTCCTTTTCATTTCACGCGCGCATTCTTCACAGGACTTTCATGAGGTCACCATTACCGGGCGATCCTCTGCCAGCCAGTGCCAGGCAACCGTGTCGGTTCACTTGTCGGCTCGTTTACCGGCAATGCAACGCGTAAGTCGTCCATGGCTTCCTCAACCAAACATCCCCGGTCAACATTGTGGAGACTTGTGTCCCCCGGGTGGCTTCCTCAACCAAACGTCCCCCAGCCGTCGTGGGACCAGGATCCTTGGTAACAAACTGACAGTAGGACATATACAGGTGACAGCGAGGCTGACAGCTTTCCTGGATGATGGTCAAGTTCCCTTCGTTCTGCAGCACCTACATATACTATAATACCTCGACTCGCTTGTGATTGCGCTTTTCCGAGGCAGTCAGGAAAACAATTGCAGTGGCGAAGCTATATCGGTGATTTGCGAGTTATAGTGAATGTCGGAGCAACAGGATATTCCGCTAATCCCTCTCAGAAATATATGATCACCTAGACGTTTTCACTCAATATCCTACGACAGCGACACTTTCGTGGTTCCGGAGTTCAGCTTTCCTTTCCTGTGACGGGGATGCCGCTATGGATGATGCATGGTGCGTATATCCCACGTTTTTTCTTCCAGGCCTCGTGAGGAACGCGTTTTTCGCGAATGGTGGACCGTGTATATATACTGTAAATGTCATCCTACATATGCCGGTCGAATAAGCACTCCGGCGGCCTCGATGCTCACTGATCTACGCCAAATTCCAATCTTGCGGCGAGGTTCCTCTCTGTCTTTTCTTCGCGGGACATTAGCAGGGCGTACAATTCCGAAAATCTTTGCAGTAGGTTTATGTTGCCGGTGGTGGTGAGGAGGAAGAGGACACTTCCACAAACCGCACAAGATTCATTGTCCGACGATTTATTTCCGGACAGAAGGTGGAAAATTGAGTCGATATTCGTCGGAATCGTCATCCCACTCAAGGTCTTTTCAAGGTCTTTTCATCTTCTCCGCAATTACATCCTCTCCGAGTTCGATCAAGTCTAAAGTCCTCTGTGAAATGCGAGGAAAATCAATCGAACTTGTCGTGTCGCTCTAGGTGCGCGCATCCGCTTCTGTGCCACAATACGCTCATGAAACATTAGCTGGCCTTTTATACCCTCCAATTGCTGGTGCAAAGTTTTCGTCTCTGACGTGTATATATACAGAATGCACCATTTTCGTGGTGCCATCGGTTCCATATTGCCAATACGGGTGTTCCTGAAGTGCTGAAAACCAAATCAACAAAGCTAACAAAGCCAATATCGCGGCGGCAGACCCTGCGGCAGACCATTTCCCTCGGATCCTAACTTCTCGCTTGGCGTGCTTCCAAGTCTGCATGAAAGTGAGATCGAGCCGCATCTTTTGAAGCCACTTTGGCGACTGTCGGGGACTTCTTCAATTTTTCATTCACACAATACATCGTATCTCAGCCCTCTCGGAAGGGCCCAATATCGACCAAGTTTCCTCGGACGTTACAGCGACGTTCACATCCAACCATCCAACAATGGTGGTTGGGGTAGTTGGATAAGCTCGGCTCACGGACACGTGGCTCAGGAGTTCAACTCCCAGTTCTTCGTTCGAGTGTTGAGGCAGCCTGCATTGGGGTTGACTTGGATGTTTTGCTCCAATTTTGCAATTGTTGGGAGCGAGCGCGAGCGCTGTTGTTTTGTATGTCTTTCTTGACCTGTATATGTAGGCCGTGTTTGATGACAAGATCTCGGTGTTTGGCAGCAGGTAGTGCCGACAACGACGTACACGAGTGCAGCCATCCCCAGATGACATGGCACAAGTGTCATCATCGAAGAAGGTGGTTCCGCCGCCACAAGGAAGGCATGGGGTGCCACACCCTTCGCCACTACTATTATCTTGGTGATGATTATGTCGATGAGGTGAACCTAGAATGGATGACCTTTAGGTCTTGACCTCTCTATGTACCTACGCCCAACCCAAGATCAGCAGCAAATGTAAGCTTTTGTTTGCAACAACTGGAGGAGCCCCGGTTCTCCCATCATCCTTGGTCGTGACATTCAAGCCGGCGCTCTCTTTCGCTTCTTGATTCATCAATATTCTCGCCATGACCACCAAGCGGCTTGAAATCACGCTCCCAAGGGTTGATAGCAGATGTAGATGTAGGAGATTAGTTCAATTTTCAGTAGTATTATCCCCACCCTTCTTCCTTTCCCTTCCCGATGGCACCGGTACAGGAAGAGAAAGATGGAAATGCGCGATGTCGGCGCGTTTGCCCATGTCCAATTCCCTACACATATACACACTCGGAGAAATCGGCTCTATACGAGCCTATCGGCGTTCCCAGTCTGAGACATCAAGGATCCATAGCATGCACCCGGCAAGGAGGCAATTCCAGTGTGGGCGCAGCTCCCAATATCTCCCTCCAGGACCCAGGACCAGGATGGTATAACATCTTCGTCCGCGACCAAAGGACTTTTCTTCTCCAGGGCTCAGCTCGTTCAATATAATGGGTGTCATTCAGATGTGCTGTTTGAAGAAGTCTAGAAACTTCTGAACGTATCCAAAATATCCCAACACCATTGCACCTAGGAGAGGGGAGATGATTCTATATTAAGAGATGTCCGCGTTCGAATCAGCCCAGAGAAATGCTCACTTGCGAAAACTGTCACCAGCAAGAGTTGAAACCCCGTTCCGCTGCTTTGTGACGTCACGGCTGCTTTCACCGCCGTCTTCATCTTCGTCAGCTCCTGTTTGTCGGGCACCTCCACCGGCTCTCCTCGTTTGTATGCATCCAGCGTTTGCAAGCGTTCTTGCACAGCCTTTATGGCATTCTTTCTAGCCTCCCGAACCGCGGGGATACCCTCCGCCTGCAGAGCGTCCAACCGTTCCAGCAAAGCCAACAGCGCCTCTTCGTAAGCAGCTAACGTCTTGTTCTTCCCGTGTGCAACACTTCCATCCTCTTCGAAATGCAGTTTGGTTGTCAGGGCTTGATATTCATGTTTCGCCCGCACTTCCAACAGATCTTGATGCACGGATTTCAGAACGGCAAGCGCACCGGGTGCCGGAATCTAAAGGGTGGGGACACGATAAACTCAGAGTATCCCCAATACGATGTCGACGGGGCGAACCATGACACGGATACGAGAGGGAAGGCCCGCTAAACCGCTCCGATGCGTGTGTCCCCCGTCTCCGCCCCCTTCCGTCATCCCTTCCGTCCTTGCTTCCCGGCGAGTACTCGTTCCAGGGAGTGCACACACCTTGGGCTTTCGCTTCCTAATGACTTTCGGGCTCTGCTCCGCCTCTGAGGATGCCTCTGAGCCCGGTTCCTCCGTGCCCGGTGGAGGCCTGCCGGCCTTAGCAGCGGCCCTTGCCTGCCGTCTTTTAGAGGGTACTGGTGAAGTCATTCGGAGTAGCGGCCTGTCGAGTTATCTTGATGGCCGACGTCCACCAGTGTTCAATAATGTGCAACATTTTCTCGAATGGCTTGAATATTTGAAGCCGCTGGACGGCAATATTTCGACAGCGCTCGTGAGTCATTTTAACGTTTAACAGGTTGTGGCGCGGATGTCCTTTTGCCTGGTCATGAATTGTTCAGACCAGAACCCGTTGCTTGCGATGTCGCTCCAGGCCGACATCGGATACACATATGGGTACATGTGCTCGCTGACATGGGCCATAGTGCAATGCGAGTGAATATTGCCGCAAGTTTTCGGTCGATAATGGGCCCTGCGAGAGTCCTAGCTCCATGTGGGTGCAGTACCCGTATGTTTCCACATGTGATTCATGTAGATCCGTGCCAGCTTAGGGCTGCTGGCCTCTTTATTCATGATACGTCCGGAGAGGTAGTGGACGGGGTCAGGACGGAATCAAGCTTGTCCTCTGCGGGCTAATTCCGCTTAAGGTCGGGGTCTTGTAATGTTCGGTCGCGAGTTGCTGAAACATCATGAATTCTCCCATGCTTACTTCTTCGGATTGAATGTTGTATACGTTTTTAAGGTACGTGCGAGCTTGCTCAGGGTTGTGCCGAGAGCTGAATTGCGTTTACATTGAACGACACCTCAGTGATTCGTTCGTCTCGCGCCTTCTTCTGCTTTTCTCGTTCACTTCTTCTTTTGATACGTTCTTCGTACTGATCAATGGGTACACGGTGCTGTCGTAAATCGGACGCAACGGATTTGCGAAATTCGGGACTGAGAGTCATCAATTCCGGAAAGTAATGCCAATATTGACATTCTTATGGAGTCTTCGTTTAATCGCGTCAACGGGATGATTGCCTTGGTCCGCAATGTCGGGATAAAACTTGAAACTTTGGCTGTCTATCAATAGTCTTGAACAAGGAGTGGCCGAAGGAAGCCGAATTTCTTGCATGAAGCTTTATAGCGGCGGCAAATGGGACATGTTGTATGTAATTGAGCACATCCTTGCGAATGCTTGGCCACCACCAATCGGCAAGGTTCCAGGTCCACAGGCCATAGTGCCACTCCGGTTGTGAGTTTGTTGTGGAGTTGTTTGAGAAATGCTGGGTGTATCAAGTCAGGGACATAGATCTTCCCCTCATACGTTGTCAAACCGTGACTTCATGTGAATCGTCGCTGGTATGAGTTTTTCTCGTGCTCAGGCGTTTTCAGTGCGCCGTCGATGATATCTGTATACGGATCCTCTTTGTAAGCCTTTTGCCAAGACTCCGTATCCGTTAACTCAGGGCCAGGAGTCTGCCTCTCCTTCTCACTCATGTCATTGAAGAGATACTGTTGAAGGTGCAGGCGTTGTTGACAGTCGGCGCGTCGCGGTGCATATGCAGGGTTGCGTGACAGGAAGCCCGCGATCGAATTCCAGGTACATATTGGATGGTGAAGTTGAGCTCTTGTGTCGTTTCGATGCTCTAGGCTTCGATGATCGCTGATGAAACATCGAAACGGTATTCCGTTTGCTTAAGTACAGTACGCTCGGTGGGCTTCGAGAAACTTCACCACTGCCAACAGCTCAGGCGGGTCAACTTTACTCCGACTGGGACGCGGACGCGGTTGGCACTGGGCAGTGTCTCGCCGATCGTCGGTTGCACACAACCGTTCGGGGGTGGACATCCCGCAGGGTCCTGGTCCATGGGATAGCACACAGATGCATCATACCACACTGGCTGACCGGCGTGCGCAGGAGTAGTACTGGAGTGGTACTTGTCGCCGTTGTCGGCTTGCGGTGACGGAGAACCCCTGGATTGCTCACAACCCTGATTGCACGCTGGATTGCACGCGACCTTTCCACGGGAAAGCAGAGCTTGCTGACTGCCCATCGCTGTGTCTGTCATGGCCACCACCATCCTCATTCTGTGATTGCAAATGGCCTCTTATCAGTAACGTCTTAAGGGGATAGCATCTTCGTAGCTCGATCATAAGGACACACTGCCTTACAGTAGCGTAGCTCCTCAAACCTCGGCTTACCTCACATTTTGTGTGAAGATCACCCACAGCCAAGCTGTCATGGCAAACCCGCACGTACCGCTGGATCTGGTGGCGGCGAGACACAACAGGATGGTGCCCGCCTACTGTCATCTCCCCCCCTACGCGCCGTACGCAGCCTTTTCCGCCCCATCCTACAACCCATTTTGCCACAAGACTCGGCACAAGACCACCAAGGAGCAACTCCATGTTCTCGAGCAGTACTACGCAAAGGAAAAACGACCCGATGCAAAGGAGAGGGATATGCTGGCCCGAAGAATTCAGATGTCACGTAAGTTTGGGAACTTCAACGGATTTGTTTTGCGTATACGTATCTCACATCTGTGTGCTTGTTTGGTTGCAGCTCGCGGGGTGCAGATATGGTTCCAAAATCGTCGTGCCAAAGAAAAGGCGGTATTGAATAAGAAGAATGCTGCTGCTACCTCCACGGCGGGTGATGGAGGGTCTTCCTCGACTTCCAAGACGGAGTCCAAACCGGAGAATGCGATGACAGAAGTATCGAGTGTAAACAGCACGACAGATTCTTCCGCGGCCCCTGTTAACGAGCAATACCGCATGCCGGCCCCAATGGGCGGTAGCACCGCTCCGAGTATTGAGGCCGATATAACTCATCACGGCTACGCTGTTTGCGAACCACCATACCAAGCCGATGCCCCGTACTTGTGGGAAAGCGATTTTAAGAAAGTCCGTCAACCATATATGCGTAGCCGCGCCATGTCGCTTCCTAGCCTGTACTATGGCATACCCGTCGAAGGCTTCCCAGCCGGCGTCCAACCTCCGAGCCCCACATCTGCGGGACTTTTCGTCGGAGACCAAGATTCTTATGTTAACACCGGATCAGCACAGTACGAAGAATTGCCAGCACAGTCCGAGGAGCAGGGTACACACCCCGGTTTGACCCCTCACCGCTACTTGTGGCAGAGGACACCTACCATGATCTCGGACGAGCTCTTAGTTCGGCGAGCCGACACGCGATCAGATGCGATTGTACACCCGCTTACCCATGCCAATGACATGAGCGAGGCGCACCTTGGCGGGCCTATGGATGCATTTCATCCGGATCCATCATGGTCTTCCCTCCGAAGAGGCTCGTGCCCTCCTGAATATCTCGCCTCGTTCCAACAACAAATGCTTTCGTCACCGAGTCAACACCACAACTTACCGCGAACCATATCCGTCGACAATATGCATCCGATCGAGGAGGGCCATCCTTGGGAAGAGATGTCAGCCGTAGACGATGAACAACCGCTATGTTCTCCCGTCGAGCTTGGCGAGACCATCGACCCTTCCGGTCATCAGACCCTGACATCCACTCCGATGCAGTCTCAGCTCGGCTACGATTTGCCTTACGGCGTGAAGCTTGATCGTCGCCGAACACACGATTCCTGGACGGACGGCCACGATCAACAAACTCCGTTCCTCAGCGTTGCCATGGGTCGCCGCGGGTCGGTTCCGATCAATGCACACCGGCGACCTATGATGGACGCCGATATGATGATGGGTCGCATCGCACCCTCCGAGGGGATGCATTCCGGCGAACATCCCGAGTTTTACCACGTCCCGGCTGCAGCCGAATACGTTGACCCTTTGTACATATCTGAAGATGGACTCCCAGGCGTAATTTCTGGTGCCACTATGCTCATGTAAATCTTTTCCTTTTTTTTTTTGCGACTTCGTCCTTTGTTTGACATGCGTGTATAACTTTGATGAGGTTCATGTTTCGGACCTTACGATTTCCCCTTTGATTCTATGTACAAACTGAGTAGTTTCCTGATGGGAGTGTAGCTCTATAGCATCTTTTAGCCCGTACAGGGACATAGCTGTAATGGACATGCGTAAATGTTACTCTTGCCGTGAGCGTCAGATTAACGTAAAAGGAAAAATGCACGTGACGTGAGGAAGCGGATTAAATGATTCCGTGCCAGGGTGCGTGACCTCGGGAAAGGGGCGCAGGGCTTGCATCGCAACCATGCATAACTCTATAACGGCGCACCATGAGGCGATCCCTTCAGTGATAGGGTACAGGCACCAAGAATGCTGGTGCGTGTCTCGAGTTACGCACCTCGGAAAGGCACCGAGCACAGCACCCAGCATTGCCGAAGACGAGAAACGACGGAACTGCTTCCCCTATGTTTTGTGTTTGCCTGGAGGCGCTCTGACTACAGGCATCGAGAACCTCAACAACAAGCAACAGCACTTCCAGTCCCCCGGCTCCCACCCCTCTCCCTGGCAACGTACTACAGACACTATCAGTAGCTGAGTTGGAGCTTCTCTGTCTCGCTCGCTTCAAGCAGTGTTTTATACAAGTCGCTGATCCTCCCGGACGATCTCGAAACGAGCAGTGGGTTCCCCCACCGTTGTCGTCAACCGATCAGGACACCTGGACTTTGATCTCGCTGGGTTTTCCCTCTGAAGGTAAACAATTTGACAACGTTTCTACGGACGTCCCACGAGAACCAGCAATGGCAGAGTAGCTGGCCGCCGTACACACGGGGTAGATCACGCAATCCCACCCGTTGTGTGGACGCGATCCGAAATCTCCATTCTTCTCTGACCTAAAGCGGGAGCTCGTTTGGAGGCTCCAATCATTGGCGGCATTATATTGAGCTGCGACCGAAACAGCAACTGAAATATCAATTACTGTCCATAGATCTCCAGTCGCCTTCGATACGAAAAGTGATAACGAAATGGTGACTCCAAACACCCAAACTCGCCGCACAGGTGATAGACAACCTCATCGGTCGACTCAAGACCCTCAAAATGCGTCTGCCACAAACTCCCTGGACGATGGGAGTCTGAAGGTCAAGAAAGCGTACCCACAAGAGCTGTCCTCTCTGAAACAACTGTTCGGAGACTGGTCGGAAGCAGATTTACTTGCGCTTTTGGAGGAGACACAGGGCGATCTTGACGTTGCAATTTCCAGAATTACTGAAGGTAAAATGTCTTATTGGGTTCAGCTCCTTCCTGTAGGCAGAGCCTGATGCTGTCTTAACGTTCACAGGTGTTGCTGAGCAGTGGGGTGAAGTCAAGAAGCGTGACAAAAAGGACAAACCAAAGCAAAGCCAGCCCATCGGAGATTCCTTGTCTACCCGTGGAAACCGCTCATCCAAGCCAGGACCTCCCTCTCGTGATGGGTTTGCGAGGGACAACAACCGCCCAGCGCGTGGTGGTACGTACGGTTATCGTTGGTCGCCAAGGCATCGAGCGTCAGACCACGAGCCCGCGAGCTCTGAGCAGCACGTTCTCGTTACCGATACCATTGTCCTAATTTGCTTGTCATTTACAGGCACATATGCAAGTCGCGGTGGTCGAGGTGGCAGTCGCGGTGGTCGCGGAGGCGGTCGTGGCGGTGCCATGGTTGGAGGTGAGGAAAATATTCATTCTCATTACCGGCTTTATTGTTTCTATGCTCATCCTCAATCGTTACGCCCAATATAGGCTCCCGGGGTGGTCGCCATCAAAACGGAGGCCACGGAGAGACAGAGGCCGCTCCAGCAAGCGAATGGGATAGTGCTCCAGCGGACGCTTGGGGAACTGCAACAGGAGAGCAAAACGAGGAGTCCAAATCCAAAGACGAAGCTCCCGGTACTGCAGACGACTGGGCCGCTGTGCCAACCGATCAGGCCGATACGTGGAGTGCGGAAACGCCCTCTGACAAAGCAACGGGCTGGGCGACGTCTATCAAACCTACTCAGCCCAAACCTGCGACAAAGTCCGAGGCCAAGCCTGCGACGGGAGCTGAGGCGAAACCTGACTTGGCTCGGTCTACCCCAGCGGCGAAGCCGCCGACGTCATGGGCGGCCCTGCTCAAAACGTATGTTCAATTTCACATGAACTCGATACCCATCGTTTTACTAACATGATGCCTTTGCTCAACCTTCGATAGGGCTGAGAAGGTTCCAACTCCGACTCCTACTCCCGCGCGTCCAGCGCCTCCGAAAGAGGTTCCTCGTGCGAAATCTCCGGTCAAGCCTGTCCCCGAGTCCCCTAAATCCGTCTCAGAGCGCGCACGCTCGCCGAGCCCGGTGAAGAGCCTCGCCAAAGAAGTGATCGAGGAGAAGACAAAGACGCCGGAACCAAAATCTCCCGTGCATGCACCTATTGCCAGGCCTCAGTCGAGGTCCTCCAGCCCACTGAAGCCACCAACTGCTGAGGAGCGCGTAGAGGAGCAAACGAGTCCAGCGCTGAAAACATCGGCACCACCGGGTCTGAAGGCGGCGGCACCCAAGCCCGCACCGTTCACTGGTCGCAAGTTGAAGCAGGACGCAGCAGTAGTCATGCCATCCAGCGCCAGCAAGTCTACCTTGGGAGTTCAGTTTGGCTCGCTTCGTTTGGGAGGATCAGCCGATGAAGAGGATCTCGATGCATCTGCACTTGACGCCCCCGAAGCTCCTCAATCCAATGCAGCGCAAAACGTGTCTCAAACGATCCAGCAGGGCCAGTCTCAACACCAATCGCAGGTTTCCCACGGCCAACAACCTGGAGCCCGGGATACTCGCCCCACGAATGCGCCAGGTTTGCAGCAAGGAGCTGCGAAGCAAAACGATGTTGCGCAATCGAACCCTGGACCGGCAGCGCCGGGCCTAACGAACGGTGGAGTTGGACCCTACGGGTCGTACTTCCCTACGCAGCAACTCGCCGCTGCCTCCGGTTTTGGTCTCGGCCATATGGGCCAGTTGCCAGCGGAGTACTCGGCGTTGTATGGGTCCGATGCACAAGCACGCGCGGCTATGATGGTGAGACCAGATGGAATGGTTTATATTGTCCTACATGGGCTGTTTCTGACTAAATGGTGTGAATTTATAGCATGGTTACTACGATCCCTCCATCTACCAGCAAGGTGCGGCAACTAAATACCAGGGGCAAGACACGGCGTCCGCGCAACCAGGAACCCAGGGGGGACAGGCTTCCCCGTCTGCCTCCTTGCACCAGGGCACACAACAGCAGCAACAACAGCAGCAACAGGGTTACCCGCTGCCTTACCCTTACTACCCGTACTACCACATGCCTAACCAGTTCCAATCGTATCAATCGAGCCCGTACGGCCAGCCTTTCGGAAACAAGTCCGTGTACCCTGGTTACCCTCAGCAGTCACAGCAACCCACCGCTAGTGCAACCACGTCTTCAAAGCCTTCCAGCGGCGGCAATGTCGGCTATGGTGGCTACTCCACGGGCGGGCAGCAACATCTGCAAAGCCAGCAATTACCTGGTCAACATCAACCCCACCTTTACCAACAAGGTGGCTACGATGAGCTGACCAGTGGACTCGGCGGCCACGACTACAAGAACTACAGCGGTCTTCCTCAGCAAGGGTACCAAGGTTTCGGGTTGCACCAACAGAGCCTTCCCGCGCAAAACAAACCCGGACAGCCGTCGTCAGGAACCGCCGGCGGCGCTAGTCAGCAGGACTACAAGCCGCAGCAGGCAAGCCGACCACCTCGCCAACAATACGAGCACAAATACCAAAACACCGCCGCCGGTGTCGGTAGCCAGCCCTCGGGTGTAGGCAGCGGCAACGCCTCCAACTCCGCCTTGCCATCGCAGTCGAGTGGGTCTTACTACAACCAACAGCAGCAGTTCGGTGGCTTGCACGGCCAGCAGCAGCAGCAGCACCAGCAACAACAGCATGGTCAGCAGCAGCAGCACAGCCAACAACATCTTCACCAGCAGCCGCACGTTCCTGCGCAGAACCCGTACCTGCAGATGCACCAGCAATACCAAGGTGCCGGCGGCCTTTACGGCGGCGGCGGCAGGCAGCAGGGTTCCGGTGCTGGACAAAGCCAACAGCAGGGGTACTGGAATGGACAATCTTGATTCATGAATGCGGGGTTGTCCAGTTTAGAAGGGAGCTTTCTTTTGCTTGTGGCGAGTCTCTTGCAACCTGATTTCACATGGTGTAGCATGTCTTTATTCGTCTCACTTTCCGCAAAATTCAAATCTATTCTACACCATCTTCTATTGTGCGCTTTGTTGGCTTTATTTTTGCATTGTCAGATCTGATCTCACCTTAGTTTCGTTTTGTCGGGAATCTTTGCCTTCGGCTTGTGCTCGCCGGTCGGCATAAGTATGAGACCGTTCTCTCCAGTCCCTATAATAGAACGTGGCCGACAGCGACCGTGTATTTGTGATGGCTCGTGCACTTTAAATTTAGTCTTGCGAACCCAATCACGAACCCAATCATGCGGGTATGCACACACTGCCTAGCCTCGGGTGTGGCTCACCGCCATATCCTTTCCCGCTACCTGACGGTAGTTTCTGCGCCCATGCGATGCTCTGTCCGGGCTAGCGATGTAACTATGGTTAAAAACGAGCCAATCTTTTGCCTTCTTTCATGGTGGGCTGGTGAACAGCTGAGGTGAGCAGCAATGTGTCCTTCTATGCTCGCCGTTTTCACGAAGCCTGAGGTTGAGAAAATGACAGTGGTGAAAATGGCCTTCCCCGCTCGCGTCACACAAGGTTTTCCTCCCCTTCCTGTTCTATTTTTGTCGACGCACATTAACCGTCCTCACTTTGACTTTGTGAACAGCCCCAGGCCCCATAGAGCTTTCCACAAACTGTAAGTTCAACAGCGTCGAAGAGCAAGAGGCATCTCTTCAGGGCCCAGCTGGTCCGCCTCTTTCCACACCACCTCGAATAGTTTGGCAACGGCAAAATAAAAACCGCCATGTCGTCCCTCCGAAATGCCGTCCAACGGCGTAACCACAAAGAGCGGTCCCAATTATCGTCCCGCGAGAACCGTGGTCTTCTCGAGAAGCACAAGGACTATGTGCTCCGTGCACGGGACTACAACCGCAAGCAAAAGACCTTGAAGACGCTCCGCCAGAAGGCGTCATTCAAGAACCCGGATGAATTCTACTTTGGCATGGTCAATGCCAAAACGAGGAAAGGAGTACATACGTTGACGAGGGAGCGGGAACAGCAGTTCGATCACGAGTTCTTGAAGTTGTTGAAGACGCAGGATGTAGGATATGTCAACTATCAGAAGAGTCTCAATGCGAAGAAGATTGAGAAATTGCGGAGTGGGCTGCACTTTTTGGAGGAGGGCGACGAACCGGTAGATGAGGGGGACGGTGGGGACAAGATGGATTTGGATGACGAGGATGATCCCATTCGGTACGACTTTATGAAGCTGGATGAGGAAGATGAGGAGGAGGTGAAGAAACCGCCAAGGGCTTCCAGCTCGTCAAAGCCGAAGCTGAACCATACGATATTTGTTGACACTGAGGAAGAAGGTGCGTCATTGGGGTTCTTTTCGCCTGAGTGATCCTTCAAACCCATTGCATATAGCTTACACATTTGATACCTTACAGCAAAAAACTTCGATGCCGCAAAACACTTTGATACCCAGAAGGAGCTCCTCCATCGCAAATATAATCGGCCGACGAACCAGATGCTCGAAACGTGCGAATTGCCAGAGGTTGCTAAGAGCTCAAAGAAGCGTGAGAAGGCGTATAAGGAGCTTGCAGCGCGGTTGGACCGCGAGGAACAGTTGCGGAAAGCGCAGCTGGAAATGGAAGTGCAGAAGAACCTGATGGGCAAAGGGCCAAAGCAGAAGGTCGGCGTGGATGCGAAGGGGTTGCCGATATATAAGTGGAAAGCGGTCAGAAAGCGATAGAGTTGAGCGCATTGCATTTGGAAGCTTCTCTTAGCATAAGTTATTTGTACATTTTCACGCTACCATTGTTATGTATTATTTACATGAGGGATTACCTTGTCGAGGTGCGGTTGAAAGTTCAGGAGGTTTGAAGACTGAGGTTTTCACCGCTTAGGGCCGCCTGTAGGAAGCGGTTTCTTCAACTTCTTTGGCCCCTTCTTCACGAAATTACGCCAGGAGCCCACCCGAGCGTCCCTGGTTTCTTCCCATAGCTTGTCATGTTCCGCTTTCCGTTTCCTCTCTAATAGCTTTTCCTCCGCCTCTGTCGCCCTACGATCAAATTCATTCTTCATTCGCAACCTCAGCCTCCCTTCGTCTTCCGTGAAAAGCCGCCTCATTTCCAGTTTGATGACATTGCAGAGCTTATCATCTTTCATCATCTCCTGCCACCGCGGTTCCTGCTCATCAACGGGTCCCTGTATGCCTTGCCGTCTCAGCACCGCGTCGCGCGAATCCCTCAGGAAGCTCAGAAGTGACTTCCGCTTTTCGTCATCCATAACCTCCGTCTCAGCCTTTTTCAGAATATCGAACGACTCTTGTGCGCGCGGATGCTTGCATTTGTCCGGATGCAGCAGCAGTGACTTTTTGCGGAACGCAACGCGGGTTGCCCTTTCATCGATGTTCAGGGTGATGTAGACTGAAAGCGGATGCTCCAGAATCTCGAGAGGGTTTTTCGTAGTCGCGTGGAGTTTGAGTATCCGCTCTACTTCTTTGTCTTGGTTGAATCCCGTTGACTGCGAGAACGTAGTTTAATCCTTGGCACAAAATGGTGCGATCTCGATAATCAGACGGTAGAACCTACCTCCAAACGCAAAAACGTGTCCACGTCGAAGTCATCGACGTCTTTCTCTGAAGCCATTTGCCAAGAACGTGCTTTTTACTGATTTGTTCTTCGCTGGGAGGGCCTTCAGAACGTAGCGTAAAATAACCATACGCTGCAAAACGAGCAGGGCATTGGCACCTGGATTGGCACACTACGCCTGGCGCTCTTTAATTTAATTATTATTTTGTGGTTAATGCTGCTGACTTATCTATGTCCGCTTGACGTGCGTTATGTGGCCGACCCTTCCCCACTGCTGGCAGACAAGTTCCCACTCAAAGCGCTCAGAGCTCAATCACCAGCATCGCCCAGGCATGGCACAAGTCGGATAGCAAACTTACCGTCTCCGTGCGCCTTCAACCTCCCCCCCCCATAGTCGTTGCAGTTGAAAGGGGCGCTCCCGCCCAATGAACTCGGAACTGAAACCGGAACTATCGCATCAAGACAAACCACAACCACACAGCACCGCGGACTCCTCTTTGGATCGCTTCGTGACATTCGACCACCCGCTCCCGAAGAAAGCTCTCTTTGCAATCCTTTGGGATTTATTCAAGGACATAGAAAAAGGCGCTCCCGGCTGGGAACTTCGAACGGACTTCGAGGACGTTTACGAGGTATGTGAGGTTTCACGCCAATGCCGTGCCTACCGGTGTGGTGCATACCACTGTCAAACCTAGCTTCGAACTCCTCTCGTAACGCAATCTCTACTCTGCCAGTTTCTTAGTCACTTTGCGAAGCCCGTCTCCAGCGCTCCTGTCACTTGCAAATTCCCAGTCGCACAGCTTCGTGATCTTCTGCCAGATCAGTCAGTGAGCTGGGAAGCATTTTTCAACTGTGAGCTATCGTGGATTCAGCGCACAGTTGTTGGTGCTTTGCTATCGACAGTGCTTAGTGCGTCGGAACCTGCCCGTAGGTTTCTGCTCGGTTTAAACCAGGGCGAGCATCCATTGCTCACCGCCGCTTTTCTTTCCATAGTTAATTATATCAGTGAACGCATACTCCGACTCCCTCCGGAGTCCGAAGAAGCGCTTACTCGCGTTGGGGAATCCGAAGCGCAGCTCGCTTGGCATAGTTTGATCACTCTTCAACACATCAGCCACCTCGATTCTCAGAGGGGTCGCGAATCAGTGAAAGCCCAGGTGGGACCTGGCGATATCCACGAAAGATCTGATAGAGCAACTCCGGAAAGGTTGGACTTTGATTTTCTTCCTGCATGGACCCGAGTAGTGTCTGACTTCGCATGGTTCACCAGGATGTCAGCTCTGGATGCATCCTCTTCAGGCGCGAAGCTGGCGCAGCTAATGCAGGCGCTCGGCTACAATGCATCCTCCTCGCGGGAGATTGTTCGAAGGCTTTTCAATCATGGCGGGGTGACGAGAGCGAATTTAACGAACGCGGTTGTTGCGGAGGTCTTGGTGATGATGGTTCGGACGAGCTTCGGTTGGGATAGAGACCCCTCCCAGGACGCTCTGGCAATGTCCATCTTCAAATCCGAAGGCGTGAACCTACAGCGTTCCACCTCATGGAACGTTGAGATATTCGTGGACTGCGCTCTCGAAGTGGTAATGTCGGGTTTCGAAGCGTCTCCTCCGCAGAACGACGGTCACTAAATGCGGGATGTTTGGTTTATCGTTACAGAATCCGGATTTGGACTGGTTCACGGTGTTGCGCAGTCTTGATCGACCAGACTTTCACATCACAGATGCGCAGGGGTTGGCGATCATCCTCAACGCCTCTAAGGCTGTCATCAAGGTCTGTTCAGTGATCACCCATAATGGAAATAGTCTCCGAACTCATAGTACCTTTCCAGGATGCCTACCAATTTCCGATTACCGCCTTCTTCGGAAAATGGGAAAATCCGCCAGGACAGCTATCCTTTATCAGACAAGCAGTGCAGTCTGTACCGGAACTGTTCAGCTTGAACCAAACAATAACAAAGCGGGTCGTGCCGATGGATGTCGCTGCAACTGCGCGGCAGCTACTCCCGTCTTTAGTGACACAGCCTTTCAATTCACTGGATCTGATTGAGACTCTTGTCACGCTATCTGACGGTCCTCTCTACACGGAAGTGAAGACTATTCTGGACTATGGGGTACAGCAAGCACCCGAACTCATGCTGCTCGGGTTCGCCCAGATGACGGTATGTAGCCTCCCGATGCCAGGGTTCAATGCTTCCGGTCTAATTCGTGCCCCGTTCAGATTCCTTGGAACACCGCCATGAAAGAGCTTACCCCCGGTCTGGTGATGCTGTTCCTTACCGGCCATCCCAACTCCACCTTCGTGCTTCCTCGGCTGTGGCAGTATAATCAGAATCTCTCCATCTCCGGACTTCTGCACATGTACACGAAAGATCCTTCTTCCCTTTCTCGAATTTTGGATGTCGCGCAAGAGATGCGGGTATGTTGATTCATTTCACAAAGCAATGGCGCAACAAACATGTCCCCTGACATCTATGCGTTTCAAGGCGCTATCCGCTATCTTGGAAACCAGGCCGTTCTCGTTTTCCATTGATCTCGCTGCTTTGGCATCCCGACGGGATTACTTGAACTTGGAGAAGTGGTTGCAGGACCATTTGCGGGATCAAGGCGATGTCTTCGTTCTTGCATGCCTGGACTTTCTCAATGAGAAGATAAACGTTCAGAACCAGAGAGGCGATGTAGCCAACACCAAGCGGTCCATTCCGCTGTCGGTGGATGTGGTGGCAACATTCTTGCGGGTTCTGCATGCGCATACACCGTAAGTCCATCGTTTTTGATCATTCGGCACGTTATTTTGGACAGGAAAGATTGCTGACCCACGCGATCAAACAGGTTGACTCCTGCCAATGCCGCATATCTCAAGGATGTCTCCAGTGCTTGCCTGCAAACATATCCACGCCTAGCCAACGTTCCAACATTTGGCGAAGGCGCAGTAGGGGAAGGCATTTCTTTCCCGGATGATGTGGAAGAAGAGGCGAACTCTTACTACGAACGAATCTACAAAGGCGAGCTGTCGATCAGTCAAGTGATGGATCTTCTACAAAACTTCAAACAATCCCAGAACCAGCGGGAAGTGGATATCTACAAGTGCATGGTGCACAACCTGTTCGACGAGTACAAGTTCTTTGCAAGATACCCGGACAAGGAGCTTGCAGTCACAAGCGTTCTCTTCGGTGCGATGATTCAGAATCAGATTGTATCGTCAAGGGCGCTTGGGATGGCTCTGCGATACGTTTTGGATGCGCTACGACAACCAGTCGGAGCTCGCCTATTCAAATTCGGGATTCAGGCGCTGAATCAATTCCAAGCTCGTCTAGGGGAATGGCCACAGTACTGTTCCTTGCTTCTGCAGATCTCACATCTGTACCAAGCGCACCCAGACATTGTTGAGTACATCAAGACGTTGCAGCGCGGGGTTGACGGCAACGCGAACCCCGCTGAGCAGTTGAACGCGGAAGCGAGTCTCGCGTTGAACTCGAACGTCGCTATCGAGCAAGCGGAGCTGCCCAAGCAAGAGGAAGCCCCGGTATTCACGGCTCTGAGGGTCGATTCCGTATTGGATTCGCCAGGCCGGGATCAGTCTGAAGTGCCTAATGAAGCAATTCAAGATAAGATTCTGTTCATCATCAACAACATCTCCGTCGCAAACATCGACAGTAAAGCGGTGGAGATGAAGGATATTCTCAAAGAGCCGCATCACCGGTGGTTCAGTCATTACTTCCTGGTCAAGCGCGCTAGTATTGAGCCGAACTTCCATTCTCTGTATATCGATTTCTTGGATATGTTGGAGAGCAAGAACCTTCACAGGAGAATATTGCACGAGACGTACTCGAACATCAAGGTGTTGCTGAACTCTGAGAAGACGGTGACGTCGTCTCAAGAGCGATCCTTGTTGAAGAACCTGGGAACGTGGCTAGGATTGATCACACTCGCCAAGAACAAGCCCATCAAGCATAAGAATCTTGCTGTGAAGGTACGTATGATTGTTCTACCTTCAGGCCCGTAACGACATCTTTGTTGACCCTTCCTTGCTTTTTGCTCCGTGCAGGATCTCTTGCTGGAAGGATATGACAGCGGACGACTCATCGTTGTGATACCGTTCGTATGCAAGGTCCTGGAACAGGGCTCGAAAAATGCCAAGAGCAAAGTATTCAAGCCACCAAACCCGTGGGTGATGGCGATCATGAAGCTATTGGCGGAGCTGTACCACTACGCTGACTTGAAGCTGAACTTGAAGTTCGAGATTGAAGTTCTCAGTAAGAACCTGAAACTTCAGATCAAAGGTAAGGTTCATTTGTTTGCCATATTGCATTGGGACTGGTCTCACCTTATACTGGTTGATAGATATCGAGCCGACCAACCTACTTCGTAATCGTCCGGCGAAGAGTGCTGAGTCCGCTAATCAGTTCGGGGCAAAGGGACCGTCTTTGACCTCGTCTGGGATTGGGGCGTCCGGCTCGTTGCAGACGGGAGATGTCAATGTGGCCGGCGGCTCGAATGCATTGGCCCAAGGCTTTGCGAATGACGCATCTGCTCTCAGTGCTCATCCTTCGGCTGGAGGCGACGAGAGCATTGGTGGCATCCCGAACTTGGCCGCCTTCATCACATTCAACCCGAACCTGCCTATCTTCAACGCCCAACCTTCATTGAAGAGGATCGTGTACATCGCCATCGACCGGGCGATCAGGGAAATCATCTCTCCTGTTGTCGAACGCAGCGTTACCATTGCGGGGATCGCCACAAGGGAACTGGTCATCAAGGATTTCGCACTGGAAAATGATGAGAACAGGATGCGCAAAGCAGCGCATCTCATGGTCTCCAGTTTAGCAGGGAGCCTGGCATCCGTGTCCTCGCGGGAGCCTCTGCGTGTCAGCATGATGTCTCATCTGAGGAGCCTGCTTGTCCAGAACGGCTTCACGGAACAGACGATGCCCGAACAAGCCGTGTACATCATTGTTGCCGACAACCTGGACCTTGCGTGCTCTGTGCTTGAGAAAGCTGCCGCTGAGAAAGCGTTGCCCGACATTGACGAAGCTCTGCAACCGTCGTTCATCAACAGGAGGCAACACCGAACGAGGAACAACGGGCCCTTCTACGACATGTCGGTTTTCGCTTCGTCACGATACCCATCAAATCTTCCCGACCCTCTCCGCCTCAAGGCCGGGGGTCTCAGCGGCCAACAATTGCGCGTGTACGAGGATTTCGCGAGGATCAATGCCAATGCCTCCCCTGTGCCGGAGCCTCTGGACAAACTGCCGCGTGGTGGCGCTGGCGCCGCCCGCGACGGAAGGCCTGACCAGGCGAGACATCCCCTCGGCCAGAATTCGGATGAAGAGTCGTCGCAGTTTTCCGCTCAGCAGTTCATTGAGAAGTTCTCGCAAGCTATCAACGAGCTTGAGACTCAGGTTGCCCAGACTCCCACGGCAACCTTGGCCTCGCTTCCTACTCCGCACGCGATTCAGAATCTTCTTAGGGATATCTCAACGGTCATCATGAGCCCCGTCAATCGTGATGAGATGAGCTTGTTGTACGCGCAGAAGATCATGCAACTTGTCTACAACAACGAGACGCCGTTGATGAGGGAGATTTGCATGCTACTCCTGGAAAAGCTGTGCGAAATCTCAAAGCGGCTGGCGAAGGAAATCAAGGAGTGGTTGTTGTACCATGACGATGAGGTGATTCAAAGAGATATCAAGTTCCACACATGCGAGGATCTTATACTGATAGTATCCGGGTTTCACAGAGAAAGTTCAACGTCTCGGCCACGATTGCCGTCGTTCAAGCTAAGCTTCTCAGCATTCCCGAACTGGACATGCAACTCTCACGGCTCATGGAGACCGGGCGAACTACCGTCATCGAATTCACCGTGCAGCTGATCGAGCAGTTCATGGCTAGCGAGGCGCCTATGTCGGTACAGAACGACTTCTTCAACTCCTTCGAGGTGCTTAACCGACTTGCCGCAGCACCCGGCAAGTTGCCGGAAGGGTATGTTTCTGAATTTCGATACTTTCGGATTCCATTTTTGACTGAAGTTGGTTGTTATAGTTGTGCGAAGCGTTTGAACGCTGTGAAAAACCGGCTACCTTTGTTCTCTGTCAAGGATTTGACGACAAAGGATATCGAGACCGCCAGCCTTCGGGAACATCTGGCTGCACTCTTCCACGACTGGGTTCGCACGTTCTACCATCCTGCGTCGAATGAAAAGTCCCACGCGTTCTTCATCCAACAGGTATATGTCGTCGTTCACAACAGAAACGTGGGCATCTTGACTCTGACTTTCCCGTCTTCCCCTCTGTAGTTGCAGCAGCAAGGAATTTTGCGAGCGGAAGCCATCTCGCCTCTGTTCTTCCGCGTATGCACCGAGATCTGCATGGATGCGTACAACAAAGCACAGGCCGCGCCAGGGCTTCCGGCACCCTTCCAAGCAGTTGATGCATTCGCCCGGCTCATCGTCTTACTTGTCCGATACCATGTGGACCCAGCCGGTGTGGACAACAACCATGCGCGCCTCAACCTAACCGCCAAGATTCTGTCCATCATTGTCTTGGTGCTGGTTCACTCGCACGAGCAGCAGCGGGAGCATTTCAACCAGCGCCCGTTCTTCCGCTTGTTCTCGACCTTGCTGAACGACTTGAGCATGTTTGAGTGGGATCTGCAGCCGATCTATATCCAGATCTTGTCGGCTGTCAGGTAAGTTTATATCCTGGAACCGGCGCGCGTTGTTGGAAGGCACCTAACGGTGTGGTCATCTCTATAGCAATACCTTCCACACTTTGCAACCATCGTTCCTGCCTGGATTCACGTTCTCGTGGTTGCAACTGGTTTCCCACCGGTTCTTTATGCCCAAGCTCTTGCTTGCGGAGAACCAGAAGGTAAATATATAGGTTTGTTATGACTTCCGCATGACAGGAGCTGATGCAGAGTTGCTTTTCAGTTCTGGCCGTTCTTCCAGAGGTTGCTTGTCGACCTGTTCAAGTTCCTCGGTCCCTTCTTGAAGCAATCCGAGATGTCCGACACAACTCGACTGCTCTACCGAGCAACTTTGAGGATCTTGCTGGTGTTGCTCCATGACTTCCCCGAGTTCCTCTGCGACTACCACTTCAGCTTCGTGGACGTCATCCCCCACATGTGCATTCAGCTTCGCAACTTGATCCTCAGCGCGTTCCCACGAACCATGCGGTTACCCGATCCCTTCACCCCCAACCTGAAGGTTGATCTCCTTCCCGAAATCAACCAGCCACCCCACGTGCTGTCCGACTATACCAGCGGTCTGTTGAGGAACAACCTGAAGCAGGATGTGGATGCGTACCTCAAATCGCGGGGCCCATCTCAGTTCCTGAACGATCTGCGCGGCCGCCTGCTCTTGACTGGACCTGCGTCGGCTAGCAGCGAGAGCACGCAGTATAACGTGTCTACCATCAACGCTTTGGTATTGTACATAGGAGTGCAAGCCATCGCACAGTCGCAGAACAAGGGGGCGCAAGGGGGTGCGTCGCCTGTTTCGCCCAGTGCGCCGATGGATATTTTCCAGCAGCTGGCGGTTGATCTGGACACAGAAGGTATGCACATTGTGTTTTGAGCAGTGACGATATCAGAGATTGGGAGCTAAACATATATGTCGAACAGGCCGTTATCTGTTGTTTAGCGCCATCGCCAACCAGCTGCGATACCCCAACAGTCACACCCACTACTTCAGCTGTGTCTTGTTGTATTTATTTGCCGAAGCTACTCAGGAAGTTATTCAGGAGCAGATCACAAGGTATGTGTGGGGTGTATGAACGTACTGAATGATATTTGCACAGCCTCTGATGTCTCACAATTTGCAGGGTCTTGATTGAACGCCTGGTCGTGAACCGACCTCACCCATACGGCCTCTTGATCACGTTCATTGAACTGATCCGGAACCCACGCTACAACTTCTGGGACCACACGAACTTTATCCGTTGCGCGCCCGAAATCGAACGCCTGTTTGCCAGCGTGGCGAAATCCATCAATCAGTCCCTGATGCGCTCCCCTCAGTAGTTTGTGGGGATGGAAAAAGCCTCTCGACGGTAGTAGGCACCCCACTTTATCGACAACCCAAACCCAATACAAGCAGTCACTCAACACACTTTGTACATGTATATTTTCGTTGCTCCCCACCTCTCGCTATAGTTATGAGGGTGAGAGGAGAGGAGAGGGGGAGAGAGAGAGAGAAGGCAGCTACGAGTACTCCCTAGTCAGTCTCGTCCCCGACTTGCCCTTTTCCTATGTAAAATGCTTGCGCCCGGCGGGCTTTGGTTCCCGACCTAACCTCCTTCTTTTCTTGCGATTTTTGTTATTTTGCTTTTTGCGCTATTTATCATACTCTTTTATGTTGGTTTTTATTACTTAGTGCAAACTACGTATGTTATCTTTCTCGGTTCTCTTCTGGCACCGCACATAATGGACTTCATTCGGAGGTTGCTTACTAAGCTTCTCTATTTTCCTTCGCGAGTGACAGGATAAATAACAGATTGCGGTGCGTATAGCTCCCTTTCCCTTATCTCTTTTTCACTCGAGCGCACAGATCTTGGAACAAAAACAGGCTAAGCGCACTCTCTGTTCACGACATTGCACTCTGATTCTGCACAACATCGACCTAATTTCAATCATTCTCGACACAGGTACGTCGATATCTGGTCTCCATGGTGATTCTGTCTTTGGACAGAAGGGGAATCAACCAGCAGTCGCTCCAGCGAGCGGCCACCGGTTTGGGTTTTTACCCAGCGCATAGACGCAAAACAAGGAGACCTTGAATTCACATTCGCTCTCCTCCCCCGGCTATTGCACAGACCTACCACACCTGTGTTTTCGCCCGCGGCATTATCATCACCATGGACGACAACGCCTCGCAACACACCGTTCTCAGCGTGAATTCCAACATTCTCAGCGTGAATTCCAACATGAGGAGACAACCGACAACCAAGAGGGAAACGACGCTCAACCCCGTGAGCGCGAGCGTCGCATCCCTCGCCGCATTCCGAGCCTTCCCGCAAACCCCACAGCCGATGAAATTGCGGAATGGGAAGAGCATCTCTCTCACGCCGAGCAGGTCGTCGCCTCTATTGAGCGAGACAACCAGGCTGCCCTTATCGCCGCCCTCGAAAGAAAACGGGAAAGGCTTGTAGAACGCCACCACGCCGCGATCGCTCTGGCTAGGGCGCGCCGCAAGCGTACGCACGACGACATGTCCACGTCGAATGCGCCCATCCCCATCCCCATCCCCATCCCCAAACATCGCCTCGACGCCATTCATGCCAAAAAGGCGCCCGTTATCCTCGCGTGAAGCCCGGCGAACTTCCTCCTCGCCCCCGGCTTCAAAAGACCATGTGGGATCCTAGACCGGACACGCAGCCGGTTTTCATTGCCATGAGCCAAACGCTGCCATCCTTTCGCGACATTCAAGCGGCCGAGAGACCCAAAACCAAACGTCGTCACGTCCCGCGCACCGGCGGATGATGATGAGGATAACGAACTCGAACACCCTGAAGGCTTGCACCATTCCGACTCCGAGTCCGGCGCCGCCGACACCCGCGTGCGCCTCCCAACCAGCCGGTCGGTGATCCCGCTCACCATGCACCTCGCCGACATCCTCCGCGACGAAGGCGTCGTATCTGTTTCGATGCAGGAGGAGAGTGAGAAGGAACTTCAGCGTCGCATCCCCAAAGTTGACGTGTTGGACGCCTACTCCATCAACATGAACTCCGGCACGCCCACAGACAATGTCCTCCTCGTGCATTGCTCCGCCGCTGAGAAGGAAGCTTTCAAGAAGGTGAAGGCGAACTACGCTCCCCTCGTTCACTGGCACCAACGGGCTTTCAAGGAGCATGCCACCATCCTCTCCCTCCTCGGTCAATCAGCCGCGCCTGGGATGACGCAGGAACAACTCGTCTCCATTGTCCAACAGACCATGTCGGTCTGTGAGGCCACTACCCTGATTGCACGCGAAACGCTGTTCAAGACCGTCCGCGAAGCCCAGAAGGTCGCGCTTGAAGCAGCAGGCTTCACCGCTACCACCGTCGATTCCATTCACAAACGATGCGCCTTCGGCGCGCATAGGAAGCAGGAGCTCTTCGGCGAGTTCGACAAGATGCAGGAAATAGGGTTAGGGTTAGGGTTAGGGTTAGGGTTAGGGACAGGGTTGGGGCATGCACGTCCTCCTAGCGCAAACTGATGCCATCTGTGAAGGACCACTCCTGAGGTGATACGAAGTCCCCGTCTTGCAGGGGTAGCGCTAGGCGCAGACATCGGATGAGAGACTCTTGCCTCCTGCCCGCAATCGTCATAGGTAGACAATTGCACATCTTGTGTAAGATGCGACGACCGGCGTGGCGCACATCTCATTGCACGGGTAAAGTAATTTGCTACCGCTTGTTCCTGTCCATTCTTCATGTTGATGGTCTTGATGCTTCCGTATGTTTGGCTCACCTCACATGCGCCACGCTCTCGTTCTTTTCCGTCGTTTATCCGGTTTTCTTAATTTGCATCGAGCCCTCGATTTGGGGGAAACCCCGATTCGACATGGGCGCGGTCAAGGGTCCCACTGTCGTTGCCGGAGCCGCCAATCCTGTTGATCGCTCGATTTGCGATCGGAAAATGAGAGGGACTGTAACCGTTCTCTTCGATAAGCTGATAATTGAGGTTGTGGTTAACACTGTTCCGTGGATTACTCAACTCGGTATTATGATAATGCTTTCCCATCCTGATGTCGACGTGCGTAGCACGCCGCCTGATAGTGCCTTTCCCGACCGCACCGCCAGCATACCGCGGCGTTTTCGAATCCGTTTCTAGGCTCACGTCGGAACTGCCGTCCGTGAGCTCTCCTCCATTTCGATCCGTTCGCGCATATCAGTCAACCTCCCAAGGTCCGCCGCAGCGCCAAGACGGTTCATGGGCTCTTCCTTAAGGAGGGGCCGGCTGGTCACCAGAGCTGGGGTGATGCTAAACAAGGCACCCCGAGGGGAAATGTCCCTGCCGGCCGCAGTGAAAACATGCGTCGGATCTGGTTCGAATCGTCGCTGGATGAGGCGGATCAAATCCCTCTAACAGCCTTCTTCAACGGCGAGGACGAGAAAGGGTTTTGTTATGGCCGACGCGTCCATACCATGGCTTACATCAGCGCTTACCTCAGCAAAAGCTTTCATTGTCAATTACCCGTCAAAACCCAAGACGCGCCAAACCATGCCGCCGCACACAGCCAAACGCAGCCGGATCCCTCCACACATGGCAGGGATTGCTCATCCTGCTATACTTCGTCCACAGCTAGCAGGATCTTAAACCTTCTAGGAAGAACTAGAGTGGGTGGCTTTGGCCGTCGAAAAAAGGGGTGTTGTCACGCTAGTTCGTGATATCTATATAAGGAATGCACCAACTAGCGTGACAACACCCCTTTTTCCCACCGCATCGACACACTAGCACAACTTGGCGGTCAAGGGAATACTTCGGCGTAACACAACCGTCTCTGATGCCGAAAAGTTTTTCTGGTCTTATGACAGGAATTGTCTGGGCGCTGGAAAGAAATCACTCCGAGGACACCTCTTCGTCGGCTGATTCGACTCCGGAATGGCCCTCCGGTTCCGATTCGACGCGCAAACGAATGTTGTCCGGGGATAATTGGATGAGTATCAGGGAGTCCTTATCGGGCTTGTACACATGGCGGCGCTGCAGTCCGTCCCTTACCAGTTTTGATTTATATAGATGAAGTTGAAAGAACGCATCGAGGACGGCCGCGACAGGCCCTGAGCGGTAATCTGGAACAGGGGAATGGAACGCAAATTTTGTTTTTATCGTTTCGAAAGGTATCAGTGTCGACATGTTATCGGGCAAGTAGAAATTTTGACGTGGCTCCAGAGTGACGCCGTTCTCGGCTAGAATCCGATTGACAATGTGGTCTTCAGGATCAGCATATGAGACGAGGTCCCAATCCCAGTCAACAGACGCCGTACCGTAAGCCAACTCATCAACGCAGTCTATCAGTTCTGGTGCGCGCTTCCAGATCACCGCCAGGTCTCCTTCGTGTGCTTCGTGCTCAAACTTTTTTTTTAAAAGGTACTTCTCCACCTTGAGGCGCATGTCCAGGGTGCCGCGGTTGTCGTGAATGCGGGTCAAAAGATCTCGGAAGGCATCCCGGTCAATATCGTCAATCCGTGAAAAGTCGAACGTGCAATCAAGATCCTTTGCGACTGCGAACACGCTCCGGGAGCTATCACAGCAACTGGGTTTATGTCCAGACACGATTCAGCGGCTGGTCGTCAAGGGTGGAAAAGCGGGTTATAAAAAACGCGTGCCTTTCAGTGTTAAGCGGGAGGCGTTGCCGAAGGCTATCGCGACGTCGAAGCCCGCGAACATGAACGGTTGGAAGGTTCCGCCCGTGGGTGGTCCGACGCCGGTTACCCAGCCTCCCATTACGCAGGTTCAGGACTGCAAAACGGCGCGACAAGATCAAGTCCCTGATCGCCACGAGGGAAAATGGTGGACTTTTCCAGGAACCAGTGGACTTTTTGGTGTTCTTTTCGAACTCCTTGAAGAAAAAGTCCACTGGATTTTATGCAGGATTCTGGGGTTGCGGTGTGATTGGTGTACTTTTTCTTAAGTTTTTCGAATAATAGAAAAGAAGCGAAAAAAAGGCGAGATGCCTCAAAAAAAAAGTTACTATAACGTTGTGTAGGAGAAACTTGCCGAAGAAAAAGTCCACTAACTACACTGGAAGCTTTCCTGCAGGAAACATGGGGTTCCGACATGAAACAAAGCGAGGCCCAGGAACCGATGGGGTTCAAAACGCAGACCAAGACAGTGCACTTTTATTCTGAAAAGTTCACTTAAGTGCTGAGTGATAAGTCCCAACGACGCCCGCGACCGGAGCGGTAGCGGTCTCCCCGAATCTGCTGTACTGGTGCTGTCACCGAGGCAGGCCAAGAGTCTGTTGTTGCAATATATGTCGCAATCGTATTGGTTCCGTTTGCTGATTTTTCTGCCTGAGAGCAAGTAAACATGCTTGTTCGACGGATGCAAGGTGGTTGGCCCCCCTGCAGATCCAGGGGCCCCCCGAATGAGGTCAGCGGATACGTAACCCACCGACCCGTTAAATCCGGTCTGCGCTCGTGGTTACCGCTTTCAGGAAATCCTTCCATTCGCTCACGACATCATCGAAGTCCTCCACCAGTGGCTGACTCAGTCGCGCGCGATGTATGGCTCCAGAAAGAAGCCCCATCTCTGCCTCTGACACGTCTTCACCGGCCAAGGTGCGCCGGCTGATCTCGCCGAGCCTGGCGCTATCATACGTGGCGAAGGCCTGGAAATAGCCGCAGTTGCACAAACAAACTATCCACGTACTTCGTCAACGTTGGATATAGAAGGTGATCCGATGGCACGCCCAAATCAACCTTCTGTCCTGTAGCTTCGCACATCTGAACCTGTGGCTCTGGTTCGGCGCGATTGCGCTCATCTGCGGGGACATAAGCTGGTGACGCATTCACTGCAGCTTCTATGTCCATAGCGTACGCTATGTAACACTTCCCATACACCTTTTTTCGAGATAAGTTACAACTCCTACACTCGAGTCTTCTCGTTCAGGCATCGCCGCCTGGAATCGTTTAGACTTCTTTCTGATGTCAAAGGACCGCAGATCGGCTGCATTACAGGACGACTGGGATTCCCATTTCCTAGTTACTGGTCTGGCAACCAGGGTATGTTCAACTTCATCTGCACGGAATCGTAGAACAGGAATCTCGTCTTCTATATGCTCGAAACGAACATCGTCAAGCATATAGATCCATGGCAATCCGAGAATAACATCTACCCGCAAAGGAAGCCCTTGGATCGTCCGAACATGTGGATGAATTGTGCACGGATTTGGTCATGATTCTGCTCGTCCACGTCCGGACGGCCCCTTCATGTCGCTATCCATGACTTGTTGGAAGCGCATGAGCTCTTGTTGGTGTGCACAGGTGGAAGCCATTTCGTTTGTTACGTTTTGCATACTACCCATTGAACCGTTGGCCTTATAACCTTGCGCGCTGACTACGGACTGACTGACGTGGACACGTGTTCTCCAGTAGCGGCCTATAGCGATTACGTAATTGATCGGCAATTCCGACAGCGCGTTTCACCTGTCGGCTGACATAATCCAAAACCAATTAGGGAACTTAGGGTTAGGGAAGAACGAAGACGAGAGTAGTTAAGATACTTTACCGATAGAAACGCACTTCGACAGCGACTCTGTTCACAGAAGACTTGAAGAGACCTTTTCTTATATCCCGCTGTCCGTTCCCCTTTCGGGCTCCCTCGCTCCTCTTCTCGCCGGTGCTCATCACGGGCAACAGCTCTTGGTAAGTCACAGTTAGGAACGCTCTCTACGAGCATGATTTCTCCACTCGACAGTGAGGCACCGCCGTGTTTCGAGTGCTAAATGCGTGCTTCTGATATCTTTTGGTCCCGCACGCCAACGTACCTCTTCTCACTTTCAGCTTAAAGGGAACTCACCCACAAAGGTTTACCTAGCGACCACATGATTTTCATCGTATTCCTAAAGAACTTTGAGTTCTGGAAAGCCATCGGAGCTCTCAAAAACATCATCGTCCATACGCGGATCCGCAATGTAACCCACGAATTCGACGTTGTCTGCTACAATAAAGGCACAGCAGAAGATCCGAAATATCGCATATTCCTATGCAAAGTTATTGATGACAGCGATATCAAGTTTCTGCTGAAGCTTAACGATTTCATGCGGGCCTTCAAGGAGCACTATCGTCACCACAATTTTCATGAATTCCGTTTCGCAGTCTTTGGCACGTGCGGGACCATCAAGGAAACAAACATCGGCGCAGCGTTCTACATCAACGTAGCGCACAAGGGGGATCGGGGCCATCTCCGGAACCTCCCGGCGCTCAGCGCTCCTGCCGACGCTCCTGCTCAAGAAAAGCATTACTTGTGGGTTTCCGATTCTCGGGCGAAGAAAAAGCTTTGCGCGCGCGTTCCGGCCCCGAGAGATACCCCGCTGACGGACCATGGATGGCGCGCCATGCTTACCGCCGAAGGGGCCGCGATCTGCTCTATGAACTCCTTAATGGAGTCCTCACAACCCATTATCCCGGGTGTCCATCTCTACGACATGGAGACATACGATTTCTTCGAAATAGTCCTTTCACACGGTGCGACGCTTCTGGGAGCAATTCGGGTGGTCTCGGATAAGTGCGGTAAAGATGAGAAGATCAATCGACGCTGCTGCAGTTTCCAAGCCGGCATCCAAAAGCTAGACAGCTTCATCGACGCAGAGCCCAGGATCGTCGCGTCCACGGTCGACACAAAGATTAGACTGGAATATTTGGATCTCCTTCAGTATGCGAACGATCCGACCAAGGTGACAAGCTTGCCCGCGCTTTTCGCACGGGAGAATCCCGAACAACCGAAGGATCGCAGCAGCCTCCTTGAAGGCAAACCTGTCGCTCAGGCCTCCTCCCAAAGCGCGTTTGGAGAGCTCAAGGCTATAATTCTGGCCGAAATCAAGGCGATCGCGGAGGACCGAATGGCACGCAATATTACTGATTCGCTGAGCATCAAAATGAGCGAGTCCGACCCACTACTGCTAAACGATGAAGCCATAAAGAAGCAGTTGTTGTCCATTGGCTGTGAGATAGTTCGGCCGGAATCATAATCGGGATGGGAATGAGCCCTCTCGTATGGTATTGCTCTGCGGCAGGAGCCGGTCGAGCGGCAATCCTTTAACCTTGACGACGGAGGCTCTGTACGCTTTTGGGGGCTGAAGAGAGCATTCTCTTTTGACGGTTCGACAGTTTGTATGTCTATACATAGAAAAAGAAGATGGAAAGCCTTATAAGCAGACGCATCCATGAAGGGGTCAAATAAGTTTAAACTTTACTGGAAAGGATGGGTCGTCCACAAGTTTACCTGTACACTGCCCACGTTGACATACCCGAATTTTCTGGTGTCGTCTTCTCGGCGAAGACAATCGAGACCTTGCCGCGCAGCTAAAGATAGACAAGGGCACCGTCCAACGTATTGCGGGCGGAAAAGCAGAAGCGCAGGGTTCCGTACCGCATCGAACGAAAGGTGTGTGGATGAGATTAGTGTGTGAGTGTGTGAGTGTGTGAGTGTGCCCTTCCGTTACGTAGATTTCCAGTGGAGGGACCAGGCAGTGGACGGTGATCATCTTCCCTGTACCGTCCTTCTTCTCAGGTGATCTTCAAGTCCAAGTCCGCTCTCGCCATAATTAGCTCTGAGTTCTCTCACTCCCACACTCCCTGCCGGTGATGCGACTCCACAACCAAGTCTCTTCTTCCAGGCTCCAGCGGCCTAACCGTGAAAGCATCCTGCTGAGAATTGTGTGCGACATGGACGTGGTAACATGTACAACAACAAGAACGCGGCAAATGTGCACAAGCGCCGCAAGTGAGCCGCAAGACGGAAAGTGCACAGAAGGCAAATTTCTGGTGACTGGTTTGACAGTATTGACAGTTCATCCCTCACAGGATAATGGAGCAAAGCGCCTTGATGAGGAAAGGACGGACGAATTCCTATTCGGACACTAGCGCGACCAGATGCCGAAGGAGGCCGGCCAAGCACGCCCGACCAACAGCGAAAGCCATCTCGCGCTTCACACACTCGCTTCGCCAACAAATGGATTTCGTCGTCACGCTCGGCACACTCACCACATTTCCGTCAAGTGAATTTCGTCGCTCTGGCGCTCGACATACACATTCACACACTCACTTCGTCAGACATTTTCGACACATGGATTTCGTCGCGCTCGGCACACATTCAAAAGTGCGGAGCAGGTGGGGAATACGGAATATAAAAGGAGAGGTCTCGGGTTCGAAGGAGTCGCTTTACTTACACAACTTACACAGAATCATCTACATACGCAACATACTCAACATACCACAACAATGATCGCGAATAACCAACAAAACGAACATAAGGTTCGTTGCGTCGGCCATAGGGACATTCTGCCTGAACGATACTGTCACACCTTACAATGCGGACACCACGTCTGTTGGTGTTGCATGGATAAATTCCTAAAGTATGGCGACCCCCCTGAGCAGTGCACGGACTGCATGAAGGCCGATTATGACATTTTCGACCATGACCCCTCCGACGAATACCACACATCGAAACGCTCAACACCTTCGCGTCTCCCCTAGAGTTTGGCATTCAGGAGTAACCGAACATACATTACTCCTGGGACCACCCTTTTCGAAAGCACGTTTTCGCAAGCTCAGTCGCTGCAGATCACACGCCTCGCCGGACCTCTTATTCGACACCGGTTCCTCACCCTGAGCCACATGTCTTGGTAAATTTTCCATTATCAGTAGCAGAGTCTTCTGTAAATCTATGCATTATGTACCGCGTGGTTTCAATGAAAACTGATTGAAAAATGGGATTCATGGGGGTCAACTTCGCCACTCCCCAGAAAATGGGAATCGTGCAGATGGAAGTTTTGATAGATACGGACTACGTGTTAGTCAATTTGGTTGCTTAGGACGGTCATCCTATATATTCATATCATGCATCTGCCCGATTCGCACCCAAAACCATTTCCCTTTGGGTGTCCTCATCCTGTTGCTGAGTGATCAAGGTGGGAGAGTGACCATAGGTGCGCGGCCGTCCAATGATATTAATCCTTTGGGTGTGATTATCACACATGACGGCAGGGCCGTTCAACTTCCAAAAACGGATCTTACGTGACATGCAGGATAATAATCTGGTCGCATGCTTTCGAAATTTGATGTCGAACCTCCAGCCCTCGCCAAGCCCAGTTTCTTACATCCATATACATGAGATACGCAAGCGGGGTACAGACAGCCATTGCAAAACGAGAGACTATTCTACCGGCGGCGCTGACGCACTACAGGCGCTGGGCTACCGTCTCGTCGTAATAGATAAAACTCGGGGCCCAACTTCCAGAAACTACTTGTCGTCGTACAGATTTGTAAAAGCGCCCTTCCGATTTGATCCAACCCTCTCGCAAGAGCTGGTCGTCGCTCTTTGCTTTGCTTCTAGACGCACGGCTAGCCTCTTGGTCCTGATATAAGCGCTCGTCTTGGTGCTTGGCGGTATCCGAAATGGGTAACATACGATCTGGACCGTAGTGCCAAATCCATTCGACTTGTTCGACCAGCCCGCTATACATGATCGTCTCTCGTGGATCCGCGAGACGATTTAGTACGATTTCGCCTGGGCCAGCGTAATAGTGTCTCTCCGGATTGTCTCTGAAACGGACGACCACGTAATGGTTTCCTCCGATGCTGAAGTTTGTCATTTTGACTGACAACCAAGAGATCTTCCCGATGGTGTCCATATCCGGGTCGTCGTACAGACTGGGGAGAATGTGAATCTCTTCCCCGGAAGGCTCCTGCCTCACCGTCATGGGATAGTCTGACTTGTTCGTAATCTTCACGATCCGGACGTGGAACCCTTGGCCACCCGCTGATTCGAGTGGATTCTCTGGTGGATTAGCATGTCGTCGGATGGGGAGTCGTACGTGCAATAGTCCCAGTCCAACGCAAAGCAACAAAAGAAGAAGATCTCGGGAGTTCATCGCCTTTTTCGACGAGCGATCGCGGATTACGGGGAGGTAGTGGTAGTTAACAATCCTCCAGGTCGTTTCACGGACTTGGGATGAGGGCATCATCCTGAAAGTGCTTGATTCGGTCACATGACTTTTTTAGATTTAAGTCGAAACCCGAAATTTCAGACTCCTTGCTACATATCGAATCCCAGAAGAAGCCCCAGGAGCGTCTTCAAAATGCCATCTTCAAATCATTTGGTATCTAGACAACGCACTGCATGACAAGGATCACTCAAGGAGACAAAGTATTACATGAGATCACAAAATATTGAACCAAGATTTCATGGGTGTATAATGACAGAATGACAGAATGACAGAATGACAGGAATGGCGGAATACCAGGAGGGTCAGTCAAAATCATGAATTACGCCTTCTCCCCTTCCTCAGAGTCGGGATATACTCTTGGGAGATCGTAGTTGTCCGACAGCATTTGTGGCACGTCGAGTGGCCACATTTTGAATTTTGTCAGGGTTTGCGCCCTTGTCCTTTGCCACAAGAGCGACATGGGTCATCCACTTCGGAGCTGTCCGAGGACAAGGACGATTCCTCACAGATTTCCTCGGAAAACGGTCCTACAACCTTCGAGGGGGCAGCGGTATGGACAAGTTTTCATCCCATACACACCCGTTGCAATCTTCGGGGGGATAATCGTCCTCAAGTATCCAATCGAAAACGTTCCAATGATCTCGTTGGAAGAATACGAATCTTGACATTGACGGAAGGGTATCAAAGTAGAAGATCCGTCGGGATCTCATCCAACATCACAACATCATCCAAGCGTGAGACGGCATTCTGCATTCGAAATAGCCAGGCGCTTAACGTGCGAAACAGGGTTTCGAAACGAAGTTTGTATAGCGGGCAGTCGTGATACTCATCGGCCGCCGCGGAGCTTCTTGCGCGTTCGACCTCCCTCCAGGCGTTGCTGAGGGTCGCCATCATGACGGCAGTATTCCGCTGTTGGTTTTTGTATCCCCTCACTGTTGTCGGCGTATCTCCAGCGATGAATGACGCCATATGGGCGACGTGCAAGATGATATAGCGAAGGTTGTGGTACGGGACTTCGTGAATGGGAATGTCGTCAGCGTCAAGATACCCGTGTTCACTCCAATCGAACTCGCGGTCGTCGATCATATGGATCCCGTGGGACAAGAACTTCGCGTACATGGCTAGGCGGAAAGCAACCTCTTTTTGCCCGGGAGTGATCGGTTGGTTCTCTGGATACAAGGCGTCCATTTTCGATGATTTTGCAGATTTCGGTGGTGATCGGGAGAGAATCTCGGGCGCAACCTCCTCCTTTTAAATGGAAAGGGTTTTGATCTCGGATTCCGATCTTCACAGCGTTGAAGTTGGCAACAAGGGCAGCCGAACATGGAGAAGAAGGTCAACCGTCGGGTCTCGTCCACAATCGTAGCTGAGGATCTCGAGGCGGATGTATGTACAGGGTTTGCCAATGCAGACGTGCTTGTGGATGTTGCCGCAGAGGTCGGTGTGGGTGTCAATTGTGCAGGCCAAGCACGCTCGACCAACAGCAAAAGCGCAACCAGATGCGGAGGGAGGCCAAGCGAGCGCATAACCAACAGCGAAACGTCGTACAATGAACTTCGGTCGCTCAGCTCAGCACGAGCTCGGTCAAAAATTTTCGTCGAACGGGTTTCGTCATCCAAATACTTTCGTATGGATCGCGCTCAACACAAACGTCAAACATTTTCGTCAAGCAAGGGTCGACACTTCGGCAGAACACTTCCCTCTGACAAAGTTCGTCAAATCACACAGTTCGTCAAACAGTTTCGGATTTCGTCGTCACGCTCGGCACACTCACACATTTCCGACAAGGGCACTTCGCCGCTCTCGCGCTCGACACACAAACTCGCACTTGTTCAGTGGCGGCGCCGATTGCACCATCAAGCAGTGGGACATTCTGAGCGGTACTCTTGTTGCAAACTTTGCCTATCTGACGGATTGGGTCAACGCGCATCTTGTTGGTGAACAGCGGTATAGTGCGGATGGCCCCACTGTAAAGAAGTGGGATATTCCCAGCGGCGGGCGAACATCAACAAAACCATATCCGCAATGTGACGGCTCTTGCGCTTCCAACCGCCAAGGCAAATGTATACGGCGCTGAGTAGCATTGATAAGCATAGAGATGATACTTTTCATGTAGATGTAGAGCCATTGGCGTACCCTTCGCCGAACCTCTTCGTCATTATTGGCTTCCCAGATGAACCCCCAGCGGCCCCAGCTTCCCAGGGCGGGCGGTTTTAGTCGGTCATATGTCCTTCTGCGACGATGCCCGTTCTGATAGAGACACACGCGAAAGACTTGCCAATTGTTTTTGCCCCCGTCCGGTCGCTTTTTCGGCGCATCAGCAAGGGGCGCATCCAAGCACGACCCAAGGTCCCGCCTCCCACCTCCAGTGGGTGCCCCTCTCATACAACCGCGTCGGACATTATCCCAACCTCCCGGTTGTTCTCCCTTCTTCCTTCTCGCAGAGCTTGTCAAGTGGGTGATTGTGTTCCTGGGATTAAAAAGAAAAGCTCATCTCGCTCCAGCTTTAGGAAAACTCCCCGTACCGTCGTACCGTAAGGCTTCAGGTCCACTGAGCATTCTCGCTTTCCAAGAAAACTCCCCGTACCGTCGTACCGTAAGACTTCAGGTCTACCGAGCATTCTCGCTTTCCCAGAAAACTCCCCGTACCGTCGTACCGTAAGACTTCAGGTCTACCGAGCATTCTCGCTTTCCCAGAAAACTCCCCGTACCGTCGTACCTTACTCCTAGCCCGCGATGGTGAGGCCTGACTCGACGAGCATGGTAACTAGTCCTCGAGTCGCTCCCCTTTCCCAACCAGTACGCCAGGGGGCCGAATGGACTTTCATTTTTAGTTTTTTAAGTTTTACCAGGTACGTGCACAATTTCAATATACAAGATTCTGTGATCGCGCTCGCATTCTGACCCCTCGCTCGCGTCCTTCTTGTTTCTATTTGGGGTCACCGTCGTCACTCGCAAGTTGTCTACGCGGTTGGTCAATCTTTCGTCCGTCACCCTCTCCCTGAGAAACTGGGGCGTGCGGCTTGATGTGGACAATCTCGATGTCCAGTCCTAGTCCCACCAGGTGTACCCGTGAGGTATCTTTGTGTTGTCAATGAAGTCGATCCAAGTTGTGCCATATATACTTTAGAGGTTGCGTTGCAGTATTTTCGCGAAAAGATCCTTATCGAGCCGGGGAGACTCTCACATGGGGAGGCTGATCGCGCCATGATCTGTGGGTCGGCGGTGGTTATGACCCTGAAATTCTTCCTCTCCTTGTAGGAATCGAACGGCCCTACAGGCAAAAGAAGCAGGTCAGGAAAGTTCGAGGTTCTTGCGAGGGGCGGTCAGCATTTTAATGTTGAGGGGGCCGAGCGCCGGCGGTTATCTTTCATAGACATCAGGTCAGGGGTTTTCGAAGCCCGCTTGAAGAAGCCCCGAGAGAGAGCGACGCGACGCGTCTCACATGAACAGAAACTCCGCCGAGGAGACTACACTTCACAAAAGGAGGACGTCGAACCGCAAAGGAACTTCAAATGGCATAATAACATCTTCTGGTTCCAGAGGGCGACCCGACGCGTGAGTTTTGGGCGGCCGCACGAAGACTTTTAAACCAGGCCCACGGCCATGGCGGTACAACGGTACGGGGACATTTTTCGCACTCAGCAGTTCAGATCATGCCCCGCGGCAGTTACGACATCGACTGGTCTCGCTGCTCCCCGAAGAGGCACGCGGCGAGACCCCCGTCCTGATCCGTGCTCTCGCCGTCCTCGAGAATCACCCCAGCACAACGGCGGCCATAGCTCGGCAAATGACGAGTCTCGCTCAGAACGTCTCCCTCAGCTACTCCATCGACGACGTGAAAAGAGTCATCACCGCCTGGAATTTGATCTTGGGCGACCGCGTC